ATAATATTAGCGCAGCTGTTGTGAATGTTATCCAATTGTTGTGTTAACAGTCCAAATAGTTTCCCATTCACGCAGGCATGTGAAGCATTTGAAATCACTCGCAACGGCAAGAGTCCCGATGGCAAGGGGGTCATCAAGGTCATGGTCTCCGGTCCTGACGTCGACATCAACGATGTTTGAAAATCACAGGGTTTATCATGGACGGCACGCCCAGGTGGATTTTTTGTTGTTGTTTTGTTGTTTTGATCACATTGAATGTGGATCCAAGGGGAGTTGGTACATGACGTTGACACGAATTGCTTCCACGGTAACAAGCACTCTATGTAGATATACACCACTCTATGGCCAAAAATTTGATGTCCGAATCTAAATATCTATACCATTCCCTGATGACTCCTCTAGGCTCATGCGGAACTTGAAACGCGCACAGGTGGGGACGAGGGGAAGAAGAGCCAAAGGACGAACATGGCCACAGTTTGAGAGACTGTCACGTAGCAGAAGACTCTCATGCCGTCCTTGTTCGAGATTATACCGGTTATGAAGGGGAGCACGGCTTAAACACTTCGGTTGGCCTGAAAGAGTATAGCCCAAGTCGAATAACGCACCACTTCCTGCACTAGCAACGGCAGTGCTGGTATGAAAGTCATGGTCAGGTATGTCTGGAATACTGTGATGAGGCCACTCACAGAATAGCCATTGAAACCATGTGTACGTCTCCCGGCAGGACATCGTTGCAAAGACCTAATGTCCCAGGGAATATAGGCCCATACATCAAACCCACCACGGCGGATGAAAGGGCGTTCTCGATTGTCGAGTTAACAAACCAAATAAGGATGGTCATGAGGAAGGAAACGCCTGGGTATTTGTTATCAAGTTAGGATTGTAAATCTGAGGAGCAGGCCCTCATTGACGAACCTCTGAAGGCTAGTGATCAGTAATTTTCAGAGAGTCATAAATGGAGTTACGGACGTGCATGCATGAATAACGTGTTTGCGTTGGGTAAAGGTCAAGCTGCCGAACACATCAGTAAATTAGACAAGGCCATGACGATGCACTGCGACCGACCCAGTGCAATAATATCCCCATAAAATTCTGCCAGCGGCCATGCCTCCCCAAAAGCCGCTACTGACGTATCCGACGGTGTCCGGACTAGATCCCTGGTGCATGTTCAAAATGGGACAATAGCAACTAGATCAACAGAAACACACCCGATTGGTAAGGAGATAGGTAACAATCTGCGAGGATTCATTCAAGGTTCTGTCAAGTCCGAATAGACACTCACAAATCCTTGAAAAGTGGTCTCGCTACCACTGTAAATAAACGCGAACAATGAAAAGGCCCATTGATATGGAATCGACAAAGCCAGGAGGAGAGCTATGGGTAGGTCAGTATTTCAGATGATATGCAGTAACAGCGACCGCACTATTGGGTGGGGAATGGGAATCAACACGGCGGGTAGAGGAACCTCGGACTTTCCCTTCATGGAATGGTTGTATCATCGTGTCACTCCCAGGGATGTGGGCACTTGGCATAATTTGTATGGCGTCGAGTGCGGCTTTGCGGTCTGCCAGAAACTCATTGCGTGTCGGACGGAAAGAAAAGATGGTCAAGCTCAAAGCGATTGCAGAAATAACTAAGGAGCCAAGATAAAAATGCTTCCAGAGAATTCCCTCTGCCATGAGTGTTTGGCATACAAGCGGGGCTGAAAACGACCCAATGCCTGAAAGACATGAGCAGCAGCATTATACAAACACACATCACTGCTCACACCAACATCCCAGTAAAACCCCGAGGGGCTTCTTGGGTGTGGACACAACGTAAAAATTCCTGTAACTTTTTAGCATTAGGAAAATACCATAGCGCAACACTCACGATGATGCTAAATAATCCGTATAAGTGAAAACATTACGATCAAAACAAGTGCTCACCGGTCCAGAAAGAGCGTGCGAACGCGGCAATAGCATATGCCAGAAGTAACGCTGGATAATTACGAGCGGTACCCATTACAATAAAGAACAGAGGATGAAGGAGACCTCCAAGGACGAGCGAGGAAAATCGTGCTTTTGAAGGTGAATGTCCGACACCGTAAGGGAGAGCTGCCAAAACATTCTTGGTGAACAGGCGATCGAAAAACGAAACAGCAGGGAGATAGGTGTGTTGATCCAAAGACGGGTAAAATTGGCCAAGAAAATTGACTATTCGTTCAAGTAGGATGGTGCCGACCAGAGACCTAGTGGATAATTGTCGGTATTTTGTAGAGGTTTTGGCGAGAAGCTTACCCGACCGTACTGCCTGTAAATAACAAAGAGCACGTCGTATAGCTCAAATCAAAGTCTTTCTCAAAAGCTGATAGAATAACGCTAAACAAAATACCAGGAGCAAAACGGAAACATACATACAGGGGAGGACAGTAGCAGTGACTGAAGTGTTCGATGAGTGTGAGCCTCCAAACTTAAACAGTGGACTAACCTCCATCACCCCATCCGCAGACAAAATATATGAAATAAGTAGTTAATAATCTTCTAGTCAAATGCTCGAACTCAAGGCTAGGTGTCGACACCTCTGCCTCCTTTTCGAATGAGTTTTTGCGACTCTGCGCGTCAGTGGGGAAAACGTCCACATACGTAGCCGTCGAGGGGGTTCTGGCCAAGGATTCAGGAGAGGAAGCATTTTCGTGATAGTCCAGACCGGAATGGGACAATTGCGTAATAGTTTTTTTGAAAGTTGCGCTGGTTTTCGAAGAAGACTCTGTCAACACTCGAGTCTCGACTACGATGTTTGCGCCAAGTGAATGACTATGGCGAGCATCATGTGATAAAAATGATGGGGCGACAGGCAGCTTATTGGATGGATACCAACAGCGATCAGGAAGTGTGATGAATTCTGGGTGGGAGTCAGTGACTTGCGACTGCGGAGAATCCATGAGGATGCTCGGTGAAAGACGTTCACTCACAGAGAGCAATTTTATAGTAGCTTTGAGGTAGACACAGGTACATTCAAGCCCCGCTAAGTGGTGCTGAGGTTCTGCGTGTGGGAGGGAGATGGGCGTATGAACCCTCCCGAATCTATGTGGAGTCGCAATCGGACCGTGTAACTCAATTCAAGCAGTCAATTTCCTTGAAATTCCCTGCTTGCATGCCTCTATCTATCAACATATGATATAGATTCATATGTGGCCAAGCAACTAGTGCGTACCCGTGATATGTGCAGTTGAGACTCTGCCATATGATTGCCGGCCGAAAAAGAGGCGCACAGAGTGACCATAGCTGGCAGATGATTTTCCTGTTGAAAAGTCAAGTCGACGTATCAAGAAACTGCCTGGGGCCTGTAGCTATTTCGAGTTCCCGAGCAGGAGCGCTGGTTGTCAGTACAATTTGGAGGTCAGACCGCCGTACAAGGCTGTACGTATCGTCATCTAGTAGAAGCAGGAGTTCGGTGAGTAATTATGCTGCTACATAGAGTAACTTTACATACGAGAACTTACAAGTTGGAGTTCTGGGATAATCGGTCATGAGTCTTGATGTGGCGAGCATCACTTGACGAGGGACCGAGGGTCGAATGACCCTGAATGATTAGTATTCGGACGCCTCTTCAGCGCTGAAGTTAAAGAAGGGAATCCTAAAAAGGCAAACTAAGATTGTTTCTGCCACTTTGACGAAGTGAGTCGACCTACGGTTCTCATACTGAGTTACTTGGCTGCATATTATGTATGGATTACACTTGGAAATTTTTCACTTACTATATAATCGATAGATCTAATCGACCGCTTCCTGGCATCCCCGATGGAAAAGTTTGCCTCGCACTGGCGACATATTTGGCCGGCTTCATGCCCATATCCAATTTGACGTAGTAGGCTAGCTCTTGAAGCTAGTAAGTAGGACACGAGGTTGGCGGATCTACAATCAGCACGCGGAGCACTAGTTGATCCACTTAATTGACCCTACTGAAGAATACAAACTCGTGAGTCAGTGTCCACACTCCAAGTTTAATGTAACTCTCACAGGTAACTCAATTAGTACGGTTCGCATGATCTGTACTTTGCACAAACATATCAGTCTCATTTGCATGCATAGGTGTTTGTGGACTACATTCGTTCGTTCTCGCTCGGCGTTCCCGGTCAAAAAGACATTACAGGCATGCAACTCTTTGCATGTTATCAGGATCTTTCCCGAACGAATTCCTCATCCACTGAGGTGAACCACACTATCATTGATTATTGTAGCGACACGGAACATGATAGGTAACTCCTTTCAAGGTTCGAGGAATACTGTTGCTCAAAAGTATCCGTCAAACCAGGAGCGCGTCACATTTACTTCATTTAAGGGGGGAAGCTCGATGGCTCCACCTCTGTGCATGTGTAATTCGAGACACGTGAGTCTGCCCACATTGTTTGTTTGATAGGTACCCTTGCGGCGTTCCGAACAAGTATCCAATGGGGAGGAACAACAGAAATCGGCAGGTCAAACGACAGTCTGTTTTGGTATCAAAGTCTCCCCCGACCCTCAATGCGACGAACCTGCAACGAACGACCATCTTCCTTGGATAGGTCTAGGACAAGTCTAGGAGACTATTTACTCCCAACTAACCTATCTATATCTGCGTCTGGACAATTATTTTTGCGAAGCTATGTAATTAATACTGTTAACTGCGAGTTTCATGATTCCGGCATGCTATTCATCACAGAGCTCCTGCATCCCACTTTTATGCCGATCAGATGATTTTATCATTCGTAACGCCGTGTCTTGAAAGTACTTGCTTATTATCATCGTGTACGTTGTGGTCGTTGGAAGAAGGTTGGGCGCTTGAGGGAAATTATTCGCACGGTTAGAACAGTGCGGCAAACACAAAAGCGGTGGTAGTGATTATTCTTCCACAACTAGTTGCGACAAGTACTGCCACGATTCGCGCCCAAGTTGTTATCTCACACTCTTTTCTACATTCGCAGGACGACCCGAAACATTCACAATTCATTCAACTAACTCTCTTTTCATCTCCCAATAATGACACGCCCGTTCACAACCTACGGGGATCACTCAACAGACTACCTATCCGCACAACACCCCGATCCATCCCCTTCAGACGACTTCAAGTCGTATAACGATGACCTCAGCGACCTCATTGACCAATATGCGGAGCCGTACTCGAGAACTTCACGGCATCAGACTTTTGCTGTTTCGACTGACTTATTGGACGATTCTGATTCACGAGACCGCTCTTTTTCTACGGATCAGAAAGGATCATATACGGTTGATAAAGTTGCAGAGGAGGATCCTGAACTAGACCCTTCGAATCATGACTATCCCCCAACGCTGAAGCAGGAGAAGCCGATTGACACCAGGAGTTGTTGGGCAAAAGTCAGCACTACTGTTTCACAGATACCGGTTGTTTTTACTGAAATTTATTTAGGTTCTTCCCGACTCCTGGGCATGTCGCCTGTTTGTCCTAACTGTGGTGATCGAAACCGCAGTGGATCTGGCCATAGAGGGCGACTTGCTTGTTCGATTGCAGGATGATTCGGGAAAACTGGCAGTGTATCTCAGCGTTTTTGCACTTGCCCAGTACGTGTTCGAACATCTTTCAACGTCTTGATTTGACACGATTTTACAATTCAGCATCTTCCAACTTGTCATGGCGGTCGATGCGGTGTATGCACGCAATACCCTGCAATTTTTGTCTCTCATGTGAGCACATCTTGTTTCTTATCTTCAATAGCATATTTCTGACACTTGGCTTACAGCATATTCAATCTTCTTTTCCTGTTATACGCTGTCATTGAAATCAGCGAAATCAAGAACTCATCAACCAATTCTGCCGGGATTCTGCATGTACCAGTGAATGTTCTCGCTGACATCATACCTGCCGTCATATCCACTGCGGAGATAGCATACATCGGTCTCGGCTGGAAAATCTATAACGAGTTCGGCTGGAAGGTGTACAAATTTCTAGGTGCCGACCGCCGCATCAAGAAAATGTATGCCACATATCAGATCTTCGAATGTCTTGTCAAGTTCGACATCTTCTTTTGGGTTGGCTTCTCCGTGCAGTTCATATGGTTGGTTCTCCAGAAGAACGATTGGGAGTACTATGTCACCTGGGCTGCTCTCCCGTTATCAATTCTCCTCCTCATCGAAGGCCACCTTGCTGCGCGTCATGAGAATAAGTGGATGATGGGAACGTTTATGTTTGGAAGTACGAGCGCCCTGGTCTATTTTACATACAAAGTGAGCTCTAGAAAACTTGCCGCGCAGAGCTCGCTTACTCATGACATTTCAGCTTTTCCGGGTTCTTCAGTACAGGGATACGCAATATGCCTTGTACTGGAAATCACTTTCCACGTTTTGTAAGTCCTTTGATGTGTATATATTTCTAGCAGTTCACGATAATGGTAGCTGCAATTGCAATCGTCCTTCTCGTCATCACGATGATCTTTTCTGTCTTGGTGATGCGCAATTTCGGTCGAGGACTAAAGGCATCGAGTTAGTGTTTTTGTTTTCCTTCATGACTTCTTTGACTGATGTCTGTGTGATAGTTGCAAGAAGTAAAACCCACACGCAGGGACGTGGCTCTCAACACTTGAACCGAGGACCGATGAGCACGAACCCAAACCGAATGAGTATCGAATGAAAGCGCGCGTACGTCGCAGCCATGGACTTGCTTGTATTCTATAGCGCTATTCGCGACTCTTCCGATTTGACACATCAGCATCACCTTGCCCCAACCAAGATCACATTTGCATTGAGATATCCATCTTCGCATTGCCATGTTTCGCGTTCTTTAGTTTCTTGATTTATAAGTATAAATATTCACGGATATATTTACACGCATGCCAGTAACACGCATCGCTCTCCAATCTGGATCTGGAGGCTATGTGTTTCTTCTGGTATTCGTTTTTCTTACCCTTCCTCGGAGTTACCTGTGCTTTGTGGATATTTTTATGTATCGATGATATTATAATAGATAGATACGGATTTATATACCACAAGCTGAATGAAGGTGGGTGTGACGTGGAAGGTGTCCTCCACTTTTGTCAATTGGATCCGCGTATATACATCGCCGCCTTCAGACTCGGCTGTGTTGAGTCAAAGGGCTTGTAATAATACTGTTATTCCCTTTCGAATTCACCCGTTGGTCGGGAAGCGTGGAGCTGCGGCTGGTCTTATACACACCACCATATGTCTCAAAGGTGAGGTACTCCCAGGAGTTAAATTGCACTTTTCATTAATTGATGCTTCAGATACAGAGCAACAAATGCAGCGCTACGAGACCGTTCAGCTCTCCTGGGTGTGACGCCTCCAGCATCGGGACGCTCGTCACCGTACCCAGAGCCCTCTGGCCACCGCTACGTGGATGACCTGGAAGGTCAGAATGATGAGGCGTTGGAAGGCCTGGCAGCCAAGGTGAAGCTGCTCAAGGATGTAAGTGGTGCTTCCCGTCTCGCCCGCCCATCAAACTCATCATTTTCAAACATAGATCACCGTTGGCATCGGAAACGAGGTCCGAGAGTCGACTGTGCAACTCAGTCAGATGGTACGCGCATGCTGTCGTACTACTCATCAACTGCTCCCTACTTATCATGTGCTCCGCAGAATGACGCATTTGCGGAAACCTCGGGCATCCTAGCTGGCACGTTCCATCGGATGAACAACATGGCACAGCGGCAGGGCTGTCGATGGCTATGGTACATTCTATTTCTCGTACTTGTGTTCTGGTTCTTCATCATTGTATGGTGGTTTCGGCGATAACAATCACCCACTACGGACGTTTATCGGTATCTTTGGATCAATTGCTTCCTCAGTGCGCCTCTCGTCATTCAAGCCAAGCCATTTCCGTATCCACAGTAAATGCTTATACAGAGTATCATAAAACCGTGTAAAAAGGGCAATGCGTGGAGGCTCATTGTTATGGGCCATCCAGGAACTTGGCATGGCCAATTTCCCAAATCATCCGCCGTCGCAAGTAGGCCATGTCCCGTTGCGAGAACTGGAATTCTTCCTGCCCTCTAGACAAGGATTCCAAGAACTGGCACGTGAATACACCACAGTCATAACCATTCTCCTGTTGTGGTGTATCCTCAGGATTGTGATTCTGCCACCCAGTGAAGTCAAAAGGTTTCTTTCGCTTGTTTCTATGTTCTGAGTCCAGATAACTCCGCAGGGCCTTGACGGATAACATAAGGTCCCTCCTGAGCATACCAAGGCAAGTTAACGTACCTTGAAGACTTGATGTCGGTCAAGATTCATGCTGTCATAAGACTCTATTCGCTTTCGACGGAAGTTGATGGCAGCCCCGGTCCAATGAGAATTGTTGTGGTTGATAGGAATAAGGATGACGTCTTTGGAAAATATATCAATCTGTATGCGGAATGAGATATCATCTTCGATTTCACTGGGCAATAACGAACCTTCTTTGTCCATTTCGCTAGCCGCCCCTGCTCATAGCCCTCATTTTTCAGCTTTGGCCAAAAGAAGGTGCTAAAATAGTGGACATCCAGAATCTTTCTCTTTGCGATGGGGTCGCGATTGGACTCCGAGCGCGTCAAGATCATCGCACCATAAAAGTTCATAATTTCATCGTTCAACCACTGACTGGGCAGTAACCGAGATAGATCTCTATCATTAACAGATTCTCGGGCAACTTTGGAAATGACTCCTTTCTTGCACAGGAGCGCGTTAACTTGTGTGTCAGCGTCAGGAGGCAGGGCCTTGGGTAGCTTTGGCCGCAGACGCTTCTCAATGGCTTCGTCTCTGTGGCGCGCCGATAAACGGAGACGATCATGTGAGGGAGAGAACGGTTTAGGTGGAGGACTGTGAAAAATCGATTCAGCGAGGGAACAATATGCAAAAAATACGCTCATACAGCTCAAATGACTTCCTGGCCTTTCTAAGTGCACGTTCTAGGAAATCAGGATCAACATCCTGGCACAATTTGGCACGATTTAGCACAGTAGCAAACAAAGTATGCACACGCTCACATCTGAGAACGAGTGCCTACGGGAGTGCCCAGGTGAGGACTGCTTTACACGCAGATCTGTCAGTGATGGTGAAGCTACACACAACGTCATAAGTGTGCAAAACAGAAGTGATAAGAATCACGCACGCGAAAGTGCATGTCGTTCAAGAATTTCAAGTCGAGCTTGGTAATTAATCAAGGCTGAGATTTATGCAAATGAGATGTAGACATTGGACAAGACAGGATGGACGCACATTTAAAAGAATCAAAATCTGAGGTATATCCTAATCAGAGTGAGGGATAGAGCATCAAGAAAAGTACTAGCGTACTGACCAGTAGAACGTTTGTAATGGAACAGTTCTTGCACCAGCTCTTCGCGGTCCTTTTTCCTATCTTCTTGTACTTTGGCTTTGTGCTACGACATCGGCCCATAGTAAGATATAGGAACCGGTTAGCATTGCTTATACACTTACAACACGAGCATATATATGATCTCGACTCCGCCGAGGTCGAATGCCGCCGACCACTCCTCTCCCGTGCGCGGAACCTCCTATGAAGTCATACGACTGGCTGTGTTGAACGTGCCCCTTCGATGTCGAGGGAACCGGGGTGACTGAGGTGTGCCCGGTAAGGGTTGAGGGAGGTGAGTTTCCGTTTCCATTGAGCGCATTCGAAGATTCTGAACGTGATTGTAAAGAAGATGAAAGCCGCGAGCGGCCTGCTACTGGTTGCGAATCTTTGGGTTTATAGAGCTCTTCTGGTATAGACAGACAAGGTGGCAAAGCTAAGTAGGTTGCTTGTGAGGGTAAAGAGCCGGTTTGATTAGGTTTTTCCGGCTGTTGCGACGCGGCTTGAGATCCACCTAATTTTTGAGAGGCTTTGAACACGTTGTCAGTGAACGATCGTGTCTGGCAATAGAACTAATCTCACAGTGCATGAGGGACAGGTATCCGAGGCGGACCGTTTCGTAACCAAGTGTGAATGCGTCAGTTCCGAGTTGACGCCAACGATGCCAAATTCCCTGGTTCTCTTCTGTGCGTTGGTATTTAGCGGAACGCACTGGGAGTAGAGAATCTGAGGCCTGTCTCTTCCGACTGGTCATCCGAGCAAGTGCTAAGGATGGAAGGGAGATATTTTGGAAGACGTGTGGCACGAAGCCAGCTCGAGGCTGAGCTCAATGAATAGTCGCGAGGACAGACTCGTCAAAGCAACGTGTTCTTGACGGTGGTTATGTGCAATCACGATCAAGGCTAAGCGGCAAAGTCTTGTCAAGCTGTACTAGCGTCAAAGCACAGCACAACAAGACACTTGATTATATAATCACATTCTAACTCTAATTGTGATGGGCTCGCTTGGCTCAGTTGGTTAGAGCGCAGGTCTCATACACATGGTATGACGAGTGTATACTCGGTAATCCTGAGGTCGCAAGTTCGAACCTTGCAGCGAGCACTGCCTTTTTGATAGCTCGAGCAACCCTCGAGGCTGCCATTATCCGCGTACGCGTGACATGCAGATTCTGAAATTAGGCTTACCCAGCTCTAATAGGCTCTAGACTCTAAACTCTCTGTAAGTCACAATCTTCTTGCTGATCTTTTTCTAAGAATGATTTCTTCATAAAGTGCGCGATACCCAGCCAAGACAACTTATCAGCTTGTAGTCATAGTGTCTTCAGGGTGCTATCACGTTCGTCAGGCGTGATCCCGACTTTGTTCTATATTCAGCAATGGCAGTCGATCTTGCACCTGCACCAGATGCTGATGAGTCCGAGAAGCCCTCTTGTTAGTGGACGACAATTGCGTGGTGGGACTTGGCAGAACGCTGGAGCTGTGGAGCTGTGCCCGGGTCAAGAGCCTGTTGGACAATCGTTTCCGGATGCCGGGATGCGTGATGGGTAGAAAACAGTCCCACACAAGCAGACAAAGATGAGTGCTTTTCACCGAACAATCATTTACGTGGAAGATTTCGCAAAAATATGACAATTCGAACATACCCTTCAAAGCCTTTTCAGATCAAGGACCGGAATCCGGCGGACTTCGAGATGACATGAGAACGTGCAGCCTTCTCCCCCTATTGAGTCCTATCCAATCTTCTGAGCCATTGTATCAGAATGCTGACATGTATGGCCCTATAAGTTCCGTTTCCTTTACAAATTTACTAGACGCGACAAGTGCTCGCGTAGGAGTACAAAAATCAACATCGCTGGTATTTCTGATCACCCTCTCAGGGTTTTCTCCTCCGTATAACCTCATGCAATCCAGGGCAAGATAAGCTCACCAGGCTCCATTGTTTCCCAGTAGGGAGTGACTTATTTTTTTGGCCCTTTGGTAAGATGCAGGGTGGGTGTGCTTATTCGTTGGTCGTAGATCCTAATGCCTAGGTTGGGGCTTCCTCTCGCCGGCCTATCGTGCGGTGTTTCCCATGAATGAAGTTGTGGAATATTCCCTGTTCTACGCATTGCTGGGCACACTGGTGTGTAGTGCGGGATGTGTCATAAATGACATGCCTAACTGAGACTTCGATCGCAAAGTGGGTACTCAGTTTAGTCCTTACTGTCTCTCCTGACACTGGAATAGAACGTTCAAAGGGCCGACCAATCGCATCCGGGGCTGTCTCTGGGTCAAAGGCTTCAGCTCTTCCGGCTGTTCTCGTCGCTGCTATTTTTTTCACATGTGAGTAATCAAGAATTGTTAGAACTTCTCACAAATTAAATATTTTTTTGGTTTCACACTTGGTGTCGTTGGGCATCCTGCAAGTGGTGGTCGTATCCGCCGATGGGACGCCGGATATATCAATCTTCTTTGTTCATCTGTATGGCTTTTTTATGCAGAAGTTTACCATCTTATCTGGTTCCAGGACTTTGCTTGCGGCTGGGCCTTCCCATTCACTTGGGTTGCAACGACAAGCCAGTTCAGTTGTGACGTCATCCTGACCATCGCAATTGCGTCGTGCTAGTAAGTGTGGAGAGAACACTGATAGTGCCTCCGCGACTGGACATGTTTTTATGATACCATTTACGCATATCAAGTGACTCACTTGGAATGTCTCGCACCAGGATTCGTGTGCTGATTACATCGTCTTGGGACAGGAAGGACGACGAGATGGCGGGAGTCAAGTCCATGGCAGTTGGTCTGAGCAAAGGCGTCCTGCATTGAGTTCATTCGACTTGGCCTTTTTTTAGTGCCTTTCAGTATTTGAACGTCTGGCGCCTAGCCATTTGTGATAAGTGTCATTCCGTTTCTGACATATGATCTTTTTGACTGACATGATCCCAAAGACAGCTGGGAGATATTCATGGTGCGTCTGACTGCCATAGCCGCATGTGCTAAATGCCATGTTGAGTTATGCTCCAGGCGGGTCGCCATGGTACGGGGATGGTCTGCGCTGGTTAGTTTGTGGACCACTACCTCAAAAACTCGTGTCCTTCGCCATTTGACCATACGTATAAAAACCCTTTCATCATAAACGTATCGGTACTGGCGCAACAAAAATTGAAAAGACCTCTTATTGTAATGAATGTATGAAGCGTGTGCGCGTGAACACTGAAGGAGGTAAACGTAGTTTGATCGTAGTGTCAGTCTGGTACTATTGCCTCCGGTAGGGTCTCGCAATCCCTTGCCATTGGAATTTGATGTTTCTTACCACTTTCAAGGCCTACCATACCGGTGAGACAGTTTTGAACCCTGCTAAATACTAGTTTGTCCTGAACTTGCATTATTTCCGTCTCTTTTGCTCCAGCCCTCGTCCAGTTCTGCCTCTGCGTCACAACCTCCTCGATCTCGGAAACCTGGGTGTTTTAGATTGGCTCGGATATCAGCAACCACCAAAATGCAAAATGAGATAATCGAACCCAGTGATTCAGACACCGACGCTAATGGCAAAAATGTTCGCCCAGTGAAGAAGGAGTCCACAGAAACATTGCACCGCAATTCCAAGGTAGCTACCCTCAAGGCAAAGCTTGCAACCCAAAGCAAGCTCGTCGCGGAACAGGGCATGGAGTTAAATAAACTCCGCAAGGAAAACAAGCAGTTCAAGAACGAACGAGACATTCAAAATGCCGAGATCACAGGCCTTCAAGACGAGTTGAAGAATATCTTGCGGCAGCTCGATGACGAAACGGTTCGTGTATAGCCACTCGCTGAAATAGTACTTACATCATGTCTTCAAAAGGTCAAAAATCTTAATTTCAATATGATTAAGTTGAATAGCTTGAAGTCGGATGCTGTACGCGAGCATTTTTTCACTTTGGCTTTGATAGTGACTTTTGCGGGCAGCCAAATGGGACTGCCGTCGAAGCTACGTGGCATCAGGACATTGACCAAGACATGTCCGACAGCCTCGCATCCAACCTTCCTGTACCCGAAAACGGCCCTCCAAATACAGCGTCCTTGCAGCCCCAAATCCCCAACGCTTCTGGATCTAGTTTTACAGCCATCAAACCAGAGCCGGAAGGCGCGAAAATTGCCGTTGTTATTAAATCTGAACTTGAACATGAACCTGATCTGAACGTCCATGTCACGTTCGTCAAGAGCGAGGACGGGAAGTTCGATATCTGGAATCTTGAGCACCTTCGTCTCGGACCTCCAGTTATCGTAGAGAGGAGGTTTCACGTTGGATTCAGGCGTCCTGTAATCAGCAACGTGAGTTCAGAATTCCCCCGTCTGTTAACACCTAATATCACTTCAGGCTCTTGGCGGAAATTGGCAAAGTACATTCGTCAATTGGCAAGGTCCGACCAGCGAATTGAATAGGTACCCATAGTGCGTATCCCGAGTCTACCTACTTACCGCTACTAAAGCGAGTATCATAGCATGGCCCTCAAACGATCCTGGAATCCACATCTCCCGCTCGTTCCAGGAGAGCACGGTGTGGTATTTACCAGGGTGAGGCGTTTCGAAGATGACACGCTCATTACTGGATCAGTCGACGTTGTCATATCCGGCAAACCAAATGAATGGGTGTATTTTGGTTCTTACGAGACCTTTCGGTCAGGTGAGATCACACCTCACCAACTTCACCTGCTCCCTCCTCTGGTTGTGCGGACTTGGGTGGAGGGAACTCTGAAGTCTCAATGGGGAAAGAACTGGGTCGAACGCACGAATGCCGAACTTGTAGACAAGGGGGGCGAAATTCGCCTCGTCGAGCATACGGCACACGGTCTTCGGGAGGCACTCAGTGATGGAAGACTCGTAATCGGCTTCACCGTCATGAAATGTGTTGGATTTCGTACGGATTGGTTCGACCAGTTCTTGCATTATCAAGCGCATCCGAAGCTGCGCACAACACAGAAAAGGAAGAAAGGGAGCTCGGGAGCCAAAAAACCCTCTGCAAAAAGGGTGAAAGGGGGCACACATCGGAAAGAGGTGTCATCTGAAAGTGATAGTGATGAGAAGTTGCAAGTCACACCGCCCGGCAGTGACGGAGATGAGTTTCCTGACGCGGAGGACGGAATGAAATCACGCTTGGGTTCAGCCTCGCTGGGCGAGAGGAAGAGTGCTCGCATTTCCGCAAAATCAGTTGGAGCAGCAACTCCGAGTTCTAGTCATCGGACCGTGTTATCTCGAACTTGAGAAGTCTGCAACTACTCGAGGTCGATCGATACTTTACTCTCGGAAAACTCTCGGGATTGATATATTCACTATATAGTCGAATACTTACCGTCCAATACTTATACATATGCCACACTCAAAGAGTTATTACGGCCAACCATACCTCACATTGGAAGAAATATGGAGCAAAAGCAACTGTGACGCAGTGCGAATCCTCCCGAGCGAGGAAATCTTGACGTCAATAAAACAAAGTCCAGCTGGTCACCGCGCCATAATCATGCTCCCCTCTGTCATAGCAGACGAGTGATAACACCAAGTCCCTGGAAGCGTCCACAGTCAGAGGTGCAGCTTCAAGGACGGAGCAGTCATCAACGACCTTGATGGACTCGGTTGTGAGATAAGCTCGAACTGAACGGTGGCTCGACCACCAATCCGCAGGAGGATTGTCCATGCATCGATATGATACGAACAGTTTGGCGGACCGTCAGAACCGGTGAGAACTGCAGTAGACATCAGGAGACCTCACCCACTCCGCAGTGAAGTATGGCTTATGCGTAAACTGTATTAGCATAGCCCACAAGAACAATAAGTCATCAAGCATACTTGGTAGTTTCGTTGCATGATAGTATTAAGACTGCAAATTTTGCTCGGATGATTACATCGCGCGAGTGATATCCTCGAGCTCACTATAATACAAGGAGCTGTGGTTCGAATGGGGTGGGAGGTTGCTGCGCTGTCCTAGTGAGCTATCGCAAAAATAAAGGTACAAGGTTTTGGAACGTATCAGTTTTGGACACGCCGACCATACCCTTTTGAAGGCCGCGCGTTTCACTCGTTTGGGAGCGAAAGCAACACATTAAAAAGCCCCAGCTGTCACGACTCATCAAACTTGTAAAGGTAAGTACCCATAAGAAATGCAAACCAGGAACTCAAATACTGTTTTCGCTGCATGTTCCTCAGGAACAGTTGACTGAAAATTCCACTGGAGTCTGATCCAGGAAGACGGCGTCACCCGCCTTGACACTTCCAGTGCTGATAATATCATTGACAGCTATCACCAACGTATGGGACAGACCAGACTTATCAGTGACCGAAATTAATAGTGACTGCCGCGGCGGCAGCCAAAGGATATCAGTTGCATGCTTATTTGGGTGCCAAGGGCTCGTACTACCTCAAGTAGCTGGTAGATCGTGAATGAGTATCGGTGTCCGCTTCGCTGGAGGTTTAGTATAGGTACAAATGATGGGTCTGCGTCGTTGAGCCATAATTGCATAAGTTGTTGAGTGTTCAAACGTTCTGAATTTTCAAGAACGTTCAAGCGTTTCCCGAGCCGAACTGCACCGCCACTACATGATTAGGATGATCACGTGGCATTCGGCGGGTTTTAGAAGCTCGTCAAGTGAAGTGTTCTCGCCATCTCATAGACTAGCAACTCCCCGCCAAGTGCAACCGATTTCCTTCGACTCTCCCATTTCGGAGGTGGCATTGCATGATCATTAATGAGCTCAAACCCGTCCCTTCGTGATCTCTACAACCCTCCCTCGTCCGCATGGGCATTCGTTCCTCCTCCACCTCCTGTGCAGAACGCAACCGCACCCGCGCCTGTAACTTCTGCAATGACCAGCTACCAATGGACTACTCGTCCCGCGCATAACTCAATTTTTGATTTATCTCCTTCACTAGACCTCAGCGAACCTTCTAGCCTTAATGTGTCCCTGCTACCTGCGCTCTTTAGTCGCTTCAGCATTGCTCCAGTACACAAGTACAGCACTTGTGATGCCACTGGAAGTAGGCAAACTACTTCTTCAGATTCAGTGGATTCCTAAGGATGCTCCGGCTCCATCCAGTCAGGTACACGAGGAGGAGGAAGAGGAAGAAACGGTAGGTGGGCATCTAGAATGTGTAATTTATACCATTGTAAGTTTCATCTTAGTTTAGTGACTCTACGAACGAGGACGATTCCTACTTCGCGGACCCCGCTGCTTCACACATAAAGTACCCCGCACCAAAGCCCGTTGACGATCAGGGTTATGTAATCAGGACGTCTGTGCTGGAAGACGGAACACGCCCCGAATATATCATTGCTGTGGGTAGTATGAATGGCACCTGGGATATGGTGAAACGTGTCGCTGCCTTCCGTGGAGAAGGTTGGCTTTCGCTGTGGAAAGGTAAATCGCTATCCTCTGGTGGTGTCCTGTATCTAACCTCAGTTATCATGCACAGGGCTATTTACATCCTGCATTCACGATGTGCTTTTTAGTAATGTTCAACCGCTCGTCGACAGTATTATGCACTCTGTATTCTTGTCGTCGGCGGCTGGGCTATATCGCCCGCCACTTCTTTTGCCGGTAGCATCGCATGTCATCACTGGCTTTCTACTCTCGCCTCTGGACCTCGTTCGGACACGCTTAATTGCCCAATCAACGATGCAACGCCACCGGACGTACACTGGGCCATTCGATGCACTGAGGCAGATAATAGTTCAAGAGGGCGGTATCAGAAGCATTTATTTTCATCCACAACTCCTTATCCCTACTATTCTGGACAATGGTCTCCGTCCTTTATTGCACATCCTCATGCCTACGCTTATCGCTCCTCGACTGGGTTTCGGTCCACACGTCGCTCCAGATACCAGTCCTATTGCATGGGCTTTTGCTCAAGTGCTAGGATCCGTCACAAGTCTTCTCATCACATTGCCTATCGAGACCGTGCGCAGAAGGTTACAAGTACAAACCCGGGGCACGGCGAAAGCGTTGCGTACGTGTGTTGAGACACGTCCTGTACCATATAATGGCGTCGTGGATGCGCTGTGGCACATTGTGACTGAGGAGAGGTCAGATCTTCCTATCAAGCGAAGATCAAAAGCGAGAAGACGGCAGGTGGAACGCGCGGAGGAAAATGATTCTAATGACCTGTTTGTGGAGGAGCAAGACGAATCCAGATGGCTAAGAAACACGGGTATCGGACAACTATACCGGGGAATGAGGATGCGTCTCGGGGTTAGCATTATCGTATTGCTGTTGACTACTTTCGGAGGTCAACAAGAGGTGGACGGGGGTTGGGCAGAACTCTAGGCAGACTTTACTCTACATGATTCTCTCGTTCCCGCGCAGCAGTTATAACTCTCCTCAACATGTAGCTCTCTGTAATTAAATGATAAGTTCTAAGGTCAACAAATTAGGTATCCACTTTCGATGCTATCAATGTTAGCTGAAGCCTGCATGAACCTTGTCAGTGGTTGGGGTGAATTATCACGCCAAATTAGGAAAGGCATGTAACACCAAATGAGCGACGCGTCACTGGCCGCGCCAGTGAAAGTACTGCCTCTCTCAAGTCTCTCTCATACTAAATAACAGAATCACCAACCAGAGCCAGCAAATATGGTCAGCCCATTATCTGAGCTAACATATTCTACTGTGCTGATTCACACTGTCTGTAGTCGATCATGGAATACAACGGTGGTTCCGTTATAGCCATGGTAGGAAAAGACTGCGTCGCCATTGCTTCTGATTTGCGGTTGGGAAGTCAAGCATTGGGAATATCCTCAAATTTCCAGAGAGTATGACTTTTGCCTTCATTGTGGTACCCCTCATCCTGCTAAACGTGATTGCTCAGATATTTCCTGTAACTGATCGGGTATATGTTGGCCTGCCTGGATTGGCCACTGACGTGACGACACTGTGAGTTGACTATTGTCGGTTTTATCACTCGCTGCCTAACGTAGTGGCATATAGTCGGGAGCGCTTCCGCTATCGGGTGAATATGTATACCATCAAGGAAGAGAGAGAAATAGAACCAGAGACGTTTGCCCACCTGGTTTCCTCGACGCTCTATCAGCATCGGTTTGGCCCTTACTTTGTCGAACCAGTCATGGCTGGCCTATCAAAAACGCCTTCTGGAGGCTTCAAGCCCTTCATCGCAGCCACAGACCTCATAGGATGTCTAAACTTCGCGAAAGACTTTGTGGTAGCTGGTACAGCGAGCGCAAAATTGTTTGGTGTGGCGGAGGGCCTCTGGGAACCAGATTTGGAAGCGGAAGATCTGTTCGAAACCATCTCGCAGACGCTTTTGAATGCTGTTGATAGAGATGCATACTCTGGTTGGGGAGCAATTGTCCATGTCATGTGAGTTCCTCCTGCTCCAGCTTTCTGTCATTGACTTCATTTCTACTTCACAGTACCAAGGATAAGATCATTACGCGTACATTGAAAGGTAGAATGGACTAGATTGTAATATCACTCCGCAATGCATATAACCTGAGTCAAACGTATGTTCTGCCTGCAGAGCTAATTATACTAGTGTATCGCCACAGTCGGCGGTGTTTGGAGCTTTCAAGTCTGTATTTTGATTTTTGGTCTCAGTTCGAGTGAAACAGATATGATTTGGGTGAAGACGCGCCTAGACCGGATTAATGGCTCATCCCACAGAACAGGCAACCGAAGCCTTACGACTTCGAGCCTCGGTCATGACGCTAATCTATATATATTTACGTGTGTCTGCAAACAACATCTTCGTGGCAATTGGGGTCGATGGTTCGTAGAACGATCGTCTTTCGTTGTCTCCTCGTCGCTTGTGCTGTGCTGCCCTGCGTTTATTTGCTCTCGCGTCGACGCATTCATGTGCTAGCTGACTTAGGCCAGACTCCTTGGGACAACCTCGCTAGCCCTAGTCGTCCCCTTGCGGCGAGCTTCCTGGTGGGGGCAAATAGATCTTCAAATGTTCAAAGAGTTAGCTTGGTTTCAGCGTCTCAATCCTATCCTGACGTGACAGCAGTCGTCTTGAACTGGTCACGGCTCCCCAATGTTGTCCGGATCGTCGGTCTTCTTTGTGGCCCATGGCTGGAGGATGTCGTAGCGGAGATTGTGGTATGGAACAATAATCCAAGGGAAATCTCATACCAGGTGAGTGGAGAATCTGCGGACGCCATCTCATACACCATTCTTTCTATCACAGAAGTTCGTGAAGACAGGTTGCCCTTCCGAAAAGTTGAGGATATACAATTCGCCTCATAACGCCTACTTTCAAGCTCGATACATTGCGTGCGAACAGGCTACTACTCGTTTCTGCTTCCTGCAGGTCGGTAGACAAAGTTCTCTTTCAGGTTCATGTTCTGAAATAGAATTTCTGAATTTACAGGATGACGACTACCTTATTATGCCTGAGGTTATTCGCACTCTGCATGCTCGGGCTCTCGGAACTCCTGACCACTCAATACATCTTCTGCCTCCACACGAGGTTCTATCTACTCAACTACGTACGGTGGTTACGTCTGACGGTGTGCATACTTCGTCCGCGTGGCTTGGACATGGCACAATTCTGCCTCGGACTGGGGCTGTGGACTTCTTGGCGCTCTTACATCGTCTGAATGCATCTGAGGATGAAATGAAGATGGCAGACAACTACTTTACGATCCTGAATAATCAGATTCCTGAAGTTTGGTTCGACCAAGGTATCGAGCTAGGAGGTGGTCAACCATTCACAGTCGGAATGGAAGGTAATGAACGTAATAAAATGCATATTGTGAGTCAAATTTCTTGGCATCGCTACGCAAGTTGTGAAGTCACACTAACTATGGAAACACAGATTAATGCTTGTCGATACCTGGACACTCTCTTGAGCACATTCAGAGCTTCAGATATGTCTCGTAAATTGAGACTACCGTTCATCGAAGTTGATGGGGTAATCCCTGCTGAACATCCAATATTTCAAGCGCCATGCCTTGGCGCTTCTTGTTTGCTGCAGACGAACATCCCTTTACTACCAACAACCTCGAAGGCTGGAAGTCACTCGGCTGATGACATATTTATGCAGGAATTACGCGGAATCCAGTCTTTGGGTCAGGATGCTGTGGACCATTACTTGCGGTTCCTCCTTCTCAGGCTGTCGACGGCCGCCCGGACACTGCATTCCGCAGTCCATTTCGTACGTTGATGGGCAATGAGTCGAAATGCGGCGATTGACTTCTTTTGTAAGCGGCGCGGCAGGGTGACTTCGTAAGCCTGGACATGCTGTCACGCATGGGCTCAGCAAGCTCCACATTTGAAATAACGCTACTAGTCACAAGGGAAACGGTGGACATTTTGCACCAAGCTCTGTTCGAATCCTCTGCGGATGCTGTCAACTGGGTAAATCTATGTGCTTCGGTCAGCTTGGTTTCATTGTGCTAACATGGTGCATTAAGGTTGTCTCCACGCATGCGTTGGTATGCGAAGAAACCGGATTGACCGGGCCTCGTGGCCTTAGGTCTGCACCTCGCAAATTGCAGGAATGTAGCGTGCAGTCGCAGGAGACAGACCATCGGTTCTTCCGAGTGACTCTGCAGGTTGATATACCGTCTTCCCCTCACTGGATGATCTATGAATTTTGGATACGGTGGTTAGCATGATATACTAGTTCTATATCTAATATCGCAATGTGTATGTTCATATTGCACAATCAATTCGCATTGGACCTTGCCAATTGAGGCTGTTCCAGCGGAAGTAGAACGAATTTTTGCCAATTGTAGTTGATTGAAACTCAGGGGTCGCTTATATCAAGTGCTTATATCCTTACGTAGTACTTCGTCACCTGTACCGCTTTTTGAACCTTGCTGCGACCATTCTCACTGCACTTTTATCTAGCTTTTATCATGTTGCCATCCTTCGCAAAGAGATCTGTTTCTAAAGTCGCGCTTTCTGGAGCGCGCAGAACGATATCCGTCCAGGTAGCGCACATGCAACATTGCGACAGTTATCCTAATGGAGTGTTTTCAGAGTATCCTCCACGGATCGCCAGAAGCGAAGAAAGCAGGAGATATTGAGGTTCAACAGCACTCAAGGATAGTTGCTAGGGGGAAATATGTTCACGGCTTCGAGGGTGAGAAGCAAACACGAGCTGTTAGAATTTGTCTAACAACTTGCATCCTAAAGTTCATCAAGTTCAGCCCGGGGCGATTGACGAGTATAAAGCTGCAGCGTAAGAAAATAATTCAAATAATTCAAAAGGCGCTTTTTGAGAAATGGTTGACTTGTTCAGGGAGAAGTACTATGCTGGAATAAAGGATGCTCCAGAGTTACATGTCAAGCTGACTGGAAGTTGGGAAACCATAGTGGGGCAGCAGGACACTTTTGGTATGTTTATCAATTACATCACAGTCTTATTGTCTTGATGTTGTTGCGCGCGACGTCAAGTTCACATACTTGAATACGAGAATTACGCCGGCTTTGACAAGACCACTGAACTTATAAGAACGTCAGACGTACGAGTTTGCTAATCTCGAGTGTCTATCGACTCATTGGGTGTTTGTTAGCACGCTAAAGCGTACAAGGCGCTCCTACCTTACGTTACCTCACGGTCATCTCAACTCACGCAAGAGTTTGCTTTCTTCCCTACTGCACCGCCCCATGCCCAAGGCGGCATCTTCGAACTTCGGAACTACCAGTTAAAACCAGGAACACTACTTGAGTGGGAGAATGCATGGTTCGTTTCAACTGTTTCTGGAAGTCATGCGGTTCTTACAGAAGCTCGTGCAGGCGGAGAGGCATTGAAGCTCGTCGCAAGTTCGTCGCGCCCGTCGGAGCTTGGTTCTCGCAAGTTGGAAGATTACACCAAGTGAACCACATGTGGCAATACCCGTTCGTTCACCAATAGATACTTCACGTTGGTGGAGCTAATGTTCTGCGAACAGGAGTCTCGAGGCAAGGAAAGAGTTACGTGAGAAAGCATGGCAGATTGACGGTTGGGCGGAGACTGTGTCTAAGGTATGTGGAACGACCTTTCCGTGACATTTGTGTACTTACCATAACATATCGAACCGAGACTTCTCAGCTTGCGACGCACATGGATTCGTTCATCCTACTCCCGCTCTCTTACAGCCCTTTGAAGTGAGGGCGTGTGTAGCCGAGCGGATGACATTCCGCTCCGTCTACTTCGAGGATGCTGCTCATCGAATACGAACAAAGCCTCAGGCTTCTGATCTCTTATCTTGCGCCGGTCATGTTCTATTTATATACTCCACCATACTAAGGACTATATACTTGCCATTCCAACTGTATTACCTTCGATACCTCTTCATCTATTCTGCGTAGTTGTTTATGTATGAGTCGCTATCCACTATCGCTTTGGAATGGAGAGCGCGATGATCGTTTCTTGCACAGCATGAGACTTTTTGGCCGCCGTCAGGTGTCCGGGACACGGACATGCTTACTTAATTCTTGCCGAAAACGAAGAGGCGCGTATTATTAATCCTTCTATAAACGCGACCTCTGAGACATCTTTCAAACTCTCCTTTGATCGTCATGTCCGCTCATCAGTGGAACGAATCAGAGCCTTCTGATGAAGAAGTTAATCAAGAAACACTTGCAACTAGGAAGCGCAGTAGTAGAGGTGCGCCGAGTCTGGGCACTCATTCGGCTTGTAATTGAATTATGTTAGCATGTGATCAGTGCAGAAAGACAAAGAGCAAGTGCGAACCATCCGGAGCCGCTGGTACTTGCAAGAGTTGTACGATAGCGGGAAACAGTGCGTAACATAACTGAGGCATTGTATACATCTCAATTCACTCTATTTGATTGCAGCATGTACATTTCTGGGTGAGCGTTTTTTGCATGAGCGCCGGAGAACAAGTCAATATTGTTTCTAGGTCCCAGCTATAAGCGTGGTCCTCCTAAGGGTTACATACAAGCAATCGAACAGCGATGGCATCAAGTGGAGTCCCTTCTCGGCGCCGTCCTCTCTTGTCCAGATACCCGAGTACGACAAGTCATAGCCGATATTAGGCAAGATGATCTTGCAAGGGAAATTCTCAATCGAGTAGACACAGGCCCATTTGTAAGTGCTGACGTACATTTCTCAACCAAATAGAGCAAATTGTTGGATCCGGATCTGCAGGGACCTTCGGGCAGGCTATCACAGCCAGCCGGGGCGACAAAAGAAGACTTCTTTGCATGTATATTCCGGAGTAACGAAGCTTCGGCTCGTGACTCTCCTCGTTCCCGAAGGCAATCCAGGATTTCAAGAGAAATTGTATCATCGTCTAGAGGTGAGTAACTAGCCTTGGGGTACTTGAATGCCATGCAAAGCGCCTTCTGTAGACAATACACTTTCAACCATACCAACCTCAGAGTGGCAGGATCGCCTGTCTACGAGCCTGACGAGAGGACCTGTCAGCCATCATGGTGTTTCGCCAGCTTACAACATTAGCGGAGCTCCTTTACAGCAACGGCGGCGGCTCGACGTACCGTCGACTAGTAGTGGTCCACATCAGCCAAACTGGAATGAAATGTACACGATGGATGCACTTTCAGGTGAGCGTCTTACTCTATACGCCTTTGATTTGATCAGCTAATACGATCCTAGATTCAGAAGGTACAGATGAATCTAATGGCCCGGATACTGCTTTTGGTCAACTCTCTCTGGACGAGAATCAAGAGGTCAGCGGGTTTTAAAATCTGTATCTCATGCAACCTATGCTCATATTCTTATGTTAGGTTCGGTACCATGGCAAAGTTAGTGGTCTCCATCTTTTGGGACGTAGCTCCCGTCTGGATAGTAGACATGAGGGGGGAATATGGTTCGTTTCTTATTATAAATCTCTCTATGCGTACTCACGACTGTGATGACAGGAAACTGCCTATGGCACGTTTTTGGCCCTCCGCAAAGCCTAATACAGTTCCTGTTCCACCAGTCGAAGACGTTGTTGTCAACTTACCTTCTCTTGCGGTGCAAGATCATTTAGTTGATTTATATTTCACTCATGCACACCCTGTTTTCCCTGTAATTCACAAAGGCCGTTTCCTGAGAGAATATAGCGACTGGTGAGTTCTGTCACCCTTGTGTTTATCTGTCGTTCTTCTGACCGTGACATAGGAGACAAAAGTGAGCTGTTTAACAGGACTGTCATTGACATCGAGTCCTTGCTTACCACATTGGCCAAAGTAGTAATCCAGCTACACCAGAGGCTGCGCGGTGCACTCCATACTACGCCAGTCCAGAACCTTCACAAAACTTGACTAAGCTGCTTCTGTTGGCTATATTTGCCATTGCCGCTCGTTACCTGGATGACAACCCTGCTACATCTATTGATGCAATGTGGGAGGCTGGCAATGACTACCTTGCACAAGCGAGGGCAGCTCTTGGTGAATAATATTTCACTTTTGATTATGTGTGCTTACCAGTGGGACAGCGCAAGTCTATCACAGTTCTCGCGCAACTACTTGTCAAGCCTTGCTTCTCCTGGGCCACCGTGAATTTGGGATAGGTTTGTGATTGAAGTAAATTATTTGAACGGCATGTTTCTGAGTATTATCTAGGCTCCATGGAGCAAGGCTGGCTTTACATTGGTGTGTATGCGTCGTTGATTTATGCTCGTCCTGTCTCATGACTTTCCCGTCGCAGGTATGGCGATTAGAATGGTTAGTATGATGGATACTTTGAAGGCGGGTGCTTAGCTACGCGTAGGCCCAGGATCTCGGATTAAATCGTGCTGCGGATAACTGGCAACTTCATGGAAGAAAAATGTTTTCCCTTGAGGAGAACCAGGTCAGGAAGCACATATGGTGGGGTTGTTGCATTGCAGACAGGTGCGAAATCCGTCTCTCTCCGGGAAGGTGTTGCAGTAACAACTGCTCACAGATACACTTCTGTATATATGGGTATGTCTCATACATTTCCTTTGGCACACCTAACCCCTTGCTAGGTCGACCTGTGTCTATCGGTGAAGGCGACTTTGATACACTTCTTCCGGATCCCACTGAAGTACACTCAAACCTACAACACGTTAGTTATTGACTCACCTTTCATTCTTCTGCAGTACGGCGAAGACACCTCCGGCGACTTAGTAACATCGCAGTACATATCGACACCGCTGACGATGAGCTGCTTCAGGGCTGCTGCAACACTTTGTTCGTATACCTTATCTGCAGACTGTGTGCATACCTGATGGAGATGCAGCCGTTTTAATTGGCTCTATTGTGACAATGATTTATCCCGTTCGCTCAACGAGAAGGGGCTCGCGGCGAGCAGTCCTAAATAGTCTGGAGTCTAGACTGGATCAATGGTACATCGACCTCCCTGATAATCTTCGGTACGACCCAGCTAGCAAGCGAAATACTCCGCCACTGGCGGTTCTCTTTATCCATATCCAATATTGGTCCGCAGTATTATTGTTACACCGAGCGTTGTACGTTAAACATCGGAACATTCGATTCGTGTCGCTGATACCTCTACAGTATTCCTGATTGGAAAGGGTGATTCATGTGTCACCTTGATATCTTGAAGAGTCCAAGTCTGACCTTCTTAATCTAGCCCGGAACAAATATCACAGAATCCTCCCAACGGATCTGACACAGCCTCGATGAAAGCTTTTGATCTGTGCCAAAGTGCCGCCACTTATGTCAGCACAATAGGTATGTACACTGGAGCTAAATTTCTTTGATACATGCTGATCTCAATCTAGTAACGACATATTACGAGAACTTCAATATCAAATGTAGTTCACCGTTCTTGTCATCGTATATTCTTAGTGCTGGGTTTGTTTTATCGTTTGTACTAGCAATTTGCATCTTCTAACCCCTAATATCCATCAGCATTATGCACATTGTGACATGCGAGTACTTTCCTTTGAAGGACATATGCCTTTCTGAATTCTCTTCCCGTACCAGTGACCCTCCGGCCATCAAATGTTCAGGCTTATATTGGCTTGCGACAATGTCTTGCCGTTTTGAAAGGGATGCAGGTCAGCCCTGAGCTACTATTGTCCACACCTAATCTTACGCTAGCCAAGACTACATGGCCTAGCGCCGGAAGAGCCTGGGATCTTCTTAATGGTGTTAGAGTGCAGGTGGACAGCACCATGCCACATTTGGTGCATGGCCCTGATCGTCAAAAGAGAGCAGCAGATGATGCGTTTGGAGAAAGGAGTTCTGACGTACTGCAGCGTGAGGCGTTTGGTGATGTTCTTCAAAGGGAACGTGCTCCACAGAACAGCGGTATCCAGGAGATCAGCACCCGAATGATGGCGCATATGCTTGGCCTTGACATTCCTGGCATTGAACCCTCGACCTCGTATTACCCAGGTTACGAGTGGTGGCCACGAGCCAACCAGCCTTCACCTCAGTCCTATCACGGATCATCCACAAGTGCACCTTCGCTAATCAATATGGATTATCCTCTACCAAACGACCAAGACTGGAGAGTTCAAAATCCCACCTCCAACTATTCATACGAGTATCAAAATGCGCCACCTGATCGTTATCGCATGTAGTGGACTAATCACCTTTGTCTCCCTTAGCGTAAAACGCCACCAATAATAATTCATCGTCCCTCATCGCCTGCTCCTGTTAGTCAATTAGAAGGTACAACATTGATTATGTAACTTATGTAATGGACCTACAAGAACCTCTAAATTGAACGATTGCAATTGTCTGCGAACCTATGTTTCGCCCTCAGAAATACTATGTCGAGCCTGAAAAATCTGTTGAACCCAGAAGGTGACTCTGCAAACTTGTATCAGTACGTGCACCGGTTCTCGGATTTTTTTAGCGGCTTATTCTGACACCTCTGTTTGCTACCCCCTTTGTCTTCGCCAACAGCTCAACAACTGGACAACTCATTTCCGCAAGCTCCTCCTCTCCCACCTCAGACGACAGCGCCAATGCAACAGTAGAATCTGCCCAATACCATCCACCATACAAAGAGCATGCTCCTCATCCAAATTGTCCTGACACTTTAGCCTGTCTTCCAGATACGGATGGGCGACCACAGCATACTCTTCCAGTGATCTTGCGATGTGCGATCCTTGGCAGTGCACGGAGACGTCTCACCATTCGCGAAATATATGCTGCAATGGAGGAAAAATATTTGTATTTCAGGACTGCTGGGCCGACATGGAAGGTCAGTGCACTAGGTGTAATGGCTAAAACTTTTGCGTTCAAACCTGAATTACAGCAATCTGTCCGCCATCACCTGTCTTTGAATAGATTATTTGAAAAGCAGCCTCGTCCTGTCACAGATCCTGGCTTCGGTTCTTACTGGACAGTAAATCTTTCTGCCCCCCCAGGCACCAAGCGGCCACGGAAGCGGGGAAGACCTACAAAGGCTGCCGAGGAACCATCTAACTCCACTCAGCGGAAGAAACGGGGTCGACCTCGAAAATCTATTGATCTGTTATCTCCCCTGAACTCGCTGGCTGTGGGCTCGGGACGTTCGATTCCGTCGTGCAACATTTCCGCCGTACGCACCGGGGGAAATGACCATGATGATGGAAATGGCGAGGATGATATGGATCTCGGTGCAGACGTACACGAGATGAGTGAGGACGAATACGAGAGCGAGGAAGATATGGTTGTTCCTCCTCATCAGTCATCCTTTGCCGGACTTGGAGCTTTTGGACTAAACGAGGCCCCTTCTCGTCTGATAAATCCCTCGACATCCCGTGCACTGATCACTCACTCTGATGAAAATCTTGTGGACCGATTGCAGATTGAAATGGCGGGATTGCGGAGGCAGTCTGCGGATGCAATATCTGTTTCGGTGAAGATATCAGATCAGCTAGCGGAAGCTCAGGCTGAGGCAGCCAGAGCGAAGACTGCTCTCAGAACAGTCGAGGCGATGCTGGAGGGGGAGGTTATAAAGAGGAGGGAAGCCGAATATCTAGCAGACCAGGAAGTTAAGTTAAGGCGAGCAGCAGAGGACACGATTGCACGCATGCGAAGTCAGTGGCAGGTTGAGCATCGAGCTACATAAGGTATGTTCGTCCTTCTCGTGTTCATTTGATGTATGAATATTGATGCATCGCTCGTACTAGTAGCACATTCTAGATCATTAGCACCAACTTGAAACCCGAACTCTTCGTCTACTCATCCTTCCTTGAACACTGGAGATTCCTTCTCCAGTTTTCAGTCGCTTTGCACTAGGACTCATAAATGGACTCAACATATTCTACGAATCTTCTCTACTTCTCAATTCATTGGTGCACATGAGTATTAGTCCGAACATGTATATATATGCCGCTTGCGGAATGGACGAGTAGTTCGAAAAGGAAATTAGAGGATACAAAACCAAATAGACTTGCAGAGTGAATTTTGTATATGCCCCGAAGTCAACCCGAAGTTATATGAGATGGCATCCACAGGTGGCAAATCCAGATTGAAAACAGTGTGAGTTCTTTTGCGTGCCGCCTCACGCGCTAGCGTTCTGAGTTTCTGAGCAGCTACAAAAACAAGCGTTCTATTGGACCGCTTCATACGTGTGGATCTGTCGCGGTCTCTGGTGATGGAAGCAAACTCGTTACTTGTGTTGCAGAGGAAGCTGTGCTCACCAATATTTTGACGGGCGAAGAAATATGTCGGTTTGCAGGGGTGAGTTATTCCGCCCTCAAAATGTTAGGAAACACCATAATTGATGACAATCTAGGACACTCAATCGATTACTTCGCTGTGCTTGACCCCATCGGCTTCGCAACTAATTGTATTCACCTCTGCTCCTTCTTTGCGTGTGTACGAGATCCCCACCGCTGCCGCGAGAAATAAAATTCATCCCGTGCGGGTGGATTGCTCGTGCTCACGATGCCCCCGTACACGTCTGCACCATTGATCCATCCTCTACATATCTTGCTTCGGGCTCTGCGGATGGTGTTGTCAAGGTTTGGGACATCAAACGCGGCTACGTCACTCATATCTTCAAAGGGCACGGCGGCATTGTGAGCGCGTTGAAGTTCAACTTCCCCCGAGACCCTTCTGTCGTAGTCCCACAAAATATACTCCAACTCATCACGGCCTCTGTGGACACTCGCATCCGGATATTTGATTTAACGGCAGCCGCAAACAAGGGGGATCAAGGTGCTCTACGTCCAATCGCTGTTCTCGAAGGGCACGTTTCTGTTCCCCGGGGTCTGGACGTGACTCCTGACGGGAAATGGCTTATAAGCGGGGGAAGAGACTCTGTTGTTTTGGTCTGGAACTTGCACGCCAAGTCGACTGGAGCGAAATCTGCAGAAGCCACTAAGGGGAAAGGAAAAAGCAATTCACCTGTACTGGCTCAAACTATCCCTGTTATGGAACGCGTTGAGGCAGTTGGGTTGTTGCAGGCCGGGGACTTGGTTCCTAGTGGCAGTGCTTCCCAACTGCGTTTCTACACTGCTGGGGAGAAAGGTATCATCCGGATATGGGACGTAAAGAATTCATCCGTCTTATATTCCCTCAGCCAGGTGGCAGACCTACAGACTGGAGATCAGGAGGAGCAGCGTCAGATCGTAGAAGCTGTGTCAGTATAAGTCCCCTCGTGAGTACTTTTGTCACTAACAGCATGTCTTCAGCTACTTGCCGTTAATATCGACACTCGTCTCGGTACATGCAGACCAGAATATCCTGTTCTACGACCTGAACACTCGAAATCTCCACCGGCAACTCATCGGTTTCAACGATGAGATCGTTGATGCGGTTTTCCTGTCTCCAAATGCCCCAAAATCTGTCGACTCTCACATTGCATTCGCTACAAATTCATCCCTCATCCGGATTTATTCAACTGCAGGGCTAGATGCGCGGCTTTTGACTGGCCACACAGAAATCGTGTTATCGCTTGACCATGGCGCGGGAGGCAAACTCTTTGCGAGCGGAAGCAAAGATCGCTCTGTTCGATTATGGGCGCCTGCATCTCCGAACGACGACCTGCCGATGGAGTGGGGCTGCGTTGCTATCTGCGAAGGTCATGCAGAAAGCGTAGGCACCATCGCGATGTCGCGAACTTCCGGCGAAAGTGGCACCGCCGGTGTGCAATTTATGTTCAGCGGTAGCCAGGACCGCACGATTAAGATGTGGTATATTGGCGACGTGCCGCTGGTTTTCGATGCCTCTCAGCATGACCAAAGCCTCATGAAATGCAAGAGTTTGACCACTCATAAAGCACACGAGAAAGACATTAATTCTCTCGATGTTGCACCAAACGACCGCCTTTTGGCATCCGGATCGCAAGACCGCACAGCCAAAATATATGGGATTGATTTTTCCCGTGCAACTGGAGACCGCTCTGCACATGGAGAGATCAAACTACTAGGAACCTGTAAAGGCCACAAGCGGGGCATTTGGACGGTCAAGTTTGGTCGCTCGGAGCGCGTTCTCGCAACCGGAAGCGGCGATAAAACCGTAAAATTGTGGAACTTGGAGGATTTCACTTGCGTGAAAACGTTCGAGGGTCATACCAACTCGGTGTTGAGAGTTGATTTCGTCGATCACGGCATGCAGCTCGTTACATCAGCATCCGATGGCCTTGTCAAACTGTGGAATGTACGCGAAGAAGAGTGTACGGCTACCATGGACAATCACGAAGACAAGGTGAGACTACTCGCTCTCTCATTTCAGTTGAAGTTAATCCACCTGCAGGTTTGGGCACTTGCCATCAGCACGGATGAGCGTACGATTGTGTCTGCAGCAGCGGATTCTGTAGTGACATTCTGGCAAGATTGCACTGAGGAACAGGAACGAGAGAACGAAGCTAAACGTTCCGAGCTGGTCTTGAGGTTTGAACGTCATCGTGCATATCTTGTTCAAACTCATGGTCTTCTTTGTCAGGGAGCAAGATTTCATGAACTATCTGTCCCTTCATGACTATCGCAAAGCTATACAACTTGCCCTCGCTATGCAACAGCCTGGGAGATTGTTATCTCTATTTAAAGGCATTCGTGCCACCCCATCGGAGTCCGCAGCTGATGCATCATCGGTAACTGGCAACAGCTCAGTTGATGAGGTGCTACGGACCCTCGGCGGGTCTGACCTTGCCCGCCTCTTACGCTATGTTCGTGACTGGAATCCCAATGCTAAAACAAGCGGAGTGGCCCAAGGGGTGTTGTACGCAGTCATGAAGCTGAGATCGGTGGACGATGTCATAGCGGCATTTACGGACGAAGCTCAGGAAGGTATCTTACAATCTTCTGGTCAAGAGAGCGTGAAAAGTACTGCGAGCGGCAACACTGCACTGAAAGAACTCGTCGATAGTATGATTCCATACACTGAACGACATCTCTCCAGAATGGACCGCCTTGTTCAGGATAGTTTCGTGGTAGACTATATCCTGAGCGAGATGGATGACGGGATGTTTGATGGCCAGGACGTAGGTACTACGGACATCGATATAGAGGTTAGTTCATAGATACTATGGACGTAGATACATAGATTGCATTTCCAGTAAACCATCAAAAGTAGTCTAGTCTTTGGCATAATCATCCGTCTTGGTTGAAGTATGCAATTTAATCCGTCCTAACTGGCAACCAATAACACCGTTAGAAACAAGCACCCACTCATCATCCTTGATGTTATCAAGCGTGAGCTCGTCCTCTACTGCTTCGACAATGCGGTGTTGCTCAATAAGCCATCGTCGCAGAACACCAGATATGCAACCAGCGGCTAAAGGGGGGGTGACCCAACGACAGTTGCGATAGAATGCAACATTACACACAGATGACTCAGTAACAACATTCCGGGTATTGTACAGGATCACATCATCAGGTGCATCGCTGGCTGGTGGATCTAACGAGCCTACGGGTTGGAGGCCAGCTCGTATACGTGCGTCGTCATAGGCCCGCCTATCTGTTGTCTTCAATGATATGGTGTCTGATGTTGGCTGGGTATCAATATGAATGGTGAGGACGGGCGTAGGGGGTAAGTCTGTTATGGGGTTGAAGAGAGATGGCAGGGTTGGATCGCTCGTGAACCCTTTCACCGGGGTTGCAGTGGCAGAAAGCTCTCCAGAGGGATTCAAAACGACGCGAACCTGGCGTGAGACCGTAAGTTAGTGTTTCATAAATCTCGTGTTGAATGTTAACACCTTCAACGCAGTTTCCCCCTTAAAATCATTGTGCTCATGGACAACCTTTTCACATAACGCCTTGACATTGGACAAAGTGGTCCCATAGCGGAAAGCCTTATCATTGAGCGCGGCAGACGCAATGAGACGGTCCGCTTGGTAATGAAGGAGAAGATAAGGTGATGGCCCGTCTAGATCATTGTTCCAAACGCATGATAACAAAAAGGGGTCATATCGTGTGGACGCTAGGAGGGCATATGACATCGCGAAAGCACTCCGGAGGGCTGATCAGCACAACTGCTAGCCTGGAAATCAAATCCTGCTCAAAAGCTTACCTAAGCAACTCGCTCGGCTCCAACTCATTTACACACGGGACGAACTGGTCTAACAAACAAATCCGAGCAGACAGTCTTATAGCGTCATTCGAAAATTACCCTCACATGCAGGCCTCTGACAGAGGATGCAGTGGTATTGTCGTAAGGTGATCGTGATCTATTGCATGGCAAGAACTATACGGACTGTACGGGGTAAATAGACAGCAATACGGATCACAAGGGAATAAATGTAAACTAACTGTATACTGCCAGAAACGATCTATTGCATGTCCTCCTGCATAATTAATTAGAGGAGCAAATCAAAAAGGGGATGTGGGCACTGACTACCAGCGCAGACACTACCCATGCAGACAAGTTTACTTGCCACCAGTGGTGCCGAGACCCATCGACGCCTTGAAGGAGTCATAGATCCACCATTGGAAGCCTTGATTAATGTATTGGTAAGCTATTTTGAACAGAGTACGATGCGCACGTACCGGTAAGAGTACCGATCATCAATACACGGGTGCCGAGACCCTTAGTTGCAAGTGCGGCGAAACCAGTTTCTGATGCGATCGTCCCAATGCTCTTGCCCTTGTTTGCAGGCTTGCCCATGAGGGAGACGACGGAGTCAGCTGGGTGGGAGACAATAGCGCAGACAACACCAGCGAGGTAACCAGAAGCAAAAGTAACTCCGAGTTGAGTGGTCTTGGCATAGGACTCCTTGGGTTCGGTGAAAACGTGAGTGTAGAAGACCTGGACAATCTTCTCAAAGAAGAAGAACTTGGCCATGGTGTAAGGGATCTGTAAGAAAAAATTGTGAGCAGTACGATCAGAAAAGAATATGCCTATTCTAACCTGACGGGACCAGAGGGGAACAAGGGAGCCGAAGGGGTAGCGGGTCTCAACCTTGGTCTTGCTCATCTCTGAGAGGGCAGCACCAAAGGCAGTGGGGAACGTGCCGCTAGGGCTGGTTTGGATCTTGACTTTCGTCATCTCGAGAGGGCAAAGTGCGATGTCAGCAAAGACCTCTGCTGATGCGGAACCAGCGAGCCAGATGGCGGGCTTGTATTTGTTAGAAAGCTCCTCGCCAGCCAAGTTCATGTACTGGTCCTTGAACACTTCATAAAGACCGTACTTGAACATGCCCTGTAACGAGTAACCGACAAAGGTGGGACCAAAGCCTTTCCAGATACCAGTCTGACCCTCCTCACGAAGAAGGGTCGCGAGACCAGACGAGAGACCCTTGTATTTTGCAGGATTTACCTGTTCGAAAAAGCTATGAGACACGACATGAGGCCCGGAAGGACTGGATAAACTGACCTGCATGTTACACTTGGCCACGTCAAGAGGCGTGATACCAGCGTGAGTGATACCGCATGCAAGGACACCACCGAGCATGCACTTGGCGTAGTATGAAGAGTCGTGAGGGACAGGGCCAAGGTATCTTCGGAAAACACAAAATAAAAACCAACTCTACATGATACAAGATAATGGATACCTTGCGTCCCACTTGCCAGTTGGTGCTAGATGCGACATCGCTAATATTTTATGAGACTCTAAACAAATATCTATAGAGATCCTTGATCGAAGGAACCTGTCCCAGCAAGCGCAGGCTTCGAGGTCGAAGTAGGAGAAAGAGGTGCACAGACACCTTGCCGTGTTACGGCGAACCAAAATTTAACTCTCTTTCCGCAAACAGCCGATCGAGCCGTAATTCTGTTCGGCTTTTGGGTGGCAAAGACTTGCAAACCTCACTTAAAGCTTGTCCTCTTGCTCATCATGAGCGCTGCAGTGATCTAGAGCTTTACACGAATGAACAACTGCTCCACATCCGCGTTAGAATCTGCCGGATTGAACAGCCAACGCCAAACCGCCGGAAGTAAATAGAACATTTCTCACTGCAATGGCCACAGCAACGGTACCGGCAAGGTGCTGTTCCCGAGCATCATGCGCCTGCCAAAGTGGATAGAGTGTGCAAAGACCCCATCAACCCTACTTGGCTTCCCACTCAAGTAAAGGACGTGACACTAGGAACCAATGTCTCCTTTGATACGGAGGAGTCGCTCGACGCACTTGCGCGGCATAAAGCCATTGTTGTCATAGATGACAGGCAAAGAGAGAACGAGGGTGATATCATTATTTCCGCAAGTCAATGTTCCATCGAAGCAATGGTATGGATGATCAAACACACAAGGTCACCTACGAGTCCTTTGCACTCATACATTCTGTCTTCACGTCCATTCTAGCGGGTACTACATCTGCATATTTCTTCCTGAGGAGCGTCTTAACGAGATTGAAATTCCCATTCGATAGTCCCTAACAACCAGGAGAGACGCAAAACCGCTTACGGAATGACCGTAGACCATATAACACGAAGGGGTCTCAGGCTATGTTATGTATATTGATGTAATCGACAATGGAGATTTCCGCCATGATCGATCACTCACCGTGCGCAAGTTAGTGGACTCCACTTCGAGGGCGTCTGATTTCAGCCGCCCGGGACATATGGTACCCTTGCGAGCACAGCAAGGCGGTATTTTGGAACGCAGAGGTCATACGGAAACTGGTGTCGATTTATGCGCCCTCACCAATCAACCTCTAGGGGCAAGCTAGTGGATAACGATGATGGCGCGGCGCGACGATTGCAGGGCGTTTGCCGATCGATGGGGCCTGAAAACCATCAGTGTAGAAATGTTGATGCAGTACAGGAAAATCATAGATAATACATTATATTATCATGCAGCAGCATGTATTGAATTTTGGATGATTGTACAATGTCTTGCCACACTCTAGAAGCTCACTTCCGAAGTCCGGACTTTCCGATTCTAGCCGAGTATTCGCGTCACAATACGTCACGTCTCCTTGGTCACACTACCTGTGTCACGGCGCGATCAATATAAATCACTGCGTAAGCTGCGGGCGCCCCACCAACTCCTCTTGAACGTTGCTGCCATGTTCACAGTAAAGGCAACTTATAGAAACGAGACTCGCAAGTTTTCTTTCTCAGGGACCGTTGTGTTCCCTACACACGAGGAGCTTCACCAGCAGGTATGCTTATTGCTCTTCGCTTATCTGTTCTCATCGCTGAAGCGCTGACGTTTCGCATTTGCAGCTGTATCGCATATTTCCTATAAGCCATAATTATTATCTTTCCAAGCTCATTTTCTCTCCTGACGCGTCTAAGCCGTCTCGTATTTTAATTGGCAAGGAAGTCCATAACGCAGAGGAGTACAGCACTCGTATTGCCCCTTTACGCAGGCGCTGGCCCAACCCATTGCTCAGGTTCTCTATCTTCGACGAGACTCCCCACAAAGTACCCAGTGCAACGGTCGAGGATTCTCGGGAGGTTCCCATCCCTTTGTCCTTCATGGCGATTCCCCCGCCTCCTACACTTTTGTCAACTCCTGCACCACCCAATCTGTCACCCACTTCATCCTTCGATACACATTTCCAGGAGTTTCTATCATTCAAAGCGGCCCATCTACCGCCACCTTCTTTTAGACCACTTCCTACTCTTGAACGTCCTAACATCTTCACGCCTCCAATCTCACCTTCGCTCATTCCGCCGCCACCACCTATCATATTCCGAGAGCCACCTGCACATCCCTCTCTTTCAAGTGTTCCTTCTCTCTTACCCCAAGCGGCCTCTCCTCAGCCATGTTGCTCAGTCGCCAAAGGGAAGTCGGAGATGGAAATTCTCTTGGCATCTTTCAAGAAAGATATCGATCGTATCATGCTCAATACTTTTGGCGAATGCAATGCTTCAACACAAGTCGGTGCTCATCGCCAGACCCCCTTTGGAGTGGGAATATCCAACGAGGCTCCTCATGCTTCGTCAGAGGCATCGTGCAACATAACGAACATCTCAATGAAGCCTCCTTCATCACATTGGTGTTTCGTCTGCAGGAATGAGTTCTCTGGAAGCTGGTACGGATGTGTGAAATGCCCATGGCACTATGTTGTGAGAACTTTTATTTTGCCAGTGCCGTTTGCTTAGCTCAACTGTCTGTCAGTGTCCAAGCTGTTTCTCCAAATCTGGTGCTATGCACACGTTCAGTTTTGGGCCAACTCACGTTGTCCAGCAGCATGAAGCTGCGCCGTCGATTGCCATCACGCCGTCGGCCGCAGAAGTGCCCGCAGAGTCTCAGTCTACCGGAACTGAGCTTGTTGATGCCGAGCCTAATCAATGCCCGTCTGTCATTCACCGAAATGTTGTTTGTGACAGCTGTAATGAAATCATTGTTGGCGTCAGGCGTAAATGCCTGGATTGTCCCGGTAAGATTATATGATTCAATGTTACAACGCAGTCTCCTTATATATTCTCCGTCCTAGACTATGATCTATGCACGCCCTGTATCGAGTCAGGTGCTGCAGAGAGGCACAACTCGTTCCATGAATTCTTCGACATTGAAACGCCCGGACGAGTGATCGTTCACACTGTCTTCAGTGGAAGTGAGGAGCGTGATACTTCTACGAATAGTCGCAATGCTACAGCAGATAGTCCTCCCACTTTCGCGGCAACACCAGAGACTATTCGTCATTGCGCGGCTTGCAACATGTGTGACTCTCCTATTGTTGGTGATCGCTTCGTGAGTCTACTTTCTTCATCCCACTTCCTTACCGCTCATGATTACCTAGAAATGTGTCAATTGTCCAGGTAAAACGTACTTCTGCATCATCTCAGAGTGCTAATGGTTGCTCGAAAGATTTTGATACTTGTGCCAACTGCTTCAAGTACGTGTTCTATTACAAAATTTGATTAGCGTTGACACTTTGGTGGTCAGGATTACCGGAGAGCAACATCCCTATCACGGCTTTGTGCGGGTGAGCAAGCCGAGCGACCTCATGGTAACTGTTCTCTTTGTTGTGAAGAGAAACCCGTCTCACACATTCAAGATGCGCAATGCAGTGACCAACGCAGCTGCTCATTACGCGACGTGTGATTGTAAGTTCTGTCCTATTGACTGTGGGCATTAAATAATCAGCTGCGCCATCAGCTTGCCGGAAGACTATTCGTGGTGTTCGTTATAAGGTAATACTTTTCGGGTATCTGTAATGTTGAAAATTTTAACAATTGCATTTTGTGTAGTGCATGCACCCTAGCTGTCCCGATTTCGACCTGTGCCAGAATTGCGAAGCCCTCCCTATCCCGGTCCACCCTTCCATTCATCCCTTGTTGAAGATGAAGACTCCCGATACTGTTATTCCTACCGTGTACAGAGTCGGGATGACTGATCTCATACATTCTCGAAGGACATCCCAGGGGAGTACCCTTCCCCAGGCTTTGGAATCTCGTCCTCCGAAATCTCTGCCCGTCTCTGTATCACGCACTTCCTCCGAGATTTCTGTGAAAAAAGAACAGAGGCCGTCTCTTGCCCTTTTCGAGTCTCTGAGTCCTCTCGCCATTTTAGAACAGTGCCCCAGCTGCGTTAGTGCAAACTTCTGTCGGCCCTTGGGGTTATGGTCTAACTCCTGCTAAATTACCCCAATCCCCGCAATCTCCCGCTCCTAACTGCGAAGAACCTTCCTCGTCTCCCACCCAATTAAGTGTTAGCTCTTGCTACCAGGCGGTCAGGCCAGTTAAGGTCAGTGTAACACATTGTCTCTTGGTGTCGTTTCTGAATGTTCCTAAATTATCACAGTCCCAGCCTTCTGCTGCTGACCGTGAACAATCAACCTCACCTTATAGTAACTTGGCCCAGACGATCAATCGACCTTCCGCTGAGGCCAACCCGCCACCCCTCGACCTGAACCCTTCACTTGATATCTTTCGTGAAGTTTGGCCAAAAGTGAATCGGGAAATGAAACACCTCACTGAAGCAAGACGATCCGAAGTAGATTCTCCTAGTTCTGTGGCTGACTCAGATAAGGCTATTGAAACTAATCTGGGCAAGCTGGCGGAATCTACAAATTCTCTCTTCAAATTAATTCGCCCTGAAGAATCTGCGGAGTCACTCCTCACGGAAGTGTCGCCTGCTATCCCGGCATTGTCCTTTGATGTTCCACCGATGGTAGAGCCACTCTTTTCTGCGGACAGGGATCTTGCTGCACTTCTACGTGGTTTCCGCACACCGTCCCCTGTCGCTTCTCAAGAACGCGCTCTATCCAGTACAACTTTCTCTGCACTCCCTGATAGCGTCATGGATGAACAAGCGGTTGCTACGCCCAGCCCAGAACAGCAACAGGCTCAATTTGCCCCTCTTAGCTGTGCTTTTGTGTCCGATACGACAGTTCCTGACGGTCAGATTTTCCCACCGGGTGCTGAGTTCGTTAAGTCCTGGCGTATGTTAAACGATGGGGAAAAGCCTTGGCCAGAGACGACTCAGATTCGCTTCGTTGCGGGGGAGTCTTTTTCATCCGAAACTGACTCTTCGATGGTTGTCAAAGTGGGACGCGTCGATCCTGGAGAAGCTCTTGATGTGTGGACCGGTGACCTAAAGGTTCGTTCGTCGGGTATGCCATAATCTGTAATCGCTAAAGCACATTTCCTACCAGGCACCCGATGCTCCTGGTAGATATGTTAGTTATTGGCAGTTGACGGATGGCGCAGGCCAAATGCTTAGCGCTAACATCTGGATCGAGTACGTTCGGTTCTCTGTCTCACTGCATTTGAACTAATGCCTTTCACAGTGTCACTGTCACCTGAGCCTCGTCAGTCAGCCGACGAAGCTGACGAACATTCTTTGGCGTCATCCTCGATGATCATGCCGAAGTCATCATCGGACAATAGGTCTGCTCATTCTGTCGGTCCCCTCGGTCACTTATTTGAACCATCATATCCCTCGACGTCCAAACCTACGACGGACGGGACAGATGATGGAGTCTCTGATGGGTCGTCAGTATCGTTGGTCAGCGTCCCTTCGTCTGATGACTATGGATCCGACTGGCAGGATACGCATTCCCAGCCCGAGAACCTTGAGTACGTTGTGCTGTACGACAGCAATGACTCAGAGGATGAATAAAGATTATCGATAACTCTGTTTGCTTTCTATTTACAATGTCTTTATATGCAGCGGCAGATCCGCACCGTCTTATTATTGTGTACTATTACAAACTATCTAGATTCATATCGAAGAGAATCTGTACAAATATCTAGCATGTTCAAGACGTGCAGCGAATGTCATTCCACTTGCTGATTTCACCAGAGTAATAGGATGTCAGCTCTAATCAGGTCCTATGTAGAACGTCTCAGTGCTGTCAAGGAGATAACTTAAAGTCTGGTCCAAAGGCACAGGAAGGCATGTCAACTGACGAAAGGAGAAAGAAAGCGAACTATGGAGAAGCATCAACAAGGGCAGGCTGGTGGCAAAATGAGGTCTATCTGAAACATATGAGCGTTGTGGCGCATGGCTCATTGCGAGATGAGACTGATACGGCCACGACGGCTTCGGAGCCCGAACCATACGCCGAGGTCGCAATGCCGTTTTCGGGACGAAGAAGGCGGCCCTTCTTGCTTCAGGCTTGGCGTGAAAGGGCAACAGCCTAAACCCTAGTAAGGAGTCTAAGGAAGTGTCGAGATCACGGTCTTCCGTCTCCCCTGGCCCTGAAGGTCAAGGCTTAGATCTATTTAAATTCCGACGGGTGGACTGGACTGCCAGCTGCGCCACGTACGGGGAACCGAACCACCCTCCAGGGCAGCTCCTGTCATCGAGTTGGCTACTCCCGGCACTCACTGGCATGCAGCATGTCAGGCGAGAAGAAATCCTGGCCGAAACTGCGATCTCCTTTCCGAAGGACTGTCCCTCACGAAACCTCACGAAAACGCTCTGATACTCTGGGTAACAGCAAAATCTCCAATACCACTCTCAGTTCCGTTATTGTCCCAGTGTTCGAAGTTGAACCCCGTAAAACATCCCAACATGTCACTCATACCGAAAACGTGCGATCCTTTTCAACGGAAGAGTCATGTGTATCACATCCACAGAATTCGTTGGCGAGTCATGGAGACAGCTATGACTCCAGCTGGAGTGCTCAGACGAGTTGTACTACTCCAGGCGCTAATCTCGGCTCTTTTTCTGGTCAAGCAGTTTTGCCTGCCGGAAAATGTTCTCCTAGAATAAGCGGAGATCTTGAGGGAAGGCTAGGTAATGCATATCGCCACATTCAAAACATGCCCCCCTCGCCAATATCACCCACTATTAGTCAATTGACTGGCGATCCTCGCACGTATCATAAACAACTAGGAGTGCCCCAGCATTCGGTCATTAACCAGCCAACGCTAGAGATGCCGAGCCTTCCGAATCCTTATGCGGCGCATGCAAGATCACGTTCACAACCCCTTCCGTCATCGTTCCCCTTTGAATCTCTACCTACGTCATGGACTTGGGACGATGCACCTGAACCGAGTAGTGCTCCCCGATTTCGTCATGTTCAAATCAAGGCACAGTATCACCAACCGCAAATCGATATTAATGACCATCCTAATAATCGCCGTTCGACAACGACTTCAGTTCATTCCTCCCAAACCTCGCCCCCCATGATCCTCGGCCCCGTAAAACCTATCCGCCGGTGCCGTCGCACCGTTATCGCCGCAGTCAGAGGATGGCCATATTACATCAGAGCTTCCCCTACGAAGGAGGTCAAAGTTGATCAAGCGACAACCAGCAGCACTGTTGCATGTTTCAAGTCCATCCCAATTGTCATATTGCATTACCTCGGAGGAGACCCGTACCGCAGAGGATGGCCATATCACCAGATCCCCGCTTCCAAAGAGGTCAAAGTTGATCAAGCGGCGCTCGCCGGTCCCCCATGTCCCAAGTTCACCCCCCTCATCATCATACTACATCGCGTCAGAGGAGACTAATACTCCTCCATCCAACCAAGAATCAAACTCCAATAAGGACGTCCGTAACCAAAGTCTTCTGCCACTCGTTAGGCCTCCATCGCCACTACGGCTAGACATAGTGAGTCCAAGCACCAAGTGCACCTTGTCCATCATCGGCTCATCACCTTTTAGCCGATACATCAGCCATGGCATGATCGGCGAACAAACTTTGAGTTATCACCCATGCGGAAAAGACACCACAGTAGTGCATCCATTGCCTGGTCAGCATCAAGCACTCAAAAGGCCAGTCCCAGCACTGAAGCACTTGCGTCTTTAGCATGGATTGGTGCTTCTCCAATCAGCACTTCTGTCTCGACACCTTCTGGCAATCCGCATTATACCCGATCCAGTGCTGTTCCGACCGACGAGAGATCAATATATCCATAGCAATGGACGAAAGTTTATCAGATGAAGCCGTGGTGGAACATCTCGAAATCATACGGAAACGGAGTTGCAAGGACAAACATCGGTCACTCCCTGTCCCCAGGGCTACTAGCCATGATCCGGCTAGCATATCACTTTCTAAGCAAGGATCTAGCCATTTGTTCCAACTTGGAGATCACTTCGCCAGTCATCCAAGTTCGCCATGCCAATCGGAAGAGTCCGAGCCCGTGACGCCCTTACCTGTGATTTTGAATGATGCCGAGTCGGACATTGACGACGCTGCGCTCTGGAGTACTGCCAGAAAGGCATTGTTTTGCATCCGAGAAATCGTCGGGACGGAGAAAAAATACCAAGGAGCCCTTAAGATGCTCCTGACAGGACAGGTTTGTCATCAATATCACGTCTCAAGGGAATGTCGTGATTGAGGTGGTATATTTAGACAGCGAATCAGCCACCTCCACTGTTGTTGGCATACCTTCCTGATCTCATGCGGGTGTCAGAAGCGTTGTTGAAGGCCTTTCTTGACGACCCCTCCGCTTGGGGCGTATCCACCGCCTTCATGGCTTGCGAAGATGATATTGAAGCTGCTATGGTTTCGTGGTGCAGCGTGGCAGGCAATTTCTTTACTGATGGTCCCAGTCACGAAGGCGAATCAGCCATTATGGGAGGGAAATGGCGCCTGCGCAAGTCTCTGCTCTCTGCCACAAACAATCCCCTCACCACTGTAGTGGAGAAGTTGGATGGGAACTCTTCTCCCGCTAGTTCCTCTCCCCCTCTTCTAACTCTAATGAATGAGGCAGGGAGTAGAATTAGAGAAAGACAACGGACTGTCGAACACTATTGGAAGGTGTCTGATGATGGCGCCGAGTCCCACGCAGAACGACGTCCTAGAGTCAACTCAGCCGACAGTCGATCAAAGGGAGAGCCTCCGACTCGGAGGCAAAGTGTACGGGATCTTGCAATTCAACCAACACAGCGAGTTATGAGATATGTTTTACTGTATCGAGGTATGTTCTATTCCTATCCCACAATTTTTCGCTTTAAATCTTGTGAGGATAGATCTCTTGGAGAGTACACCTCTCACTTCTCCTTCCCGCGCTCTTGTTGAGAGAGCGCTCGAAGCCGCGACCCGCATTGCTGTTAAGTGCGACCATGCGCAAGACAATGCTGCCTTTTTCCATAGATAGAATGTTTTGCATCCATATTTATTCTTCAACAGTATTAGCATCGAATAGCCGCGCCGGTTTGTATCACACACTGCAAGCTATTATACCCAGCAATTATCTCATTGTATATATGTAACATAAGTTATTCTGCCTTGCTTTGTTGTTCTCGTAGTTTCTGACTATCCCATGGAGGCTAATACTCATGCGAACAAAATTCACTCTAATGCACTGACAATAACAACGTCTCGCCCCATGACCTCAGTTCGGATGTGCTTCAAAGAGGAGATCTAATGTGACCTGAGGTGAAAACCCATAATCCTGCATGAACGCATCCTTTCTCGTACCTGTGTAGCCGAGAGTTTCTTGCCGTAACCGACACCATCGTCACCAATTAGGGTCGGAGCAATTGTGATGATGAGTGTGTCGATGATGGTATTAGGCTTGGTCCGTGCAGATTCCACCAAGAAAGAGTCAATGATAGCCGCACCTCCTTCGACCATGAGAGTCTTGATTCCAAAGTTATAAAGAACCTCCAATAGGTCCGGGATCATGATGAAACCTGAAGATATTCATATAACCTGCGCAAGACTAGCAAAGAACATGACCCACCGTCCACCGAGGGCACGCCTATCACTCTTGCTCCAGCGTCCTCGAGTGTGGACTTTCTTCCGTCATCGGAGGTCAAATTAGCATCGCAAATTACCCATGGACGGCGACCTTTTCTTTCCCGATAATTTTTGAGCAGCTTGCAGTCCGGTCTAAGGCGTAGGTTTGCGTCGAGTATCACAGGACGAGGCAGATGGCTTGGCCGTTCATCCTCAGGAATGTGGCGACCTTGTTGTACCTATATAAGTGACATGCGCAGATGAGAATTGGGACATACTATTTAGCTGGGGATCATCGTTTAGTGCAGTACCGATGCCAACTAGGATGGCATCGTGCTTGGTGCGCATCCTTCCTTAGGAATAGTAAGGGATGGATATATATGCGAATTTTAGATCAATATCATACCAATGAGTCATAAGCATGCTTTCTTTGCCGCTGAGAATAATCTGTTTGCCCTCCTTGCCTGCTATTTTCCCGTCAAGAGATTGAGCGAATGTGAGGGTCACTAAGGGCCGCTGAAACTCATCCTCTAAACGGCTATTTTCAGGTACTGGTAATACCAACGAGAGGAACTCCGCTACACTTTGACCACCCACCAACATTATGCTCAACAGTCGATGGCTCGATCTGATGATAACAATTGGGATCTGGTCAAGATCTGGTAGGAAATGGAATACAAATTAAAATGGGAGCACCTATGTGTCACGTGATGCGTGGAGGCCATTAAACAAACGGGGAACGCGTGCACAGAAACAAACAGCCCTTTCTTCTTCACCACCACAATCAATCTTCGCAAACGTCGAAGTAGAGCTCTTTATCTTCTTCAGTCAACCGATATCACATTCCTGAAACATGTCTGGTCGCGGAAAAGGTGGCAAGGTGCGTAACTTTGAGTCAGGTTCTGACCCGCAGAGCTCACTATATGTTTGGGACAATCTGTAGGGCCTCGGCAAGGGCGGTGCTAAGCGCCACAGGAAGATCTTGCGTGACAACATTCAGGGTATCACCAAGCCCGTGTGTCCTCCCACCTGTGTTTATCATGTCAATTGCGCTCACTTTATCCGCAGGCTATCCGACGCCTAGCACGTCGTGGAGGTGTTAAGCGTATCTCTGGTCTTATTTACGAAGAGACTCGAGGTGTGCTCAAGATCTTCCTTGAGAATGTTATTCGTGACTCCGTTACCTACACGGAGCATGCTAAACGGTGAGCCTTCTTTGCCTGTGATTGTGTCACTTCTCGCTAAGCTGTCGACGCGCACACAGGAAAACTGTAACCGCCCTCGATGTTGTCTACGCTTTGAAGCGCTCAGGGCGCACACTTTACGGTTTCGGAGCATAATTAACCGTGTTTGTAGATATTTCTGTATTGGAGCTATAACTCCTTGTTGGTATCGATATTCTTGTATACTACATAGTCTTACATATTGTTGGCTCCTCTTACCTTTTCTCCACAACTCCACTTGAAGGGCATCCTTCCACCAGGTTCTGATTCTATACAATGACCCCTCTATTTGTCCTGTCATGGCTTGTGACCCCTCTGACGAGTACCAAGTCTGCTGCGGAAATTTGCGATTACCTAACGTACATGCTGCGCTTGCACAGCGGATTCCTTGCAATTTCTAATTAGAGTTGTTCGTAGAGATCGATATCGTTCTAGACTTATCGAACACTTCAATGATATCCAAAGACGACAAACAAGTTGAGGAGAAAAGCATCGTGCCACAGGATCACGAGGAAGACGACGTGGAGGAGGATGACGTTGTAGATGACACTCCAGGAGCCGGAGGTGAGCTAGTTGAAGGTGATCTCGAAACTATCGTCATATGTTATTCAGAGGAGACCAAGAAAAAGAAGAAGAAGAAGAAGCCTAAAAAGAAAAAGGCGCAACAGTCAGATCCGCCACGAGTTGGTCTGTCAAAGATATTCACGAATGGTGTCTACCCAGAGGGGGAGATACAGCCCTACAAGGACGAGTGGGTGTTGCAACCCATAGGTTATACCCTAATGAGATTGACAACGTCTTGTTTACAGCAATGCATGGAGGACGACGTCCGAAGAGAAGCGCTACGACGAAAGAATGGCAATGGAAGACCCAGAGATCACGTACCAGAGCATCCGTCGTGCCGCAGCAGTTCATCGGCAGGTTCGACAAAGTGTACGGAAATACATACGTCCCGGGATGACCATGACCGAAATTGCAAACTTCATCGAAGATGGCAGCCGTGCCCTGGTCGAGGAAACCGGACTGGAGTCAGGTATTGGTTTTCCGACTGGACTTAGCTTGAATCATTGCGCTGCTCATTATACACCAAACGCTGGAGACACTAATGGTGCGTGTGCGTTAAATGGATAGAATTTGCTGCTTACGGATGGTAAGTTCTTCAAAGTGGTGATGTTTTAAAGATCGATATAGGAGTGCACGTAAAAGGGCGCATTGTCGATTCTGCTTTCACGCTCAATTTCGAGCCTACTTACGACACGCTCATTGAAGCAGTAAGGGCTGCTACCAATACCGGTATTAGGGTAAGCCGAGTCCAGCTTTACATATTCGATTACAGTTCACAGGAGTATGTAGGAATCTGGTATCGATGTGCGCTTGGGCGAAATTGGAGGCGCCATCCAAGAAACTATGGAGTCATACGAGGTTGAGGTCAACGGAAAAATATATCCGGGTATTCATCTTTCGTCCGGTGTTTCGGACTCCTCTGACATGTTCCCAGTCAAGTCGATACAAAACCTTAGTGGGCATTCTATAGGACTTTATCAGATACACGGCGGGAAATCGGTTCAGCTCGTGAAGAACGATGATCAGACGAAGATGGAGGAGGGCGAATATTTTGCTATCGAAACCTTCGGCTCGACAGGTCGTGGACGTGTGGTTGAAAGCGTAGGCTTAGCTTGTGGATGGACTCGTTAGAGGCTGATTTCGTTGACAGGGCGAGTGCTCGCATTATGCAAAAATCATTGACGCTCCCCGCGTCCCCCTAAGGTTAGTTGTTCTTATTACTGCATTCTGACAACCACTGACGTCTATAAATTACAAGACTAACCTCTGCCTCGCTACTCAAGTCAATCGGCAATAACTTCGGAACCCTTCCATTTTGCCGACGGTACTTGGATCGCGTTGGTGAAACCAAATATCTACTGGCGGTTGGTTACATGAATTACTAAGCAATCCATCGTTAATTAATTCACCTCAACATTAGCTTAACCATCTAGTGCAACAAGGAATCGTTCAAGACTACCCACCGCTCTGTGATGTCAAGGGCTCTATGACTGCGCAATTCGTAAGCCTTCTCAATTCTTGGTCTCGAATGTGGTTTCTCAATGTGGCCAATAGGAACATACAATCCTTCTTCGACCCACTGTTAAAGAGGTTATCAGTCGAGGCGATGACTATTGAATATGTAAGATACTACTTATGCACATCAATCTTATTTTTCGGCTCGTCATCTACCAAAGTCTCCCCAGTCGGTTTTCAGTCCACAGGTAAAAAGCCTAGATTGTTTGGTATGAACCACTTGCGTGGGCATTACTTAGGTCACCGGACACTGTCTGTAGCACTACGTACAGTTCAGTGGAGACTTGCCGATGCAATCGGCGCTTTCAACTGCCATCGTCAGCATCATTGATGGATTATCCGGTCACGTGATCACCGACTCGGATATTCGTCATGAGCCAACAATGTTGGAACACTCCACAAGAGCGGCACCATGAAGCTTTGAAGGACGATCGTTCTAACCAACACAGGTGCAGCATACATACATCCAGCACTCTGCCATTCTATCGCATTAACAGGTTCTGACACCCCCTATCTATTTGACCACCCGTCTGAAGTTGTAGTGTTGCCCACCAAAGATGTTTCGGGATTCATTGCGACTTCTATATCATGGCACCAATGCCAGCTCCCCAATAATAACAAATAAACCATCCACGGTAACTCTTCTACGGGAATTTGACTCCCCCGGCGTCTTCCCAGCGTCTGCACGCCTTGACCGGAGTCTCAAAGCAACGAATGGCTTCACTATGAAAGTTTGGGATGTATGGAAATATCCTGCCTTCGCATTCAATAAAGGTAAGCATCGATAATGTTCTACCAATGATTTAATGCATCCTGGACCCTAATATCGTGCATCCAGCATCATCCCTCGCTCTTGATGTGATATCTCATCACGTTTGGGGCCCGCGCAGAAAATCATGGGGCATTGAGATGACTATCCTCTCTAGTCTCATGCGAGATGTTTCAAGGCATTCTGCACTAGCTGATATCGTGAGTGCTATTTGTGTCGTTTGCAACGTTAGCAATGACAGCAACCCTAGGCTATGGTTCGCATGGCAATGGGTATCGGAGGGCTAGTTCCCTTGCCATCAGACGCTTTAGTCACCCAGTGACCTTCCGTGTGCGTAAACGCAATCTGCGTGGCATACTTGAGACTTGCGATGCGATGGAAGACGAAAAACGTGAACTTTCTGGGGAGTGGATAATCGGGAAGAGACTCTGGCAATCTTTGCAGTCAGATTACAAGTCCACTCGCAAAGGAGAAGGGGCCAGCTTTGTCGACCAGACGAACATCGATTACGATTCTCGAAAGGGGCAATCTCGAGTCATCCTCTATATTCACGGCGGTGAGTTCGTGGCGCTCTCTGTACGATACAGCGTTTGATTTTGTTTTCAGGAGCATATTACTCATCTAGCGCTGCAGCACAAAGGATGCTGACCATACCATTGTCCAAATATACCAACGCACGCGTATTCGGTGAGCTCTTTGACCACAGCTCGCGCTTCCATCTTTGCCTCATCTCAACCCAAGCCATCGATTACCGGCTCGCTCCGGAAACAATTTTTCCTGGTCAGCTGCACGATGTGGTCAGCACCTACTTCCGCCTAACGGATGACTTGCGGGTGCCGCCAGAAAATTTAGTTGTAGCGGGCGACAGTGCGGGAGGCGCACTAGGCCTTGCACTCCTGCTCTATCTAAGAGACAATGGGTACACTCTTCCGGGCGGTGCCTTGTTATTCTCTCCCTGGGTTGGTATGTGGCGATTGATGACTTTTTCTGTGGGCAGTCTGAAACATAATAACAGACTTGACCTTGAGCTGCGAATCGTGGGATACTAATGCTGCCTACGACATCATTCCTACGCCCGGTCCAACCGCTCACTTGCACCCCGTTATAATGTATCTAGGAGATGCGCTCGAGCAGTACATTACCCACCCATACGCCAGCCCATTGTTTGGCAAGTTCGATGGACTACCGCCCATGCTTATTCAATGTGGTGATGCGGAGGTTCTGCATGACGAAATCGTACTTCTCTCACATAAAGCTTCACTGGCCGGTGTCCAAGTTCAGTTGGAGACCTACGAGGATGCTGTAAGTTTATTGAATTTCTCGTTTGTTGTACTAATCATTGCCTTCTCAAGGTTCATGTTTTTCAAGCATTCCCTTTCTTGAATGTTGCAACAACTGCCTTTATCTCTTGTCGTGAATTTGTGCGACACAGGTTGCCTCGCATCCAAATCCACTCGCCTCAAGTCTTAGATAATGACACTGAGATTTGCCTTGAGAACGACACAGATAACGACAACGTCCGTGTCGTCCGCGGCGATGGTGTGGAGACTAACTCGGGATGGCAAGAGGTTCAAGAACAGATGGCTCGAGAAAACATTGATTCAAGCTATGAAGCACAATCGAGCTCAGCAGTGTCTCCAAGCTGGGGTCGCGCTTGGCTGGATCTGGAGTTAACTCCTAATAATTCCAGCGGCAGTGAGGCAGAACCAACCACGCCTTGCGTGACCGTCGCTGGTCCATCCCGAGTTCTTCGGCATGCGGCGTCCACCCCAGCTCTGCGTCGAATACAATCTGCTATCTCTGTTTTCTCGGAGAGATCAGTTGCATCCCAATATCTGGAGGACTGGCCTACTCGTCGCAGAAAATTCACATTATCACGCGCACCAACTCGTCCGTCGTCTCCCTCCGAATCCTCGCATTCTCGCATTAATATTCCTGCCTTTGCGACACCTTGGGCCACTATGACATCTGTTGCCTCGACTACCTACATTGTATAGTATTACCTTACAAGCATCAGTGTTACCGTTTTATTCTCATAGTTCACGTCCAGATACGTATGTAGCAAGTAACACGTAGCAAATAGTCCATTCCGTTCTCTACATAGGATGCCCGCAATCAATGATACTGTATTCTCTACCGGTCGTAGGGTGCTTGTGATGCCAAGATCTGCTTGTAGAGCTCAAGCTCTTCTATGACATTCTGTAAAGCCTTCCGCTCCCAGTTCCCGAAGATGAAGCCTTCGTAAAGCTTAGTCGTAGCCTGCCACGATAGGAAAATGACAAGAAGCACAAAAACTGGGTTCAGCCAGGGAACAGCAACCCATGCGGATCCAATGATAAGACCAATCAGCACCAAGATGCTCGTTCCAAAGATAATCAGTTCCTTGCGAGAACGATCTTGCGACATCCTGTAGGACGTGTTGAAGGCGTTCATCATCTCGGTTATCGCATTCGGGGAAAGTTCAGAGGGGGAGTTGAACCACATTGCTGAAGTATCCTTCAATGACGCCATATCATCTTGTTTGCCCTCCGCCTGCGTGTCAATGACTAGCGTCGCCTCGACACCAAAGTGATCAGAATAGGAGCATGAGTTGCCAGGAATGGAATCACTGAAGACAACCTGGCTATCTCGGCAGGTTAATTGGGGAACGTGATCGTTGGACCCGTTGGGACTGGATGCCGGAATAAGATATAATCAAGGCGTTTCCCTTGATATTTGCGAACAATTGGGTCACCAGAGGGTTTTGAGTCACGATAAGAATTAAGAGGTGAGTCAGCAGTGACACCATAATTGATGACACCCTCTATAGGAGATAACATTCCAGAGGGCGGGGGTATATGTGCATGTGAAGTTGCCCACGAGTCAACTAGTCCGGCATGGTTTAGGACAACGTTCATCGGGAGACTTGTTGGAATGCTATTAAAATCACCCATCTATTTATGTGTTAGCAACGTTCGAAGTGATGGTGCAGATAGCAGGTAACTCACGGCGATCACATACCGCCCCAGTTCAGCGGCTTGCCGTGCGACTTTCGCAAACTCCCAAGCATTCACTAGGCGATATGTTCTGTTGTACTCAGGACCTGATTCTCCGCCCTTGGCACAGAACTTGGATGCACTGTCAGTACCCAAAGAAGGTAAGTGTATCGGCAGGCTTACATGCGTGACAAAAAGCTGGACCGGTCCAAGAACAGGATGCATGATCGTTACGCTCCCAACACCCTTTCCCACAAACCAGTCTCCTCCGAAGACGTCTGTGGGTTCACCAACAAGAGAGTATGGAGTCATGCTGGTAGCAATGATGGGCCATCTTGTGAGGATACCAAGTCCGGCACCAAGAGCACCGCTGTAACTGCATGAGCTCATGTACCCACCACACAAGATATACAATACCTGTGAAAAAGCTTTGTGTACGGCAAGCGAGGAACGACACTTTGCCGAATTTCATTGTAATCTGCCTCGACCCAGATTTCTTGGAGTGCAATAATGTCGTAGTCCGAGCGGGCGAGCGCATGAGCTATTGCAGTAACTCGTTCATGCCGGTCTTTAGAGACATATTTCAAGCCCCTACGTCACTCTTGGAATCAGCCTGACCGCGCGCTTAGGGACTGGGAGATAACATACCAGCAGTTGAGAGTAACAACTCGAATTTGTTCTGCCATGGTGGTGGTAGGAGGCAACCGCAACAAGTGAGTTGCTACCCCGGACTGATGTAAATTTATAGGATAGCTATTGGATGGTATTAATGGATGTGGTACTTGCTACAGTGTACACGCCATGTCGGGCTATACTACTTGTTCCCAGCTGAGGTCCGACGGTTGAACGTTAAACTGTAAAGCCGCGTTGGGTCATTACATAATGCTGCACAGGAGCATATATCACGTGCCACTAGTACTAGGCTTGCGGAACGCATCGGGCGCCAACTGTTCATTGCATCGTCCTCGACTCTACGAAGTAGAGTGGGTTTGCATATAATCGGAATATCCAGGTACAGGTGTATGTCGCTTTCGCACAGCGGGATAACCTTTCGCGTGTTTCCAGATTGTTCTCGCCCCTTGATTATTTGCGTGTTTGCATCCGTCTCTGTTCTCCGAAGTCCGGACACATACAAGACACTGGGCAGAATAAATACAAAGGGCAATCCCTGGACGGAAGGGGGCGACTACATGCGGCAGCCAAAGTTATATCAATATTGCAAGGGAGGTGGGAAAACAGAGTGGGACCTCAAAACCGTTGAGAAGGTAAATATCAATGATCCGGCAGAGTCGGGGGTTGGCGGCTCGCCGCTACGATTTGTTCAGCACAGTCTGTTTCTTTCCCATTCCAATACCTCACAATGTGGTCTCTACTACAAGCCTGAGTTCGCTTACTATTGCTTGTTGCGCTACAACTAAAATGGAGTCTGCGAAATCGCAAACTAATCTGCTGGTGTGACGTGCGTCAGGATTTCGCAGACTCGGCCAGTGACGTGGCTAGGTGCCCCTGTAAGCGTCACCCCTATTTACCAGACTTCTGCACGCTTGGTGCATCTGCGGGGCTGCCTTAGTACTAGGTGCGCACCTGATGGTGCGCCGCCCTAGAGTGACCCAGCCTCCCCGACTCAGAACATTAGAACGAATCCAGCGTGATATAGGCAATAACCGGCCTTACACGCCAGTGACACTTTTGTTGATGACACATAGTGCAAGGGAGAGTAAATACAACTTTGCCGTGCTCGCAGGCGCTGCACTGAATGACCATAGTAACACAGTGGTGGAGCAGGGACTCACTGCACCATCTAGCCCGGGTTCCTCACACTCGGAGCTCCCTGATCGTTGTTGAACAAGGTCAACTTTCCGCTCATAGGATATGGGAACGTCAAATTTAGGGACCCTAACAATACTTTGTACCATCGCCACATCTCTTCCTGTCTTGGTCTACGAGTGATGTTGTTGGACACCAATTAGTGATTGAGGTCCAGCTTGTAACGATGGCATTAATGCTGAATATTTGATGTTACATGTGTAATTGGAGCGAGCGAGAAGAATATCACTGTACGCTGTTGCTGAGCTGAACCCAGGCGTCTGTACGCGTAAATAAGTCGAGAAATTCGAGGTCATCTAATTCAAATTTCTCCGCCATGATCACCCCACCGATTCCTGCCTGTCGTCGCATCTTGTATCCAAGGGTTTCTCGACGATAGGCGTCTGCTTTAAGTAACTGTAAACAATCCATCACCAACTCCCACACACGTTGGTCCACGGTGAAGGATTCGTACTGCAAAAAGTTGGTCTGAAAGAATGACTTCTTCTCACCACATGTCTCGGCATCTACGGTTGCCCATTCCTCGAAAGGGCGAGATTTCCGTGATAATAGTCGCCCATCCTTGTAACGCAAGGAGACCCAGACGAGAACCCACACAAACGACTCGAGATCATGACGGTACAAATGTTTGACTTCGCCTTGTTGGCCCTTTTTGCTGAGAAGATCAAGTGCCATGAACGGTATTGTCCCCGTGCGCTCGTTGCCCTGAGGACCCAGCGCAGTCGCCAACGAGGATAGATCGTAATCGTTTAAGACGCCCATCAAGACGGTTCCGTTCCGGTACCACATCATGTTGCCAGGGCTGACATCTCGGTGGTAGACTCCTGCTTGCCAGAGAGTATAATGGCCTACAAAGCACATCATTTCAACCAATGGAGAGAGGCAGATACAATGAGCCACATACACATGATGCATTGCCACCACGCGTCGAAGAACTCTGTGCCTTTGAGCTCCGTAATGGGCTTGAGCTTGCGGAATACAAGGATGTAGAGCACACGACTACCCTTCGCCGATTCTGAAACACCGAGCGCTTCTCTGATTTTGGACGTAGGATCCTTGAATTTGTGGTGCCATAGTAGGTGAGGAACATGGCCCTTCACGGCATCTTGCTCTTCCGCAATCTCGTAGACCTTCTTTAAAATGTCTGGCTCGCTAGTGCGTTGCTCCTCCGCCCAAAAGACTTTTGCCACCATGCCATCTTTCGCGATCTCTGGGTTGTCCTTGGAGAGTTTTGCGCTAGTGACAGGAAACACATTAGTGGCGCGTCCCTTAAGTCCGTAGTGCGCCACCCTGTCTTTGTGACTCGTATGAAGTTCGAGATCTATGCCATCAATTATGAGTTTGTGAGAATCATTCTTCTCATCGTGCTTGAAGTCCGTGTTTCGACCCCAATGGACAAGGCTGAATCGTTGGAACGCATATAACAACACCATGAATCGTGGGAGGTCTTGGATGAAGTTGATACCGGAGCACTGAATAGTCCCCTGTCGATCATAATGCCAGACCCAGACCATCTCATCTATAAAGACGATGATAAGAGCATAACCAACATGAAGAGACCAAATAACACACCGACGACGACGAGATTGACAAGATGTTTGACAGCAATATTGGCAGCAAACATTTCGGCAGCGTATAGCCCTGTTTGGACAGTCACATCTAGTTTGGGTTCCGGGTTGGGTTCCGTGTCGTCGTCAGTCTTGGCGCGCTTGCTGGCGGATTCCAAAGTTTCGGCGGCCTTGCGCTTGCTGGAGTCGTTAGATGCATTTTGAGAGCTTACAGCAAGACGAGGCGAACGTCGTTTAGCTGAGCTGGTTTAGTTTAACATCTGGGTTGTAAATGCACCACTTACGTCGTTCAGCGTCGGGCACTGACAGGGTTGCTGGGGTCTGGGCAGAGTCTGCCGCTGCAGTCGCAGGCGCGTCGGGCTCAGGAGATTCCACGCGCCGATATTCTGGATGGGTAGGCTTATACGGTGCCACTTCATAAGAAAGGGGACACTGTGAAAGCTTTTTCGTCGGTCTCTTGAACTCGATACAAGCTAGCACATCTTTCCAAAGGAGTTGCTTTTTCGGTTTTGTGGCTGCACTGATGAGCTTGTAATCATCAGCGCCCATATCGTGACTCTCTTCGGGCAAGCCAGCGAACGCGCATTTGTAAGGAAGAATGACAACGTCGGGCTTCCGTTTCGATGTGCGGTCCTGGTGATCTTGGTGGATAGGATAATCGTTCACTTGAAAAATGATGTCAAGGTTGGAGGGCGTATCAAGCATTCCCTTGACTTTGAGTCCTGCAAGGCATGTAAATGCGATGTTTGAAGCTTGAACAAAAGGCCCGTAGGATGTAGTTTCAATTCGCTCCGATGCGCTGACAATTTCTATGAGCATGATAGCACCTCAATCAGCAAAAGAGCACTCACAAGCTGTCGAGAGCTTCTTTGATGCGAGAAGGATGAAACCTATTTGCAGTTGGTGTTTTGTTGAGAACGCGCGCAACCTCCTTGAGACACTTCTGCAGGAGATCGAGTTGTTTAGCCTCGGGCATGCGAGATACGCGCTGCAGGAATAATTGCAGCATGTCATCTACAGGGCACGTCTGAGCCTGTTCAATGTTGCGCTCTATCCATGGGCAGATATTGTTGACACTTGATTGAATGTTAGTGCCACTCAGATGGAACTTGAAAGGTGCTCTTACTTGACACCGAGCAAGCCAATGTGATTACTGATAGCAGACCCCCCACGGCTGTTTGGGGTAGATTGCTGTCCTGTAGGCGCGTGAGCAGATACATTGGTGCGTGGCGGGGTCAACGATGGGGGCATGGAACGGGTGCTACGAATCGCGATATAGGATAAGGAAGCGAGTGGGTGAGCTCGTGAAGTTGGGAGGACGGGGTGGAGAAAAAATAACAATACTGAGTCACGGTGGAGACATTGATGTGGTTTGTACGCAGAAACAACAGAATTGACAAATGGCGCTATATTTGGAAACTCCTGATTCAGTGATTGATCATATTGTAGGAATAATCATCGGGAGCAACAAATACAACGCGTCTGCAATCACGTGACTGGCAGGTAGTGCCGTTTGAGCTCTACGTGAGATCTATAGATGCAGGCGCTCATAATCCTTTGTCTTGAACCATGACCACAGCTACAACTTTTACTCGAAATGAGTAGGTGTTATAATCGCACTTTGTATTACCGAAATCCTAATTTCAACTGTGATAAGTATCGAGATCGCAACAAGGGCAGCAGACGCATTTACGCGTTTGTACTACACCACATATGACTCACCTACAAGGGTGGATGACCTACCTAAGTTTTATCGCTCCTCATCGACCTTGACGTGGAACGGAAATCCATGTCAAGGTACTGAGGGTGTGAAAAAACTTATCCAAGATATGCCAAGCACCAAGCATGAAGTTCAGTCCTACGATTGCCATCCTATACCAGGTTTGTGATGCCCTGCAGTGATATGAACCCTTACACATGCTTCATGCCATCACAGGCTCTCAACCCCCATCACTTCTTGTTACGGTCTCTGGTAATGTCACTCATGGACGCGGTCCTGCTGGCAATCCAGTATCGACACCGATTAAATCAGTCGATGGACAGCCTAGAGTCTTCTTCCAATCATTCATGTTGGTGCCCGATCCAACAGCACCAGTGGTCAAAGCGGGAGAGGTTGCGAAGTACTATGTAGATGCTGATGCTATGCGATTTGTGGGCTAATGCTCTCGTCGACGCAAATATACCAGTATGTGCTCCCATCGCTAAGCCAGTCTCAGAAATACTAATCGCTATTCTTAGTCTTCGAGACTTTCATTATCTATCGGGTATTGTGGATCATCTGGCCACCAAGTGGATAGGTCATTGCGCGATGTCTGGTGGCCTAGTAAGCAATTGCAACATTAGAACCATGTCGCCACTACCAGCGACCTTTCAAGTGATCTAGTGTGGACATCGAGCAGCAAACTGCAGCAGGCTGGTCAACGGTGACATCATACTTTACAACTACAAATAAATAGTAAATTACTCCAACAACTATGGAAAGTTTCAACCAAATGTTTGACTCTATTGGCAGCATTAGCACATAATCAAGCAGCATTTGGATGACTACATACCGAGCGTGCACTTCGTTTGATTTTTGATAGTCGCCATTCGTCGGGTTTCTCGTACTAGTAAATGCGTGAGCCCCAGATGCATGTCCCGTATGGATGCAGTGCATACCTTGTTGTACAATGGTTCGATCTTTTCCTGCCTCTTCCGCTTACTAATCTTGTTGGCGTCGGCGACTCTGAAGAACTGAGGTGCAACCTCTACAAGCCATTTTGGCTCTATAGTAGTGACGTTATGACAGTATTCGCGAGTGGTCAACACCAACTCGTTATAGATTAGCCATTCAGGCGCGCGGTTGAAGAGAGCGGAAGAGGGATGGATATATACGGGTGTTCCCTCAACAAGTGTCTTGTAGCCTTCTTGAGGATCCTTCTTGGCTGCGTTCCGGAAGAAACCAGAACATATCGCCTTCCGCACACGGTTGTAATCCTTCCCTGCCGATAGAATATCATGCTTGTATCTGAGAAGATTGTCAGAGTTACGAAATCAACTCATCCAGAATTTACACGCACCTGTCCATGATACCCACCAGCTGCTTGCGAATATCCTGCGCACGCCGCATGCTTCTTGCCTGGATAAAGTTCTCGTAACACCAAGGATTCGAAAAGTTCGCGCCTTTCCAGCCGTTGTATACCGTCAGAAGGGTAAGGTGATCGCCCTCTGGCTGATGGAATTTAGCTTTCTTAGAGTCGGCTTGACCCTGTTTCTCCTTTGGACGATAGAAGACAGATTGGACGGACAGCATGGCCACAATGGAAAGGATTTCTTCGGAGCAACCAAGTTCGACAGAGGCAATGAGCATCTTTGCAAGCGGCGGCTCCATGGGGAAGTCAGCCATCTTGCGGCCCAAACGAGTCAAAAGACCTTCGTCATCCAACGCCGAAAGCGCGTATAATGACTCCAACGCAGTTATCATGGTCTGCGCCGGCGGTGGGTCCATGAAATCAAAACTAAGAAGGTCATTGATACCCATTGCCTTGAGCATGAGGATAGTATGGGCAAGATTCGTCCGCTGAATATCGGGAATAGAAGTGGGTAACATCTCGTTCCGGTAGGCAGCCTCTGTGTATAGACGGTAGCACTTTCCTGGACCTGTGCGACCAGCACGACCAGAGCGCTGCCGTGCTTGTGCCTGGGATATAGGCATGACCACCAATGAATCCATTCCTAGTCTCGGGTCATATGCAGTTTTGCTTCGAGAATCCGGGATCAATGACATAGTAAATCCCAGGAATAGTCAAACTAGTTTCTGCAACGTTGGTGGCGATAACGACTTTGCGGGCGCCAGGAGGAGTGGGTTCGAAGACACGCGACTGTACTTCGGATGGAAGGGCGGAGTAAATGGGGAGGATGATAAGGTCTGGCACTTTTGGGCCCAACGCTTTCATACGCTCAAAGAGAATTTCGCATGATGTGTCAATCTCCTCCTGGCCCGTCAAGAAGAGGAGAATGTCGCCCGGAGGCTCGGACAGATGGATTTGCATGACGGTGATTAATGACGCGTCCAAGTAGTCGGATTCCAGCTCTTTGGTGTAAAGGATCTCTACGGGGTATGTGCGACCAGGAATGGTGAAGATTGGGCACCCGAAGAAATATTTCGAGAATTTCTCGGCGTCCAAAGTCGCTGAGGTGACGATTAGCTTTAGCTCGGGTCGCTTCTTGACAGCCTCTGCAAGCAAGGCGTCAGAAAATGTCAACAAAATGAAGGTGCACAAACTTGCTTTTAAGAAGACCGAACAAAACATCAGTTGAGATGGTCCGTTCGTGAGCCTCATCAAGCATGACCACGGAGTACTGGCTGCATAGTGGGTCAATCACCGACTCACGCTGCAGCATACCATCCGTCATATATTTGATCTTGGTTTCCGGACTCGTGCAATCTTCGAAACGGATAGTATAGCCAACTTCTTGGCCAAGACGACATCCCACTTCTTCCGCGACACGCTTTGCGACTGACATAGCGGCCACACGACGCGGTTGTGTACAGCCAATACGTCCTCTATCAGCAAAGCCAGCCTCCGCGAGGTATTGAACCATTTGTGTTGTCTTTCCAGAGCCAGTGTCTCCGACAACAATGAGAACTTGATGCTATGAAAACAATGAGTCACAAACAATTTGGAAAAAAATCGATTTACCTCGTCAATGGCTTTTAACAGAGCGTCTCTAAGCTTATAAATGGGTAGACTCTTCCGCTGCTCCTGTATACTGAGGCTTGTAATTTCACCATATGTTGTAGCCTTGTTGAATGTCGATTCCCTCCACTGAGGTACTTCACCAGCTCTTTGATCCTTGAGATTACCTCTCATGTCTTGAGCAAACATTCTGTCTGATTCCTTCGCCATAGGGTCGAGCCATGGTGCACTAAAGTCTCGAGCTTCAGAGTCAGCTTGCTCATTCGCTTCTTGCTGACGAAGCTCGCGTCGCTCTTTAGCCAAAGCTGCACCTCCTAGGGCTGCTCTGTTGAGGGAGCCATCAGGAGCTTTGATAATTTTCACAGGACTGAGATCGAGAGTGCGTTTCGTCTGACCAGCCAAGAATGCCGGTTCCTCTTCCCTGATTTCGACGTCAAGCTCCTCCTCAACCTCCGCTCGAGCCACAGGATTGACGGAATCTTCGTCAAGGTCAGGATACTCGGAAGCATCGATGACACCAGATGAGATAAGCTGCTTAATCTCCCATCGTTCAGGTGAGGTCAGACGTTTGGCGGATCGAGTCGCTAATGGTTCGTCTTTTGAGCGCAATGGCACAGCATTCGCCCCAGAAGACGCGCGAGCCGCTCGTTCGCGCTCTTCCTCCATCTCGGCTTCAGATCTGATCCGTAAGTGAGGGGTGAGATCGCGACCCGTAGCTTGGTCTACATCCTTCATAGATAGACCAATACGGCTGCCCGCGATGCTCATCACCTTAACCTTGACCTGTTGTCCACGACCAAGGAGATCCGACGCGGAGCTCGCACGTGCACCCTGCTGAATATTTGAAACATGCACCATGCCTGGAAGTATGTTAGCAAAACAATGTTGAGGACCAAAATGCTTTGCGCACCTTCGATACGTCCCGCAACGCCCTCTAGTTGCACAAAAGCGCCGAAATCTTTGAGGCTTGATATTCGGCCACTGTATATTTTAAACAATATCGGTCGCTCGTCTGCATTTCTCCCTCTCCAATCATCCCTCCTTGAGTTGTAATTGCGACCCCTGTCAGGGCTTGGACTACGACGGCGTGGTGACCGTGACCGAGATCTGTCTCTTCGCTCCCGCTTCGTAGGCCTCTCGTTCTCGTCTGTTATTTTTGCCCTCTTCGCAACACCTTCAAACTGAGCCATCATATCGTCTACCTCTTTCATGAGCACATCCTCCTCCTTGTCTGGCACAGCGAGCCCAGGGAAAAGTCGTTTCTGCTTGTCCTTTTCAAGTGCACCTCCGCTCGCTTGGGCGTGTGATGCGCCATGAGTAACTAAACTGGATTTCTTCTTGTGTTTCGGATGCAAGCTCAGGATTAAACGATCCACGTTCCCAACAAATGAGTCGGGGAATTCAGCACCAGCATTACTGAGCTGTGATTTGAAGTCGGGAAGTGATTTAGACTGATCGTGAAGAGAAATGACAAATTCAGCGAGTGTTTTATCGTTAATGCCAGTATAGTTGTCAATCTCCTGGGTAATTTTAGCGACTAGCGAGAGTACTTCAAGGTTGTAAAGGTCATTCTCTGCCATAGCAAAGTCGTAGTGAGAGCTAGAGTTGTTGAGAGTAAGTACTATAACATCAAGTGGTTAGAGCTTATATAATTGTAAATTAGTAATTCCTTTCGTACTTCGGGAGTTTAACCAGACTTGGGGGGGTGGGTGGAACACGACATCCTCTAAATCTCTAATTATCCTTGCTCAATCTTGCGGGGATGCAGACGACAAGGATTTAGCCAGCAAAACAGGATCCCACCGCGAGGACAAGGGGGCCCCATGGATTCAGAGAACAAACAACTCCAAACACAACCTCCATATGGATCATACAATGCCAAAATACCAGCAAATAAGAGGGAGGCAAGGGAGGGAAATGGGATGGGATAGTCCTTACTATATGCTGCTTTGCTGTAGATGACTCATCTTCACCAAAATGCGAAACCAACCTATCTGAGCTTTTCATTTTGGTGATGACAAGATTTCACTCAGATTCTGATCTGAATTAATTCTTAAAATCAGTTCACTTGATGGCTATTCCAATTTGTTTTTTTGGTGGGGTCTTGGTCTGGTTTTTATTGTTTTGCATGTGACACTGGACTCTGAGTCAGGCTTGAGGAGAAAGGATGAGTGTGAAGGTGTTAAGAACCATTTTGCTCAAGGGAGAGAGAGACTGACTCAGAGGGGCTTGGCCTCAGCTTGTATGCTGTGCCCCTTACCTGAGTATGTGCCCTTCATTTCATATGAGGTCTGATGATGGTCTGATGAAGTCTGGAGGACTTCTGGAGGCTGGCTACTCTGGTGGAGTGCTAGAGGACTTCTGGAGGAGTGCGGGAAATGTCTGGAGGAGCACAGGAGAGTTCCAGAGGAATGCAGGAAGTGCTCAGGAGAGTTCCCACTGCAAGGTAACACTTCCATCAGGAAATTGCTGAGGCTTAGGTTTTTCTAGTTAGATGTGATCAATGTAAACAAACATGGTAAATAAGGATCAACCTTGTTAGTTCTTGACTATGCATTAACACTTAGATATTCAATACCCATGGGTTATGATATAGGCTCCATATTGATTGCCCTTGGCATCCTCCTGTCATTACAAGTCTCCTAGGCAATGTTCTGGCCTGGCACTACCATCTTTCACCTCTAGTCATCTCCAATTATCCAGTGCTCACTTTTTGATGGTAGCATTGGAAGACTTGGCCATATGGTAGCACCCAGATATCTAATGTCCATGAGTTAAGATATAGGTTCAATATCGATTGCCCTTGGCATCCTCCTGTCATTACAAGTCTCCTAGGCAATGTTCTGGCCTGGTGCCACCATCTTTCACCTCTAGTCATCTCCAATTATCTGGTGTTCATTTTTTGGTGATAGTGTTGGAAACAGTAGCACCTAGATATCCAATGTCCATGAGTTAAAATATGATAAGCTCACATGTCTTCATGATGCATTGGATGGAAGCAGGACACAGCTTTCCTGATAAATGGTGCCATTGGCACACAAAACCAGTGTTTCGAAATAAGTATAATCAAATAACCAATTGCTCATTCATGCCACTTGTATACAGATGGTGTGTGAGTAGTATGTACAGGCTTGCTAAAATCACAGGACACAGAATTCATATAGAAAATCAGAGCATTCACCATCCTCCACTGTTGACCTTGCTCTTGAGTTCATGAGTAACAGTGGTTGGAATATGATGATTGAGCCAAATTTTGCTGATTTCTTCCCACTTAGTTGGGTGTATCAACTACCATGTATGTACACTGCAGTTGAGCATCCAATCAAAATTAAACAGCAGAGCATGTGGACTCACTCTCATGTGCACATATTATGCTCCCCTCTAATTCCTAACTCATTTTGACAGTAGTGACTTGCCATACACCATGTTACTCTGCATATCAAACAAACTGCAGCATCTGTTGGAGTGGTGTTGCATCAGTGACATTTATGTAATCACCTTGCCTCGCTCATCAAAAACATTATCAAGGATGAGTGGCAGACAAGTGGTCCTGTATACAGCTGCATATTACGACACCACAGCTGAGTTGTGAGGCAGCATGTAAGTGGTCATAGTGAGTGCAACATCCTAATAGTGTTTTTGAAGTATATCTTATTTTGGAAGAAATGCTAAGGGTAATGAGTAGATGCTAGTACTCATTTACATTAGACATACCTATGATCCTCCACATCCTGCAGGCTTGCTGCCTCCTCTCTGCTCTCCCTCCACAATGTACACACCCCAAGGTGATGCTCAGAGATGGCTGAGTGGTGCCCCTGCCATGTCAAACTATCCACAAATGTGCCTGGAGCATGCACAACAAGATATGATGGGTGCCTACCTTATGCAAAGTCAAATATAGGGTATATTATAATACAGTCACAGCCCTACCAGCTTTGGTTGCATGGGTTGCATGTTGAACACTCTGCAATTGAGTTACAACTACCATCAGAGTGGTAGTGAAGGCTTGGGTGTCACTGCACCTGACAATAATGGGCTTTTGGATGATTGAGATTGATCCCCTGTATCTGAATGAAAGACACTGCACATATCTGGTTGTCCATGAGGTTGTCAGTACCAATCACATTGCTATTGGAATTCACACATTACCTTGAAACACCAGATGTCAATTGTGCAGGGCAAGGTAAAGGTAAGGGCAATTTGAACTCATTGGATTTGTCAAATATTGTGTCTCCTGCAGGCTAGGTAAAATTGATGCAGTCCTGCTGCAGCAGTATATCAATAGCCTACATAGCAGTGGACAATGCAATAGTTAGCATTAGTTTGTTGACTAGATAGCACTTGCCATTGGACCCTGTCTTCTGCAGGTGGTACTGAACTTGAATGACCTCACCCAGGTGGGCAAGTCAAGCTTGATGGTGTTGCAGTCTGCTATCATAGTGTACTAGTAGGTGTTAGTAACAAGGACTTGAACATAATTTTGAAATCTTACCTTGCTGAAAGTTACCGTAAATCAATGTCAAAATCTTGAATTTGCAGAGCTGAATAGTCAGGTATTTGCAAGCTTGTGTTGGCAAAATCAATAAGGTGAAGTCAGAAAATGGTCTGCTTAGAGCCTTAGGCTAGCTACTGTCTCTGCAGTGAATGACTCAGCACAACATGTGTGACATATCACATAATCATATGTGACAAAGAACTTCAATTGACACATAATTCTGTACATAATAGATACCCAGAAGTAGATGTATTGCCCCCTGATCAAACAATAACAGCACAATCAAATTAAATGGGCTCTGATGTATTCAGTGCCAATGGAACAATGGGGACCATGCTGAGGATGATCATTGTAAGGACTTTTATGAAATATGTGCTTGGCTAATGAAATGTGGTAGAATCAGGCTGACTTTTTTTGGGTGATGGTATGTAACTAATTAGTGTAGACCATCAACTTATCATCATGTAGCCTAATGCCATCACATCTGCTCCTGCCGTCTCACCCATCATCACTCCCAATGACACTCCCACCATCGGTGCTAGCACAAACACTGGACAGAGATTGAAAACACTTGTGAGAAGGGCGATCCAGGGAGCTATGAGTGTCACAAGAGTGGCCATACATGCAGTTTTCCATGCAGTGACAAAATTCACAGCAATGTTCAGATAGGTATGATACACTTTTTTCAAAAGTCTACCTGAACTCACTTAAATATCATGATACAGGCCTGAATGATTCTGTTTAGATGATGCTCTACTTTGGTTTACATCGACTTACTTTCTTAATTATCCCATCTCATCTCACACTGACATTCTCTGAGTCCTACTACATCATCACATACCTATTCCTGTCTTGTAGTATTCCACCTGCCCATACTCATACCCATGCTGTACCTGCTTGCCCTCCTGGGGGAAGAATCATTGGGATATGCAAATAAGTCGTGAAGAAACACTCTTCCCCCTGCAGAAGCATCATTGGCAGGTGCAGAGAACTACCCTACATAGCAACATAGACTGCTGCAGTGTGAACCACTGTGATGATCATACCGGCACTAGGTGCATATGGTCAATAGCACAGTTGTTCTCACCTTCAGGAAAGGAGATAAAGTGCGGATCATTAAATCCATATATATTGACCCATCCGCTCTTACTCTGGTCTGGTCCTAGGAATCCACCCTCCCATGTCCTATCCATGTCCACCTATCTCCACTGGTGCATTATTTTTCCCAAATGTCATTGCTAAATGAGCTGCAGGTCTTATTACACATCTACTCATGTTCCACAGTGCATGATGTCTTATTACCTATAGACTCATTGCGCACTCACTAACTACACTACAATTCTTGCCTACGCATTCTGGACATTCATGTGCTACGATATAAACAACCACAGTACATATGATTGAGTAGTTCCCTTTCCCCTGGACTCAGCTCTATAGGAGAGTCGTTCTCATGTTATTTTTGTAGACCTTGTGCAATCCATCTATTTTGCTCTTTCTTGACAATCCTGTGCAATTCAACTGCTCTGAAGTTCCATACTGCTAGGATCTTACCCTTGAGCTCTTGCAAGAATACCCGACCCACGACCAGTAGTTTAGCGCAGTTCTTCACTTGCACTATATCCCTTGCGACCAGCCACTCCATAGGGTGTGGTTGATTTTGTGCACGTTACATCTGCTGCACTGGCATCTGACATCCAATACACTCACACATATCTTCCAATGGTTCATCCCGCTCTTGTGATACTAACATCGGTCGATTTTTGCCCATGCTCACAGTCGATTCTTTGGCATAGAAATTCAAAGGTATACATACAGCCTGCATTCTAGTTTCTTAGGCTGACATAAGTTATAACTCCTTTGCTCACTTACTTCCCTTGCACATAATTGAAGGAAGTGCTTCAATAGCAGTCCTCTTGGGCTGATCAATTAACTCGTGCCTCTTAGGATAAGTAGTGCTAGTCGCTAACCACCTAGTACCAATTACTTCTTCACACTGCTAAAGAAGAAAATGTCAAGGATCATGAAAAAATATTTGAGATGAAACAAGCACAAGATGTAAAATGTTTAGTACTCCCATCTTGTAGTACTCCCCCTGCCCATACTCATACCCATGTTGTACCTGTTCACCCTCCTGGGGAAGAATCATCAGGGGATGTGAATAAATTGCAAAGAGATTCTCTTCCCCCTGCAGAAGTATCATTGGCAGGTGCAGAGAACTAAAAAGAAATCAGCATGTGTCGAACAGAACAAAAAACTTACCAGACAGGAACTCCAAGTGATCTCACAGGTGAGAGACTTGAAGTACAAACACTAGCTATACTCATACCCATGCTGTACCTGCCCACCCTCCTGAGGAAGAATAATTGGGCGAAGAGAATGGGTTGCAAAGAGACTCTCTTCCCCCTGCAGAAGTATAATTGGCAGGTGCAAAGAACCAACAAAAAATTAGCATGTGTTGAACAGAACAGAAGACTTACCAGATGGGAACTCCAAGCAATCACATGGACAAGACTTGAAGTAAGACAAGGGACTATCATGGTATGAATGGGTAACATTGTCCATTCATTCCACCTGTATAAATAGTGGCAACTGGGTCAAAATAAGGGTGAAACAAAGCGTACATACAGTTGAAAGTGTGGAAGACCACTGAGGGTACAGTCAATGGCTTGTTACTATCTACCAGGAGCAGGAGACATAGAGGTCTGAAAAAGGCCTGACATTCAGTTCATCATGAAGAAGTTACATACAAAAGAGAAATGTACACACCTCAGTTCTAGGTTCTCAAGTAACTCTGGAACAGACGGATGTGGTATTGATCCCTCTCACTGAGAACTAGTGCAGAGTGTGGCCTGCAAAAAATAAGCAGTAGTGCATACATATGGAAAGTGAGGGGGAGCTTGAAATCAGAGAGCTTTTCAAAAGTTAAGTTGTCTTGGCTGTCCTTGTCCATGAAGAAAGAGTGAGTGAGGCACAACAATGCTGAAATAGAGAAGCTCAGAATATATGGTAGTACAGGATGCAAGTTGAAGTCAACGTGGAGAAACTACACAGGTTATACTAGTGTATTATTCAAGGCCTCAACTTTAGATGAAAAAAAGAATCATCAATTGGAGGCTGTAGGTATTGTGTGTCCACTGTACCCTGAGCTGGAGCATGATCATAGATTCTAATAGGGCACCTATATTCGCTCTCCTACACTTTCTGTCTTTGTCTATGCCATAGACATTGATGTCTCTGAAGCAAATCAGAGACTTGAATTTATTGTAGGAAATGAAGATTGAACAAATACCTGATGTATCCCAGATCATGTCCAATGTCTTGAATCTCTGTCAGAGGAGGACCATGAATGTGCCCAATTCTACAATAAAGCTTGATCACAGCTGCATCACCTGTCCTGTTGAGATTGTGATTGAGTGCTTTCTGACAGTATTTGTAGAACTTAAAATAAAGTCAAAACTAAGTTAACAACAAAAAGATATAAGTCACTGATGAGACACATGATCAGAGAGATTATCCTCATATTAGGATTTCCCCCTTGGTCAAGAACTTGATCCCAGTATAAGTCAGCAATGCAGACATTTGGGTTAGATGCGATTGGGTGAAGGATCATATAATGCCAGAGTTCTTTTGCCATTTGGAGGCCAAGTATCTCTATCACAATACAATGCTAAGAAGTGAAGTGAGGTAAATGATTTGGTGATACTTTTAACTCATGTCAAAGGCCACTAGCATTTGATCTTGTCCTTGATCAAGCACAGCTGTCATCCTTGCAATCCTTGTTTGCCCTTCATCAGTGTTAAGACAGAAGCCCAGATCCTTGGAAGGCTTCAGACAGTACCCTATCACTTTCCTAAGATCTGAAAGACTTGAATTCAGTGTGTGGTCAAACTAGTTGATATTGTTTGTTATTGTCAATATTTGAAAATAATAATAACAACATATTCACCGTGTCACACAGATGATGCCAATGGAATCTCACTCCCATCGTAAACTCCACTAGAGACAGACAGCTAGCATCAGTTCAAAAACTAAAGATAAACAAAATAGTACTCATAATCAATATTTTGACAGTCCTGGTAAGATAAGCTGTTATGCAACAAAGCCTCCAAGAAGCACTGGGTAATGAATTGATGTTGATATGGCCATAACTTGACCACCCTCATGGCATTGCCATAGTGCCCCATGATGAGACTTCCAAACAGTATCATCTTTAATGATCTTGCAATCGATAACCACAGATGGTCGACTGGTAGGTCCCCTAAGATGGACTGACAGCATAAATTGTCACCTGATGGGCTGTGCTCTGTCCAGCACAGGTCCTCTGGTAAATGGATGATCTGGGGGAGCATTAATTCATCTATATTGATGAAATCCTCAAATGTTGGAGTCTGTGATAGGCAGTGTTGCCAGTACTGGAGCTGATGCTTGAATAGGTGTCTGTGCAGTTGCTTGCACCAGTGGTGATATGGGTGTAATTCCAGTTCCCAGCACTGAACCTATTGCACTGGAGCCAGGCATGAAGTTATATACTTGCCCTATCATAATCAGTCGATGCACTCCCAGGAAGTGAAACACATATGGTAATCTTGCTGGAAAGATGCAGTAGTATAGTCTTCTGTGTATACCTGCCCAACAGAACTATTGTCAAAATCTTCAGTGACCATACCATCTGTGATATTGTCCAGGCCATGGTGCCAGTTTGGCGATGAACTTCCTATCCACTGCTGTAGTCAGCTAATGATGAAGAGGTGGAGGGACAAAAGTTACATTCAGGCCACCTCCAGACTGCAATCAACCAGTGATCATAAACTCTAGATACTACTTCCACATCATGGCTGAGTGCATTCTTATCTTGGGGCTGTATGACAAGATATGTTAACGTCCAAAAAATCAAGGCAATGAGGTCTTGCATGGTAAGACCATAGATGGGTACCAAGACCTCATACTCAGCTCTTCCAGAAGCCTTAATGAGGGGACCGCTATGACTGTTCATGCCAATATATCCTAAGGGATCCTTCTGGAGAGGCCAAAAGTCATCCATGGATACTTTTGTAGGCCACTATAGACACATGATGATATGAACAGTCAACAAACTTTAGTAGAAATAGACTTACATAACAAGGTCCAATGTTTCTCTGGGACAATATGTAACATGCGAAGTCTAGATCTAGCTCAGGTCACTGAAACTGCCCTGCAATATAATATAGTTCTTCATCTTATAGTAGGGAGGAAAAAAATTACCTCCTCCTAATGTTTGAGTTATTATTTGAATGCAGATAGCTGTACAAGTAGTACACACTGTATGTTCAAACCCAGTGATAATTCCAGGTATTGTTACAGTAAACACTTGCCCCTATTCATTTTTCCTCTCTTGTGTATTACGTCACGACTGCATCCTAGTACGCCATCATTAGACTTATCTCTTACCATATCTGTATTACATCACGATCGTTGTTACTGTCGCTAGATGACTCATTCTTATCTCTGACTTGTTCTTATCTCTGACTCATGCTTATCTCTGACTCACTGCTGACATATACGTACCTGCCCTAAAGCACTTACGTCTATATAAACTTGGTCATGTACTTAGTAGATCTTTACTTTAATCTTACTAGGTTTTACCAGAACTTCTTTGCTTAGGACCCCCAATCCTAAGTCATCTGAACCACTGATATTCAAGTTAGAGACACTCTCTCTAACTTGTCTTATAACCCTTGCTTTTGCAAGGTCTTGATTCAACTTCAGCCATTGCTCTTATCAAGCAGCTGTCATTGCGACTATCCTAGTTCGTAACAAAAGATTAAAGTACTACTCTAACCCTTTCCATCTGAAAGGTCCCAGAACAAAGACGAAGTAGAGAGAGACCAGACGTCCCCTACACGACAAGAACATCACTAGACCAGAACGCTCAGGATGTCGACAACCACCAGTAACAGCAGAACTCAAGGCTAGAGCACCCATGTCTTATGATGGGAATCCCCAGCAAGGCTTGAGATGGTTGTACGCGATTAAGGCATACTTTGCACTTAACGCGATGATCTATAACACCGATGAAAAGAAAGTCATTACTGCCCTTGTGTACATGACCGAAGAAAGTGCTATGGGTTGGGCACTCACTTTTTACACCGAAGTCGACAACTCCATCTCCAAGTCCTACGGAACTTTCACAAATTTTGAAACAAAGTTCAAAGAAGCTTTCATACCAGCAGACACCGTCGGCACAGCCATGAACAAGCTCCATACCCTAAAGCAGATGGGCGACCTTACTTCCTACATCGCCAGTTTCAAGACCCTTGCTGCGCAAGCCTCCATAAAGCAAGACACCGTCTTGATCACGTTCTTCAATGATGGCTCAAGAAGGGGATCGGTAATGCCATCTACCAAATGGAGACCGTCCCTGTAGACTTTGATAAGTACATCGCCGCAGCCATCAGGCTAGACAGCAATTGGCAAAGAGGCGCAATGTTCTGACAGACACACCGCCCTGTTACTAAACCAAGCAGCCAACAATACATACCCAGACCTTCTATTGACCAACACAATCCAAACGCCATGGAGGTAGATCGGCTCTCAGAAGCAGAAAAAGAAGTCAATGATGAATGAAGAAAGAACAACCTCCCACCCTTGTTTGGGAAACTCCCGAACAATGGTCTCAGATCAGAACCGACTCCAGTCAAAGAGCAGCCGAAGGCACCTCTTGCAGAAAAAGAGCCAATACCTCGGGCTACCATTGAAGAGATCCCAGATGAAGAAACACCCCCAACACTCCCAAATCTTGACCCCATCCCTGATGATGATGATGACTCCTTCGACACCAAAGATGATGTATGGACCATGGACTATGCACTACCTGTATGCGAAATTGCTATGTATCACCTAGAGGATGATGAATTTTTAGTTGAATATCCCACTGACGCTTCTGAGCTGCAGGTTATCACCAACTCCTCTCTGGATACTCCATTGACCAGAGATGGTACTAGCGTCGCAGAACAACGACCCACGGTTACGCCCTTGACATGGCCAATGGAATATGTCAAAACCAGCAACAAGGTGCAACAGTTTGCATTAGCTGCCGGACTTGAGCAAAAGAAGAAATCATTCGAAGAACTCGTCCCCTCCTATCTTCATGATTTTGCCAACATCTTCACAAAGGACAGCCTCAACCAGTTGCCACCTGAACGACCTGGTATAGATCATCGTATTGAAACGAAACCAGGTTTTATCCCTAAAACGTCCAAGGTGTACCCATTATCAGAAGCGGAACGAACGGCAGTCAAAGCCTTTATTGACAAAAACGTGAAGAAAGGGTTTATCTCAGAATCAAAGTCACCACAAGCAAGTGGATTTTTCTTTGTGGGAAAGAAAAGCGGAGACCTTCGTCCTTGTCAAGATTACTGGTATATCAATGATTGGACAGTTAAGAACACTTATCCCCTGCCGTTGCCACTGTCATTAGTCGCTCGGTTGTATGGTGCCAAATACTTCACAAAGATGGACGTTTGATCTGGGTATAACAACATCCGTATCCATCCTGATGACAGATGGAAGGCTGCCTTTACCATGGAATATGGTCTCCTCAAACCAAATGTCATGTTTTTTGGTCTCTGTAATTCTCCCGCCACTTTCCAAGCATATATGAACTGGACGTTCCAACAGGAGATTAACAAAGGCTGGCTCGTCATATACATGGATGATATTCTAATTTTCTCAAACAACCTCACTTCCCATCACACATGAACACGGCATGTTCTTGAAAGGATCCATCAGGAGAGACTATTCCTAAAACCAGAGAAATGCACGTTTGATGCACAAGAAGTGGAATACCTGGGAATGGTTATACGTCTTGGGTGTGTGGCAATGGACATTGCCAAAACAGATGGTATTTGGGATTGGCCTACCCCCATGATGGTAAAAGAAGTTCAATCATTTTTAGGGTTTTGCAACTTCTACCAAAATTTCGTCTCTCATTACTCTGACATCGCCAGACCATTGATCAATCTAACAAAGAAAGCCACCACGTTCCAATGGTCAGAATCTTGTACTACTGCCTTTGCCATGCTCAAAGACTGTTTTCTGAAACAACCTGTTCTTTGTAACCTGGATCCCAACTGCCAATTTGCCATGGCAACTGATGCCTCACTAGTGGCCACAGGTGCAGTCTTGCTGCAAACCGATGAAAATGGAACATACCATCCCTGCAGTTACTTGTCACAGACCCTGAACCCAGCAGAACAAAACTATCAGATCTTTGATTGTGAGCTACTTGCGGTTATCCGTGCCCTGACAGAATGGTGTCATTACCTCGAAGGGAACCCTCACCCCGTCATTGTTTTCACCAACCATAAAAACCTATTGTACTTCCGCACCGCTCAGAAATTGACTCGCAGGCAAGCCCACTGGCAGTTGATTCTATCTTGTTATGACATAGAACTCCACCATGTTGCTGGAACCAAACTTGTAGCCCCTGATGCACTCTCCCGGCATCCTGACCATTGAACTAACTCCACCAATGATAATGAAGACATTACCCTTCTTCCCAACTCCATGTTCGTCCACCTTCTTGATGTTGAACTCATGACCTCCCTCGCAAACCCCAACTCCTCTGACCCCAACCCCATCTTCCGCGCTGCATCTGATGCCTTGGATGGCCTTTCCCTTCCCCCAATGAAATCCGCTCTAGCAGACTGGTCAATTAAGGATGATGTCCTTTACTATAAAGACCACGCTTACGTCTGTCCTGCTGGATGACACCTTATTCTGAACCGATGTCACGATCACCCTACCGCCAGTCACCCTGGGCACTTCAAAACTGAAGAATTGGTCAAGCAGGACTTTTGGTGGCCCTCTATGGGTACCTATATCCGTAAATACGTCAAGGGTTGTGCCCTCTGTCAGCAGATGAAATCCAACATCCATCCCACTACCCCACCTCTCATCCCCATTCCTTCCGTTGCTGCTGCCCCATTCGCGCAGGTCTCTGTTGACCTTATCACTGACCTTCCTCTTTGTGCCGGCTTTGATTCTGTCATGGTTGTGGTCGACCATGGGCTTATGAAGGGGGTAATTCTTATCCCATGCACAAAAAACATCACTTCCAAAGGGGTTGCCAAGAAATTCTTTAAATATGTCTACTGAAGATTCAGTCTCCACGAAAAAGTCATTTCCGATCGTGGACCACAATTTGTATCCAAGTTCTCATGAGCCCTTGCCAAACTTTTGAAATACGACATTGCCGCATCCACCACTTATCACCCCCAGACTGATGGTCAGACTGAATGACTCAACCAGGAACTCGAAACGTACCTCCGAATCTACTGCCAAAATCACCCCGAAGATTGGGTAGAACATCTTCCCATGGTGGAATTTGTGCACAACCACCGGAAACATGATTCTCATAACACTTCTCCATTCTTCCTAATGATGGGATATGAACCACGAGCCCTTCCACACATACTCCCTGACTCTACAGTCCCTGCAGCAGAAGACAGACTCTGCTCTCTCCAGAAATCAAGAGAGGAGGCACTCTCCTGTCATAACCTTGCTATGCAACGAATGGCAGAGCAAACTCATGGGCAGAAGTATCACCCATGGAAGATAGGAGATAAGGTTTGGTTATCTGGAAAGAACCTAATCATGCAGTTACCATCGTGGAAACTTGCACCTAAATGATATGGCCCATTCCTGATCACCACTGTCCTATCCCCTATCACTTTCACACTCCAACTACTGCCGCAATGGAAGGTTCACCCCACGTTCCATGCTTCTGAGTTATCGTCCTATCAAGAGACAGAAATTCATGGTACGAACTTCCACGACCCTCCCCCTGACATCATTGATAATGAGGAAGAATACGAAATTGACACAATCTTATCGCACAAGGGCACGGGTAAACGAAGACGCTATCTTCTATCCTGGAAAGGCTACTCCTCCGCCAGCAACGAATGGGTCCCAGAAGAAAACCTTAGCAATGCTACCAAAATCCTTGCTGCCTATAAGAAGGCCCACAAGTTATAGATTCAGAACAATGTCCTCTCTCAAACAACTACATCTCTGCATACTACGCATCGAAGAACTCACCACCGCTATGAACACCATAGCTGAAGGAAATGCCCACCCATTGTCCCTTCTTGACTATCAGACTGCCACTGCCAATGACCTCACCAATAACACATCTTCCCCACCAACTTCCGACTCTACCCTCACACTCACCGATGACTCTACCCTCACCAACTACTTCTCTATCATTGATCAGGTTGAAACTAGCGCTCTATTTGAGTCCGCCATCACTTCTCAACAGTATGCTATAGAAATAGACCGCCTTCTAGGAGAAAGAGGAGCAATATCTAGCAGACTCATTATTAGGATTATCAGGGACGCCAGTCTTATTGAACGTACCGCCAATCTTTTAGAAGATGAGCGTCATAAAACCATCTTCTGCCACCTTCATATACGTATTTGCAATACTGCTATCTGTCTACTGCCTGATGATACTCGAGAAGCCATTCGGGAGGCTATCCACATCGTCATGGAGTGCATTGCCCTCGACCCAATCGCACGACCCCCTTCCCCACACGTCATCACCCCAGTCCCACTGCTGATCCCTACAGCAGCTGCTGCTGAACATCAGGATAGTAATATCCCTCCTATTGCTGTACTGGACATACCAACTTCTCCATCTCCTACCCCCATCGCGCCCACCAAATGTAGATACCCACTCAAACGGAGATCATCCCGCATCGCCACCAAATGGGCTGCATCAGCCTCCCCACATAAACCACTTAAGCGATCAAGATCCCCTTCCCCACCAGAACAATCAACCTCCGTCACAATCATGAAAACTGCACCAGTCGATAATGTTGTGTGCCATAATTGTCATGCTGCCAGGCATCGTCACAAGAACTGCCCTGCATATTATTGTCGGGTGTGCAAGGAGCATGCACCCGGACACCTATCAGTCTTTTGCAGAGAGTTAAAAGAAGAAGCGGTCATTCCACTGGTTTGGACTGATCCAGGTTTCTATGAGGCCTTAGCTCGCTGGGAGATTGAGCAAGATGCCATTTACCATGCCGCTGAGTTAGCCAATAGGTTACTCCCTATTACAGAAGAACAGGACGATTTGCTCCATTCTAACTACGACACTGACCCTATTTACTGGGCAAATCAGGATAACTGAAGTCGGTGACTTCGTTCCTAAACATGGGGTAATGTTACAGTAAACACTTGCCCCTATTCATTTTTCCTCTCTTGTGTATTACGTCATGACCATGTCCTAGTATGCCATCATTAGACTTATCTCTTACCATATCTGTATTACATCACGATCGTCATTACTGTCACTAGATGACTCATTCTTATCTCTGACTTGTTCTTATCTCTGACTTGTGCTTATCTCTGACTCACTGCTGACATATACGTACCTGCCCTAAAGCACTTATGTCTATATAAACTTGGTCATGTACTTAGTAGATCTTTACTTTAATCTTACTAGGTTTTACCAGAACTTCCTTCGCTTAGGACCCCCAATCCTAAGTCGTCTGAACCACCAATATTCAAGTTAGAGACACTCTCTCTAACTTGTCTTACGACCCTTGCTTTTGCAAGGTCTTGATTCAACTTCAGCTGTTGCTCTTATCAAGCAGCTGTTGTTGCGACTATCCTAGTTCGTAACAGGTATATGATTGTATATGTAAGTCATAATCAAAGAGTTGGACTGGCACGAGCAGTGAGAATGAACTGGGTGAGCTACCTAGGAGTATTCATACTCAATGGTGCTGGGCCACAGGTCAGATTGATGTACTGAGATTGTGACAGATGACAGAAGAGATGTGATGGGGCATGTGCAGAGAGGTCTGGGGCAGTAGGGTTGAACATTGAACATTCATAATCAAACTCATGAGAATGTTGGAAATTTCCAAAAATGGTTGCAATGAGGCATTCTTGAAACAAATTTGCCTGCAATGTGTTGTACCATTGCCATACCACTGCAAGACTGTTGCAATGCACATTTCTATGGTAATTTTAAGGACGACTCTATTATTTAAACCCATTTCAAAGGCCATTTTATCTTTAAACCTTGAAATGCCTTACAAGGTGCTGAAATCCAAATTAGGAATTTCTGACAAAATTAGTAAAGACTTTGATGTAATTAGACACACTGTGTCATAAAAGTAGGTATACATGACAGAAGGGCAGTGATAGCCTGAGGGCATGTGCAGAGAGGCCTAGGGTTTGAACATTCATAAATTGGACTTGTGCTCAATAAATTTAAACATAACTAGATGCACTATGATAGAGATGTCATAGTCACACTGGATGACAGAAGGGCAGTGATAGGGCAAGGGTACAGAGGCCTAGGGTTCATAATCAAACTCATGTTCAATGAACATGTTGTCCAGCTCCTCCACAACAGATTCCGTGCTTCCATTTTTCTCCTGGCCAAATAAAACTTCTTCTTCTACCCCAGTATAGTCATAGTCTGAGCCTTCGTCATCTGGCTCCTGATGGTCTAGGTCGTCTCCATCAATGTCTAGACCATCATCAGAAATGTTGTGAATGGCAAGCTCCTCATGGTCAACACCAAGAAAAGTTGAGGTGCTCGGAAACATACAGGCTCTGTGGTATAAGAATCAGTTGTACCAAAGTGTCTTATACATGAGACATAATCTCCAAGGGTGTGAAATTTGCAGGTCTGGAGATTGAATGACACTTTCCTGCATAATAGTTTGTCTGCAGTCAATGTCACCTTCTCTGCCTGACCAGCAGTTTTCTTGCCCTTGTCCACCTGAGATCTTCTGGTAGCTTCCTTTGCCTGACGCCTTGAACAAGCATTTACTTCCCTATCTAGTTCTCTTGAGCCCCTTCAGTGACAAACTCCATATTATATAGGTCACCCAACCTACATAATATCCTGTATAAGATGGGCCAGTAGACTATGGGCCAATGTTATGTATATCCTCAATGTTGACAGGTGGGCCCATCTATGCCAATGTTATAAATATCCTCAACAATGGCAGATGGGCCGGAAGAAATATTATTACTAATGGATTAATGGAGATGGATGGGCCCATCTGGGCAATATGTAGAGTAGGATAGACATATATTATAGACAGCTGGGCTGAAGAGAGATGTATGGTAGATATTATTATATAGACAGGTGGGCCAACATATTAGTATTATTTGTAGACAGGTGGGCTGAGGTGGGGGTTATATTAGATAGATGGGTGGGCTGACATAGGGTATATTAGATAGATGGGTGGGCTGATAGAGGGGGATGTCATATAAATGGGTGGGCCAATGTAGGGTATATTAGATAGACAGGTGGGCCGATGGGGCAGGGAAATATGTATTATATATACAGGTGGGCCAATGTAGGGTATATTAGATAGACAGGTGGGCTGACAGAGGGGGATATCATATAAATGGGTGGGCCGATGTAGGGTATATTAGATAGATGGGTGGGCCGATGGGGTGGGAAATATGTATTATATATATGGGTGGGCCGACATAGGGTATATTAGATAAACAGGTATGCCCAAATACATATCATTTAGACATATGGGCTGAGGAGGGTATCTACTGGGTCATCTGTGGCAGGAATGATATGTGTGGTATGGTCAATAGGCCCACTATTGATTGGTGGTTAGAGGAATGTACCTGTGGGGCCATCTGTGGCAGGAATAATGTGCATGGTATGGTGAATGAGCCCATCATCATGTCCTGGCTAGGGATGTCCATCTGTGGGGGCCACCACTCCATGAGCTAAGGATGGGACATTGTCAATGGGCCACCTATCATGTCCTGGTTAGGAGGGTTCATCTGTGGGGGGCACTGCTGTGGGAACCATGCATGCAATGCCATCAATGGACCTGTCATCATATCATACACATGTGGGAGCCCCTGCTGCAGGGATCACACATATGGTGCCATTAATGGACCTGTCATTGATTGCATACTGTATGGCCTTGGTTGAGGGGTGCACATGGCTGGTGGCTATATAGCCAGTCTGGATGGTACTACTGGATGCTCTATGGCCAGTCTAACCCAAGTGCTGGCAGTATTTCCACATGGGTTCTTCCCAGTTAACTCTGAGAATTTTGGTATTTGCTAGGAATGTGTTAGTTGGTAGTGACAATGAAGAATCAATATTGTACCTTTGATTTCTGCTTTCCCTTCACTGGTTTCTTGGGAGGCATGGTTAGAGAGATCTGGAAAGCTAAGGGGCAAGGGAAACACAACTAAATTTAGAGCAGCACTGACTGCCAATCAGTTAGACATATGTTTCATTGAGGTAGCAAATTGAGGGTGGGACCTAGAATTCAGTCTGAACACACATGGCAATCATGTAATTGTATCAGGTGTGATCAGTCAAGCACTATAACAGTCGGTACAAGAAGGGAAACGCCATCTACACATTGTCAAAACATGAGCCACAAACATGTCATAGGCAGTACACTGAATTGTCAGGAAATAGGAGGGTAAATAAAGGGACCCCAAGCTACACACAGAATGGTCAAGAACATATACTTAATCACTATAGAAATAAATATAAGCACTTGAATATTAGTTGAGAAATGAGGAGGTTACCTCAAAATTCACCTCTAAAACAAACCCTTCACCTTTGATGCCCAGTCAATTGGAACTAACTTCTGATACATCATTGAAACAGCTTTCATTGTCATCCTTTGATTCAGTGCTGTTGACAAAGGGGTCTGTAGAATACTTATCCTTGGGGATTGTCTGGTTGGAGTCATGCAAGTTGTGATTGATTGCAAAGGCCTTGAGTTTATTTAATTGCTCCTCTGAAACACTGAATGCTAGCAGCTCCTCCTTGTAGGAGCAAATATCAAAGTCAAAGTCATCTTCAAGCTGGTTTGCATGACAGTTGGTCATGAACCTTTTGAACATGTGAGCTTCATTGGACACTTCAACATATTCCTGAGCATTCTTTCACTGAAGTAGGCTAAGAAGCATTTGATAATGCTCAGCCTCCTCTATCTCCCTCCCTGATCTTCATCACAAGGTCACAGAATACATTCAGCAACATGCAAATGATGTCAAAGGGTGTTTCCAGATGTTTACATCAGCAAAACCCTAACCCTATGTGCAGTGCTGCACAATGCTGCATAGCAATCACAGTGTCACAGCAAGGTCCCCCCATGTACAGTGCTGTACAGTGCTACACACTACACAATTTCTCAATAAAACATAATTATTAGCACACCATCTTGTTATATACATGTTTGTGACTACATTACACTCATTTTTACATAGAATCAATACTTGTGTGGTGCTGCAAAGCCTTTACAACAAAATCTATGTGACCTGTGACATGCTGTGTGGCTGTGGCACTGTACCCAAATCAGGGTTTTGCTGATGTAGCACCATCAAGATTTGGTCCAAGTTTCATATCCAACTGCATTCAACATTCCACCCATCAATTATCATGCCTAGCCAAGCTGTCCAAGCTGAACCACCAAGTGATACATTTCCATCCAGAAATTGTAATGCAATTTTCTTAGACATGGATCAAGATGCAAATAACCCTGGTTGTAAGTTGGTTCATACTACCTATTGTGCCATGTACTGATGACATCTATTATCTAGTGTCCATTGCTCAAGTTCACATTGTATTCCAGCTGGCTCCACCCCAGCACTCAACTGCAAAGCTTCCTGACTTCTTGTCACACCCCCTCTATGTCCAACCTTTTCATATCATAACAACCCCCAAGGATCTAGAGGACACTCAGTTGTGGAAGCTTGAGAGGGTATATACACCTGCAATGCAGCTCAAAACCCACACCGGGTTTGTCATTCCCATAATGGAGGTAACACACACTGCAGGGTTGGTCCCAGTGTATGGAGAAAAGGTTGACTGTTCCTTGACTTCAGCAACATCTCAAGAGCACTATGACCACTTTTATCTCATCCATTACATGGACAAGGAGATGTATAATGCATTGCATGAATCATTAGACACTGAGTATACTCTTTAGCATTAATCTTATGCCACTGTCCTTTCCAGTAGTAACATCATTTGTAAACACAGTACTGCATGCACAATGATCTTGGTCTTGATTAGATGCTTTTTGGATCAATAAGATGATCAACTTGCTGATAAATCTTGTCTGAGTGCTAACGTGATAATCAGACTGACCAACCAATCACATCCCTCCATCACTGTGAATGTAAGTGTTCATAACATGCTTAGCATAGGTGAGAGAAGCCTTCATTTCAGTGGTTTTGCAGATGTGCTCTTACAGAATATGTTCAATTTGTGTCAATTATGATAATATTGCATAATGGTATAGTAGTACACATCATGGGTACTCCATAGCAGTATTGTGGGCATTTGAAATTAGGATAAACAGTGGGATTATAGTAGCATGGAAACTGAAATAATGCTGCTTGAAGTCATCTGATGAGTGAGAGAATATGAAGAAAATGGACCAGAAAATATCAATGCATGCAGAAGTGGAACAAAAAAAGTTCTAGTAGAGTTGGCCATTGCAGACTAACTTGCCCAAGGTCCAAGAATTGTTGGCAACCTGTTGCAAGCAGATAGTTAGGACAGCATCAGCAAATATACAAGGTACACACCAGTTGGGTGGCCTTGTTGTTGTATTTCTGGTGTGAGATATTTAGTTAATACAGCTAGAAGCACCAGTACCACTGCTTACCCTGTGCTGATCTGATGCTAGGTGTCTGTTAAAAATAATGTCTACTACATCTCCTCATCATATTCCTGCAATAGATGAGGTTATATGTGCATGTTATCACATACTGCAGCCTCACACTGTCTCAGTACAGTAGAATCCCTGTGATACAGACTAAATGTGACAATCATCCCATTGTTCTGAACCTGTGTGGTCAGTGCAATTACCTTCAGATATATGACATATGAGACACTCACTGTGACTTATGTAAGAGGCAGGACTGGTGGAGGAGAATGGTAAGACCTTTAACTTGGAGGCTGGCAGGGAGGATGAAAGATGGGGGAAAGAAAGATGGAAGGAAACCAACAATTTATGTAGCTTTGGGGTGCTGCACAACCTTCATAGCTTGCAATGACATAATGAACTTCATGAGACAAAGGTTGCACTTGGTAATGCAAAGTTCATGCTTACAATAGGCAGTTCGCACTTTTTGCGATACAGAATTTGCGCTCTGTAATACATTTTGATTCAAAGGTGTGATGCAATGCGAACTTTGCGAAGGTTACGTCGAAGACAAATCGAAGAAGTCAGAAACAAGCACACATTGACACAGTACAAATAAGGGTAATTCACACCACAGCATCTCCGAGCCTATCCGGTAAGGTCCAGTTTTGACTGGGGGTCAACGGCGGTATCATACTTTACAGCTACGGATAGATCGTAAAATACTCCAATAATTAAGCAAGTTTTTAACCAAATGTTTGACTCTATTGGCAGCATTAGCACATAATCGAAGCAGCATTTGGATGACCACATACCGAGCGTGCACTTTGTTTAACTTTCGATAGTCGCCATTCGTCGGGTTTCTCGTACTAGTAAATGCATGAGTCTCAGATGTATGTCTCGTATGGATGCAGTTCATACCTTGTTGTACAATGGTTCGATCTTTTCCTGCCTCTTCCGCTTACTAATCTTGTTGGCGTCGGCGACTCTGAAGAACTGAGGTGCAACCTCTACAAGCCATTTTGGCTCTATAGTAGTGACGTTATGACAGTATTCGCGAGTGGTCAACACCAACTCGTTATAGATTAGCCATTCAGGCGCGCGGTTGAAGAGAGCGGAAGAGGGATGGATATATACGGGTGTTCCCTCAACAAGTGTCTTGTAGCCTTCTTGAGGATCTTTCTTGGCTGCGTTCCGGAAGAAACCAGAACATATCGCCTTCCGCACACGGTTGTAATCCTTCCCTGCCGATAGAATATCATGCTTGTATCTGAGAAGATTGTCAGAGTTACAAATCAACTCATCCAGAATTTGCACGCACCTGTCCATGATACCCACTAGCTGCTTGCGAATATCCTGCGCACGCCGCATGCTTCTTGCCTGGATAAAGTTCTCGTAGCACCAAGGATTCGAAAAATTCGCGCCTTTCCAGCCGTTGTATACCGTCAGAAGGGTAAGGTGATCGCCCTCTGGCTGATGGAATTTCGCTTTTTTGGAGTCGGCTTGACCCTGTTTCTCCTTTGGACGATAGAAGACAGATTGGACAGACAGCATGGCCACAATGGAAAGAATCTCTTCAGAGCAACCAAGCTCGACAGAGGCGTTGAGCATCTTTGCAAGTGGCGGCTCCATGGGGAAGTCAGCCATCTTGCGGCCCAAACGAGTCAAAAGACCCTCGTTATCCAACGCCGAAAGTGCGTACAATGACTCCAACGCAGTTATCATGGTCTGCGCTGGCGGTGGATCCATGAAATCAAAACTAAGAAGGTCGTTAATACCCATTGCCTTGAGCATCAGAATAGTATAGGCAAGATTCGTCCGTTGAATATCGGGAATAGAAGTGGGTAACATCTCGTTCCGGTAGGCAGCCTCTGTGTATAGACGGTAGCACTTTCCTGGACCTGTGCGACCAGCACGACCAGAGCGCTGCCGTGCTTGTGCCTGGGATATAGGCATGACCACCAATGAATCCATTCCTAGTCTCGGGTCATATGCATTTTGCTTCGAGAATCCGGGATCAATTACATAGTAAATCCCAGGAATAGTCAAACTAGTTTCTGCAACGTTGGTGGCGATAACGACTTTGCGGGCGCCAGGAGGAGTGGGTTCGAAGACACGCGACTGTACTTCGGATGGAAGGGCGGAATAAATGGGGAGGATGATAAGGTCTGGCACTTTTGGGCCCAACGCTTTCATACGCTCAAAGAGAATTTCGCATGATGTGTCAATCTCCTCCTGGCCCGTCAAGAAGAGGAGAATGTCGCCCGGAGGCTCGGACAGATGGATTTGCATGACGGTGATTAATGACGCGTCCAAGTAGTCGGATTCCGGCTCTTTGGTGTAAAGGATCTCTACGGGGTATGTGCGACCAGGAATGGTGAAGATTGGGCACCCGAAGAAATATTTCGAGAATTTCTCGGCGTCCAAAGTCGCTGAGGTGACGATTAGCTTTAGCTCGGGTCGCTTCTTGACAGCCTCTGCAAGCAAGGCGTCAGAAAATGTCAACAAAATGAAGGTGCACAAACTTGCTTTTAAGAAGACCGAACAAAACATCAGTTGAGATGGTCCGTTCGTGAGCCTCATCAAGCATGACCACGGAGTACTGGCTGCATAGTGGGTCAATCACCGACTCACGCTGCAGCATACCATCCGTCATATATTTGATCTTGGTTTCCGGGCTCGTGCAATCTTCGAAACGGATAGTATAGCCAACTTCTTGGCCGAGACGACATCCCACTTCTTCCGCGACACGCTTTGCGACTGACATAGCGGCCACACGGCGCGGTTGTGTACAGCCAATACGTCCTCTATCAGCAAAGCCAGCCTCCGCGAGGTATTGAACCATTTGTGTTGTCTTTCCAGAGCCAGTGTCTCCAACAACAATGAGCACTTGATGCTATAAAAGTGAGTCAGAAACTATTCGATTGGCAGAAAACAATCAATTCACCTCGTCAATGGCCTTTAACAGAGCGTCTCTAAGCTTATATATAGGTAGATTCTTCCGCTGCTCCTGTATACTGAGGCTTGTAATTTCACCGTATGTCGTCGCCTTGTTCGATGTCGATTCCCTCCATTTAGGTACTTCGCCAGCTCTTTGATCCTTGAGATTACCTCTCATGTCTTGAGCAAACATTCTGTCTGATTCCTTCGCCATAGGGTCGAGCCATGGTGCACTAAAGTCTCGAGCTTCAGAGTCAGCTTGCTCATTCGCTTCTTGCTGACGAAGCTCGCGTCGCTCTTTAGCCAAAGCTGCACCTCCTAGGGCTGCTCTGTTGAGGGAGCCATCAGGAGCTTTGATGATTTTCACAGGACTGAGATCGAGAGTGCGTTTCGTCTGACCAGCCAAGAATGCCGGTTCCTCTTCCCTGATTTCGACGTCAAGCTCCTCCTCAACCTCCGCTCGAGCCACGGGATTGACGAAGTCTTCGTCAAGGTCAGGATACTCGGAAGCATCGATGACACCAGATGAGATGAGCTGCTTAATCTCCCATCGTTCAGGTGAGGTCAGACGTTTGGCGGATCGGGTCGCTAATGGTTCGTCTTTTGAGCGCAATGGTACAGCATTCGCCCCAGAGGACGCGCGAGCCGCTCGTTCGCGCTCTTCCTCCATCTCGGCTTCAGATCTGATCCGTAAGTGAGGGGTGAGATCGCGACCCGTAGCTTGGTCTACATCCTTCATAGATAGACCAATACGGCTGCCCGCGATGCTCATCACCTTAACCTTGACCTGTTGTCCACGACCAAGGAGATCCGACGCGGAGCTCGCACGTGCACCCTGCTGAATATTTGAAACATGCACCATGCCTGGAAGTATGTTAGCAAAACAATGTTGAGGACCAAAATGCTTTGCGCACCTTCGATACGTCCCGCAACGCCCTCTAGTTGCACAAAAGCGCCGAAATCTTTGAGGCTTGATATTCGGCCACTGTATATTTTAAACAATATCGGCCGCTCGTCTGCATTTCTCCCCCTCCAATCATCCCTCCTTGAGTTGTAATTGCGACCCCTGTCAGGGCTTGGACTACGACGGCGTGGTGACCGTGACCGAGATCTGTCTCTTCGCTCCCGCTTCGTAGGCCTCTCGTCCTCATCTGTTGTTTTTGCCCTCTTCGCAACACCTTCAAACTGAGCCATCATATCGTCCACCTCTTTCATGAGCACATCCTCCTCCTTGTCTGGCACAGCGAGCCCAGGGAAAAGTCGTTTCTGCTTGTCCTTTTCACGACCAAGTGCGTCTCCGTTCGCTTGGGCGTGTAACGCGCCATGAGTAACTAAACTGGATTTCTTCTTGTGTTTCGGATGCAAGCTCAGGATTAAACGATCCACGTTCTCAACAAATGAGTCGGGGAATTCAGCGCCAGCATTACTGAGCTGTGATTTGAAGTCGGGAAGTGATTTAGATTGATCGTGAAGAGAAATGACAAATTCAGCGAGTGTTTTATCGTTAATGCCAGTATAGTTGTCAATCTCCTGAGTGATTTTAGCGACTAGCGAGAGTACTTCAAGGTTGTAAAGATCATTCTCTGCCATAGCAAGGTTGTAATAGGGGCTAGAGTTGTTGAGAGTAAAGTAGATGCTGCGAGCAGGCCCCGGAAGCTTCCTATGATGTTCAGCGCTTTCAGCCTTCAAATCGTTCTGAGGCAACGACAAGGGTAGTCACGCATCACGGAAATGTCACAGTAGTAGTGTGACAATGTGACATCCGTCGGAGTCGAGCAAAATTCAAGTGAAATGTCGGTAGTAACTGTCTTAAGATTCTAAAGATGCAACGAGCTAACAAAACTATGCGCCTACCAGGAATCTGTGACCTCTACAGAACTGAAACAAGTACATTCCAATGCTTCTCCGCATCAGGAGATAACTTGCATGCTCCGCCACAGTTGGGTACAAGTACCCGAGGTTAAAGGTGGTCGACTGACTCGCAGGTGGGAACAGCCTCTTAGGTTAGAGCTTACATAATTTTAAATTAATAATTCCTTTCTTGTTTGACCATCCTCAGGTCTCAGGCTTTAAGTTAATCATCCTGGGCGCTCACTTGGAATTTGACGAAGCTGAAAAAAGTTGATGCCTCCTCGCAAGGGCATCGTAAAAACTGGGAATGCAGGAAATTCATCCAAGACCAACAAAAACTCTGGCGCAGGTTCGCCTTCGCAGTTAGGTGATGCAGAGCAAGAAAAACCACTCTTCCCACCCGGATCCAAGTATCCTCTTAGTCTACTTCAAGAAAGGTATGGCTCATGCATGCTTTTTTTGCCTTTGTTGTAGGAGTTCCGTCGCACTCGAAAATGATGCCTGCCAATCATTCGAGAGCATTAACGTACTCTGTATCATCACGACCCACAGATTTCCAGGCTAACTTCCTTATTCACAGGTGTCAAAAAAGTGGCTGGGATAAGCCAACCGTCGAGACAGTGAGTGTGACTATTTTATCAAGCCTTTTGTTATAGCTTAAAATCCGCAAGCGTAAACATGGCAATGATTGGTCTTTCGCTGTTCACATCGCCCGGTTCGATAAGAAAACATCGCAAACAGAAAGTGTCCGACTGGAACCTCACCCACCTTATTTGAGACCAACTACGCTGGAAGCGCGTCATTGGGGTGCCACATACGCTCTGTACCGTGTCAGTGTCTTTTTTTTGTCATGCTTCACATGGCAAGTAGGATTGAGCATGAGTCACCCGGCAGTTCTGTAATGGACTTCAACTTAATCGCGTATTACCACCTGGACCTCGTGATTACTGGACCGAGTTGGCAACAGAACATAAAAATGCTCCAGAGCACATGAAATGGATGTATGATGCTGATCCTTTTGCTGCGCGTAGAGCAGTAGATGAGAGACAAGCGAAGGCAGCCAAAAATCGACAGCAAGGAAATTCAAAAACCTCCATGATGCCGGGGTCCAAGGAGTTTGCTAATTCCCCCGAGGTGAGAATGTCCACTGAGTTGCGGGATTTGGTGGAAGATGTTGTCAAGAAGGTAATCAAACTTCGATGGCAGACGCTATTGTTATTAACCAAATTTCCAAGGGGAATGCACTGCACTTTGGTGAAGACCCTGTGACATCTGTATTGCCCGTGGAGGCTATACCAGCTGTTACTCAGCAGCTCGGCCACTTAGGTTTCAAGTCTGATCAAACACGCAATACATTGGCCTTTCTATCCAAACCTTCGGCTCTCGGGGGTAAATTGTTGAATTCAATGAGCCCGCTGGAGGCGTGCATAGAACATCTAGTTCTTCATCTCCCAGAATGTGACCTTCCCGCGCGCTTCTTTCCTGGAAATAATTCCTCTGATCCATTTATTGTCTCTGGTCACTCCGGCTCTGATGACTTGGCAAAGCGATGGGTGGAGGAGAAAATTATCAAAGAGGCTGGATTTCCTGCATACACCGTCAAAGAGTGTACTGCTGACAGAGACTCAGTAACAAATGTGGATCTGCTGGTAGCTTCTTTAGATCATCGCCTCCTAGGTGAAAGTGCGGGTGCCCAAGCTAATCCAGATGACATGATTCTGGCTAATGTCGTGGACGGTTTACGAAGAAATGCGGACGAAGTAGAGGCTCTTGGGGCCCATTTTGTCGACGCGAACCATGTATCGATGCCTCTGTTCAGCGCGCCCGTGGAGCTACACGTCTTTCTGCCGTCCTGTTCTGACCACTCCTTTCACAGTTATCCCCCTGTGTATATCACATCAAAGTCTATCCCACCGTACATGCGACTTCATCTTCTCTCACAACTGTTGCAAGAAATGAAACAGGATGGGTTTATGGAGTCAGGAGAAGGCTTTCTTATGGCAGCAATGCGAGTCCTCGAGGAGCAATGGGCACAGGTTCAGTCCAACGGTTCGCCAGATGTATCGGAAGTACTAAAATTCTTGATACCTTCGCCCACTGCATCCCCCACCATCCATACAGGCGCTGCTTTACCGACCGGTCTTAACGAAACAGCACGCCACAAATTCCGGCGTCGCGGTGACAATCGACCGAATTCACAGGTTAAGTCAGATTTCGACAAATTATGCCAATCTCAGGCATATGCAACGATGTTATCAGCTCGTAGACGCCTTCCTGCATTTGCTGCCAAGGACAAATTCTGTCCTTGCTCGAGCGCAACCGGGTAGTTGTCGTGGTTGGAGAAACAGGTAAGCCTTGTTATCTGCCACCAGCCCTTAAGTTAAAGTACATCTACAGGGTGTGGCAAAACCACTCAGCGTAAGGCATAGTCAACCCTGTCCATGATGTTTCCTGAGAGGCGTCAATTTAAAGTTCCACAATTCATCCTAGATTCCTTGATACTTTCGGGACATGGTGCTGAAGCTTCGATCATTATCACCCAGCCTCGCAGAATTTCTGCCGTATCTGTTGCTGCGCGGGTTTCTGCAGAACGGATAGACGATGGCTCTGTTGGATATGCTATTCGTGGAGAGACTAAGCATAACCAAGCGACAAAGTTGCTCTTCTGTACGACTGGAGTTGTTTTACGAAGGCTAGGATCCGGCGACGGGCTAAGGGATGTCACACACATTGTTGTCGATGAGGTGCATGCCAACCTTTCATAAATGTCAACCTACGGCTGACTGACTACACGTAGGTTCACGAACGTTCTGTCGATGGTGATTTTCTTCTTCTGGAACTCAAGGAATTGTTAGCACGACACTCTACACTCAAGGTGGTGCTCATGTCAGCAACAATCAATCATGAAACATTTGTGAAATATTTTAACAACGCCCCAATGTTGACTATCCCAGGCTTTACACACCCAATCACAGATATGTACGTAGTCTCTTTGTCTCGACTGCTCGAATACTCGACTACAATCCTCATCCAAAAATGAATTATCACAGGTATCTAGAAGACTACATTTCGTCAATTTCCTATAAGCCGGCATCAGCCAAACCAAATAAAAAAGAATCGGAAGAAGAGAAACATGCATTCAGGAATTACTGTAGTTCGAAGGGCCTCAGCGAGGAGTCAACGTCTGCAATTCAAAACATTATGCACGCGGAAAGGATTGACTATCAGGTTGTATTTTTATGATGTTGCAACACTAGACCAGTAAACTCATCATTCTTGTCTTAGCTGATTGCTGCTATTGTTCAGCACGTCATTGCAACGTCACAGCGAGGCGGGATTTTGATTTTCCTTCCTGGAGTTCAAGAAATTCGTTCTTGTATTGATGTAATGCGTGGCATGCTCGGTGAGAGGGCTGAGATATTGCCTTTACATGCGAACCTGTCAAACGATGAACAACTGGCTGTTTTTGCGAATACAAAACGATGGAAAATCATTGCCGCAACAAACGTTGCCGAGGTTAGTTTGTTGTATCAGTTAGTTCCTATAGCTGAATATTTCAAAGACGTCCATTACCATTGAAGATGTTATCTACGTTGTGGATTCGGGGAGAGTCAAAGAAACGAACTATGATCCAGAGAGCGGGCTGTCTCTCTTGAAAGAACAATGGGTTACACGTGCCGCAGCCCGCCAACGCAGGGGTAGGGCCGGCAGAACGCAACCAGGGGTTTGCTACAAGCTTTATACTCGCAAACAGGAAGAGAAAATGAGCCGTTTCCCAATACCAGAAATACTGCGAACACCGTTGGAGAGCATTTCGTTAACCGTGAAGGTGATGCGCGAGAGTGAGGACGTCAAGGTTAGTGATTCTACGTGATAGGCGCAGTCCATTGACGTAGTCTCTTTTTCAGCATTTCCTAAATCGGGCTATCGATCCTCCCGAAGTGTCTGCAATGGATAAGGCCTGGAATGTCCTTGAGGAGCTCGGAGCCATTGATGCAGATGGCCACTTGACTGCTCTTGGGCGCCATATTGTGCGTGATTGCAGTCGTGTATCTGCGTTCATTGTTTGACTAGCGGACGCGCTGTTTGTATAGTCAATGCTACCCGTGGATTTACGACTCGGGAAGGTTTGTGGTACATTGAATATGGGACGGAGTGACTTATTAACAATGTCTCCCAGATGCTAGTTCTTGGCACGATTTTTCAATGTCTAGACCCAATTCTTACGGTTGTAGCTTGCCTCTCGTCGAAACCTTTATTCCTCAGTCCTATGAATAATAGGGATGAAGCCACTAAGTAAACATTTCGCTATAATGTCCACGACCGGGACTCATTTGCATCCGTAGGGCGAAATCACGTTTTGGCGAAGACAAAAGCGATCTGCTCACAGATGTCAATGCGTATAATGAATGCATGCGCCTTCAGTCTGAGGGCAAGAGTCAAAAAGCATTGAGACATTTCTGTGAAGAGGTATGATGTTTTGCTGTAAGGGAACTCTAGAAATGACCAGTCTTGTGCAGAACTTTATCTCAACGGCCACCGTCAGGGAGATCACCTCATTACGCCGCGACTTCCTCTCCTCTCTTTCAGATCTCGGTTTCATCCCGCGTTCCGCAAGAGCGAGTTCAGAGGAACTGAATGCAAACAGTGCAAACACAAACATTGTCAAAGCCGTCATTCTTGGCGGCCTGTGGCCTCGCGTTGCTCAAGTGCACCTTCCGCGTTCAGCGATCAAATTCGATAAAGTGCAAGCGGGCACTGTTCAGCGCGAAAATACTGCAAAAGAGTACAAGATCCACGATCTGACAGATGTGCGCGTCTTCTTGCATCCCTCGTCTGTCCTCTTTGGAGAGTCGACGTGGAAGTCGCCGTTCCTGGCGTACTTCCAGAAACAGATGACTAGCAAGATTTTCATCCGCGGTGCGACTGAGGTGTGCATTTTTTTTTGACGTGATTGTGGTCGGCATACTAAGTTGCGATCAGGTTCCGATGTACGCATTGCTTCTATTTGGTGGACCTGTGTCGGTCAATCACATCGGGGGCGGTCTCACTGTTGGAAAGGGTGGAAGTATCGTCAAGTTGAAGGCATGGCCCCGCATCGGAATTTTGGTGAACCAACTGAGGTAACTTGTCCCTGTCATCCATTGATCTCAAATACACTGATATTCGAACATTGTATACAGACGTCTCCTTGATGCGCAATTGCAGCAATGTATCGAAGACGGATCAATGTTAACGTTGAGTGCCAGTCAGCATAGTGCAGTGGCCAATGCAATGAGCGCGCTGCTCGCTAACGACGGCCTGTCCGGATAATGCCCGGCAAAAATGCGGCTCGAGTTGACGGTGCGTTACGAATGTAGAAAGTAGGGAGGGCTGCATTAAAATAGTGTATCTCGCTCAAATAGAGTGTGTTGCGAAATGATTAGATAATCTGCTGCGATGATTGCTATGACCCAAGTGTATGCTATATGCTAATGTTTGGTGGGGAATGTATGCTAAGAGCGTGGTATCGACCATATGCCCGTATGTACAATTGCAATAACGTATAAAAATCTGACTAGCGAATCTTCAGCATGTCAAGCCTTCAAGGAACATATAAAAAACCCACCACGACTAACTGACAGGAGAAGTTAGCTATATTCATCCGAAGGGACGTCAACAGCTTGTTCAAGGCCTACAATTGTCCACAAGGCAGTGGACCCACGTCCCGCAGGCTCACCAACGGAAGTCAAAGCCTTCAGAGGTGTTCTTTGAGCTACTTCGGCAGTAGCACTCGGAATGGCTTCTTGAGAGTGCGTCAATTCCGACAAACACTGAGCTAGCTCGTCCACAAGGTTGTCAGGCGGGTATTCACTCTCGGATGCGTCTATTGGCGCAAGGGTGCGAGAGTGCGACTTGAACCCCCGACGACCCTCAGTCCCTTTGTATTTGCGACGTGGTCTCTTGATAAGAACGTCATCCAGGCTACCATTCACTAGATCATGACACTGCCCAGGCATCACAGCATTCCAAGGAGGACCGTATGGCTGCGTGCGAGGAACAGACCGCAAGGAATGCTTGCCTGTCAACTTCGGCATGTTGTCCTGTAACTGCGGTGTGGGCATAGGAGACGGACACTCTAAGCTCGAAGGAGAACTGATGGCAGAGGACTTAAACACGGGAGTAAAGTGGCTCGTGAATGTCCTACGAAGTGCAGATGGCGAATTCGGAAAAATGGCTATACAGAAAACCGTTATTACTTTGTCTCTTGTAAACCTGGAGAATGCGGTGCTTACAAGTGGACGATGTCGCGGAAGGTGCTAAATCAGGCGACAGACCCGCAGGTTTGGGACTTGACCATGGACCAGATAATGAAAACCTCGACCTGCGACTGAATTTCGAAGTCTCAAGTTCTGCAAGCGTAGGCTGATTAAGTATTGATTTGGCATCATATCATTTGATAAGGTGGCACACGCACTGGGGGCAATCTTTGATTTCCTCGTTCGGAAAGGATTCACGTATTCTGCACGATACATTTCACCGGAAGGCGGGAAGGGAGGAGGCGATGGCAACGTTCTCACGGGACACCCGGCTGTAGGGTTTTGCTGTTGAGACTGCTCCTTCGCGCTAGCGTTCATCACAACAGGTGCACACGGTGGAACGCTTGCTGGACGGCGTTTTCCGCTCAGGGCTCTCCGAACAGATGGTAGTCGTAAAGATATGGTCCTCGACGAGCGTGTAGAAGCTGTTCCTTCGGAAAAAGAATCTACTTGAGGTAGGTTCATCGTGCCATGTTCATCACAGCCCAAGCTATTTCGACGACCGTGACGGCATTCACAACGCTCATCGAAACACTTGAGTGGAAGGTCATGTACACGGGTACTCTTTGATGTGGGCGACGACCTGTAATTGCACGCGGTGGTATTACTTTCGTCTCGTACGGTGGATGAGGATGGAACTGATTCCCCTTGTGTTGATCGACGCCTGGAGAATGGAGACATTGCAGGTGGCCAGCGACGCTGAATTGTCGGTGTCATCGGGGACGGGTTCATGCTGACAGACCTCGCCAAACTTGGATTGTAGGATTCTGGCGCTCCGATATTGAAAGAAACATGCCTCGAGGTCACGAGGGGTTGACCCTCGGAACAAGGTGTTTTATGCAGGTCAGGAAACGACGCTGCTCGCCGAAGGGAAGGAGTCTTGGACCCGGGAAGTATCAGCGGTAGTGTCTGAAGCATAGGTTCTGGAGAAGAAGTCAATACAAGACCATAGAGCTTCTTTGGACTGCGAGGGAGTTGGCGAGGGATCGGTTCTCGGTATGGAGGTGCCTGTGTCCTCATCGCAGGGACAATCCAAACCACTCCGAGAGCAAATATACTCTATTCCACGGCTCTATATTTAGAACATCACCCTAGATTAAGCTGTAGACACACCATAACGAATCCAAGAAGACCGAGTAGCAAGGCGAGGATGCCTGCGAGCAGAGTTTGGACTCCAAGTTCGTCTGCGTAATTATCAAATATGATGAAGATCATGGGAACGAAAGTATTGTTAAGGTTCCTCAAGTAAGGACAGCCTCGGGGTGGAGAAAATCGCAGGAATAGATCGAGGCGGCGTCTGAGAGGCGTAGAGGGTGAAACGAAACTACAAGGCATCCATGTGGGGTACCTCAGATGGACCGAGGCACTGGAGGGATATTTGATGTATGATGGGCGACTTTGCTGCTGCTGCATGAAACAAACAGTGATATCAATGCAGCGCAGTGGCAATGAGCATGTCAGCCACAAAGGATGTTCGTGAATTCGTAAAAAAAAGAGAGAGATGGACGGTAAGATGACGTTAGAGGACGTTGGTTCGACGTGAAGGCGGGTCAGCGGGCGAGCGTCGAAGTGGTTCGACGCGAACAGCGTAAATCGGCAGTACTTACATACATACAATCTTAGACTTAATAAAAGTGGAACGACGTCCATTTTAACTCCTACTGCCTCCACCCCGAGCCCGAGCTTGTCGTCGTTCATTTCAATCTCAGCGGCGCTTTGCTATATACATACAACACAAAGTCTATTGAGCAGAACAACTAGAGTTAAGTACTAGTACCAATCTGCACAATCGTAAAAACATGGGGGGACGTAAGACTAGAATGTAAGTAGCACAACAACGTCAACGGTCCAGGAATAGAAGATGCCAAGCAATCGAAGTCCTGTAGTACGAAGGAAAGGACTAAACGCCCAAAATTCAGTCGTCTATAGCATGGAAAGAACGTAAAGTCTTTGAGAAATATCCAATGAATCTGCACGCCTACTCCGTTGGTGAGCACGCGTGGCCATCACTGTCTAGCGAATAACCAGGTTGGCAAGACGAGATTTGACATTCACCAGTGACGCAAGCGACGCCTTCAACATGTGGGATCTTCGTGCAGTCATGCCTTAATAAAAATATAGTGGTCAGCCAAGTATAATCGTGGTCATCACCATATGCCTACTCAATAGGATCAAGACTGGAACAACCGCCGCAGGAGCGCAGATCTGCCGTAAAATCGACACACTCGAATCCTATTGCTTCCCACTCGGCAAACGTGCGAGGGAACTGCCCAGGTGTGCTCAAAACGGGGCAAGCTACAAGCCCGTCGAGACAGAATCCACGAGATTCCGCGGCGGTCGCCGCGCCACCCATCACGTGCTGATTCGTCTAGGCTGCGCCTTTTTGGAGCTGCGGAGTCCTCAGCGGCGCGCCTAGACGGGGCCGGCGCAGCAGCACGGGCGTAATGAGGTGAAGCAGCCAACTGGCGAGCTGACGGCCGCTTTGTAGGAGAGGCTTGAAGAGCAGCGAGACGCTGTAATGGACTGGCCTCGCGAGCAACATAAGCTGCGGATGGCCCGGGAGCGGGAGCGCGTTTGACCAAGGATCGCTTAGCAGGAACCATGGAAGGTCCTGGCTGCCGAGGAAGAATGGGGAGTGCATATCTCTTTGACGGCGTGGGGTTTCGAGCCTGGACATCGAGTGAGGATGCCACGGCGACTGCAAACGAAAAGAGAAAAACAATGAGGAAAGAATTCTTCATGATGTTGACCGGTATGAGGAGAGGAACTAAAAAATGGTCTCCAACGAACGAGGAGCTAAAGGACAGGCGGATTTAAGAAGTAGAGATAAAGAAGCTGTGCAGTAGAAAATGATCTATGATGACGAAGAGGCAATGAGGTTGTAGTAAGGCAAAGCAACTCTCACAGCGCGGTTATCCTGACGGTTCAGGGTAGAGACAATTAGTGGATGCTGGAAGAGTTTGAAAGAGGCGCGGGTAGAAGATTCGGCTGTGTGGCTAGTTTCAAATCGTCAGCCCCACTGATCTCTGCCACAACACCCCTAGCAGGTTCATGCCGATCGGCAGATGAGCAAACGCCATCGAACGTTGATAAGACAAATATAGAGACTTCCAATCTACCCTCAGGACTTTGTCAGACAAAAGCATCACGAGTTCTTACCATCATTGATCGGTAAAGACGTTGAGTAAAGGTGGAGCAGGAAGACGTTCTGCACTGGCAGTTAATTATAATCTTAGTGTCAAATGTCACACTTATCAATGTCACAATAATCACGTGATCTACGTGTCGCAGCTTGCCAAGTCGCGTCTTCTTCCAATTCACCAGTATCATGTCTCACGACGAATTTGAACATTACGACTTTTCAGAATTCACTGAGGAGGAGCTCGCCCGTTTTGATATGAGCGCCACGCAAACTTCCCTGCAGGAGGTCAACCCAACTTCGGAATCGCAGCAAAATATCTCGGCGGGCCCCGGTCTCAGTAGTTTTGGTGGCGGACCTGCGCTTCATATTGCTATTGAGTTCCCGACTGATGCGAATTCTATTGAAGAAACTTCTAAACCTACTGTCAGCACGAGAGTGTCTCATCTCTCGGCCAGCGCAAAGCCCCCGCAGCTAACTAGCCCGCTTTTTTCTGGAATGCGCGAGCGAAATCAGACGAGAAATCTCTACGAGAAGTTTCTATCTTGGAGGAATGCATTCTCCGTGACAGACCTTGTCTCACCTGTTTGGTTGGTTCAAAAGCCGTTCATTCACCCCTTTCTTACATATTATAGGTGTGAAGTACAATACGAGTATGGGTTGTACGGAGAGCGCCACAAACCGCTCGAAAAGCGACCGTCCTCTTTCAAGTCACGAGATGGTAAAAAAATTCAGGTCAAACAAAATGTCGCACAACAGAACGACAGGACACTCAAGAGAGGGGCCGTATGTCTTATCATTTGTTCGTTTTGCGGAAGAAACGACCTTTTATTCTAGTCTATTCACAAGCATCTGGAACTGGAAGTACGGCCAGAAAAAGTTTTTGTCCGTACATCAAATAATGAAGAGCGTTGGGCGTTACGGTATGAATGTTGCATTCCCGTTGCTCAAACCATTTCCTGAGCTGTTCAACAGCCTTTTCAATCTGACTGCGGGCTTAGAACAATTAATGTTTGAGGGGCTAACGGTAGATTTCCCTGATGGTGGGACGATCACGGTTGGTGCTAACGCAATTTTGTAGAGGGAACTCCCAGTTTTCGGAATTACGCATGGGCAAGTCGTTTTCGGAATTATCGTAGGTATCTCCGCACCCAAATAATGAACGATTGACATACATCTGATCTGGCAGGATGAAGTGACTCGCCGTGTTCCATCAGAAGTAAACAAACTTCATAATCCTATCAAACGTAGCCTGGTCTCTTCTGAATCATCTCCCGTCAAGAAGAAGCAGCGTCGGTCGCCGTCCCCATCCCAAAACGACATACCTGTTGTTTGTCCAAATCGGTCTACTCCCGAGGAGACCTGTGCAGCGGATCAGCCCACAACCGAGGAGGAAATTCGTGACAATTCTATGGCAGGAAGTTCGATCCCATGGCCCGTTCATCCAGAACCCATGTTTTACGATTTGACGCTCGTCGACTACAAGACTCGTCGCGTACCATCACTACCCCCAGATGAGGATACGGTATCATCACAAATGCAACTTATGCTTTATCACCGCCTGCTCTCTCCGCTCCTCTCACCGGGAACCTTTGATTTTGATGCACTATGGGCAAAGCAATCCGTCAATCCGCATCGATCATTTACCAGGGAATTTGTAGAAGACATCGGTTTGCTAACAAGAAATGACACAGACCTTCCTTTTCATGTAGATCTGAGTTCCATGGTCGCCGCATGGGTTTCTGTCGTCCACTCGGCTCGGAGCAGCGGTGAACGACTGAGAGGCGTCCATTCCGAGCTGCAAATTATCTACCGGAGAGCTGGGGTCAAGAAGGACTCGATTCATAATCGAAAACAAAAGGCGAAAACCGGTGAAAAGGCAGTCGATAACCCCCCGGGAAGGCTTGCCTCCCAAGAGGAATTAGATATAGCTCGTGCCATTGAAGAAAGTTTACGCCCGCCTAGTCAGGATGCCGGAGAGGCCAGCACTTCTCAGGCTGCAGGCCACAGCATAAAGATTGCATCTGCACAGAGCGAAAAACTTCCAGATGATGAGGTTATTGACCTCACTAGCCCTGTTCGGGAACATTCTGAGCCGACATTGGTAGTGCAAGGTTCGTTGCCTGCCGGCACCTGTGACAATCCCGACTTCAATCCACAGTCGATTGCCATGAAAGGTCTCGAAGCGAGTCAGTGTGAAACCTCGTCGAGAATTCTAGTATATTAACGCTTACGCACAGCTCCAGCGGCTGATGAATCAACTGGCTTAAAAGAAAATGGGAATCTTCCTGATCAAAATGGTGACTCTCTAGTTGAAGAAGATACCTCTGGCCTTTCGACGATATTAGGTACTAGGAAGTTCTTCATGGACGAGGACCGGCTCGATGCACATCTTATAGATGTTCTCCGTTGGTGGTTCGGCTTCCGTCCTCCTAGGGGCGTTGAACTCGCGCAGTCCAATCGGTGTGGGTGAGTTCTCTCAGTAGGCAGTGTCGTGAAAGCTATTCACACCTCGACAGCACTTGCGAATATCTAGACAGTTGCGAATGGAGAGAACGGAAGGCTTTCGAGGCTAGTAGCATCGCTTTCGGAAAGCGTAAGGCGACATAGTCTTCAAGCAGTTAAACTCGTTGGTCATAACCCGAAGCAAGCGAAGGATCGATTGTATCTGGGCGGAACAATATAACTACGGATGTATTTAATTTCGTGCATACAAGGTAGGCTACTGGGTTGGACCCTCGCAGACTTAGAGAGCCTGACTTCTACAGATGCACGCCTATTCTCACCTCGATATCGTGTTACGCACGTGTCCCCCATGGTTTCGACAGATCTCTCACCTTCTTTCGTTTCGTCTTAGTGTGGAACATTAGGCTTGTATAGACAAAATCTTGCTTTGATCTCTAATGATATATGGTCTTAACATATCTACCTCAACCAATCCTTAGCTGCTATACACCCCTATGTCAATTTTCGACGTAGTCATCCAATCAACAGCGATCCTCGTTCCTGATTAACGTACCAACTGACGAAGGTTCTTACTACATGTCACATGTAGTACCTGAGTTGCATCTATAGCACAACTGACCAGCCAATCAACTTCGTTCTTCGTTCCTGGGGATGGCGAGCAAGCTCAACTTAGAATGCTGAAAGCCAGTAGCGTGGTCAGCTAATTATTGACAACGCAGACCACTATGAAACCGAAAGCAGTGGAACTGGTTAGATCAACCGCTGGGGTAATAATAACGAGCTTACAAGGCGCCCATCGCCACATCATCCGCTTAGATGTATGACGTCTGATCGTCCAAGCGCTTATGTTGCATCGAAACCTGAGTGCAATGCCTCGGCAGGTTGAACTTGAAGGGGCCCGTGGAAGTTTCCACGAGTCGCCATCGCAATGGTTTGCTAGGCGGTGTCACCGTATTGTGGACCATGCAACACCCAGTACTAGACCAATACTGGTTCTTGCTGTTGTGACGACGCGTCCCAGCCTCGACAATTGGACTGGGTAAAGCTGTGGCAGTGCCAGCTAGTAAAGTTGCAACGTTGAGCTGTCTTTTTCGGACTATTAAGGTCCCGGATGATGCATTGATCATATCGGGGACCACGTTACCATAAACCACAACGTTGACCTCCGCTGTACAGTCACGAAATGGATGGTTGGGTTGATTACATTCATTTTTCGTTCCTCGGTGAACATATCCTCTTGAGTTCTCTGCGCCTACACACTGTCTGGGATTTATTCCTCGGTGTTATCCTGACTTCTGTCATATGTTTTTCCGAGAGGTTCGTGATACAAACTCGTCCTTTCACCCACTCTGAGTGATTGAAAACAAAAGATTCTTGTCGTTTGCTATTACCAAGCATTGGCGTCCTCATTTCATTGGTCGTTCGCGACTAGCAAAAGCAGTATGGAGAGCAACGTTATATGGTGTTGCAACAACACTTAGACTGTGAGTTGGGTCTTCACCAATCTACAAAAAAACAATGTCGAACTGTGAAATATCACCAGACTTTACATGCTTATCGCCATGTCATATCAAGTAGGGTGAGTCACACTTTTTCAATGGAAGCTAAGCTGGCCTGACCGGCTTTGAGCAAGTCTCATCCTTGCCGTTGTGAGTCCCAATAGTCATGTGAGATCATTGCAGAAAATTTACTCTCCAAAAGGTTGTCATGTTGTCAGTCGGACAATTCCTCTTCGAGTATGTTGATGCTGCCCCAGCAAAATCAACCACGTAAGTGTCTTATTTATCGTAAAGTAGCTTATAGAGGCTAATCAAACCCCTCCTACTAAGCTATGATAAGATTAGAGATCCTCTCCTGGACTCTGAGAGTGAGGACGACTCATACAATATGTCTACACGATCATGGCAGCCCAAAACCCGCCGAACGAAGCCAAAACCAGAGGCTATTCTTATTCACCCCGGCGACTCTAACCTCGCCCGCGCCGATGCTGCGGCGCAGGAACTTGGCATAGCTGGTGACACCGAGCGAGTAAAAGTCAATCGCTATCCTGTTGATCAGGATGCTTGGGAGCATGGGAAGGGTAGAGACATAGCCCGACAATTACTTGGAAGCACAGCACGACGTCCTCAGTCCCCGCCAGATAATCCCATGTCCCAGATTTCCAATGAGTCTTGAGCCCCGAGGGTTCAGAAATTGTAGCACGTCAGATTGTTGTATAAATGATCTTTACAAGCCATTGCAAGCCATACGTGAACGAACATGAGCAAATATATTATAGGTCGGGTGAATGTACATGTTTAGCTGTCCTTGCCAACTTCCCCGGAGACGAGACCAGCTCGTTTGGGGGTAAAATCTCCTCTACGAGGGATAGGAGCTCGAGGTGAATCAACCTCAGTTTTACGCTGCCATTGGTCAATGAGTTTCCCCACTCCCTGATAAGGTTTATCAGGCGATGGCGAGCGCGGCTCTTCTAGAGGTGTGGAGGGTTTTGGGGAGGAAAATGGTAGCGATACTGAAAGCCCGTCCAAGGGGCCGGTCCGTGATGATCCAGATGTGAATCGACTGGGTGTCCCGGAGGGTAATCCTACAACAGAATTTCTTAAATTCATGTCTGCCTTGCTCTGGTCCTGACCGGCAAGGGCTGCCCTGGCTAAATCTATCGCAGATGGTCGTGGTTTCCCTGAGTCAACTCCGGGACCCGACTCCTCAGGAGCGGGTGTAATGACTCTGGAGGCTGTGAATCTCGACACTAATGGGGAGCTTGGGCTTGTGCCCGTGACGTCTACAGCACGACCAATTCCAGTAGACGAGGTTGGCATCTTCAAACCTGTTGATTTGGGAGTCATCACAGGCGGACCTGAGCCTGGGCCTGGGCCTCTGACTTTGCCCCCGATAGCTTCGAAGCGCTGGACCATGTCTGTTATCGAGGTCCGCCGAGCGCCGTGTTTGCGAGAGTTGTCTTCTGGAACAGATAGACCCGTAGGGTTTGATGGTGTGTCCGTCTTTCCATCCGAAGTAGACTTTGACATCGGAAAGGCAAGCATAGACTGCGGCCTCGCGCGAAAGGATGAGACGGGGGTATTGCCAGATGAGGGGGTGTTTGCAGCAGATGCCTGCTTTGTATGAGGTAAGGGTCGCTTAGGAGACCGGCTTGGTGAACGACGCTGAGAGGCATTGAGCTCTGAAGGTTGTGACTGCATTCGGGGCGATACAGGCCTCGGCCTAGCCATTGAAGAAACGGCAATTGATCTGCTCTTTTGTAGTTTTACACCAATTTCCCTGGTCGGATCACTGAATGCAGCAACGGCAGGACTGTGAATGGAATCCTTTGGTCGCTCTTTCGTCTGTACCACACCTCCTCCCCATAGATCAACGAGGTCATGCACGGAACTTTGCCGGCCCCTCGTCTTTCGTCTTCGCGATGAACCTGTCTTCTCAACTAGTTTCCCCCACCCAACAGCATCCTCTGGCTCCTCTTCCCCATCACTTGACGAATCATGAATTTTAGTTGGCTTCGGCGACTCAGAGATAGGGATAGCTCTCCACCTATCTGAGTCATCCTGCGAGGGACGCTTCGATGGCTGCGATGTCACTCCCTGACGAGACTCTAGATCCGGCTTCAGTGCAAGAGCAGCAATTACTGGTTTGGGCGCAACCACTGGCAGCTCTCTAGGTTTCTTTGGTGTCACAGGGGCACTTTGCTTCCGCTCTCTAACACTGGTACCTCGCGCATGCGTCTTGGATGGCGATGGAGGAGTTTTCACTCGATGGGGAGGCTGTTGAGCGGTGACAGCTTCCTGTGGTGATTGTATAGTTGTTGTGTTCTCCTCGATGAATGATGATCGCTTGTTCGTAAACTCGCGCAGAACGGGCGTCGGAGGGAGGTTGCTAGCTTGAGCCTGAGCAAAAGATCCGTCCTTGATTGGGGAGATGAGGGCATCAATGTCGCCTGTCAACCAGTCTTTTGGTTTGCGTGACACTGGAGCTGGGGTAGCAAGGTCCTGAGTACCAACGTCATCGATGAGCTGTGCCTGAGGTATGGCTTTGACAGCAATACTGCTGCGATGTCTCCTCGAAAGCGAAGGGCGGGAGATAGGTCGATAGGATGCGGGCTTCGGAGACGGCGTGTTTTCACCAATGCCATTACCCAGTCCAACGGACCTCTGAAATTTGTCCTTCTCGGAATCACGCATCGCCACCCCGGTGACATGCTCTGAGCGCGAACCAAGAGTAGTGCTTGGAGCAGCACGCTGAGAAGTCGGCTGAAGCGACGAGGAAGGTGCAAAGAAAGGCTCGGACAAATCAATTACTTTTTCGCGCTCCTTATGATGCTCCGATGACTCGAGCTGCCAGCTTGGATGGCCGACAGGAGGTGCCGACCCACCAAACGTTGCATCAAGCTCTTCTACTGAAGGAAATCGTGCCTCGGCAGAAACTTCGCCCCTCTCTGGAAGCGAAGAAGGGATGGATGGAGGAGGTTGCATTGATGGACTAGAACGCCACGCAGCGTTCGCAGTCGTCAATTGTGCTGGAGGACGGGGCGAAGACGTTGGTTTGATCGGGGCTAGTGATGGTTTCGCGACGGATATAGATGGACTAGGAGTGATGACAGCGCGATTGTTTCCATTAGCTGCAACAAGGCCAGTCCTCAGCTTTCGTGCCTCTCCCAGAGTAGGTGTGGATGCTGAAGGTGGTGTGAAACCTAGACCATCGAACGCGTCCTTACTCTTCGTAACCACAAGTCTCGTGTTACGCGACCCCTCAGGCGGGGGAGCAAGCTTTGAAATACGCTCTTTCCCAGAACTTGAGGATGACCCCATTCCTGTCACAACGGTAGTCCCTCCAGCCTTTGCACCGTCAAAGGCGCTCCATAGCTTTTCTCCGAAATTGTCACCAAATGCAGTGACCCCTGGTGTTGGCGGATCATCCGAGATCGCTTTTGATGCACGCGTCTCAACACTCCATGCATCGTCCAAAGGAGGCGCGGATACTTTAGGCTTCCAAACACTTGCAGTTACACCACCTGATTTGTGAGCCCTGATGCCCGCAGCAGCGAGAACAGTGGGAGAGCTTTTCATCTCTTTCCATGCCTTGTCCTCCTCTGCGCCAAATGAGGCATCAGGCCTTTTTGGCAGCTTCGGCGGACTGGGAGGCCGGGAGGTCGATGAAGGAGTACTGGTGTCGCTCTGTTGCTGCGAATAATATGGCCGGCCACGCCGCATTGGTGCGATAGCCTCCAGCACCCTATCACGCGCTTGAACGCCTGTACTTATGTCCTGGGGCTGAGCTGGCGGGGCTTGTTGAGTAGCAGGATCTGTGCCTGGCGCTCGACGATAAGACACAAGGTTGTCAAGAGCATTCGTGGATGATAACTGTAAAGCTCGAGGGGAAAGGGGCGGGGGCGGGGGAATGTCGTAGGTGAAGCGCGATTTGGTACCTCGTACGGTGTGCACTTGAGCGAGAAGTTCAAATACTGTAGGTCGCTGTGTGCCGTGCTCACGAAGCATGGAGGCTGCATGACAACTCAGCATATTCGGATGCGATGGAAGTGAAGAATAACACACCGATCAGTGTGTTCATTTGCGATGAGTAAACGGGATATGGCGGGATGCGGTACTGTACGTTCAAAATTGCCAAGGGTCCATGTTCTTCGAAAGGAGTGGTGTAATAACACAGTTTGTACAATAGCACTCCAAGTGCCCAAACGTCAGATTTCTCGTCAACAGAACGGCGAAGGTATGGGTCGACCATTTCAGGCGCCCTGTACTGTAGTGTGGTGTGTCTGTTCAAGTCTGCCTCGAGAGCTCTAACCTCAGCTGTGGTAGATGGTGGTCGAGGCGCGACTGGTGTAGCAGAGCCAAAGTCACAGAGCTTAAAGACGTTATTGGAGGCCTGGAGAATGTTCTCCACCTTCAGATCACGATGAAGAAGGGCGGGGCGAAGGTTATGCATGGCAGCAACACCTTCACAGACGTCTACAAAAATCTGGAGGATCTCTGCTTCTGTGAGACGTTCGCGCAAACGTCTATTCATCATGTCAATAATTCCACCACCTATGTCTGAGTAAGACCACATCAAATATGTAAATCTTGCAAAAACACTTGCCCGGACAAAACTCCATGAGGATGAAGACTTCATACATGCCGGTTGCCATTTTGTGCCACGCAGCATCGATCAGATGCACCACATTTGGGTGCCCCTTCAGTATCCTCTACAGGCAGATTCAGTAAGTACCGATTAAGCAGCTTGGGTGCTTCGAACCATGATATCGACTTCTTTCTTAACCTCCGCAAGCATGGCCTCATTAGGAACGCCGATGCGTTTGAGAACATGATGCGTCGTGTTATACACGGGAGTGGGAGTCCTAACAAGATACACATGAGAGAATCCGCCTTTGAACAAAATGTTAACGCTTTGATGAGGCTGCCAGGTGGAGTCAACACACCTTGACTGAGATACCGCTCAACTTGGACCGTGTACTTGTTAACGGAGATGGTTTGACCTGGAACAAGAGTGCCCTTGTTCTGCTGTGCATAAACTTGTAATGCCTGCTGCTGCTGCATGGTGATAACAGGCAGCGATAGAAATATTAAACTGCTGCTGTCGCAGCTACAGCAGCTGCCAATTACCGTCACAGCGGTAGTATCGCGTCCAAGTTTGTGGCATCCTATTTTTGGCCATCTGCGCTTATGTAAGCAGTACACAGATTGATCACGTGTATATTTACGCTACGTAGCACAGCATAGCACCATGAGTTGGTGACCTGAAACTTTCAAGTTGATCTGCAGTTTGTGAGGAACTCATCATTAAAGTTCTTCTATAAGTATACATGTAGGTGGTATCAACCCTAGTAACGTAGCCAGCCAATTAACTTCGTTCTACGTGGGAATAGGTGGGAATATTAACGCGACATTCCCGATAACCGTCGATAACGGCCCACCCGGCCCATCTGTGTCTTAAAGAAGCTCTTGACGAGCATACCTACTAATATATATATCAGTGCTTATTGATTTCTCTCATAGATACCTCCAGCTCGAACGCAATGGCGAACAACCTTCTTCGAAGTCCAGCACATGCAAGCACAATTCCCTTTTCTCGGCCTCCAACTCCTGGAGCACATCCTCTTCAAATCGGCTTCTGTGGTCTTGGGGCCATGGGCTATTTCATGGCCCGCAATCTAGCTAACTCCTTTAAATCTCAACTACCGCCCCTCCTTGTGTACAACAGGACTGTGGCAAAGTCTCAGAAACTCCTCGCAGAAGTTGGCGCATCCGCCGTCAAAATCGCCGACACTCTCGACCAGCTGGCTACGGAGTGTGACATTATCTTTACTAATCTCGGGAACGATGCTGTGGTAACGAGCATCTACAACGAGTTTGCAAAGGCTCTTGCTGTACGCTGCAATCATATCTTCTTGCAAGATAAGATAATCATGATGACATCATCAGCAATCGCCTCCAACCAAGGTCAAAATCTTCGTTGAAATGAGCACAGTAAGCCTGATATATGCTTCTGGTTTTCATACTCACTGATGATGTCAGGTTTACCCTACGTTGGCTGGTGCGTAAAACATTTCTCCGCCACTAATAGAATTATGAACAAGTCTGCTATAGGCGATCTTGACAGACTGCTGTCGAGCTTTCCGCATGTCCACTTTGTCACTTCACCCATATTTGGACCTCCCCCAGGGGCAGATAAGGCCACGCTTGTCATTGCCATGAGTGGAGACTACCGGTCCAAGAAGGAAGTCGCCTTTCTCCTTGTCCCTGCAGTGGGCCGCAAGGTGATTGATCTCGGAGGAAATGTAGAAAAAGGTAAGAATGTGTGAGAGCGATGGCGAGAAAAGTCTTAAATAGTAGGGTTTTCAGCTCCGACACTAAAGTTGATCGGTAATGGTATGATCATGGGTATGAATGAGCTCCTCGCCGAAACTCTGACGCTCGGAGAAAAGTCTGGCATCGGACAGCAGACTGTATACGATCTGGTGAAAGGTAAACTTCGGGACATATCCTGCTCTACCTCGACAGGGAGCTGACAATGATCGTATTCAGAAATCATGCCGGCACCAGGGTATGTACGCTGTCAATCACATTTCGAATTGTTGAAGCCGACACATGATAATAGTTTAGTGGCCTATGGTCACAAGATGGTCAACGACTTGTTTGATGGCTCCGTAGGTTTTGCCATAGATGGTGGAATAAAAGACGCCAAGTCGGTGCCCCGAGACACTCGCAATGAACATTTCTTTCTAATATGATTTTCAATCCAGTCACATTCGCCGCCTGTCCGCGGAGCTGAACTGCCCGATGCCTGCAGGTATGAACAATTTGACCTTCACGCATGCAGAGATACTCATTCATTTTATAGTTGATAACACGCATCGTGGCCTGATCACTGCCCGGGCGATACACCAGGCACAGACAGTTGCAGGGACGCAGCAGTGGGACATCATAGACTGGAGCGCATTGATTGCAAGCAGCCGAGTTGCTGCTGGATTGAATCCATTCGACAGCAAGAAGGTTAGTGCTCGAGTTCTCGATTCCCTTCATGATGGTATACTGAAGTCGAGTCCAGGGAACAGGAGTCGTACGAGAAGACTGAGGAATGAGTACTGAGCGCTAAATCATCTCGAGCATTGGAAGTCAAGGTGTATTATTTTGACAGGATAGCCATAGATTTGTATGAAGACACGAATGTACCTTCAATAAAGACACGTAACTCTGGAATCGTCGGAGAAATGAAAACCGCCCTTCATCGACATAAGACGGTCGGTCGTGAGACTAAAACCATCTGCAGGTGTGCAATCTATGTTTGATATTCAGGACTACGCTTCTACACCGGGCAGACAATATTGAGCAAAGTAATAACCTGTACTTCCTGCTGCTGACACACCAAGGCAATCATGTCCATTGTGTACTTCACCCCTTGCCTCTGAAGGGATTCATAGTATTCCAATGTTGCTGAGCTGCAGTTGGCCTCCGAAGAGGCCGATGCCAAGTACTGTCTTTACCGCCGGGAGAAGGATTAGCATTGAGTGCACGGACATTGTTTATATTCTCCCTGAATATGACCTGCGAGCCGAATGCTACACACATGCCAAACTTGCAGTAATCGTGACAACAGCCTAGGTTCTATCGTCGTACTAGCAGGCTCTGAAGATGTGACATCCACATCGCCTAATGATTGAGTGCTGCCCGAGACATTAGATAGTAGGAGTAAGATACCCACTTGCGTCTCAACGTTTACCCGTGAGTGGGGATAATACACCCACATAAAAACCCATTTGATACTGTGGCCAGAGCCATGTGTTTTCAGAAAATGAGTGCCGTACACTCCATCGATAACCATTTGTAGTTTCGCCCTCAGCGAGTGAGGAAGCCTCGTCACAGAGTTGCACGCTATGCGCACAATGATTAGCAAAAAAAATCAGCCGGAGAGCGGATATATGGTGTGTGCTCTCAGAGGCATCGCAACCGAAATGACACCAAGGCGGCGTATCACGAAAACGACGATGCTGCACCCGCGCAGTGTCAAGTTACGATGATTGAGCATATAGTTGTACGGCGGCAGAGAATGAACTAGACATCCGTGTGTACGGCGAGGCAAGTAGGAAATAGCTGTCGTACAGTGCGAGAGTCAAGGCTTGGGCCGGATGGATGGAGTTATCCGACAAATAAGCATCCTCAAGTGAGTCAAGTCGAGAAACAACAAAAGAACACAAATTACACTCGATGAAGGAGGGAAAATAACCATCGGTACAACGAACACACCGGCTGAGTGTTCCAGATGTGGAGCAGAGTGTGCACCTGGAAGCACATCTAGAACCAAGTGAACTGTGAACATCGTGGCTGTGGGTCACGTAGCATGTTGTGATCGCATTGTGCAGGTACTAAGTGGTTGGATCCATGGCAGTCGGACGGGTCGGATGTCTCGGAGTCCCGGATATTCTGAGAACGAGATATCATCGTTTCTTTCAAACGTAGATTTTGTATTACGTCCGCGACTGCGCGACACTCTCTGGGACTGACATAATAACCCGAACCAACAGAAATCATGACTCATAGCGGTCAGGTAAGACATTCAAATTAGGATGTCAAACCACTTACCAGGAGAACAACGTGATGCGCTAAGGGTCGGGCCCGACGAAAAACCTGTCTTTCATCGGGACCACCAATTTTTACCATTCTACCCTGACCTTGAAGCCGAGTGGAGTAGCAATGGATAGACTCGGCAGCAGGTCACTTCGTACGAGATGTGTGCGATGTGGATGTCTGCGTTCGGTGCGTCTTTGTCGGGCTTCGTCAGCACCTGCAATTATTAAGGCTTCCAACATAGCGACTCACTGGGGTAATCCCTCGTCGTGGTTTGCTTCATATCGTACTGACTTAGACTTCCGTTCGGCCGACGATGACAAATTTCAAAATTTAGATCAAGTTAGTAGCTGCGCCCGGACGAACAGACCCTCCGGGATCCATGTGTATATGCTCATCTCGTGCTTCTATCAAATTTAATGAGTCGTGGTTGAAGATATATTTGTCTTCCAAATTTCAGGCTTAGCCAAAACCCCGCCGACAAGGTTTGGAAAGAAATCTAGGACTTCAAATCCGTAATGTCTGCAGCTTCGCTGAGTCCGAAATAAACTGAAACTCATATCAGAAGACTCAGAACACCGACTTAGTCAAAGTTCTGAGGCAAGACTGCAACCGTGTTTGATAACCGGCCAGCTGCTCAAGGCAAGGGGGTACTTGGGGGAGGCCTGGTAGGGGGATAGGAAGCTTCATATCCGTTCTGATGGGCTTTAGCACACCCGGACCCTCAAACCCAATTACCAAGGAACCCTAATCGGCCGTCTCTGAACCGACTGGGAAATTTTGGCATTTCCGTGCAGAGACGATGCTGGACATGTAGGTGGTACTTACCCTCTAGTAGCGTAGCGGCCGATTAACTTCGTTCCATGTGGGAATATTAACGCGACGTTCCCGATAACCTTGATACCAGCCCATCCGGTTCCACAATATCTCAAAGAAGCTCTTAACGAGCGCATCTGCTAATATATATACCAGTGCTTACTCTTTCTCTCATAGATACCCCCAGCTCGAACGCAATGGCGAACAATCTTCTTCAAAGTACAGCGCACACAAGCACAATTCCTTTTTCTCGACCCCCAACTCCTGGAGCACACCCTCTTCAAATCGGCTTCTGTGGTCTTGGGGCCATGGGCTATTTCATGGCCCGCAATCTAGCTAACTCCTTTAAATCTCAACTACCGCCCCTCCTTGTGTACAACAGGACTGTGGCAAAGTCTCAGAAGCTTCTCACAGAACTTGGCGCATCCGCCGTCAAAGTCGCCGACACTCTCGACCAGTTGGTTAGAGAGTGCGATGTTGTCTTCACCAATCTCGGGAACGATGCTGTGGTAACGAGCATCTACAACGAATTCGCAAAGGCTCTTGCTGTACGCCGCAATCATATCTTCTTGCAAGATAAGATAATCATGATGACATCATCAGCAATCGCCTCCAACCAAGGTCAAAATCTTCGTTGAAATGAGCACAGTAAGCCTGGTATATGCTTCTGGTTTTCATATTTACTGATGATGTTAGATTTACCCTACGTTGGCTAGTGCGTGAAACGTTTCTCCGCCACTAACGGAACTATGAACAAGTCTGCTATAGGCGATCTTAACAGACTGCTGTCGAGCCATCCGCATGTCCGCTTTATTACTTCACCTATCTTTGGACCTCCCCCAGCGGCGGATAAGGGCATGCTTATTATTGCCATGAGTGGAGATTGCCGGTCCAAGAAGGAAGTCGCCTTTCTCCTGGTTCCGGCAGTAGGCCGCAAGGTGATCGACCTTGGAGAGAATGTAGAAAAAGGTAAGAACGTGCAAGAAGGATGGCGAGAAAATTCTTAAAGGGTGGGGTTTTCAGCTCCGACATTGAAGTTGATTGGTAATGGTATGATCATGAGTATCAATGAGCTCCTCGCCGAAACCCTGACGCTCGGAGAAAAGTCCGGCATCGGACAGCAGACTGTATATGATCTGGTTAAAGGTAAACTTTGAAACGCATTCTGGTCTACCTAGATGAGGAGCTGATGATGATCGTATTCAGAAATCATGCCGGCACCTATGTATGCTGTCAATTACATTACTTCGGATTGCTGAAGCTGACGCATGATAATAGTTTAGTGGCCTATGGTCACAAGATGGTCAACGACCTGTTTGATGGCTCCGTAGGTTTTTCCATAGATGGTGGAGTAAAAGACGCCAGGTCAGTGCCCTGGGATATTCGCAACGAATATTCCTTTCTAATATGATTCTCAATCCAGTCACGTCCGCCGCCTGTCCGCGGAGCTGAACTGCCCGATGCCTGCAGGTATGAACAATTTGACCTTCAGGCATGCAGAGATACTCATTTATTTGTCATAGTTGATAACACGCATCGTGGCCTGATCACTGCCCGGGCGATACACCAGGCACAAGTGGCTGCAGGGACACAACAGTGGGACATCTTGGACTGGAGCGCATTGATTGCAAGCAGCCGAGTTGCTGCTGGATTGAATCCATTCGACAGCAAGAAGGTTCGTGCATGAGTTCTCGGCTTCCTGATGCTTAGCCTGAAGTCAAATCCAGGGAACAGGAGTCGTACGAGAAGACTGAGAAATGGGTACTGAGCACCAAATCATCTTGAGCATTGGAAGTCAAGGCGTATGTATCATTTTGGCAGAACAACGTATGAAGACACGAATGTACCCTCAATAGAGACATTTAACTTGGAAGCGCCAAAGAAATGAAAACCCCCTTCATCGACATAAGACGGTTGGTCGTGAGACTAAAAATACCTGCAGGTGTGCAAGCTATGTCCGACATTCAGGACTACATTTCCAAACCAGGTAGACGATATTGATACATTCATTTTAGACCATCTTGACTCATGGAAAGAGTGCCTGCTGTACCAAAGGTATCCGCCTATCATCAGTCAGCCCATTCAAGTAAACGTCCATTGACCTAGATGAATGCAGGAGTTCGACTCGACCGATCAAGATGTCCACCTTATGAGCCGCAGGTAGGGACTAAGAGCTCAGGTAGATGCCGTATAATAGCTCCTTGACGGTGGGTCAAGTGAAAGGTATAATCATGCCTCTGCCAGGCGCCTCCACGCAAACTGGACAAGGCGAACAGTTGGTTAACAAATATTTACACCAGCTGCGCTGTCTTGTTTAGCCAATGCCAAAAAAGTTGGTCACACGCGTCCCAGGCGCATTCACCCAAGTTAGTTGGAAGTTAGTACTTGCGTTCCCGGGCACATCAACCATAGCTGACCTAACACTTCAGAAGTGAATAATGGAAATATATTCAGTGCCTGCCATCACGTCGATGGTATTGTTAGCCATAGCTTGGAAAGATGACCCCGTTGTCGTCAGAATTAGTGTGCCAATAGTGAGTTGATCATGATACATATTGCAGGTGGGAGGGGCAGTCCTGACTCGGATATGCCGGATGTTGCAGCGCACAACAAATGCTTCAAATGGCTTCTAAATCTTGCACCCTTACGGTCCTTGGACGTCTGGACTTTCATGCCATATGGACCGTACAGGTAGGTAAATTCGGTATGGCAACCTCGTCCTTCTAATATCTTTGCTTTCCAGATCAACGAACCCATCCACTCGATGCACCTATTCCAAACCTGCAACGGCTGCAGGCCTTAGAGCTTACTGAACCAAATTTTACCTTGTTCTTTCTTGTTTCTTTTCGAAATCCCCCCTATATATCCGTGGTACCTGAGCTACACATAGCCAGCCAATGAACTTCGTTCCTCATTCACGTGGGAATACGGCATTTCCGATAACTCTCGATAACCGTGTCCAAATGCTCTTGAGTACAACTTGACTTGCTAATATATCGATATACCAGTACTTACTTTGCTCTTTCTCTCATAAATACCCCAGCTCGAACGCGATGGCGAGTAACCTTCTTCAAACTCCAGTCCTACATGCAGGCACGATTCCTTTTTCTCGGCCTCCAACTCCTGGAGTACACCCTCTTCAAATCGGCTTCTGTGGTCTTGGGGCCATGGGCTATTTCATGGCCCGAAATCTAGCTAACTCCCGCAAATCTCAATCATCGCCCCTCCTCGTGTATAACAGGACTGTGACAAAATCTCAGAAACTCCTCGCAGAACTGGGCGCATCCACCGTCAAAGTCGCCGATACTCTCGGCCAGCTGGCTACGGAGTGCGATGTTATCTTCACTTGTCTCGTGAATGATGCTGTGGTAACGAGTGTCTATAACGAGTTTGCAAAAGCTCTCGTCGTACGCCACAATCCACGTTCCTGCAGGATAAGATAATCATGCTGCTATAATTAGCAATCACCTCCAACCAAGGCCAAAATATTTGTTGAAATGAGTACAGTAAGCCTGATAACCGCTCCTGGGTATCATGCTTACAGATAATGTCAGAATTATCCTGCGCTAGCTGGTGCGTGAAAAGTTTCCTGCTACTAATGTAACTGTGAATAAGTCTGCTATAGGCGATCTTGACAGACTGCTGTCGAGCTTTCCGCATACCCGTTTCATCACGTCACCTATCTTCGGACCTCCCCCAGCGGCAGATAAGGCTACGCTTGTTATTGCCATGAGTGGAGACTACCGGTCCAAGAAGGAAGTCGCCTTTCTCCTTGTCCCTGCAGTAGGCCGCAAAGTGATCGACCTTGGAGAGAATGTAGAAAAAGGTAAGAAAGTGTAAGAGCGCGGCGAGCAAACGTACGTGTCTTAAAATGTGTGGGTTTCAGCTTCGACGTTAAAGTTGATCGGTAATGGTAATCTCGCCGCTGCCCTGGAACTCCTCGCCGAAACCCTGACACTTGGAGAAAAGTCTGGCATTGGGCAGCAGGCTGTATACGATCTTATCACAGGTGAACTCAAGACCGTCTTCTGTCGTGCTATGACGGGAAGCTGATCAATCGCGTCCAGATATCATGCCAGCACCAGGGTATGCATATTATCATTTACATTACTTTGAATTACTGATGTCCACATGGATGACAACAGGTTGCTAGCATATGGCAACAAGATGATCAACGACTCGTTTGATGGCTCCGTAGGCTTTGCTATGGATGGTGGAATCAAAGACTCTTCGTTAGTGCCTCGACGGTGTTCACGACGAATACGGTCCTTTCTGACACAATTTTCCATCCAGCCACGTCCTTCGCCTGTCCGCGGAGCTGAATTGCCCGATGCCTGCAGGTATGGCGACGATCCGGTCTTCGGTCATTATGAGATACTCATTGATTTGTAGTTAGTAACGCACATCGGAGTATGATTACTACACGAGCCATACACCAAGCACAAGTTGCCTCAGGGACACAGCAGTGGGACATCATCGACGAGAGCGCGTTGATTGCGAGCAGTCGAGTTGCGGCTGGATTGAATCCATTTGACAGCAAGAAGGTTCGTGCATGAGTTCTCGGCTTCCTGATGCTTAGCCTGAAGTCAAATCCAGGGAACAGGAGTTGTACGAGAAGACTGAGATCTCGAAACAGACGATGTCGTAGCGCTGAGCGCCACATCTTTTTGTGAATTTGCATTGTAATATCTTGAAGAACAAACCATAGATTTGTATATCAAATGAAATAGAAACTCCCTTGCATATCAGGGAATTCATCCATTTCGTTGTTGTTGAGGATGCGGTGTACGTGAAGAACTACTGCAGAAGTTTAATACACTTTTTATTTTGGGTGCACCATAGGGTTAGGGTTAGGCCCAAGGAAGGGCGAAAAAGAAGGCCTGCCCAGCCAGAGTGGCCATGGCAGGACGGGAAAATATTGAGACGGTGCATGAGCCGGAGCTCATACAAACCACGATTACCCTCTGTATGGACAAGGTCGCCGTGCTATGAAGGGTCCCCGCGGCCCACAAACCCGGGTAGCTGAAGGAGCCTATGCCATCAAGGTAAGTATGAAGATTTCAAAAGCTTGGGGGCTCGTTTATATAGCAATGAAACTGAGTGCACGGACCACCCAATTGTTATGGCTACGCTGTACTTATTTAGAAAATGCTTCATTAGGCTGCACACTAGTGGGTAATCTCAATAAATCTATCATATGTGCGTTGTGCATCGTGTCTGACCAGTAATTAATATCGTTGTATGCACGTAGGACCTTTCATGAGCTATCTTCGACATATCTATCAGCTTGCTGTTCGGCACATGACAAGCATCAATGTCGTGATGCTATTCTAGCGCATAGTTGCCTGCTGCTGCAGAGTTCATGGAATGAGCGAGAGATTTTTGAAGCAAGTATAGGACGTTGCCAGGCCGACTTTGTGAATCTGCTGGCACCATGATAACCGTGGTGTATAATTAAGCCAGGCTGATCACGAGCCCCACGCCGCGTGTCCAGAAAGTGGCAGGGCTTGAAGCTTGAAGCTTGAAGGACCAATGAAGTCATGGAAGTTATAACGTTTAAATTTAAGTGAACGCCTTGATGTTAAATACGAATTCAGATGAGCGCCTGCCATTGTTTGTACCTCTACGAGGGTTGGCGATCCTGAAACAGAGGGGTTTGATATTAGATTTGCCTACGGGAGACAAGGTCGCGTTGTGACGAACCCCCTCCAATCCCGCTCACCTCGAATGTGACGTACTCACTGCTCAGGTCCTGGTCCCAGGAAGACAGATACACTCGCTCCGAGGCTCCTTTATTCTCTTCGCCGCCCGCACTAATTCAAGCTATAACCCTCGTTGCTTGTGTCCCACCCGGACGGGGCTCAAAAGGTTATGACGTCTTCGGCGCCTTGATCATCTCATGTGTTGTGGGAGAGAAGAGTATTCGAATGCTCAATAGACGGGCACGAACCTCGGGCACGAAGCTATACTAGCTCACATGATCTTCACTGACCCGAGTAAATTCAAGTTAGTCAATACTTCTACTCACCAGTCCCAGCACCAAGTTAGTACCACCTCTACACGTTTCAAGGTTTTCCCTCGCGCCCCGCTGGCCACGCTCAGCCACATGTAGGTTTTTATTAGTACTGAGGGCGAGTCCAGTTTTATCCAGTCCCAGATCGAGTACACTGTGGGTGAAACGACGACGAAACAGTGGGTAACACTTCCAGGCGTTCCCAAAGCATATCAGGTACCTTGGCACGAGTTTTACATCATCCCTTGAAGCGCTGAACCTTTCTACGTAGAATCGGGTTTCCATCTGTGGGTTTCGTACTTTCTATCCACAATTCCTGAGAAGTAAAAAAAAGACGTTCGACGTCTCTAGAAAATGTTTTGACACTCCAAGGTCATGCTGGCATTATGACAAGGCAAGTTGACGTGTGTGGTCGCGCTAAACGATATGTCGATGCTGACATGTGTTATGAACTACCCAGACTACTGTTACAACTGTTTTGCCTACATAAACGCGCAGGTTGGCTTCCACGTATTTGTCCTCTCGACAGTGCCTAACCTTTTCCAGTGCGACACAAGAAACTTCAAAAGTACAGGGGCGCTCTTCCTTACGAGCTCGTGGAGAAAATCATCGTAGATGCATGGTGCACCATTGGCGACGCTCCCGCTAGATGGCGTTTCTTTCGCGTTATTGCAATCTTGTCCAAGGTATGGCGCGATGTGCTCCACGAGGTGGTATTGCGCTATGTCTTTATCGAGACAATGATCGACTTCGTTGCGTATGAGAGACTCCTCTCGCGTTATGACCCATGCGCTCGATATGTCTCCGTCGTGCTAAACGCTGTGGACCACACACGATTTCGCGTTGACGAAATTGCAAAACATGTTCCAGAGGCGCGATTCATATGTCTTGCAATCACAATGGATAGGCGATACTATTTCAACGCTATCCTCCAAAATCTCCTAGCGAAGACGAAATCCCTCACCCACCTCCGTATTTGTTGGCCTCCCCTTCGTGATTCTTTTGCATGCCCCCTTTCTAGTGTCGTCATTAGCTCAGTGACGCATTTGCATATAGCGCGCCATCCATCAGCGTCACTTGGTTCTATCCTTGCGTCTTTCCCGAACGTAACTCACCTTCGCTTGGGCACACCGTGTTTCCTGAAGAACCTTGTCCCGTACATGTTCACAGTTCGAGTTCTTATCCTCGATGCTCCACCACAGTACAGGGTGCACACAGTCTCTCGAGCTCCGGCTCTCATATTCCAAAGTTCGGTCCCACTTTGGAATATTTGCGACGCACTTGAGCATGGCTTGCTGAAGTCTACCGCCAGCTACCCAGGCCGGATCATCATGAATGCGGGAAAATCGGACGCTGATAAGTCCATGATCACAGATATTGCTCTGAGCTGCCAAAAGCATGGGGTGGCCTTTGAATGCAGACGAAGACATCCGCCATTATGGCAGCCCAGTCATTTGGACTCCAAGCGTTGGGACCATAACGCATGGAGCTAACTGCATGTAGCTACTCAAGTAGCAACAGTGGTTCTGTGGTGCTAGCTATGCTATGAAAGCTACCATCAAAATCTCAGGGCCCTTCGGTACTTGATGAAGGCAATCAAATTGTCTCGCATCTCCTCCCCTCTCCGTTTCAAATCTCGCTCCTTCCGCCTGTCGATTGCCCGCACGGCTTTACGCACCCCTTCAACGCTATCTACAAGACGCTGCACGAAGTCGCCTTGCCGAAAATTGACATCGTATGGGAGACTCTCGTCGGAATAGATGTCGATGAGAGCCGACAGTGTTTGGATCAGTGGCTCGGTGCCATAGATCGAAGGCGCTGTAGACGTTGGGAGGATGGAAAGCAGGTGCACTGCAATGACCTAATCCTGTGTTCAGTTTCGAGAAGGGCTGGAGATACATGTGGCTCACGCGATTGGCATCAATAGATTGTGGATGCTGCGCCAGGCACTCGAGCGTGCCGATACATTTCACGCGAATAGCAGGATCAGTGCTCGAGTTGCAGAGCTGAATCAATAGCTGGACTTGATCTTCGTTGGGCACCTGGCAGTGACTCCTCAACACTAGAACTTTTGCCAATGAGAAGACTTACCAAACTACCCTTCCAGATATTACCGATGCCCCAGAGCACACCCACTCCAATCTCCCACATTTCCTGTTTACGCTCTTGGCCACGTGTGATTTCCGTGCCTACACTCCCAAGTGCTGCCCACACGCTGTCCCATAACTGTTTTCCACTCGCGGATGCCGCAGCTAATCCAGAGTTTGGGGACGCACTCAACGAGAGAAATATGTTATTCAAACACTCGAGGGCGCTAACATGAATTGCACTCAGTACAGATGTTGTTGGTGGGTGTGATGATTGCCCGGCTGTAGGAGGGAAAGACAATCTGACGGGTTGGATAAGGGTAATGAGAGGTTCTACGAGCGCAGGCAGATGACTTGCGGTTGTTGTGCCGTTGGCGATTGGTATATCGTCGAGGGCCATGCCATCGGTCACATCCTCTTCTATCTCAGCATCATTGTCTATCTGAGTGTCAAACAAGCACCTGTATTTATGTAAAAAAATCTTACCTTCATCTTCTGCATCAGGTTCACCTTCCTGCACCTCGGAGATGGGGTCAGGGTCAGGTAATGTTGCACACACGCCGGTTAAAATTTCCAGGGCAAGCTGGACAGTGCGCAATCTGTTCTCCAAACGGTCGAGTTCGACCTCGGTATCAGACCTATGATCTGACTTTGGAGCACTTTTTAGAGATAGGTTTTCTATTTGAGGAGGTTCCAGCGCCTTTACACCGCATCAATAAGCACCGCCGATGAAGTACTGAGATCGGCAACTCACTAATTTTACCACTAGGCTCTCAGCCAGCGCTGATGACTCAGTAAGAGACACAGAAGTCGCCACTGGCTGAAGCAGTGGAAGTACAATCTCCTTGCCAACATCGACTCCCGATGCGGCACTAGGGGGAGGGAAAGGTGAAACGTTGCTCAGGATACCTGATTATAATCAGCTAATTTATTTCACCAAAAAGAGTTCCTCACCGCTTGACAACACTTTCAATGTGGTCATTCTATCCCAAAATACTTCCTTGTCCTTGTCCGTTACACCGCCTTCATCGTGTATGATTTCGAGTAAACACGTGCTGTATGCCGCATTTGACCGAAGCTCATCTATTGCTGGCTGGTTGTCATCCGTTAGGACGTACAGGCATTGCGCTGATAGCCACAGTAAGTCCTAAAAGCACATGTTGAAAGGAGCAGTATTTTCGAACCTGCGGCAGTAACGGTAGCTACGGGTAATTTTGCTCGGGCGGCCAGGAAGGACATCAAAAAAGGAACCAGGTTGATTTGGTTGATAGCATTTAGAGCCTTGTTGGATGTCTCCCTGGCCGTACCTTCAGCACTGATACGATGCGATTAGAAACCGATGCACCTACGAAAGACACCAGAGTATAGTATTCACATTCTCGGTAAATTCATACACTACTTTTTGCGCGTTCTCTGGAGCAGTTTTGGGTGACTCCAGGAACTGTGAGAGTGCGCTTGATATCTGGGAAGAATTGACCTCGGCCTCCCATCATCCATTCACATGCATGTTAAACATACCTTCGGCACAAATGCTTTAAGGGGAGCCAGTATATTTTTATTGTACATTTCGGCGCATATATCGTACCCTCCATCAATGCATAGATTTCTGAGTGGCACGAGAATGTAAGGCAGAGAAATCTTCAAGGCTGGATATGCACACCTTAGTGCCCCAGCGGCTTCGATCCAGACTTCCTCCTCGCTATCAGATAGGCGCGTAATGAGCGCTCCGACTACATTTTTTCCTTGCAATAACCGTCGCGTAGATGGATCGTTTTGTATGAGATTGGATACCGCGACGCATGCCCACTTGCGTTCAGAAGCATCTGGATTCTCTAACTACAGTGCCCAATGAGTCCCAGAACATGGATCTTGCCATACGACGCACCTTTTGGATGATAGGCAATACTGCTTCGTTTTTTGGGGAGGATGAGGCTGCTGATTCAAGACCTTTGGGAAGATGCGAATCTGGCACCCGCATGGGATTATGTCGACGCATCGACCGTTTCTTCTGCGACTTCCCCATTTCCGAGTATACTGGGGATTGAATATAGGTGACTGATGGTCACAATCTGAAGCCTGATAGTGAATCAGAGGGTTAGTGATCGAAGGACGACTACTATTTTGGGTCTTTATGTAAGACTGCTAAAATTCGTTCGTATCGAGTCTGACCATGGAACAACAATCGAGATAATGCAAGTGGATATAGAATATCAATATCAGATAGTCGAAGACTAACCAACTGAGATGAACAGTTTAACTAGTGCCGCTGGCCACAGCTTTAACTTCGTTTGCTCTATTAATATATAAGTATACTGCAACAAGCACTACAACAACATTGTAATGCGCAATTGGCAATTGTCCATGAAGACAGGGTGATGATTAGGTATATGGTACAATACAATATACTAACATTCCAAATGCCCGCAAAAACATGGTCCAAAAACCCACAACTAGGGTTGGTATATCGGAAGTACGCCATGCATGCTAACAAGCTCTTCCGGCGGAGCGGAAGCTTGAGAACTGGACGCATGTGACAAGGAGGGCAGGGATGATCCAATGTGGGTGTCGCACTCATCACCGTAAATTTCAGATGCTTCGGGAGCACTGCCTTCCCAGCCGTCAAAAACTTGGTCATCCTCCGATATTGGAGGAGCCGAAGCTGTCAGAGTGTCCTCAAAGGGAATGGCGTTGGGTTGAGCCTCGTATGGGGGCATAGAAGGCAATGTGATAGGATCTAATGCGGCGATATCCTGCAAATAGCTGTGCCCATCAAAATACCTAGGTGACAAAACGCTTTTCGAGGGCGGTTTTGGGAAACCCGAGTTCCCAACCTCGAATAGAGAAGCCTCGGAGGGTGCGACAGTGACTGGTTGGGTAGGGTGGTCTTCAAAATCATCATGCCATTCTGGGGCAGACTCATGTATGGAGGATCTTCCGCGAGTGTCATCCTGAATTATGGGAGGCGCGCTAGCCAACTCCGCCATACGGGCGAGATGAGTCTTATCATCAATGGCGACATGTCCAGCAATGGGGTGATAAGGAATGTCGTCATGGTCCGCAGGTGGAAAGTCACGATCGAAGAGTAGTGACCCTCGACGTGATGTTGGGTCGCCCGAAGGTTCGTGTGATGCCTCCTGAGGACGACCTTCAATTTCAGGACGCGAATGCAGTGTGGGAAATATGTAAGCAGGGGGAGACAAAACGTTACATGAGCTAGATGGGTCGGGTGATGTAGAAGGTGGTCGTGTGGGAGTGAGAGAATTCTCAATCGGAATAGCGTGGTGGTCAATATCTTCAGAGACAGATGCCATCGAATGTCGCCGTGACGAAACAGGGGATGAGTGGGTAGACGCCTCGCGAGGATCCAATAATATGGGGGATTGTGGTCGACTTCTGGTGGACAAGCCATGACGTCGCCTGCGTCGACGAGCAGAATGTCGTATGTTAGCCTTCCACCGAGCGCTTGCTCTCGCCCACAAGCGATTCTTTCCGCGAGCTTCGTTCTCCTTCTCACCGTCCTCCGATGGATCTTCCAGGTTCACCTTATGTCTAGCTTTCAGTTCCAAGTCATTCTCTTTCTTTTCTCTGTTCAACATTTTTTTCCGTCTCTTTCTCCAAACGGTGCAGCTTATAATGAAGAGGCAAATTGAAACTGCCAATACTATGGCTAGCGAGAGGATGATGATAGAGTCGGTGCGATCGCTTTGGGATGATGTAGACCAACCCGCAGGAAGGACGGAGTCTATTTGGGTGGAGGCGGTTGGAAGAAGAGCCGACGAAGATGTTGAAACATCATCTGCAAGGTCAGGAGACGAAGCATAGTACTAGATAAAGATATTGGTGCATGGAAGATGACAAAAAGAGAGAACGAACTGTTGAACCATACAAAGTCCAGGCATCTGTCTTGTACCAGCGGCCGTTAGGCCCCTGAACGTATCTGTCTGCCAACTGTTGCGTGTGTTTAGTTGGAGTCATGGAGGATGTCGAAGGGGTTATTATGCTGGTATAGGATGTTGTGGGCGTTGTGTTATGGATGCAGGTATTGACATGATCCATAAACGGACATAGAAAAGATGGAGGTGGGGTCGGCTGTGGGAGTGGACTTCCATCTACTGTTCGCGAGCTAGCAGCGATGGTTGCAAGGATTGATAAGACGGATGATGAAGGGCAAGCTATAGCAGCTGGTAGATGTCTACGTTGTTGACGATCTAGTCTTGAACTGGACTGGCCATGTTTTTGCTTGGCCATGATACGACAGCAGAAGAAGTGCCAAGAGAGTCTTGCCGCTTCAGCGTGGCAGCAACTCGGTAATTTGTCGTCAAAATTGTTATAGTCAATATTCGACTAAAAACGAATTCGGCCAGCACAGCAAAAATGAGGATCAAACCTCTGAGCAACGCTCGAACTCTTGAGAGAGAGAATAAATCTACAACAGACTGACAGGTTGCTGAGGAGAAAAGCGGGACCAACTCGTGGGCATCATATCCAGCTTATTAAGTAATAAATAAATAAATATCTATTCACATCGTCCCTGCCAAATGAAGAATCCTATTTGACATGTATGATATATAACATACCAAAAAAATAACATGCTATTTCTATATCAGTTATTTAAACTCTACATTAATATTCGCCAACCATCGGCTTCGTTTTCGCTCTTCCTCCCGCACTTTCGCTCTTTCCCCCAGCTCCATCTCCTCATCTTTACTCCTCGGCCGCACGTATACATCTTCAGCGCTTGATTCATAGAACATCTTATACGTGCCTAGGCTAACTCGGATACTCATAGAATCCCAACTTGATGTGCCTCGCGGTGATTCGTCGATCGCCAGGTGCCTATTTACACACAATCACAACTCAGCTCACGTTTACATAAGTTGATCGGACTGTGCACTAACCTTCGCAAAAATATCTTTCCTTCACCCTTTGGTTGTGATAACCATTCCGTCGGGTGTCGCAGAACGTACGAGTCGAGATATTCTCGCCACCGGCTAATCGCCGCTCCGTCTCCATTCACACTAGGATCGTCCGGTTCAACCAGTTGAATGAACATTGTTTTCGAAGACCGATGCTGGCATTACTTCATATCAGGGGCACAAATAATTCCAAAATTAAGTATCTCACATACCCAATCGAACCTGTACAGATGTTCGTCGGCACCAACGTGACGTTCCGCCTCACGTCGATAACGAATCATATTCTGATTGGAAAGGGCATCCATCCCCCGCGTTTGTTGAAGTAGTACCCAAAGCTCCTGGCACTTGTTATCTGACAAGAGAATCTGCACCTGTTGAAGGGAAACACCACTCAGCTAAACTTGAGCGACAAAGAAAACGCAATCACGACAACTCCGGAGCCTAACGGCACAGGAAGTGTTATATTTACCTGCTTGATCAATGAAGACAGTATCTTGTCTAACGTGAAAAGGTAATATGCCTAGAGGGTGCGCCGAGTCAGATACCGACTCTAGAATTGAGTGCACAACTTACCTTGTTGCCAAAAAACCATCGCATATGCTCCTCAAATGTTGCTTGATCAAGCTCATTATCAAATAGCTTTTCAAACGCCTCCAACATGTAAAGGTATACGACATCAGTGGCGTCACGGGCCTGACGATTGCACACAGCCTCCATAGCCTGTGCGAGTATAGCAGAGGGTCCATTCGGATCATCCAGCCCCAACTCAATAGCGATAGGATTGCAGTCCGCAGGATTTAGACCTTTTGCAGTTTGACGAGCGCCCTGCTCCTTACACACGAGCAGACGAGAATAGATCAACTGTATGGGATAAAATTAGCTCACGTCAAGCGTATATACGACTGTGAGACCTTACCTGTAACAAACAGAACACAGTATAGAACGTCGTGTTCCCGAAAAAAGGTTTTCGCCTAGAGGCACCGTCTCCAGAAATAGCAGGGGCTTGATTGGCTGATGCGTCGCGGATCCACTGATCCGGGGAGCTATTTTGGGCTGGAGCCAACCCTGCGCTTATACTGTCCTCCAGGGTGGCATCAAATAGCACACGCTCGGAATGAGGCGTGGCCCCTCTTGATTGGGATAACGAAAATGTGTCCGGGCCCTCTGATCCAACGAGGTTTTCTTGCGAGGATTTCAATAACCGCTTACGAAGGTCGCCCGCGGCCATTACGCCCGAAGGGCCACGTCCACTCGTAAACGGGACTGCGTTATCATTCTGCAAGCCATCTAAAGCTTGTTGGTCGGTCTCCTCGTCTCGCGGATCGTCCAAAGGTGTGTACCCAGCATTGAACTCGGCAGCGGGGCACATACACAGGAGGGGAATGAATGATCGCAACCAACCTTCGACTCCACGCCGTTCCTGTGGTGTATAGTGTGCATGGGAATGATCCAGGAATGAGTAGACCAACTTAAGCGAGTCTTGAAGGACAGTCATGTCCTTGAAAGGGAAATCTAGTTGGTGGCCTGGTAAGGCAGTAGCAAATGAGGGTGGACCCTGCTGCGCACGCGCGTCTGCTTGCTCAGCTTTGACTGATTCGATATTTCCTACGAAGTGTTTGGCAGTGACAACCTTCTTATCATTCGACTTGAACGTGACCCCTTGATGATCAAGTGATTTATAGAAATTTTTGGCGTCGACCTCTCGCCATGTTTTGTTCCATTCTCGTTGAACGCGTCGCCATTCTTCATCTTTCTGTTTCAGTCGAGCGAGGACAACCGGCACAGCAACGCTGGGACACTCCTGAAGAGCTTGGATGACTTCCATTCCAGCATCTCTGCCGTAGACTTTCTTCAGCGTCCGGTGGTATATGTTCTTGCTCAAGCCACCAAAGTCAGGTTTGAGTCGGAAAGTGGAGCGTTCATCATTGGTCATTTCTTCGATGCGAAAGTTGATGGGCTCTATAACAGCGATCGTGCGTGCAAGAGCTTCAAGCTGGACTTGATATTCGTGTCGTTCCTCTTCGCTCTTGTGCAGCGCTTCTTCAAACGAGTTCTTCTTGTGCGCGATAAAGCCTGCTTCTTCAGACGCCCATGTCGGATGTGATACCCATTCGTCATTGAGTACAGAGCGACAGAGTTCGTCGCGACCTGAGCATGCCAAATGAACTTCCTGCAAACGAGGGCGCTTCGGTCAGTCGGCTGGAAACAACAGTTATTCGATACGTACGCTCTCGGGCAACCGACGATAACTTGGACCTTCACCATCCTCAGCTGGCAATGCAGACAAGGCTTCTGGCGGCCCGGTGCGGATGCTCCCGGGCGGACCATGTTCGATACTGTCCTGCCGTTCATCGATCCCAACCACTTCCCGAAACTGCGAGAGTAGATCGCCATCGCCCAAATATACTTGAGCCATGTTTACAAGTGTCTTCGCATTGATAATATCCTTGGAGTACATGTTCAAGAGCTTGAGAAACTCCTCATATGTATCCTTGCTCTCCAACGTGCGCTTTGCGCGCTCAAAGAAAATGAGTTCATCAGGTGCTGACTGAATGTTGGCAACTGGCTGGGGGCCTTGTAACACTAGATTATGCATTTGGGGTGGGGGTAGCATACTAGCATGCAACTGCGGGGGATGATGGGGAGGTGATTCTGGTAACCCGTATGAATTGAACTGCGGAGAATCAGGGTCGGCTCCTTTGTGCATGTGCTTGGGCTTCTTGGCCTACACAGGGAGAATGTTATTGACGAATGACGTGAAATTAGCGAAGCACGCACTCGACTTGGGACAGTCCGCACAGCCGGCGCAGGCGTGGTCTCCTTCTCTGGAGCTTTCCTGCGTTTTTTAGGCGGAAGCTGCGCCTTCTTGCTGTTCTTGTCACCTGCATCTACCCAAGGTGTTGGGACACCTGGTCCACTAGTTTGCTGGGGAAGAGTGCTGACAGCCATCGACACCTCAGGCAAAAAATCTTTGAATTCACTGAGCAGATCTTGAGCCTCCTTAAACAGGGCTTGCACTTGCACGTATACTTGCGACTATGCCCAAGCGTCAATACACATCATCAGAGCTAACGCACGTGGAACATACATCTTGAATCTGACGCTGCTCCTTCTGATATGTTTGCAAGATTTCCAGGAATTGCTTGTATGTATCAGGGTCGTCGGAATAGCGAGCCTTGATTTTGTTTAGATACTGTATTGCATGGTGAAATTCCCCTGATGATTTGTTTTCTACTGCGTTTCGATTGGACAAATTGCCAAGAAAGGATGCAGCAGCAGTTGTGGAGGGTACTTGAGGGCCTGGGGAATACGTATCTACAGACTGTGGCATGTGCGGAACCGGATATGAAGCCATCGATGGAGTCATCGAACGGGACATTGGCTGGAAGGGAAACGCTGACCCAGCGGTTGGTGGAAGAGGAAGCGAAGACTTGGTTGCAACGGGGTCACGAGTGACGCGGGAAATCTGCTCGAAGGTGCTTGTGCTCTGAGTGGTAGTCCCTAATGGCGTTGTAACGGTGATGATATTAGGGTCGTGCGGGTCTGCTGACATCTCTATTCTGTAGCCAGGGGGAAGAAAAGTGTTGAATCCCTGAATAAGATATGGATTGCCATGGAACAGCATCGACACGCGCTCGATCACTCCAGGTGTATCAATTCTGTACAAGAGAAGATCATTAGCAACACGAGGCTGAGAGGCAGAAGAATAGACGATATAAAAGGATGCTTCCACAACAACAACCACAACAGGAAAGGCGCGTACGCCAGGTGTAGTCCATGCCCTTAGGCGGTAAGATAACTGGACGTCATAAAACATTTTCCGCCTCCCGAGTCGCACATCCACGTCTACGTCACTAGTATTTTAGATTGACTTACACCTCGCTCTTGAAGTCCTTCATGATGTCTAAAAAGTGGTTGTATACGTCTGGCTTGTTCTGAAATTGAACTTTGACCGCGTCGAGGTAACTGAGCGCATCGGTAACGTTAAGTGGTCTCTCTGGAGACTTCTGCGCTGCGGAACCATGGGATGCGCCATCGCCTTCACCAGCGGTGCGAGGACGGGGTGTTCCAGATTTTGGAGTACGGAAACCCATCTTTGATGAAATGAGAAGCTGTGCGGTACTGGAAAGAGGTTCCAATGAAATATCTCTAGGAGTGTTAGAGGTTGGAAGTGGGGTGAGGTCGTCGGGATCGAGTTGAAGGGATGGAGAAGGGATGGTAAGTTTTGGTGAAACGTAGGAAGAGGATGGTGGTGGTATGGGAGGAAGAGGGACGGTTTGATTGAAGTTCTGTGACGGAGATTGTGGTCTCGAATTAGGTGTGAAGGGTGTTTGGGTGTCCATCATTGTTGTTGCCCTTCACAGTAAGTCTGTAGTACGGCACACGGTGACCGAAGGTAAACTCAATACTGCACGTGGGAATCTCCGGAACGGTGAATTCAATTCATTATTATCTTATCTTATCAACACTCCTATCGTATGCATCAACCTTCATGAGTTCTCTTATTCCTCTTCAGAGTAAAAGTATTGGTGTGCATGAATCCGGAAGGCTGCAGAAGCTCTTCTCGCGTCTTCGTCACATAATCAATAGCTTCAGGTGTCCCAGGTGCTGGAAAGAAGTATGGCGCTCCGTAAGGCTGTGTTCGTAATGGTGGCTCTGGGTTTTTCAAAGGACGAGCTTCGGAAGCGAACACCGTTAATTTAAGACCGGTGGAAGAAACCCGACTTACATTGACAAAATAACCCCGTAGAATTTCTGCCTTTGAGGTGTGTCGATCTTTGCTTCGACGAAGCTGTTGTCCGACACACATTAAAAGACGGGGAAACTGAAAGGGAGTGTCTCTTGAAAATTTTGTGGGCTTCCGAGACTTCACCGCGATTAGACCGTTGAATAGGCAGTCCCATCGCGGGCATCGGAGAGGCTGGTAAATCCACACGCGCATGACTTTGCGGTACCGCCCCATCAACTATGCCGCTATGCACGATATTATTTGATCTCGTCGATTGTGAAGAGGATGAAGCCGACGAAGCAACTGGCCCGGAATGGGTCGCTTAACGCGACGAGCTATTGTCCTTTGTGAATTTTGACCGGCGTCTGGAGGTGGTTTGGACCAAGCCCTCTGTGACACAAACAGGGATGGTATCAGTGTTCGAATGAACATAGCTAGCAGACTCTGGTGTCCGGTGAATAGATTTTTAAGCATGGTACCGACCTCGGAACAGCTGTAGCCTACGCACCAGGAGAATTCCGAAACTGGATAGCATCACACTGACTGTCCTCAGGATGATTTTCCAGAAATTCATCGAAAGACATTCGAGGTTATAGCAACGTGCTGCTTGCAGGACGTATGGCTCGGAAAAGATAAGACATAACCCTACAAATCAAATATATATACTGAGGTTGATGACTGCAGCCGTTTTCATGCAGGTGGCTAAGCGGATAGGGACTGCCAAGCGACGACTAAAGCTGCTGACTCAATGACCGGCTTCACGGAGACGTCACTGCATGGCTCGGGATGCAGTGATGGGAGGGATGACCATGAAACAAACCGCCAACGGAATGCCAACGTCCGTCGGAAAGCTCCCTCTATATAAGACTGTCACGAAGTTTGCATACGAGTTTTCCCGCTACAGCTTTGCAGTAGGTTGAGTCCGGTTAACTTTTGAATTAAGCTCAAGATGTGTACTGCCGTGGTTGCGTGGGAATAATTGGACACGTGTTTAGTTGGGACGGTCTTGTCCTATGAACGTCAGAGCTCTTCATTCAAGTCACTTCTACTATTCTTCTTACCAAAATTGCTCTGACCTCGACAAACAAATCATGCCTCCTCGTGGCAGCGAAGGTTTAGATTTTACGCCAATCTTAACACATTACCTTTTCTTGTTTACGACAATTCTTGCGGTGGTATGTTCTAAACTTGACCCCCATTTTTCAATTTTCATACTAAGCGCGTCACAATATAGTTGGCATGGTTCATCGCGTTTATCTCGCAATGTATCGTAACTGCTCAATGTTAGTGCAGTAGCTTGCTTTTCATGGTTTCACTGACTATTATTTCCTCTAGTCCATGAACAAGCTGTTGGCGTTGGGTGGTTTGGGATATTCCTCCAATTATTCCTAACCCTTGGCGTACTGCATACCCTAGCAAGCGATTCAATAGCCATGCATCGCTTCCAAATATCAGTATTTGGTGCTATCGCAATCGTTATGGCTGTCATTACCGTCAGCAACAGTATTTTTTCTGGATTTGCTGCGCTAGACGCTATGGCTGCCGGATGGCTCGTTATTGCAATCGTGGACATCCTTTGGGTGATCTATTTCACATCAGAAGAAGATTCTCTCGCATTCCACCTCTTCAATTCTATGGGCACCGGCGGCCTCACACCACCATCTCGCCGTCGTAGGACTCGCGGTGCGAGTAACATTGGGACCAATGGCTATGCAGCCAACTACTCTTCTGGCGGCGGTATCGGTTCACATGATATGCCCTATGACAGTGCTAACAAGATGGGCGGTACCGGTCCCGGGGTTAGGAGTCAAAATAGCTTTGTCGGCGGCGCTAGTATGGACGGTGCACCCCGCAGTCTTGGCCCCGCAGCTGTAGGCAGTGTTCATAGCACACCAAATCCTGCACCGGTTTCCCTAAATGGCCCTGACAACAGTATGGGTCCAAACTCACCGTTAATGGGCCCTGGTGCTGCAGGTGTAGGCGCAGGTGGCGGTACTGGTGGAGGTAGCCCAAATATGCCTGAAGCCAGCACGGGCGGGCCAGAGGCATACGTCTACAAAGCAAAAGCATTGTATGCTTGTAAGCCAAGAGTTCCTTCACTAATGTTCTTTTTCTTATCACCTGCACAGACACTGCCTCTCCAGATGATCCAAATGAAATCTCATTTACGAAGGGTGAGATTCTTGATATCGTCGACAAGCAAGGCAAGTGGTGGCAAGCAAAGAAATCAGATGGTACGATGGGAAGTGCGTACTTTTATCTTGCACTGCCCGCTGGCCCCTTGACCCTAATCCTTGCGTCCCAGTTGCACCATCAAATTACCTTCAGGTCATCTAATAGACTGAGCTGGGGATTTTGGTTTTTACTTCTTTATGCTACATCTGACGACCATGGACATGATGCGTACGAGCGTTACGTTCCTTGTAATAGCACTGAAGTGTCTTGATGTTAGGCGATTCGAGCTATATTATCCACTTCCTTGCTCCACTTCCCTTGTGTTTTTTATTTGCTGGCCTCACTGTCTCAACGATACCACATTCCGACCAATGTTTTCCTCTGTGTCCTCCCGATGTATATGTTGCTCATCAGATCATGCTCAATCAATGATAGCCTACTTGTTCTTGTCATTCGTATTACATATCGGTGATCGGTTGATAACAGTATTGATAACGCGATTAATCAATCCGTACGTTATACTATGACACAGGTTATTAGCTTGCGCGTACGATCTTGTGCGTCGCGTCCTAAAAAAAATCCTCGAGTAATACCAATTTTGGGACCGACAACGGCCGCATTTTGATTCATTTATCATTCCACAACCCATGAGCGCTGAGCTCTCAAGATTTTATTATATACAGTAGAGCAACGGTCAATCACATTTTTTTTACACTGTCGCGCTGTGAGACGCTCGAAGTTTTGCTGACGCAAGTGACGGTGTAGAGCTTAGTCAATACACCAATTCGTATGATGTCAGATTGTTGGCGTTATCGATCTTTGCGGAGTCTACCGGCGAATCTTTGGAGAGGCACCTAAAAAGAACTGTCTCAATCACAGCTGCGCAGCGACCACTGCGGCTCATTCTCCCCTTCAGTGATGAGCGCTCACACAGCAACTGGGCCAGTCAATCGTCTGGCGAGCTTTTTGCGACCGAGAAAGCAGGCAACCGTAACCGATAACGAAAATGTCACCCAGCTCACAAGAGCAGAGAAATCGATTCAGGTACTAAGTGTCGAGAATGAGGCCCTGAAAAATGCGAACGAGGCGTTGAAGAAGAAGTGCGGCGATTTACAAGATCGTCTGCAACAAGTCGAAGAGAAGTTTGGGGTCGAGGATAAAAATGGAGATCCAGCCGTTGATCAACAGGAGGTGAAAGGAGCAGGTGTGGGCGCCCAGGGTGGCGATAAGCGCTGCACAGTCAGCAAAGAAGCGCAGGTGAAATCGGAACCGTCATCTCCCTTATCTTTACATCGTCAACCTGGGATGTCCATACGTGACCATCGATTGCTTCCTCCGGAGCTGTGGTTGACCATCATTCGCTGGGCAACGTATGCACCGCCGGGTCTTGATGTGCCAAACTTCGAGCCATTCCTTGGATCATTTGATCATGATAATAAGGGAGAAGCGGATGCTAAGGCTGTCAAGTGCGCAGTGGTTCAAGTGTGCAAGCTTTGGCAAGACCTCGCCCTCGGCATTCTATATGAGGATGTCAAGGTCGGACGTGGGGTACAACACCTCGTGGAGGCATTGGGGAAGACATACAGGGGTGAACAGCTCGGAAGATGTGTCCGCCGCCTTGAACTTCCTTACCCTCACACTGGTACTGCAACCAACACTAGCTCGGATCTCGCACTACAGATTCTGCAATATTGCCCGGAATTGGAAACATTGGTGAGGCCCTTCATGTCGGCACTTCCAGATTCGGTACGCTACGAATTCCCTACTCGCAGCCACTCCTTCTTGAACCTCAAGAGGCTCGAGTGGTGGCACTACAATGATGCTACTCGATCTGGGGGAATAAACTCGCTCCTAGACGTTCTGCGTCATTCTCCCAATCTCCAGTATCTCGCTGTAGGAGGGGAGATGTGGTCCTCCGCCCGAACTGGCAATGTGCTGGAGCTCCCCGCGTTGAAGACACTTCGTGTACGACGCATCAATCCTGTCTTCGTTCGCCAGATCTGCCAATGGCGGCTACCTTCACTTGTCCATGTTGTTGTAGATTTCCCCCTAGAACAGAACGCACTCGAGACCATATGGCAGGCGTTTGGTGCTCGCCTCTGCACGGTCGAATTCGCAAGGCATGTCGGATTCTTGCTTAGTGATCAGATCACCCGCTTCCTCCGTGGCTGTCCTCAAGTCAAGACATTCAATTACTTTCTTAACTTCACGTCACCACCACCTATCTTCAATCAACATTGCGCGCTTGAATGTATATCTTTGCACGCATTCCCATGTGCCATGGTTACAGACATGATCACTGAAGTTCGAGAGCGCCTTAGGCTACACCTCGCCTTCCTCTCCAGATCATCCTTTCCAGAGTTGCGCCGCATAATTCTTTATGGCGAATGGGGAGATATACTCCGTGATCCTCGCTTAGAGCAATTTACGCAGACCATGCTCTCCAAAGGCTGCACGATTGAACGTGCAACTGGGGGAATGCATTCCTGCAATCAATTATTAAGCGCCTGATCGTAAGTGCCAGTCGACGAGTTGATGTACAACTTTACTCATATGCCTGTCAGCCACAGACGACATCTCCAAACGCCTGTGTATTTATAGCTGGGGTCATCCCTTTTAGATTCTTCGAAATTCGTTCACCTCCTTTCCCACCTACCTTCGAACCAATGCGCTGGTTACATTAGGCTTAGTCGAAATCTGTTCCTGTCCCCATCGTGTCCTGTATTATGGGGTGTACTGGTATATCATTCACCATGTAAAAAATTGCAGGGTCCTCAGGAATTCACACAGGATCACGTCGTATATGGGTTTTAGGAGGTGTGCGTGAGCTCGCGTGCACAGTATATCTATTCCGAGCAGGACTTATTCGAGTCTGCCGTGTGCCCTCATATCTCATGTGGTCATTTTCAATCATCCAAATTTGGAAACGTAGCATTCATAACTGACGGACAGGACGCCTGCAGGCTGCTGGCGATCGATTTGTTCACAATGTGAGACTAACTCTTGGCCGAACAGTGACGTGTGTCCAAAGTGTTATCATGAGATCCAGTATGGATTGCTTCCAGAGGGCTTGGCATTCACCGGTTTGTTCCCAGCATCACTTCTCATATACAGGGTTTGGCTGATGCCGATCTCCAGAATAGCATTCCCTACGACCTTGTTGATGTTATCAATCTGTCAACAACTCAATTACCGACACGGCCGCATAGTATGGCTGACTTCGGCATGCCTACCAAAGTGTTCTCAGTCGAGGCATATGATATCGTACATTCGAGGAGGCAATAATGAGGGAGCCGTCGCAACTCTGGGCAAGCAGTTATTAAACTTATGGGACCCAGCATGTCAAGGCGGCTGAGAGACTCAGGCTGCTCAGTCGTGAAAAGTGCGCGGCTTCCTTCGGTGTTGATTAGTATCTTTGCCCTTGCCGCACTATTGTCAGAAGAGGGGTTTGTACACTCTATGCGCAGGCCTCTCCGAGACGTTCTCTGAAGATGTCCTCGTTGCAAGCAGTGCCGAATTGGTCATCATTCCGTTTCCTGCAATGTTGAGCCCATGGCATGGCCGTGATCTGGTACTTGAGGGTTCCGACACATCGACATGCAGGCATTTGGAAGCTTGATGCGAATGAGGACAGGAAGATGTTAATGAATATCATGGTATGGAGAGAACGACTGTCTTCATTCGTCTATGGTCTGCCCAGGAGAGGCTACGTACTCCCTAGAAGCTGCTGACTTCTCGCTCTCTAAAGAGAATAAGATGAGCATTTTGAGTTATGCAAAGATGAGCGGCTTACGTTCTCGCCTTCAGGTGGGCAATTTCATCTAGTGGTCCTTCTCCCTCATCGGTATTACTGGAACCTTCATCATGACCATCAAGTGCCCCGAGCCCCGATCCATCCAATATTGCTTCTAATGGATCGACCGCGACGGTGGCAGGATGAGAGAGAGTTCCAGGATTGAATGTATCAGAGCCTATCGGGGGGACATGCTCAGAGTAACGTCGCTCATTCGCGGATTCGATGAATTCTAGCGCAGTTGGCACGAGTTATACAGGGTATATAATGAGGGTACAAGTGATTTATACGACGTACCTCTGAAACCGGGCGGGCAGAAATGCTCACTACTTTGAGGATAGCTAAAGCGATGATAGAGAGAACGACATTTGGCAGAAGGAAGACCATAACGCTTGTTTATGTAGTTTATAGGGTGAATTTTAGGATGTGACAATGATGCGTGCTCTCGGCCTGCGAGACAATATTAATCTGTGCTATAAAGTATACAGGAACAGAGAGAGAATTACTAGTCTGGCGGTGAACGCGACTGGTAAGTACCGCGTCAAGGTCACGTGTCTCTTGATATTATGCGCTGACATCGGGAATCCGGGATCGCAATATCAGGCTCTTAGACTTGCTTCCAGCTTTCTCTTGGTTGCGGTGATCAGTGCTGAAATAGCCTTATGTGTGAGGCCGTCCTACTTTACCCAAGACCACTTGCTCGTTATCCAGGACGCCTCCTCCTCCTCCCTCTTTTACCTCATCGACCTCCTCTAAAGCCACTTCCTTCAGAAATATGGTCCCGCATTTTTGTGCAGGCTCTCTTCGATGACGATCAAGATGCCCAATCACACAATGCACACAATAACTTACGACGTTCGTGTTTGTCATTGATGCTAGTATGCAAGGGTTTCAAGGCGAGTAGCTTGGGTTTTCAAAGTGCTTCTTACGTACAGGAAGCATATCTAGATGACTGTCTTGATCCGTTTCATTCACTCCGTCTCACTATGCTAACATATATTTGCGGTAGGAAGTTGCAATACCGCTCTTATATTCCAGCGTGTGCTTGCACTCTGAGAATTCCTTGCAGAAGTTTACTGCACATCTTCACTCTGCAGACCAGATGTGGGATTCTATCCGCAGAATCCCTTACTCTACCCCCGGGCGTTGGGTGCAAGTGCTTGATCTTTCGGAATTTCTCGTAGAGCTGGATTCCTCGGCGTGCTATGCAATTAACGCACTTTTGACGCAGCTTTTCCCACTGCTGCCGTCCCTCGCAAAGTTGACTTTGTACTCTGGATTTCTGCTGAGCCGTCGCGCGCTTGCGTCTCTCACACACAGAGATGGCAGCTCCAATATTCGTGCACTGGGCGGAATTTATTACGATCCCTTCATATATTCTGCGGTGGCAACTGGTGAAGACCCTTTCGTTCAGTTGCTGCGGGTATGTGTAAATCTGGAGCTACTGGAGGTCACCGGGGTTGGTTTAGATGACACTGATCTCGAGTCACATTTTGATAACACCGAAAATCTCAAAACACCACATATGGTCGCCCCGCTTTATTTACCGCACCTACGAAGCCTTACGCTATTATCCATGCCTTCCTCTTTGTTGATGCATGCTCTTTTGCATACGCCCCTACCACGTTTACGGACACTGTCACTTACTCCGTATGATGACATCCCCTTTCCTGCATCACTCTCGTCCCTCTTTCTTGAGAAGCACGGGCAGTATCTTCATGCCATCTTTCTCTTCACTCCGAAGTCTTGGCCTACACGCTATCATTCATCACCCATTACTATACTCCACACATCCCCACGTCTCAGGCACCTCTCTCTGGAATATCCGCTACCGGCTCTTACAATTGCATCTCAAACACCATTAACCGATGCATCATCACCATTTATTCATCCCCTCCAGATCTTGTCGATTCCCCGACCTAACAGTGACTTCTGGGTCACTTTGGAGAGGCTCCTCCCCTTTCTCCCTTCCCTACAAATTATACGTACACGCGACGTGCGGTGGCTGAGGCGTGGAATGACTTTCCGTGCTCAGGAGACTGGAGTACAAGGTGAGATGAGGGAATGGAACCGTCGCTTGACTCGTAGAGGCATTCGATTGCTGGACAGCAATTGGAAGGAGTTACAGGACGTGTGAATGTGGAATATTCAAACTCTTGGAACTAGCTATCGCTTGCTGACGTCTTGTATGTTTTCGTGTTTCCTACTCTCTGCTCCTTGCTGTATGTAGCTTTTACCTCTCACCTCTCAATATCAATCCTGTCTCTGCGAGTCAAGGAATTACACGCTATCCTTTTGTGAATATTTTCTAAGCTGGAGACAATCTCACGCGGTAAATCACCTGAGCGAACTGCATTGCTCCTTCCGAGTTTACGTCAAGATATGCAAGCAGCGAATGCCTCATGGCTTCGAAGGTCCTAAAATGTCACCTATCTCCTCCACGAATTTCTGATAATCATCCTTCTTCCCAACGTTGGACTGCATGCCCTTCAAAGATCCCTTTTCATTCAGGGAGGCTGCTGCAACCACAGGTACCGGTCCGAATTTGTCCATCAATGAGCTCACAAGATCCGGTCGTGAAGCTTGTGCTGGTTCCGAAGATTCTGACCCTGCACCGAGAGAAGGAGCTGCGTTGACCTTAGATGACGCCATTCCAGCAGCAGGCTTTTTCCGCTTGAGGGATGTCGGAACGAACGCCGTAGCCTCCTTCTTGAAGTCCCGTAATTGCGGCGCGGCCGAAATCGTAGCTGTAGTTGTATTATTACCAGCAATCCCTATAGAGGAAGCGCCAGGGGCTGGCGGAGGTTTTTGGGGAAGTGATGGATGGGGAGTAAGGCGGTTGACACGATGTGCTTGGTACGTTTGATGAGGAATAGCAGAAAGCGGGTCTTGTATGGACGAAGCAGACTGTACACGAGGGAAAAACCCAGGAGGTGGGGGAGGCATATGAGGTTGCATGAACGCAGATACAGGTGGGTATGGTGAGACACCGGGCGGGAAGCCAGGAGGAGAAGTATGTCCAAATCCTGAAGATTGATAGGGATAAGACGGCGGGAAAGGCGGGGAACCCTGGACAAACGGAGGAGGCGGGGGTGGCGGAAGTGGAGCAACACTGAAGGGAATGTTTGGTGGCAGTGGTGGTTCTATGAGATTAACTTGAGAGTTTAGCGTACGTTAAACAAAGGATGAAACGAACTTTGAAGAATGCTTGGTGGAGGTCCTTCTGGCATCGGAATGTCATCATCACTGTCAACCATGTCATTGTTGTTACCAGTTGGAGGAGGACCTTCAGGCATAACGACGTCGTCGTCTAGACATTGGAAAAGGTGATATTGAACAAAAGATCAATATGAAGTGAATAGTATTTGCTGACCGCCATCAGCTTCATCATCTCTGGCTGTCTCGTCAGGCCTCAGGGCTACATGAAGACTATCAGAATTAATCTACACCATGTATTATTAAGGTTGACTTACGTCTCTCCATGTAAGGCATTCCTGGAGGGGGTACACCGTAGGGATTCATGACAGCATCATAGTAGATGCTTCGTTCAGGATGCCGAGGCAAGCCATGTTTGTTGAAAACATTTCGTTTCTGCTCGGCAACCGGTTCCTCTTTGTTGGCCTCATCCTTGTCTCTACGAGCTCGGTAAACAAGTTTACGTTGTTCAGGATGCTCTTGGACGTATTCTTCTTTCTTAGCCATGATTTTGTTTAGCTCTGCCTTGAGTTCTGCCAGGCGATATTTCTCTGCGCCAGAGGGCTCTGCAACTCCCTCAAGCTTCTCAATTTCATCCTGGAGATCTAACAAAGTAGCAGTGAGTTGAATGCTATAGTAGATGAGAGGGTGAACCAACCAACCTCTTGTGTCTTTCTTGACTAGAGCGAAGTCACGAGCTTTGGACCTCTCTGCCTTGTTCTACTGCAATGAGAATAATTCCAAGATATGCGTTTAGTCCAGATATGATCATCGAGGATCCATGCTCGCCTTTTTAAGTTCCTTCTTTCGCTGAGCCTTTCCTAGGGGTCAGTACCATTCACTACGGGCCTGTATGTAGTACATGAGGAGACTCACTAAACGCGTCCGCTGGGTTCAGATTCTTTCCTTTTGCCATGGCGGCGTCGGCTGAACTCTTGATGTGCTTAGTACTCGCTTGCAAGCGAAGAATACGGAACCGACACGTGACTCGGACAGATAGTCTTCGGAGTCATAACGTCTGACAGATTATAAGTACCATCGTGGTGGTCTCTATCCCACTGGTAGGGAAGAACCCCACGAGGGATCCAGTTATCCATCAATTATACTCAGTAAACCGACGTTTGTTTTTGCCAGTTTTGCTCAATGACGTCGCAGCTGAGAGCACAGGCGATAGCGCCGAAGCGACCACCGAAGATGGCCTCAAATCAGTCCTTGAACCACCTCTTGAACTTCACACTTCCTCCTAGACAGATTCAGCCTCAGAATGTGCCTAGGAGGAGTAAGAAAGCTGTTCATTCAGCCGTGTGGAACAAGGAGAGTGAGTATCGTCTTCTGTATTGTATTGTGCTACTTCTTACAGTGTCACAGGGTTCGTGAATGCGCAGTACCGGTTTGTTATGAACCCAAGCGGGGACTATACGGTCCACTTTGCGGACCCAGATATGTGAGGTTTTCAAGATGTACCTGGACCGATCACATCTAATTGTTGGCCTCAGCTTTTTCCAATGGCACGATATATTGCAGGTCATCATTCCACGGTCCTCAGCCTTGGCATCTGCCGCTGTTGCCGGCGGGGAGCATGCTATACAGGAGGAGGGGGTTAAGACCTGTCCCATCTGTTTGTCCCCTCCTACCGCTCCGCGAATGACAAAGTGCGGGCATGTCAGTAAATGTCTTCTACTACATACCAACGACTGAAGACCATTTCCCAGGTATATTGTTTTCCTTGCATCTTACATTACCTGAGCATGTCGGACAAACTCAAATGGGCGCGATGTCCGGTCTGCTTTGACACGCTCAACGAGAAACAGCTGAAGAGCGTCAAGTGGTATGACGGACCTCAGTTCCAAGAGGACGAACCTGCTGTTGCCAGTGGCTCCTCGTATGTCACACAGCTTTCGGACCACGACGCGACTCCTCGAGCGGGATCCACAATGCGGATGCGACTGATGCAACGTCCTCAGATGACAACCCTTGCACTACCGCGCTCACATACTTGGCCATCGGACCTAATTCCACCCCATCAGGCTCCTTTTCACTTTCTTCCCGATGTGTACGACTATGCGAAGTTCATGCTCGCTACTCCTGAATATCTGATCGCCGATCTCTCCAACGATCTGGACGCGCTTGCCGTAGAACGCCGGATGATGGCCAGCGTGCAAGATGAACTCAGTATTTCATTTATTGATGCAGCTGATCAGAAGCTTCGCCATCAGATCGCTAAAGCAACTGCATTAGAATCGCTGCAGCTGAAGGAAGCCATTGACAGAACTCGCAAGGATCACGACGACATCGTACGACGCCACAACCTTGAATGTGCGCGAAAGCTTGCTGGGGAGATGAAAGGAGCTGCACTCCCCGAGGCACCAGAAGAGTTTCTCGCTACAGGTTCGAGCTCTGGGATCTTCGCATCTTCGCGTACCTCTCTGTCGATCCCTGCCACTCCCAAGTCGACACCATCACCAGCACCCCCTGCCGATACTTCTAACAATCGTAATCACAGACAGCGCCGTAATATTAATCCTCCTCCCCCATCTACGCAGACCTACTATTACTACCAGGCAGCGTCTGGTCTGCCCATCTATTTACATCCTCTCGACATCAAGATTCTCTTTTCGCACTTCAACGGCTATGCTTCATTCCCCAACACAATTACAATCCGTGTAGAATCTGCTACTGAAGGCACTGTCAACGACGACCTGCGCAAGAGGTGCAAGTACCTTGCACACACACCAGAGGGTACAGATGTCGTTTTCATCGAGGCAGACTTGGAGGGAGTTGTGGGTCAAGAAGGCCTTAAGAATTTTGAAGGGGCGATCAAACTCCGTAAGTCAAGGAGGAAGGAGAAAGGTAGGAAGGACGACCGTGCACGTGCGCGCGCGGAGGAACGTGAAAGAGAGAAGGTCGTTGCGCCCTGGACAGAGTCTGTGTTTTCCATACCTCTCGATCCCGTTCTTCATGCTGTGGAAGTGGAGGGGATAGCGAATCACGAGTCCCCCATCCCTCAAATTAGCGGTGCTTGGGGTTCGAGGAGCTTCGCATCTGCTGCCCATTCCGCATCGGGCGCAGATCTCAGACATCCGAATACAAACAATCGCAATTCGAGTCAGGAGATTGGGGACGAGTGGGAATTAGACGTAGCTTGGCACGAACTTGAGCAGCGAAGCACAGCCGGACAAGGGAACAAGAAGAAGAAGGGAAATAAACTTGTCGTCATGGGCGGCGGAGCGGGGGGGCGAAGGCGATAGATTTTTATACTGGAACAACTGAGTCACGATCTATTATCTTTGTAACAACAGCCTGCAGCGTCACTTGTTTTAATTGTTGCAACCACCCAATGATTGTTTACAGCTAGTTGGCCTTTGCGATGCTTCGTTGAGAACTTGCAAGAATGCACAAGCATGATAAGTGATGAATCTAATGCCATCAGTATGTTTAGACGTGCATGTCCAGTGCGTCGAGTCTGTGCAAGTATATGTTATTGTATGCCACCCCAGGCTGTATATACTATGACGCCAGCTCTACTATCGAGGATTACGAGTCAGTGCTAGTAATAGCTCTGAGCGTTGCTTGGACAAGTCTGGCCCAAGCATTGACATATACTTGAAAAGTTCAAAGAGTCCTGGCGAAGATAGTGTGGAATTAGTTGGAAGAGCTGCTATCACAATATATACCAATCCGCTGGCAGAGAAGCGGACTATCGATGTTGAAGACTTATGCTACTGGTCGAGTGATGACTACCCCCCTCAAAGATGTACGTCAAGTCTACTATAGGTAATATCGAAGACCATCTGTATAATCTTGGCTACTGGATGAAACAAGTCCCTGCAGGGAAATCTGATGCGTGTGACACCGAGAAGCTCAAGACGAAGCCTAGAAGGAAGCTCGGCGATAGAGCATACGACAATGTAGCTGCAATGGGTCTCCGAGTGACGAAGGGTGCACAAGGCTAATTCTGGGCTGTGGCTAGGAATATAGTAATATCTGCGCGCTGATAACAAGAGACAGGATCGACCCTGCCAGCACTCGTATTTAATAAATGGGGACTAGTGATTCGAGAGGCCGCTACAACACTAGGCAGGAATTACCATATGCAGTTGAATGAACGCCACGAATATATTTAGTGACGCATGGACTCCGCGAAGTTATCAAGGAACGTTTAAATCAATTGCACGTTCCGTCCCTGCATGATGTCAGTGATATTGGTTACGTGGCCCATTTTTGGGGTTGGGGGATGATACGTGTTCTTCGCAAGACGCCGAGCGAATTGTTCCGGTGACAGACCGCCGTGGAGCAGATCAAACGTCATGAGGACAATTCCTGCTCGTAATTTCCACTATCGAAGATATATATTGATGTAGATCAGTTCTGATGATGCCCTTTGTTGCGAGTATCTAAATGAAAGCCTTTCTTTCTGGGAAAGACTAACCGCGACCTCTGCATTCAGTGTGCGGACATTGAACACGTTACACGAGGATCATGTAAGACTTAGACGAGACAGGTAAAAGGCGGTGTTTATGAACAACGTGTCCAAATGAGCTCACAGAGTTGCGTCGCCAGAGTGATGAAAATAAATAAAGTCTGGGAAGTGGTCAGCTGTTATCAAACATTGCCAAGTTACAAGAAAACAAACCAACATTACATGTCCACTTGACCCAAGGGGATGGTGTTGTGGAGCACGAAAAGTGAACTGAAACCGACAGGTAGGTTCTGGTGTACAACATACTAACATCTGGTAACACAGAAAAATGTCGATGCATGGAGGCGATCCCGCAGGGGGACATGATCAACTCGGCGATTGACAGCACTGGATGGACTGTCTTGGAAGTAGTGGGGCGTATTCAGAGTGCATCCTATGCGCAACAAGTTGGGGAATACGGACCGCCACTGATCTCCATTGCGAGTAAGAATGAGGGCACAGTGTCCTTTCAAGAAAGACGAGGTCGCTCAGTGTTGCGAGATTGTTTTCGTGCCTCTTCCTCCATTGCAACCAGCTTGCGCTTCGCTTTCTCTTCCGCAACTCTCCTGGACTCCGTCCACAGTTCGAGAGTGTAGTCATGCAGGGTTTTGGAGTATAATCTCAATGGATCCTGTTCAAAACTAGAGATTGAACTGGGCATAGGCACTGATGCAGAACAGTCAAGCGGGTGAGGGAGAAGCTTTCGGAAAAATAAAGACACGAATGAGACAGCGCAAGAGGGGAATATATACGGTGAATGCCATGAGGACGATACGAACCATCCGGATCACTTGGGCCGCCCCATTCGCTCCACAACACACAGACCTTGTACCCGCGGCATCACACCTGCCGTTGCAACCTCCATTTATTATACTCCGCGTCGTTCAACTCACGTGGCAACGCTAGCTGCCCTTCCAGGGCAGAAGGGCTTGAAGAAAGGAAGATATGTCTCGGACGATAAATTCTTCAGATCTGTCATGTACACTTTAATTAGCAGGGTCACTTCGAAAAATAATCATCTCACTGTTTGTACCCCGGTTTCACATCATATCGAACCTTGGAGTACTTGACACATTTGGTACTCGTACCATGTTTCCTGCGTTCCTATGTCACTTGACTTATCTTGCAACAGAACACGGCACTCATCTTTTAGTATACGTTCACATTTCGTGCACCTCCAAATATCAAAATATTATATTTCGTTTGTTCTGCACCAATGCAACGGAATTCTAGTAATATAAAAGAACTCACAAGATCAAATTGGTCGCTCAAATTTTAAATCCGGAACCGACATAAACCCTGGTCGTAAAGTCAGCTTGGCACATCAGTCACCACCTCTGCAGGCGCAATCGCGGATGCGATTACTCTACCACTGGGCACTGAGCGGATATTACCAAGCGCCCTAGGGGTTCTATCAATTGTCCGGAAATTGAAGGTTCAACGTGCAACAACAAACGTCATCGGCTCAAGAAATGCGAAATCATAATAGTGAAAAACCCCTAGAAACGCTTCTAGAAACCCGCACACTTTTCAGTTGTGCGACCGAAAACTTGGAGGACCGTTATATTCCTATCCCAAATCTGGAGAATAAGGTTCATGAAAGTCGTCTGATATATGGTAGTGGAAGTGGAATAAGTACGATCTATAAAGTAACATGAGTCCACCAATGTTACACCAAAAGGTTCGAGGATGGCGGAAATGTGAAACGGGTGTTAGCCAAGAACAACGCGTCACGCGTGTGTTCGCGTGGATGTACTCCGTTTAGGCAGGACGACGTCCCTGGCATGGACATCAAGGACAACATGTATGTCATGATATTTCCGCAAGTCAATTGCCTCCGTTTTGGCCACCCCCGCTGTATCGTTCGGAAGCCAGATGATCGGTGCTGGGGCAAGCAGCTCGGGCGCATACATGATAGCCGACATATCTTCGGCATGATCCCCAAAGGATAACGGAGGAAGGTGAGGAGGAGCATCAGGATGCGTTCTGGCAGCCCGTTCTGTAGCGATTAGATCATCCAGAGTTTCCGTTCCTATAAAACTGCATTAGTACATTGATGATGTTTCAGACAAACGTTCATACGAAGTGGCAGCGGACCACGATGACTTGAAGCTGATGGCATAACCGCTAACGTGAGAGACATCATTTCGAGGACAGAAGCCATCGAACCCCTCGTACGGTTCCCTCTAGCAGTGAGCATGCTACGATTCTCATCATCGGTATCAGTACGGTTATCGGATTCCAACGCCCTGCGAAATACTCTAAGAGACTCTTGAGTGTTCTCAGGTAACGCTTGGAGGCTTGCAAGCCTCGTTTTGTACATGGTGTACACTTCCACTGTCCCCACCACAACGAGAGCTATGCCTAAAAGTATTCCTCCTTCTATCCAGAGCCGCCGACTGAGTAAAATTAAACCGAGGAGTAGAGGTTGTAGCGCAAGGAGTGTGCCCAATCGCTTCAGCAACCAGATCTGGAGAAGCCCCCCAGTCTCCGAAAGAGTTCGGGCGTAAACATATCCAACAAGGTATCTATGAGCTGGAGGGCGGTCATTTCGCTCTGCGGAATGGTAAGGCACAAAATGACGTACCAACAAGAGTCAAAAATAGGAGAATCACAGTAGCCGGCCCGATCAAAGGGAAAATAAGAGAAAATGCCGATGCAAAAACCATGGATAATACACAAGCACTTGCAGCATAAGAAGCGTCGTAAGTTGTCGGATATACAGCTGGACAATGAGATAAGTTTATCGCTATTGAAATCGAGTCAGGAACCATACCTCGAAAACGCTGTCTTGGGGTGACGGCGTCTTGTTCCGAATGAAGAACACACCACAATCGGACGGGTTGTAACAACATTATCCCAGGGAATAGGACAGCAACGTTGATAACGAGAACAAAAGCGAAGGCGCTCATATAGACACAACCGGTTGCGACCGTTTTGGCAATGTCAACCTCAAGCCTGAATGCCTCTAACGCGAAAAGGAGAGCACCGGCGGTGATAGTAAATGCGGCAACCATAACCGTTATGATGTAGAACATAAGTTTGACCGCGAGCATTCGAACTCCGGACACGGATACGACACCACTCCATCCAGCTGCCCCTACATCATACCCTGATAAGCATTACACAGGTGAGCATGCGTGAATATGCCTACATTTTACGATCGTGAGTGCAATCACAGTGAAAAGCGTAGCGCCAATCGCAGGAGCAAGGGAAGTTGCTAATCCGGACACAAGGTTCCCATGGTCTGAAAGGGGGCGAAAGAAAGGTAAATAATGCTCCACACTAGAAGTGGCGCCGAGGGCAAGTCCCGCAACAGCTGTGACTATACAGAGTTCAATACCGATATTCCCCCAATATATCGGCAAAACGTGACTTACGGCCAGCGGCAAGGAGTATATTGATTACCACCATAACTAACCAAAAGGCTGTAGAATCCAGCAATGTCGTTTCGTTCTGCAGCGTGCCCCAACGCACGTCTTCCTTTGCCCTACCCTCTATGAGCTCCACACCATGCATGTGGCGCAAACCACGCCCAATGATAATCCAACCCTTGACTGGCGCGCCATCAGCGATATCTGCATAGGAATCTTGCTGGGCCTCGGCAATCTGCATGTTAATGAGCTTCAGCCGGGAACGCCATTGGTTTATTTCGGTATAGACAGCACCGAGGTTATCATAGTTAAGGTCAGAAGCGGGCCGAACGAACGGCTGTCGCGGCTGCAAGCGTAAATGAGGTGGTGGAACATCTTCAGCGGGAATATTGTCTTTCGGTCGAATCCTTAGTGGAAAGGTCTCCCGGCGGTCAGATGACGTGTCAAGAGGTCTCTGACGTTGCCTTCGGGACGTAAGCTCTTTCTGTGGTCTGGGTGCCAGGCCAGCGGGAGGTTCCTCGCTCAACGGATTGCCAAAATCAATCCCGTGTGTGAGGACGACCCAGTCGTCATCAAGAGATCCCCGAGTGTCCAATGACGACTCCACAGTTAGATATTCAGTGCCTGTCCCAGTTCCACCGCCACCACTTTCATATGACCCTCCGCCATGGTTTGGCCTGTAGTACTTTGGGTCAGGAACTGATATCGACGACTCTCTGAAGTCCTCCGTCTTTACATGACTCCCTGATGGCATGGCATTGTAGGATGCCGAACCTCTGTCCACCTCCTGGAAGCGACTGCCCACAATTCGTTGTTTAAATGAATCCGTCAGACTAACCGGCGTGCTGATGCCGCCGGAAAGTCTCCCGCCATCGACGCTTTTCAAGCTTCGTAATTTGTAGTATTGTGATGGGGCCACGAACGAGGTAGGAGCAAACGATGAGTTAGCCTGCGCCGGGTTGTGTCTCCGATGGCGTGGACGATGTCTCTGAAAGCAACTGTTAGCTCAAGAGATATGAAATAGTATACTGAGATTATTACCGATCCAACTAGAGCGCGAGGCCTCCCTATGTGAGGTCTGGATGGCGTTTCCTCAGATCTACTGGAAGCGAGAATTTCGAGATCAGCAATGGAAGGGTCGGGCGTTGAAATCTTGAAAGATGATATGTATCTTGTTTCTGCAACTTCGAGGTTGTCCAGAATTTCGTCTCGTTCTTCAATGAGCAGTGCCAAATTATGGGTATCGCTAGAAAATGTTGCTCTATCAGTGCCGATGAATATTTGTCTTACACACCTTCTTACCATACAGTGAACAGACTTTGGATGTCAATCTCTAATACTGAATCCTGAGGGTTCTGACAGTAAGACTGAGTTCGGCGTGAGAGCTGCGGCGGTCGGTTGTTGGACCGAGAAGAGCCTCCCAATGAAGAACTAAGTCCAATTTTGACAAGATAATCCTTGACACGCTTCTCTCCCCATCCTGCAAAACCGGGGGCTTTTCTGGAGCTCAGCCAACCCATTTCCTTCCCTTCGCATCGCACTTCTAGCCAGCGCCGGCGGAATGCAGCGAGGTTGTTGATTTCTTTCAGTATTTTATACAGCGCCGGCAGCGTGGTCGCAAATACTGCCAAAATGGCAAGAATAACGATGCGCAGTCGAGCTTTCGAAGCCTGATTATCGCCGTTAAATACATCTAGTACTGAGTAGGTGGTGTTCGTGGAGGCTGAGCTGGCTTCTAGTAGCTGCAGAAGACGTAACAAGCTGAGATCTTGAATTGTGGAGTAAACTCCAGTAAAATTAGGGTCGCTTGCCGAGCGTGCAAGGCATGGCATAGACACGAGGTATATCGGCAAAGCGCCGCCAAGGCCCACTACACTCCAGCCAAGCACGATGATGAGACATGTCCACAGAGTTCGTTGGCTCAATTCCTCATCAGATGGGAATAGGCGAGCGTCCACTAGAGCTGACCTTCCAGCGTCAAGGACGTCTGAAGGTGTAGGTGGAACAAGCGATATAGAGGGAAAGAGGAACGCGCCGAGATTCGAGCTCAACCGATGCGGTCGTAGCCTGCAGACGATTTAGCATATACTACTGCATAGATACCAGTGTCCTACTCTTGTTGCACGAACCACTCTCTAAGTGCATATATTTGTCGGTAACGCGGACGTAGTACAGCAAACAGCAGCTGCCAGACTAATTGAGTCTATAGGCACAACAGAGAACTACCAAGTGATAACTCACCCAAATGGCAAGGCCGACACTCGTTGGAAGCACCACGGTCGCGATTACTCCGTCCGAAGCTGCATCTAGGCCATCTCCGATGCACACAGGCTGAATCTGCGTAGCACTTCGATACGAAAAGATATGGGATAAAGAGTCAGATCCCGATACAACAGCAGTTGAATATGACACAAATGTTGAGGTTGATTGGGTTACTGTGGGGTATGAAGGGGTATACGTCGCTGGGTATGGACTTGAAGACAACATTGAACCATCAAGGTTTGGTGTTACAGATAGCAAATTTGACATGAGTAATAGTTCATGAGAAGGAGTGAGTAAATGAGTAGTTTCAGAGACAGTTTCGGACCATCCTTGGCTTTGGCCATCCACTTGAAGTCGTCTAGGTCGTAGCGCCAAACCGGCGTCGGCGTGAATCGTCATAAGAGCCCTCGGCTGGGCGGATATACAACAAGTAAGTAATGAGTAACTCAGAGTAAGCACAATGGAGATTGACAATTTCGTTTCGGTGACCGGGTCGTAAGAAGGTTCAAAATTTCAATGATGTTGAACCAACCAACATTGTATGCCCATATTCGGTTCAGTAACCGAGTTTTCGATTGTGAAGTCGGGTTTCATGCTCACACCAACCTTGTTTATTCCTCTCAGTTCAAGGATGACTTGAAAATATCATGTTATCTACGAACAGGACGCCTTGGGTGATAATTATTGTTGCGTCCTGCGAACTCCGACTTTGACACCTTGCCTGGACCCTACGGTTTAAGGCGGTGTGCAATATTGAGACTACTTTATTGCAACTGTGTTCCTTCAGACATGATACTATAGTTTCCAAGACGACCCATCAATAAATGTACAACCCCACCCGACAAGTTATGAGTAGAAACACAGACCACACCGCATGGCCCCGAAGCCCGGCGTCTCATTTTCAAGTGAATGTCGACCTTTTCGTGCACCTTTGATTGCGAAGTACAAAGATCATAAGAATATGAGTGCATATAGCTGCGTTTCATTGTCAAAATGTATATGTTTCTTGGACAGACACGCGAACTCACTCATGAACACTGACGAGCGCTTAGTACAATGCATAAGACTTGTCACAGCGCATCTCGATGAACAAATACCCCCTGTCCGTCTTCAAGGACCACAAACACTTTGTGACCTCTGACCCATGGAGCAGGTTCTCTTTCAAATGAACTTGTCAATTCGTATTTCGAATGGCTCCGTTCCTTCTTTTGCCTGTATCTGAGCGACCAGGACTTGAACGTAGGTCGTGAAGAAGCAACGGCATGTTCCTTGTAATGGCGATTCTGTACCCTGCTCTGTGATCCTCCCATGATTCAAAGGAAGTGACCGGCTGTCGAACAGGAGAAGGTAAGCATAAAATATCTCATGTCCGAACTTATATCTTACAGATTGGTTTGAAGGTGCGTGAAAGCAAGGAGACTTTACTGGTGGGATCAACGAAAGTCGGTATATATAGATGCTGTTGCAATCAGGGCTCTAAGATCTGAACAGATTCCCCCTCGCAATTGCGGTGCTGGCGTGAGATGCGTGATGCGCGGCGGTGCTCGAGAGATTCGGCCAACATTAGGCCAGTACATCAATCAATGTGGCATGAGAGCATGAGAGATCCATCAGATGGGGAACAGGTCAGGGCTCCACAATAAATTTATCTCAAAAACTGTGCGTGGGGCCTTGAACTTGTCGGCGAGCGCAAAATCACGTCTAGCGCAAGTATTTCCGAGTAGCGAATCCTGTTCGGTGGTATCAACAGTCATACACCTAGCTACAAAACTCCTTAGGGGCTGGATGGCATCCGGCGTGCTTGTTATACACAGATAGAGCGTTAGGTGCGACCGCCAAAGTTAGAAGCCATGGCTACTGGCCACAGGTTCTCCTTATTGCGGTTCAGCTGCCTTTTGAGCTTACATCAGGCTCCTCTGCGTACTGTTAAGCGGTCTACGTGCAGCTGCGTGACTGTCGCAGAGCACCAAAGTATTTGCGTGTTGCCCTGATGGGAGTTGCCCATTGTCTATGTGTGTAGGCTTGACGTACTGAGAAGTGAGGGCAATCCTCCTCCAATTACATTTTTGTAGCTAATTCTTCCATCTGCAAAGTAACGTCAACACCGAGATGTATCAAGACGGTGCATCAACTCACATCTTCACAGTTCGATCGCGCCCCCCACTGACAACCTTATCAGCAACGAAATCCACGCAGTAGACCTCGTCTGTGTGACCAGGAAGGTCCGACTTAATTTTGTACGTTTTGAGGTCCCAGATCTGATGCAACGGCACATCCATCAAATGAATACCTTGCTCGTGTGCACGTCAAACTTACTTTGACAGTTGCATCCTTGCTGGCGCTTACCAGCATTCGCGAATCTGCACTCCACGCAAGTCTGTAGACGGGGCCAACATGTCCGCGCAGTGTGGCTACAAACTTGCCCAGCTGCCCAGCGCCTGTGAGGTGACGGCAAAATCTGGATCAAGTTGCCAACAGACATACGACAGCCAACTAACGTACCTGAGCAATCCCATAGTCGTACTGCACTATCCCACCCAGCACTAGCTGCCCACCGACCATCGGGGGAGAAAGCGACGTGAGATACTTGCCGTTGGTGACCGGTTAGACGGGTCAAGGGCTTGGTCTTCCCCCCTCCCGGTTCTGCGTTCGACGATGCGAATAAAGACCAAAGGAAGAGTGTGTGGTCATCTGAACCTGAGATCAATAGCTCTGGCGTTCGTGACACAAGTGCGGTGTATCTTTTGAGGGCAAGTGCTTGAGCTGATATTTTGTATTAACTAAGAATCTAACGGAAGATAACTTGCACAGATGAGGATTTACCTTCCTCGTCCGACAATGGGCGCTTTCCGGTGTGATCGAATGGTCCAGTACGAAGTACGAAATCCGTATTGAGAGCAAGAGTGGTGACCCAATGTGCATGGTCTTTCAGAATATGGAGTTGTTTTCCCTGGAAAAACAGCATTAAATAATTGCGCAGTGAAGATGGAAGGATATACCTACCCCTCGTGCGTCCCATACTCTGACTGTACGGTCACTACTAGCCGTGTAGAGTACTCCATGACCATTCAAACCACCGCCTCCCCATTTTACAACGTTTACGCTGGCAGTGTGACCCCCAAGTGCGTATTCTAGTTTTCGTGTGGCCGTCGACCATACTCGCACAGTTCCGTCCTTAGACGAGGATGCCAACCGTGGGGTAGATGGGTTTCTGGTAGGTCAGAAGTAAATAACTTTGAGAGATAACATAGACAATGACGCACAAGTGTAGGGGCTCCCATGCCAAGGACGTCACCCATTTTGAATGGCCCTTCATTGCATCGCCCAGCGATTTTCCAGTCTTAGGATCCCATAACCTTACATGACCATCGTGTCCACCACTTGCCAATTTGCGTTCTAGTGGATCCCACTCCACGCACAGCACCCACCCAGTGTGGCCCGTCAACGTGTGCGACGGAGTTTCAGTATAAAGATCCCAGAGACGCACATGCGTGTCACCTGAGCCAGTCGCAAGTAAATTGCCGGTAGGAGAGAATGAAGCGCATAATATCGGCGAAGAATGTCCTGATTCCACAATTATATTAACAATTATTGATGTGACCCGATGGGCAATCAACGGACCTGAAAGTGTGGCGGAACATCGAGTAGCTGGGCGAACTTTGAATACAGACTGTGGAGCACATCGAACTACCAGGACGTCTTCTTCTGAGAATGCATGAGATGCGTGTGCTAGAACATCCACTTCTATTGACTTAGATATCACGATTCGCGTTGGAGCATTTGGTTTCGTCGCCTCCTCAGGTAGAGCGACATGAAAAGCAAATGGTACATGCTCGTCGTCGTCCTTAATCACCAAAATTAGTAAACTGTAGACAAAGCACAAGTATCTAACCTTTGTGCGTAGCTGATTGACGAGTACTTCAAGGCCTTCGCGCGCAACGTTCGCTGGGAGGTTCACAGCAGGTGCTATCGGCGTGCCGTCATGTTCGTTCACAAATTGAACCACAACATTGGGCGATACTTTTAGTGGCTCGGGTTCAGGCTCTGTGACGCTGTGATATAGTTTTGGTCTTTTCGGAGGAGGAAGAAGTGTTGCCATTATGATATCAAACTACGGTCAGACAGTACTAAAAGAATTTCGCACAAGCTCGATTTTGCAATGTCAGCCAAATATTTGTTTCCGAACAGGCTCTTACTGATACAGAACGTGAGTCTAAATCTGCAGCCATGCTTCGATGCAGTGACTTTGCAAAGCTTATAGCCTGAGCGGTCAGGACAGGGAAGTAGCATTGAATGTTTGACAACAATTTGACAATGAAATCCTTTCCATGGCTCGTATTTCTAGTCACCTGACAATCATTCACCACGTGGCAGTGTGTTGGAAGCTACCACTAAGTATACTTGGTCTTTCGCGTGAAATCGAGCAGAAGATATTCAAATGGCAAGTACTGCTCTGAAGCATGTAAGTTCTCAAAGACAAGCCTTTTGTGCTGCTGATACTGACGGGTCGGCGGTCCAGGCAACCGCGCCAACAACATTGCAGCAAGCACAAACGGCTGCGTTGCTTGCGCTGCTTAACCTGAATGCTCCGTCAGATCCGAGTCCCGTTCAACGACCAGGAACACCGTCAGGAAAAGCTTCGACTGGACTCAAAGTTCCGGCGGTCACTGGGCCTCCCGTGTGGAAGGTATTGGTGCTAGACCAGCAAACGAAAGATGTGTTGGCAACTGTTCTTCGAGTACAAGACCTTCGTGACGTCGGCGTCACGCTCCATGTGTAGGTACCAATCATTTGTCGTGATATTACTCGCATCTAAGTTCTACATAGACAATTACACTCTTTACGCCCTCCACTCCCAGACGTTCCGGCTGTTTACTTCGTTGCCCCCACGCTCGACAATGTGAGACGGATAGCTGAAGACCTGGACAAATGCTTGTATGAGTCCTTCCACCTCAACTTTGTAGGACCCCTCCCCCGTGCCTTGCTAGAAGAGCTGGCGGCCTCTGTCGCGAGCGCCGGAACAGGTGACTTGGTTGAACAGGTGGGTATCTTGCGTATGACATTCTGTTTTCAGTGTGCCAATGCACGTTTCTAGGTTCTTGATCAATATTTGTCATTCATTGCACCCTCTCCCTCACTATTCTCATTGTTGTCACCGCTCCCTCCTACCACGCCATCCAGTCAAGCAGGGCCGTCCCAGGCACAACCTGTGACATCCTACACACTCCTAAACTCCCCATCATCCACCGAACAACAGATAGAAGAGGAGATTGAACGCATATCTAATGGTCTCTTTAGTGCTGTTGTCACGATGGGTGAGTGCGGTGTATTGATATATCGTCGATGGTGACGTGAATATCGCACCGGTAAGGCCATGTTCCGATCATCCGCGCGCCCAAAGGCAATGCTGCGGAGATGATAGCAAAAAAACTCGACATAAAAATACGAGATGCGATTCTTTCGGCTTCCCGAACTCATGGGGCTACATCATCATTATTCGCGCAAGATGCATCCGGCTTGTCGAATCTGCAACGACCACGTATGTTTGTTCTATTCTTTGTGTTAAACTACTGAAACCGTTCCAGTGCTGCTGATTCTTGACAGAAATGTTGATCTTGTTTCGATGATCTCGCATGGATGGACATATCAAGCTCTGGTATCCGATTGTCTAGAGATCAAGCTGAATCGTGTAGTTGTCACTCAACCACAGAAGCGCTCGTATGATCTCGATTCGAAGGACTTCTTCTGGGCAAAGAATGCACCAAACCCATTCCCTCAAGTTGCTGAAGAGATCGACACGGAACTGAACAAATACAAACAGGATGCTGCAGAGATCACACGGTCTACGGGTGTTAGTGATGTTAATGACATTTCGCAAATGTACGTGCTCTTGAAGCTTCGGTATCGTGTTTATTGAAATAAATTGTAGTGATGTATCTTCCAATGCTACACACTTGAAGACTGCAATCACACAGCTACCTGAGCTGACTGCGCGGAAGGCTGTTCTCGACACTCATATGAACATAGCTACCGCATTGCTGGAGCAGATCAAGAAGCGTGCGCTTGATGAACTTTTCAGCACTGAAGAGGCCATAAACAAACAGGTGCGGCCCTCATTACGCTAGCTCGGTAATCTTTCTGTATTAATTGATATCTAGACCGTTGCTTCGGTTCTAGAGATGCTTCGCTCTCCTCGTCCCAGCGGCACCTTGACACCGGAGGATAAATTGCGCCTAGTTCTTGTCTTCTACTTGTCTTCACCCGACAATGCGATCTCGAAGGACGACGTTGTCGAGTTGGAAAAGGAGTTAAAGAATGCAGGAGCTAACACTGAATCATTCGAATATGTCAGGCGCACGAGAGAAATCTCGCGGATGACAGTAGCCACTGCTGTTGGAGGAACCTCGACGCCCGTACTTGGTGCAGGCCAAGGAGAACTCTTCAGAGGCTTTACAGCATTCGGAAACAGAGTCAGTATCATCCTTGGCTCTCGAGACCGATTGTAACATCTTTTATTACCTAGCTCACTGACCGACTCAAAGAAGGAGGTCTCGACAATCTTATCTCAGGTGTCAAGAACTTCCTACCATCGAACAAATTGCTTCCTGTCACCCGAATTACTGAAGCGATTATGGACTCATCTGCGGCTTCGAACCAGTCGCTGCAAGAAACAGATGATTACATTTTCCTTGACCCCCGAGCCTCTCGACACACCGGCCTCGGTCTTTCAGGAGGTCCAGGTGGTGCAGGAGGCGGTGCGTCTGGAACAGGTAGAGCGAAGCGGATGGCATTTGCAGAGGGCATGGTGTTTATTGTTGGAGGGGCAGGTTATGTTGAGTATGGAAACCTGGAGGAATGGGCTGCGAAGACTGGAAAACGGGTTACCTATGGCGGTACAGAGATTATTGACCCAGGTGCATTCGTTAGTATTCTTCAGGATCTTGGGAGATCCACTGCGTGATACAAGATCGTACCCCCTAGCTAATAATACATTGGACTTTGAGATAGATTATGAACGTGATGATGCCAGAAATGTTCATGAATGCTGAGTGGTGAACCATATCAATTAGGGACCGATTACCCGTCAGCTAATCACTTTCGGTTGTTTTGGCGCATAGCCAAGATCTGAACAAGGCGGATACTAGGGGGAAAAACCTTAGCCAGGTGCCACGATGCAAAATTTAAAATCGCTTACAAGATGTTGATCATATCGAGCTCAAGGGCAACAGATTCTTTTATGGGATCTCTGGGAATGACACCTGTCTCCGCCATACGTGCATGCTGCAAAATCTTTTGGGTGCTGGAGGGAATAAGTTAATGACCGTATATGAAATGAATTGGAGCCATACTCATAGAGTACGAGCCCACCAAAGACGGCAAGACCTCCATAAAGGGAGAGGGTTTCTGCAACAGCGAGGCCACGCATACCCAACGGGAGAGCAAGTGGAGCAAGTGAACTTAAAGCGACGACTGTGACACCAGCCAGCAGTGGTCCACCCATGTACAAATATTTATCATTTCTAGCAGCTGGTTAACTTCAGTTACTCGCAACAAGTACGAAACACACTTGGCTGTGGCGCCCACGAAAGAAAGAGAGCCAACCACGCCGCACGTGTAGAGGGCCGCGCGAGATAGAATAGCAGGGCTCAGGAAAAAGAGCGGGCTTAGGGTTGCGGCTTGACACGCGTTAAATGCCTGTATCACAATCAGTTCAGATGCTAGAAGTCGGTGTGATCAAATATACCAGCCAAAAAACGTGCTTCTGGAAGGTCTGCTCTGGTGGCGTGTAGAAGACACCCATCATGGATCCGATGCTACCCGCAAGACTGACACCAAGTACCACCCCTGCAAATAGAGCTTCAGAATTGTTCCATGCTACTCTCATCTTCAAGCTCACAAGGGTTCGCGGACATGATTCTGAAGGCGGCACCGGACCTAAACAAACTCCGAGCGGCAACTGCAGTCAACGTCAAGCCAGCCCCTGTATACATGAAACTTTCATGTAAGTAGGATTGTTCAGCCGAGCTTAATCTATCGCGTGTGTCTCTGTTCAAGAAGCCTTCAGCTAGGATGACAGTGCCCGCGACCACAGCCTAATGAGCCGAAGCGTGTCAATGAGAGAAACATCATGATCTCAGGCCATATTACCGCTGTGATTCCGAAACGCTTCCAAGCATCTTGGGATGACGAGGCCGTCACAGTGTGCGCATCGGTTGTGACAGAACGCGAGGAGCGGTAGAGCAGAGTGGGTGACAAGACGGTCGGGCGGTTTTGCAACATACTGCGTATGTTCGCATTGTTTGATTGTGCGCGCATCGAGAAGGGCTGCGCACGGGGCCGTATAATCGCATCCGCCACGTTACGGCGCAGAGAAGAGCGTAAAGTCGACGACAGACCAAGATACAACATTATAACGAAAAAGAGACGAGAACGCTAAAGAAATCATGCAAACACTGTGGCAGCATTATAACGGAACACTTGCCGGGGCCCGGCGGCACGCGAACTACGTCACCGCGGTGGCACCAATCAAGAGCAGAGCAAACTGATTAGCAACAGCGGTACATAGCGCAATAATGATAATGTAATGCAGTCCAGGTAGGAAAGACGATGATCAAGAACTCTGAAGCGCCGGTACCTTGCCAGGATCAACAATGGCGACCATCTGACGTTCCAGAGCCAACGCAATCAAGCTGGTATTCCCCCAACTCTGCCAGTCAATCTCGAATATGCCAGACTTCTCGCCCGTATACCACGACCATTTCTTCTCCTTGGACTGGATGGTTCGGTTTTAGAAGATGAAATTCGGGAGAGACAGGCGACTCGCCTTGACTTCGTATACCATCAACGAACCATCACCTCCGCCAGTGACGAGGTGACGCCCGTCGGGGCTGAAGGTAACGGCGTAGACATGTTTAGTGTGGTCCGCAAAGACCTTGATACAATCTCCAGTGACAGTATCCCACAGTCGGGCGGTAGCATCAAACGAGGCTCTGGTACACATGCATATGTTATAAAGCGAATATTCACCAAGGCCACGGCCAAAACGTACGTTGCAACAAGTTCATGCTCACCAGGTCCAGTGACAGGGCACCACTCTATGGAGGTGAGACATTGTTGGTGACCACTGAATATTATAGGCGTTGGTAGAGCTTTCTCGGAATGTATGTTTTCGATGTTCCATATACGTGCGGTGCCGTCGTCCGCACATGATGCTAGCCGTGTTCGAGAAGGATTACACTTAATAGAGTTGATCTCTCCTGCGTGGCCCCTTGAAGAATATCAAGCCTTTCAACGCGTTTTGTCCGCAAGAAAACGTACTGAAGAGTATGCAATGGTCCGGTAGCTGTCAAGGATATGATTTGAATGATTTTATCTGCGCCGCAACTTGCGAAAGTTGAATCGTCCAGCCACTCCACATCCAAGCAGCAAGCATCTTCCCCTCAAGTTCAACAGGACATCAATTGTCGTAGTTCAATGACATACCTCCGTGATTACGATACTGTCGATGTATTTTCTTTTGCTTGACATCCCAGACACATGAGGTGTAGTCTAGACTAGCTGTGACGATCCATTGGCCAGAGGGTGAAAATTTTGCAGCGAATATGGGACCCTACCGAACATGTATAAGAAGAAGGAAGGATTTACATTCCATCATACCTTATGGTGACTATCCCTGAAGTATGTGTCCCCATTCGCTGTGCAGATTCTGAGGATGGAATCATAGGAGGCGATAGCTACGAGTGAGCCATCATGATTCCAGCTCAATGCTGTCAAATCAGCCTGTGAATCAAAACTGAAGTCTGATAGAGTTAGAGTGGGTTGTATGGGGGCTGTAGGATCGTTATTTGGTCCATTGGGCACGGCCCAATAATTCACAACAGCATCACGCGACCTGGGTAATAAGAGGTAAATTGCACAAACAGAAGATTGATACCAGAGGAAGCACACCCAGAGACTAGCTGGCCCTTTGTAGAAGGATTCCACGCGACAACGAAAACCTAAAAGAAGATCATGAACAGGGAATCGAGAGTAATGTATTAGTGCGTACTTCGGTCTTGTGAGCCTGTAAGAACCGGACGGCACCAGGACGTGCTCCGACAACACTAGGCTTGTGTTTAAGCTTCTTAGTGGGAGGTTCTGGTAAGGCTTGCGGTGCGTCTGACTTAGCATCCTTCGGTTTGAGCTTTGGGACGGGTGCACCTGTGATAATTGAGGACAGAGTTGAATGAACACCCGAATGAACGCACCGTCGACGTTTATTTGCGCGTCTTTCTCGTCCTGCTCCTTCCTTGCTCTCTTCTCAGCGCGGGCATCTTCAGAAGGGGTCGTTGCCTTCCTTTTACCAGCAGTATCACCATTCACCTTGGCAGTACTGGATTCGCGGACATTATTTGTGGAAGAAAGAGGCTGGAGTGAACATGCGTGAGGGTCTAGGAGCGAAAACGGAGCTGAACAATTTGTGGACAACTCGTCCCCCTTCCAATGAGCCTCGACCTCGGAGTAAAGGAGCGCTTTGCTGAGAAGTTCGATGAGTTCGCCGCGTGGAATATGCTTCTTGATGTGAGGGGACTGGTCGAGACGACCCTCCATTCGTACGGCGAAAGCAGAGTGCTGGAAGCCTGGACCAATAAGTCAAATGATGTAGATAGCAAGAAGAAACATCGGAACCACACCAGAATCCAAAAAATAAGCATGTATGAGGCAATTGACTTGATCCGCTGTGATGAGAAGGGGCGCCGGCATGGCTGCTGCTTTCAGTGTATATATGTGTGCGTTCAATCAGTTTAGCAAGGTCAGAGCAATTGTGTAGCGGAGTTGCAAATCGTCACTGCTTGTCACTTTCGTAGCTACTACGCTCGAACAAGTTGAAGCTTGTTTTTATGTACTCATGGTAAACCAAATTCCCCCTCATAAGCTTTCTGGTGACTAGCCCTCGTAAATGACATACTGTAGCCCGCCAGATCTGACATTGCGTTGCGACGAACACATGCAGGGAGGTAGACACTTACTATGATCCCTCACTGTCTCCACAAAGAGTACATGTGTTTTGAAGACCCCTCCGTGGAATCGGATGCTTAAGCTTAAGACCTATTTGTCCCGTTGCGGTGCATCCATTCCGACGGGCAATCTGAGCTGTGTCGGTCCGCAGAGATTCACGTGGCTTGAGTCCATATGCCAGAGATAACCACACTAATCTTTCTCACTGACACCCAAGATTCACATATTCACAGACAGTTCGATTTTGCGCATCATGTCTGAGTACGATCGAATCGATTTCGACATGCTCGAAGAAAATGATGATGATTATGATGGCCCCGACGCATATGTCGACGAGGAAGATGATACTGTCTTGGATTTAGAGGACCGACACGACTCGGTACATGAGCGCACCGGAGTCACACAGGAATCACCCATGTTACGCCAAATCTTCCTATGTAAGTTCACTCGCTACAGGGCTTGTTCCACTCATGCGCTGCTAACCTGTAGCGTTATTTAACTCACAAAATGTACACCGGACTGACGCTGGCGGCGGCGGTAATGGAAGTGAACCCCGACAACTCAGGACCATTAGTATCCGGGACTTGCAGCGTTTGCTGAATTCACGTTCTGTGGAGTCCCCTACTGATTATGAAGAAGATGATGACGACGATGACGAAATTGAAAACGTAGGAGAATGGCACCAGGCGTGGTTCCCTCCGCACAAGGAACCCCAGCAGCAAGGGGTCGAGCTCCTCATGGGAGGAGAATTTGGTTCTGTGAGTTCGAAGATAAGGAGCAGGAGAAACAAGAGGAATGTTTCGCGAATGATCCTCGACCAGTCCTCGAGACCCCGAGGAGCAATTTCTAGAGAGAATATGACTAGTGTACGTTACTTTCTTGTATTTCATGCAACTACCTGAACTCATTACAGGAACTCATTCCGAACACGAATGGAACTGCCGTTGCATCCTACGCCGCCAATGTTTACTGTGGGCAATTCTCGAAAGGTCAACAACTACTCGGTCCTTTCTTGGTTCATTACTTGATGACATTCGACAGATTATTCATTTTACTACACCTGCTGTCAAGGTGTGTTGGTATGCTGCTCTTGCGAGACAGCAGTTCATTCTCCTCTCGAGATTTTCGCCTTCACATCTATGACATGACTTCGCCTCCTTCACCATACATGAAGCGACCAAGGAACCTACGGCGCAGCGCTACAGGCGTCTGGGATGACAGCGACCGCGACCATGACACAACCCTCAAGATATTGAAGACTATACAGGGGTGTACAGGTCGTTGGACGATTACAGATTCTCACTTGAGTCCTGACAACGAAAGGTAAGTAATTGTAATTGTATCTTTCCTTCAAATCATGCTTACGTTGTCATAGAATGATTTACTCGTCGATTGTAGGTGGAATGGCTCCGTAATTTTCGTTGGCGTTAACAGAAATTAGTCACCCACGGTGTACATGACAAGCACGCTTGACTCATCGGTCACTCAGATTCCCATCAGGTTTCAGGATCCTAATCAACGTCAGCGGGCTCGCACACATTGGGGCTGGGACGAAGACTCGTTTGGTATCTGGAGCTGCAGGTTCTCTGCAGATGGAAATGAGGTCGTGGCTGGTGGCAGCGGTCAAATATTTGGTAGAGACTTTATTTTATTTTAGAGCTTTTGATTTCTTATGGCCGCTCCACCTCAGTTTATGATCTCTTGGCTGACCGTAGGACAGTCAAGATCATTGCACACGAAGACGACGTGAACAGCTGCTGTTGGGCTGACACTGCATCGGGGAATGTGTTAATCAGTGCCTCTGATGACACATTTTTGAAAGTTTGGTGAGTTCTGCGCAGGTTCATCGACTTTTCTTCTACTAATATGAGCAAAAGGGACCGGCGTTCATTAGGTGCATCACAGAAACCGTCAGGAGTCTTGGTGGGACATACAGAAGGTATCACGAACGTCTCAGCGAAAGGTGATGGTCGTTATATCATCTCGAACGGAAAAGATCAGGCACTACGGTTGTGGGATTTGCGGAAGATGTGCAGCAGCGAGGACTTTGATAATGGTGCTGACCGTAACTATAGGTTACGTGAATTTGATTACCGGTGCGTTGACTCAGATCTCAACTTGAGTGAGAATGAAGCTCAACTGTCTTGCTAAGCTATGGTCATTATCCGAAACCAAAACGTGCTGCACACCCACGTGACTGTAGCGTTATGACCTACAGAGGCCATGCTGTCTTACGCACACTTATCCGGTGTCACTTTAGTCCGGCTGAGACGACAGGTGGACAATATATTTACTCCGGTTCGGCAGATGGGAAAATACACGTTAGGGTCCCGTTACAATCGACTTCCTTGTATCTAACACGTGTTACTTCTAGATATGGTCACTCGACGGACGCATAGTGCAGGTTCTCGATCGCTCCAAGACGTCGGCTATGACATTTGATCCCTCCGCGGAGGAGTATTTACTCCCCAATAGCACCCGCAACACAGTTTGCGTGCGAGATGTCAGCTGGAACGGCAATGTCAGCTCATCTTTCCCCCTTTGGTCAAATTCACTGATAAGAATTGTTACAGGAACCAGTGATGATGAGCGCTGGTTGGGACGGGGGTCAGTCATTGTCGAAGAGCGTTGTCGCGCGTCATGAATGGAAAGGTCTCTCTAAGATGTCGTACGGTCTGGAGGACTGGATGGAGAAGCAGAACATGGAGCGCAACGAACGGGCAACGCGCACCAGACGAACATTACGAGTCCCTGGTGCGTTTGATACCGAAGAGAATGAATAGAGGGTGTCGAAGACAGGTGCGACGCCTGTGATATTTATTCCTTCACTTGGATATTTACATGTTGTACAATCAGTCATTGTATCGTGTTTACGGTAGTCAGTTTCTCCTGTGTACAATGAACTACATGCACGTTTCAATCACGAAGATGCCCATTTATTCCATTGCAGCTCCAGTGATAGACTTGGTAATTTTTCTGGCTGAAACCGACAAGTAGGCGGAAGACATCAGACGCCAGACCAGAGATGCCCTTCGACGCACATCTTGTGAGCTCCGGAAGATGTGCGCAGTCCAGGTTGGACCGAGGCTGGCCGCCGCTGATTAGACTGCCGGTTCGGAGGGGTTCTCAGTCAATATGACGTTGCACTTGTCGAAACATATATTGCCTGCGTCCTAGCGAGCCTGAAATTTATGGGGATTGTGCGAAATGACCGAGTAGAATCGGCGAGCAGAATGTGGTATGATTTACAGAAATGCCTTCTAATCATAGAATACCATCTCGATAGACTCCCGGGGCGGCGTTCCTTCTTCATCGTTCGGGTCTTGGAAGGCAGTACGAGAGATCTGAGTCTCGCGACTTGCTCGCGACACTACCATCTTGCACTGATTCAAAGCTGAGACCCTTTGCATAATGAAACATGCCAGAACTAATCCACCAAACTATCTCAAAAGAATAATTTCTTCAGGGGTCATTGCTCTTATGTATTTCCACTGGTGGTATGGGTTGTACTTGAGTACATATAACTATGATGGGCTGGGAATTGCCCTCACGGTCAGGGTATATGTGAGCGAAAGGCACTAAGTCGATCTTTTCATCGGCACTCCGGTAGTTACATAGTGCAAGCGAGCAATTTGCAGCTGCATGCGATATAGGACGCCAAAGGTCGATGATCATCTTGGAAGCATCCGTACCTGCGAAGGAGGGAAGAAACTTCTGTTGGCGGGAGATGCGAATGAACGCGAGCAATGATGGAGGATGCCGTCGTTTGATCCACACGGACCGGTGGAACTGGTTGACGTATCTGCAGGCTAGTATCAGAATGTAGTGGCCGGGAAACTTACTAGAAAGATGCCCCGAAAGTCAAAGGAGACGGGATCTCTCCAAGACATAATTAGCCACGCAGTCACTGCTTAGGCTGAGAATGCAGCTGCGAAACAGCGTAGAACGGAAGATCGATCGATCATGCACCATGTATCATGGACGTTGACAAGTGATACACATCATCACAGTTCCTAGTGAAACCAGGGGTTTTCCCTTTCTGGCATGCCCCGCCGGGCTACCGCCCTTGACCACCACCATGTCTGCCAATGCTCAGCTCTATGGATTCCCTCCAGGATACTTCGTGATTCGTAACCTTGCGAATGGTAGGTTGTGGGATGTCGGTGGAGATGATGTAGAAGACGGCGTCGAGATTTTACTCTGGCCAGAGAAAGAGAAGTCTTTAGTCGAAAGTGAGTTTGCATTCCGTACGTGCATAAGCGAACTCTAACAAGATATCAGCCTTGAGAAATCCGGATGCTAATAATCAGGTACGTATGTTACTCCTGTGCGGGTACTAGTATTGACCAACGGGTCAAACTTACGCCATCCAGGTATTCTTCATTGATACGTCGGGCGCTCTTTGCTCGAGATCATCAGGACATGCGATCGATATCGAAGGTGAGACCGTCGTCAGCGTCGTTCATCTGCTGCAGAATCTTACAGTAGATCTAGGGGACTGTTTGGTACTTCGGCATCGCCGACCCATCTCCCAGCCATATCCAAATGAATACTCGCATCCTCTACCACGTTTCTCCTACTCCCGAGAGACTCACCATATCACTGCATCTTTCCAGTGTGATCCTACATACCCCCCGCCAGCCGCGCAAACTTCCACCGCATGGATGCGAAAGACATACGTCCTGTCAGCAATTCCGATGCCCAAACCAAAGTCACTGTTGGACAACGCATCGTATTTCCTAAGTTCCGCTGTCACAACCCCAATTTCGTTTTTCTCCGGTGGCACAGCACAGCGGAAGGCAACTCCTGAGGATGTTTTCAGTGGTGATATAGACCTCACCGAGGACGAAACTCTAGAACAGGATCGAGGCGTAGAAGGCGAAGCAGATGACTCCTCCGAGCTCCTCAGAAGACTTAGAGTTTTGACGATCGGTCAGCGGGATGCTCCTGCAGAGGGCGACAATGCTAGAAAACGCCGTCAATGGCAAATTTTGCCCTTGCGTACGTCAGCCGCTCATCGGAGCCGTTGAAGTGACTGGAATCGATATTCGTATGGTGCTTGTCTTCCATTTGGTTTGGGCGTACATACTTCCTGGGAAACTGTGTCGTGGTGGGTATGAATACTAGCCTTCAACTTGAAGCTTCAATAGTTCTACATGTGGCTGGCAGAAACTTAACTTTGTGAATCACGTGCATCCTTCACGGGACCCGCATCCTCTAATTTTGCGCGTAAATTCCAACTTCATTCAGCTGAACGTTGACCTTGCCTCATGCAAATGCTTCTTTGAGCAGCTGATCATATAGCTCGCTTTTCTTGATCTTCTTTGTCAAGAATATGACGCCTGGATCTTTCCTGGAATCCCTTATCGGAGCACATGGCATTTGAGTTCGTCTGTCGGACTCTGTCCCGTTTTCCAGATAAGAATTCACCAGCCTCTCAGATCTCAAGTCAACATAGGTCGTCTTCCCAAGGAACCAACGTTATCAGAATGGCTTGGAAAAGGCTCCTTCAGTTTGCAATCAGCGCGATTTCTGTCAAAACCGTATTCGCGCACCAGGTCCCTTTGGGCGACACTATTGAACAACCTGAAACGTGGTTGTCAAAGTATGGTCCCCAGATTGACCAACCATTCTCTGGACCATTGTCATTTTCTCACATGACTTATTCCCGCTGTCTGGAAGATGAATCCGCGCAGTTTGATATAGCAGTTCTCGGTATGCCTTTTGATACGGGTACTTCCTATCGCCCTGGTGCTCGCTTCGGACCCTATGCGATTCGTTCAGGCAGCAGAAGACAAAGGGAGGCTCGTGGATATAGTTTGGCTTGGGACAATAACCCATACGAGCAAGGATCAAAAATAATTGACTGTGGCGATGTGCGCCTTTTTCAGTGATAAGTATTTGATATGAGCGACTGATGAGAGCAAAGGTTCCTATTATTCCATTCGACAACGTCCTTGCCATGGACCAAATGGAAGTCGCGTATTCCACTTTGTTAAATCGACCTATTGCCTCCAGCCAGTCTGTTTGGGCGAAGGGTGCTCAACTTGCGAAGGACGGACGTGAGCGTCCAAGGATCGTCAGGTTTGTCCAATTCAAACATCTCTAGGCAAGCACCTGATATCGTTCGAAGCCTTGGAGGCGATCACACAATCGTGCTCCCAATTCTTCGCGCTCTTAACAAGGTATATGGACCGGTTTCGGTTATTCACTTCGATGCGCACCTTGACACCTGGAATGGATATCCGGGAACGGTGACTGAGCAGTCGCGCGTTACCCACGGAACCTTCTTTTATGTAGCCAACGAGGAAGGCTTGGTTTCGAACTCGAGCATCCATGCTGGTATCCGATGCAAATTAGTGGTAAATGAGGCTTTTATTTTTATTATCATCTCCATTGAACGCCTCTGGATCCAGGGACTAGGAGACATTGATAATGATGAATCGGTTGGATTCCACTTCATTACGAGCGATGACATTGACGATCACGGGATTCCTGCGATCATCAAGCGTATACGGGAGCGTGTTGGTGACACACCTGTCTACTTGAGGTATGTCCGCTTTACACACCGCTTAGACTGTTGCTGAAGGGACAATAGTCTTGATATCGATGTGATTGGTATGTGACGTCCGTGCTTGATTTGTTCACTATGTAACATCTCAAATAGATCCCGGTCTTGCACCTGCTAGTACGTCCCACCACTGAAATGGCTGAAACAAAGCTTTAATTTTTGATTTAATTTTTGAAACTTAGCGGGAACCCCGGAGGCGGGAGGCTGGACGAGTAGAGAGGTCAAACGAATCATCCGTGGCCTGGCTGGATTGAACTTTGTGTAGGTAGCCCGGAGTAATATTGGCTTCCTCAAGTCTCATTCCTTGTTTGCAACACAGTGGCGCCGACATAGTGGAAGTTGCTCCTGTCTATGATAATGGCATGTTTGACAGCAGCCAGTTGTTTGTGACTGGGACTGAGACATTCTTTTACAGCCGAAATCACAGGCACGGCGGCGGCCGACCTTGTCCACGATTTTCTATCGATGTTCATGTCTCAATCGCCTCCCACACCACACGCACTTCCGGGTTCTTGGCCTCGAGACGAACTCTGACGGTCCTTCTAACTTTCCAAGCTATCTTTATCTGTTCCCTATATCACCACGTGCTGATCAGGTGCTGAGGAGATAACACATAAATACTTTCGGAGCATATAACAGGACGTAACATACAATATAAAATATTCCCGACCCCAGAGATCTACCCCGATTCCTGACTACCCTCATAAGTTGACACCGAAGTCGAAGAAATCGCAGGCACTATTGACAATGAGATACCTTCCTCTCGCGCTACTTCCCGTTGTTTATGCGCAGCAACATGCCTTCGAAACCAAGCAGCAGGAGCCATGGACAGCAAAGTATGGCACACAGACAGACCTCAGTTACACAGGACCTCTGAGCTACTCCCACCTACCCTACACACGTTGCCTGGATGATTCGTCGACAACCTTTGACATCGCTGTTCTCGGCATGCCATTTGACACAGCAACTTCTTACAGGCCAGGGGCGCGTTTCGGACCTTTTGCAATTAGATCTGGTTCCAGACGTCAATCCGCTGCTCACAGCTACGCGTTGGAATGGATGGCAAACCCGTACAACCGCGCAGAAGTGATTGACTGTGGAGACGTAAGTTTTTGCCCGTCATAAGTGTCCAACTTGAAACGTATTGACAGAGCGCTTTAACAGGTCCCTGTCAGCCCCTATGACAACGCATTAGCTGTTGATCAGATGGAAACTGCGTATACCACGCTTTTGGCACGACCTGTGAATGGAAGCGCTAGTGCGCGCACTGCAAAGCTTGCGCATGATGGAGTAGAGCACCCTCGTATACTGACATTAGGTGAGCCCCGGACCATGATCTCGTTCGCGAATATGTAATTGATCATATGCTGGTAGGCGGAGACCATACCATCGTGAGATAGCACGATCCCTTTACATCCCCTGGATTTCACATGTCACATGATCCCTAGGTGCTTCCGATTCTTCGATCTCTTCATCAGGTTTATGGACCTATATCTGTCATTCACTTCGATGCACACATCGACACCTGGCCGAGCTTGGGAGGCATTACTGAGCAGTCCAAGGTCACCCACGGGACCTTTTTCACATTGGCATTTGAGGAGGGACTTATGTCCAACACCAGTATTCATGCTGGGATTCGGAACAAACTACAGGTCATGGCGTTCCTTGTAACTCAAATTGGCTCGAGCTGACGTACTTTGAATGGACAGGGCCCCGAGTTGGTCGAACACGATGAAGAAGTTGGCTTTGAGCTCATCATGGCTGATGATATCGACGACCTTGGAACAGATGAGATCGTTAAGCATATCCGACAACGCATCGGCAACTCCCCTGTTTATCTGAGGTGTGTCCTGAGCAAAGCATCGTTGATCACAATATTGATGTTCATTGCCTCCCGCCTCAGCTTTGACATCGACACCATCGGTCCGCAGATGTTCCAATTGATTGCTAATCATTGTGTACTAATTGCTCTCTGATAGACCCTGGTCAGGCACCTGCAAGTGAGCGCAATGTCGCTAGCGCAGCTTTAAAGTTATTGATGTCTAGGTAGCTGGTACACCAGAGCCTGCTGGATGGACTGGTCGAGAAACCAAGCGAATCCTTCGAGGTCTCGCTGGATTGAACTTCGTGTAAGATTCTTTTCATCATTCAGTAGGAATGTACAAGCAGTCGACGACTCATTTGTAGTGGAGCTGACATTGTCGAGGTTGCTCCAGCATACGATAATGGTAAGATCCATCTCCTAGATTTAGGAATGACGAACTCACAGTCCAATCCAGCCGGGGATATCACTGGCATACTTGCTGCTGGCCTTGCAGATGACTTCCTCGCCTTGTTTGTCACCGATGAGCCGCCTAAACGGCAAGTAAAGCGAAGGCAAACACCCGCCGATGAGCTTTAAAACCCAGAAGATGGCTTGCTGTCAGTACACGTATGCTATGTTATTGTTTCAAAGCAAGCCACTATTTCGCAATAGAACACAGAGGGTATTGAAATAGATAAAGTCCTACAGTCAAATCTGATACGAAAAAATATGCAGTAGATATGTCAACTCCATGAGATCATCATGAAGAATACTATACATCGTATTTAATTCTTCCACTGCACAGGCGTTCGCGATGGATTATCCTCATACATCGGTGGGTTGTCGTTGTACATCTGAGATGGAGGGGACATCACCTACAGGGGTCGGCGGCCCCCTCGGGCCCTTTACACCACTCGTGTTCGAAGGTGCTGCATACGCACTGGTGTTGGTTGGCGGCGGAGAACTCGACACATTAGTCGGACTATGGTAATTGGAAGTATAGTATGGGTCCGACGGCTGTGGAGCACCAGTAGTGCTGGCAGCATAGCTCTGCTCGGGCTGATGAGAAGGCTGGGGGTTGTATGCAGTGTCATACGAAGCCGCAGCTATCACACCCGAAGCATTGTATGAATCTGGATTGAAAGATGGCTGAGTTTGCTGTGGTTCCCAAGGGTTGTACGAAGCATGCTGCTGCGGAGGGGTGCGTGCTGTAATCATGTGAGAAACAAACAAGTGCTGCTGAGCTATTACTCACAAGAGCCACCTTCCACATGGCCATATGCCTGCGGTGAGTATGGATCACTATAATAAGCAGCCAGAAGCGTTTTGCACTGGGGCGGTGATTGCAGCGGCGGGGACAGCATATGTATTAAGAGGCGATATCGAGTGAGCTGTAGATGTTGGCGGATAAGTACTTGAGGACGTAGTCTGAGTGAGAGTGCTACTCTTCCGGCGTGGCGGCGCCGCATATGGAGAAGTGTTGTTATATTCATCAACAGCGCGTGTGCCGCGAGGAGCCTGCACATAACCTCCCCCAGCGTAGCCGTTTGCTGATGGACGACGACCATAGGACCCCATGCCAGCTCTTCCGGCGGTGGAGACGCTCTGGTTGTCTCGGTATGGCACGCCATCCTCCTCGTCTAGATATACACCATCGCCCGAGATTCTTGCTTTCAGCGGCTGAGATGGATCGTATTCCTGGAATGGCGGTAAACCAATTTCGCCTTGTTGTTGTCTTGCTTTTCGATCTGCTTCCGCTTTGACAGCGTCAAGGCGCATTTGATCTGCGTATCCATTCCCACCCATGCGGTCATTATCGCCCCATGCACCCTTTGGACGTCTTCTCATGCAACACCTTCCAACGCCATAGAAACATCCACTGACGAACAGTAAGATCCAGGCAACAAGTGTAAGCCATACAGCGTTGCCGATGGAGGCAGAGCCACCTGAAACACTGTTCATCCTGGACTTGGCGATAAAAAAGATGGCGAGGTCAAAAATGAAAGCGGTAAGGGTGACAGTAGCAGCAAATCCTGATATACAGCTACTGAAGCAAGTCATGGCCATTTCACGAACGTGAGCGAGAAGACCAAAGATGGCGGCTACCCCTGCGAGGCCAAGAGCCACGATATGCAGGACGAGGGCATACGTGAGCCATTTTACAATTACAGTGGGTATTTGGAGAGTCGTGTTATCGCCTACCAAGGCATTGATGTCTACACACCCCAGGGATGGCGAGTGTCAATATGAATCCTACAAGGTTTGGAAGTTGACTTACTGAGCTCATACCCCACTGTTGCACTAGAACATGAAACGTTCCCCGAGATATCCGAACAATACCCCAAGGTCCCAAACGTGATGTAACCATTGGTGCCTTCGACGGCAAGGCTTGCCTTAAGAAAGTATACAGATTTTATGAGAGGTACTGAGAAGGATACGACAGCCAACAAGATGGTGGCTATGAGAGTTATCAGGAAGCCAGGAGTAGCTGGCCTAATGAAACCCATAAGGAGACGAGGAGGGCGTCAGAAAAATATTAATGGCAAGTTCGTGAGGCGCTAATCTTTCGAAGGAGGGCGCAGAATGTGGGTAGACAAGAAGAGCGGTAGATGGATACATAAATGGGAAACTTCCGCTTTGTAGTGGCTGTGTACCCCTAAACAGCTGTGCTTGCTTGGAGCTGTGCTATAAAAACATTATTTAGAGATATCCCCAGTAAATTGTACAGTGCATTTTCCTATAGCTAGGTGTTTATTGAATAGATAAATCCTTAGTTATACTTGCTTGAAAACGTCTCTCGCGCAACCTTTAGAGCCTCTCCAACCTGGGTGACGTTAACCCCAACACCTTGGGCACCATCTTCCTTCCCTCCAGCCTTTCCGCCGAGGATATCGCTCACTTTGGTTGCCCATGTCCGAGCGTCGATGCCTCTTGACCGTGCAGACTCAGAGACGTAGTTTGCATGTGCGACCTTGCCGTTCTCTACGTCGACGCTGAAAACGTAGACCGTCTTGCCAAGCTTCTTGCCTTGCATAACGACGTTTTGCAAGATCTGGATATCGTGTTAAGTATAGTCACCCTTTGTGGACGATTGTTACGACATGCCTTTGCATTACCATCAACCTCAAGAATGGCAAAGTAGACCTCTGAGTCAGGCTTCTCCTGGAAGAAGGTGACCAGAGCGTTCACAGCCTGCAAATGCATCGGTCGACATACAAGAACAACAGGTAAAGGGGCATACCGCCTTATTTATCGCATTCTCCTTCTCTTTGATTTGCTTGTCAAGCGCCTTGCGAACAGTCGCTAGACGGTCTTTGAGCTCTGCTTTTAGAAGGACTGATATATCTGCCTGTCCAAGTTCCTGCAGAAACACTAGACTCAACAGGACAGTGCAAGAAAGACAGCTTATGACTCACCACACTGAGAGCCTTGAGCCCAGTATCCTTTTCCTTGCCTTCTGTCAACTCGAGCTGCTCAAGACGGACCTTCAGAGAATTGGCAACACGGGACGCCTCATGCGCCTCTTGGCCAGTCACAGCAACTATCCTCCGGATTCCCTTTGCGATCCCAGACTCCTCCGTGATAACAAAGTCTTTGATATCGCCCGTCTTCATAACATGAGTGCCACCACAAAATTCAACACTCGTGCTCCGCCACTTTGGGTTGTTGATGTCCTTCGCGACCTCATCTACATCGTACCCGAGCACAACAACACGCACAGGATCCGGGTATGCCTCGCCGAAGACCGCGCGCAGCCCGGGTATCTTATGCGCAGTCGTGAGATCCAGGTCCTTGCCATATACCCTTACATTTTTCTTGATCCAGTCAATGCTCATCGACTCGATCTTCGCAAGCTCTGGGAGGGAGATCTGTGCTTTATGCGAAAAGTCGAAGCGGAGCTTTGTCGGTGCCACGAGTGAGCCCCTCTGGTCAATATGGTCGCCGAGCACATCACGGAGACAGAAATTGAGGATGTGTGTTGCGGTGTGGTTGCTGCGCAGCGGCCAGCGGCGGAGCTCATCGTAGGAGGAGATGACTTCATCACCGACAGAGAGTTGGCCGTATTTGAGAGAACCAGTGTGGAGAACGTAGCCGTTGTATACCTGGACGTTTGTCACCTCGAAATCGGTCGCGCCATCGATGACGATGTTGCCAGTGTCATACTCCTGGCCACCGGCCTCTGCGTAGAAGCTTGTGCGGTCGAGGAGCACGCCAAAGTTTGCATCCGCTGGTATACCAGATGATGACGAAATGAATTCCTTGTGATAGTAAATGCCCTTCACTGTAGCAGTGATATTGCCAAGTTCTGCAAAGGTGGTTCAGCAAGGGCGAATCATGCACAAGAAGTCACGCACGGAATTTGGACGAGTCATCTGTTTTGGGTATCGCATCGTTCTTCTCCAATGCAGCGAGATCGTGGACATCTAGCTTCACAAGATCCGCCTTGTCCTTTTTGAATGACCCCTTGCTCGCGAGCTTTGAATGTTCTTGGGCATCCTCAAACTCCTTCTCATTGATTCCGAGCCTAAGCTCCTCCGCCATGAGCCGTGTAAGGTCGACGGGGAACCCGTACGTGTCATACAGTCGCCATACGTCTGCGCCGTTAAGCTCCTTGGCACCCAGATCTTTCGTACGTGCCGCGTATTGGTCAAAGAGTTTCTCGCCCCGATCAAGGGTACGTGAGAAGGACTCTTCCTCCTCGTCAAGGATCTCTTTGATGTCGCCTTGCTTCTTTGTAAGCTCGGGGAAGACATCACCCTGGTGTACAAGGTATAAATTAGGTCGAATGGATGCGATAGATGTGTTTCACTGACCATAGTCTCCACGACCACAGGCATCAAAGAAGAGAAAAATGAACCGATCGGTGCACCAAGCTTCTTCCTGACATAGCGTGAACCACGACGAAGGATTCGACGAAGCACATAACCACGGCCAACGTTGTTGGGCACACCACCATCACTCAGCGCAAACGAAAGCGTCCGTACGTGATCAGCAACGACACGGTATGCAGTATCAATACCATCCACATCATCGTTGCCAAATTTCCCGCTATATGGTCTTGCTCCAGTCAATTCCTGTATACGCGTGAAGATCGGGGAGAACACATCAGTGTCGTAGTTTGAAAGCTTGTTTTGGAGGACTGAGACAAGTCGTTCGAAACCCATGCCGGTATCAACATGCTTGTTTGGAAGCGGCTTTAGTGAGCCGTCATCGTCGCGATTGAACTGTATGAAGACGTTGTTCCATATCTCAAGGACGTTCGGGTCGTCACCATCTACGAGGTGTGCAGCATTACGTCCACCAATGCGGTCGAAGTGTATTTCACTAAGGAAGGTCAACGGAGGAAAATGAGAAGCGGGAGATACGCACCTACAAGGCCCACAGGGTCCGGTTGCGCCCATTTCTGTTGTACGCGCGAATGAGTCACAACGTTCATTGGATGATAAAACATGACTTACCCCAGAAATTTCCTTTTGACGCGATAACGTGATCTGGTGAGATACCCTGGCTTAGCCAGTGTTGTTTTGCTTCCTCATCGGTGGGTATTCCATTTTGTGGGTCTCCAGCATAGTAGGTAACATATAATCGGTCTTTGGGCAGCCCGTATACGTTGGTTAATAGATCCCATGAAAATTCGATAGCTTCTTTCTGTAAGATAAATGTCGACTAGGCCGAGCCGTCGGAAAACAAGCACCAAACCTTGAAGTAGTCACCAAATGACCAGTTTCCGAGCATCTCGAAGAATGTGTGGTGGTAGGAGTCTTTGCCAACGTCCTCCAGGTCTAGATTTGCAATGTTAAAGTGAGCGCCGTATCTGCCATGGACCTGCGCATACCATTATGCTTGCCACCTGCGCGGATGCACTTTTGGCTGTTGAAAGCACGCTTCAGCTTGCCTCGCTCGGAATTGGGATCGACAGTACCCAGGAATATGGATTTGTACTGATAGAATGTGAGTTCCGATGCATAAGCCTATGAGGTTGAATGCACCTGGTTCATGCCAGCATTTGCGAACAGGAGAGTGGGATCATCGTAGGGTACGGTTGAAGAAGATGGAACAAAAGTGTGATTTTTGAAGCGGAAGTAGTTGAAGAATTCTTCGCGCACTTTGCGTGCAGTCCATGGGCCATCATAAGAGGAAGACATTCTTAGAGGCAAACAAAGAGCAATATGATGAGATGGACGTCTTGATCGAAGGAGAGATGAGTGCAGAAACGCAAGTCTCATCTAGATTTAGGTTCCCGCAATTAGAATCATGATTCATATTGCATCTTGACTCGAAATCCATCACGTGATAAAAATCAGTCGCGTATCTACTTTTGTACATAAATTGTCATTTTTCTTCACAAACTAGGTTAAATTTGGAGGGAAACTTTGCAACGATAACACACCGGGGGTTTGGGAGTTTTTCACTATGTAAGATTTGTTTCGAAATGTTAGTGATAAAGTTGGCATTCTTGCTATACATTTTGACACGGTAAAAATGAAAAAATTGGATGAGTGGCCAAATCCTGGGCGAAATTCTACATTTTATGAATCATTTTGACGTTGTAAAAGAAAGACATTTCACCGACAGCAAGATCTGAAGAAAAATGATCGAACATTTTGATTCAAATCTTACATGGGGTGAAATTTGAGGAAAATTTGAAATAAAAACTTCGAAACACATTTTACTAATTGGAAGGAATTACCGGTGCAGATTGATCAAAATTTCGATCATTTTCAGATCTTGCTGCGGTGGTCTTTTTTTACAACGTCAAATGCTGGATTCGCCCAGATTGGCCATCATCCAGTTTTTTCATTTACCGGTCAAAATGTAGCAAGATGCCACTTTATACTACTTTCGAAAAAATCTTACTGAAAAACTCCCACCCCCGGTTTGTGACGATCAGCAGTGTATGGGTTGCGACCGGTCGCGTGACCCGTGACCACAGTGATTGGTGCAGTGCGGACTTGACGTTCGGGAGATAACCCACCGAGTGTTAGATACTGAGACCTGCTAGAGACCAGGTAAATCCTGCCTAGTGGTTACATAGATCTGCTCTGTGAACAGGAAATGCGGATGTGATTACACGAGTGCCCATACTAGCGTATGACATGGTGTGCTGTTAATATCATGGTTATGGTCACACAGCATGGTGACGTGACCTGCCCTGAAGTCGATCGATAAGCCAAAGACCAAAAACTTTACTTTTGAGATCAAACGAGCCTCAGACAACGGCCCCGGTGTGCATTTGACTCACCATCCAACTCGTTCAAAAGGATCCCGTTTCTTTATTTTTTTCTCATTGCATCCTTGTAAAATCTAGACACGATGGTGTACGTATTCGCTTAGATCTATGTTTCCGATGTACTAATCACCGTTTATGATCATAGCAACTTCACAGTAGGTGAGCACAAAGATCATGCAATAAAACCCGATCTCTCTCCTAACGACTCTTTGAATCATAGACCAGATTCGTGGGCTCATGGACAAGCCCACGAACATCCGTAACATGTCCGTTATTGCCCACGGTAAGCAAGATCCTGCTGATGATCACATTGATCTAATCTAAATTACTTACGCAGTCGATCACGGAAAGTCCACCCTCACCGACTCCCTCGTTTCAAAAGCCGGTATCATTGCTGCATCAAAAGCTGGTGACATGCGGTTTACGGACACACGAGATGATGAAAAGGAGCGTGGTATCACGATTAAATCGACAGCCATCTCCATGTACTTTGAAATGGACAAGGACGATGTCGACACCATTAAGCAGAAGACCGAAGGCAAGTCTTCAATTTAATTTTTGCAAAATCTTGCTAACGAAATACTACTTCAGGCAACGAGTTCTTGATCAACTTGATCGATTCACCAGGTCACGTCGACTTCTCATCGGAAGTCACAGCTGCTCTCCGTGTCACTGACGGTGCTCTCGTTGTCGTCGACTGTATCGAAGGTGTCTGCGTGCAGACAGAGACGGTGCTTCGTCAAGCACTTACGGAGCGTATTAAACCCGTCGTTATCATCAACAAGGTTGACCGTGCTCTACTTGAGCTCCAAGTTTCAAAAGAGGATTTGTATCAGTCGTTCCAGCGTACCATCGAGACGGTCAACGTCATTGTTTCGACTTACCATGACGCTGCCCTTGGTGACGTCCAGGTCTACCCAGACAAGGGTACCGTTGCTTTCGGTTCAGGTCTCCATGGATGGGCTTTCACCCTCCGCCAGTTCGCTGGTCGCTACGCTAAAAAGTTTGGTGTGCCTAAAGACAAGCTTTTGGCTAAGCTTTGGGGTGATAACTACTTCAACCCTGCTACTCGCAAGTGGGGTACGAAGAACTCCGATGCCGATGGCAAACCTCTTGAACGGTCTTTCAACATGTTCGTCCTTGAACCCATCTTCAAGATTTTCGATGCCGTCATGAACTTCAAGAAGGACCAGATCGGTCCCATCTGCGAGAAGCTCGATGTCAAGCTGACGTCTGACGAGCAAGATCTTGAGGGCAAGGCTCTCCTCAAGGTTGTCATGCGCAAGTTCTTGCCCGCTGGTGACTCCCTCCTGGAGATGATAATCATCAACCTTCCTTCCCCCGCCTACTGCTCAACGTTACCGTGTTGAGACTCTCTACGAAGGTCCCATGGATGACGAGTCTGCCATTGGTATCAGGGACTGTGACCCCAAGGCCCCCCTTGTGCTCTACGTCTCAAAAATGGTGCCCACTTCAGATAAGGGACGCTTCTACGCCTTCGGTCGTGTGTTCTCCGGTACCGTTCGTTCTGGCCCCAAGATCCGCATCCAAGGCCCCAACTTCGTGCCTGGAAAGAAGGAAGACTTGTTCGTCAAGTCGGTTCAGCGCACGGTGCTCATGATGGGTCGTTACGTCGAGCCCATTGAAGATTGTCCTGCCGGTAACATCGTTGGTCTCGTCGGTATTGACCAGTTCTTACTCAAGAGCGGAACTCTCACCACCTCTGAGACTGCACACAACATGAGGGTCATGAAGTTCTCCGTGTCCCCTGTCGTGCAGGTTGCTGTTGAGGTCAAGAACGCTTCAGATTTGCCCAAGCTTGTCGAAGGTCTCAAGCGTCTGTCGAAGTCTGACCCCTGTGTCCAGGCTTGGATTGCTGAGACCGGTGAGCACATTGTCGCTGGTGCCGGTGAGTTACACTTGGAAATTTGCTTGAAGGTAAATGGCTATCTGCCTCCTGAATTTTGTTAGTCTGACCCTCATTGTAGGATCTCCAAGAAGACCATGCTGGTGTTCCTCTCAAGATATCTGACCCTGTTGTTGGCTACCGTGAGACTGTCAAGGCCGAGTCTTCAATTGTGGCCTTGTCCAAGTCGCAGAATAAACACAACCGTCTCTATGCCAAGGCAATGCCTCTCGATGAGGAGCTCACCAAAGCTATCGAAGCTGGTACCGTTAACTCCCGCGACGATTACAAAGCCCGTGCTCGTATCCTCGCTGATGACTTCTCTTGGGATGTCACTGATGCAAGGAAGATCTGGTGTTTCGGTCCCGATACCACTGGCCCCAACTTGCTCGTCGATGTTACCAAGGGTGTGCAGTACCTCAACGAAATCAAGGACTCTTGCGTTGCTGCCTTCCAGTGGGCAACGAAGGAGGGTGTCTGCGCTGAAGAGAACATGCGTGGTATCCGCTTCAACGTTCTTGATGTCACTGTATGTATACTTCATACCTACTTGTATTACATCTTCTTATGCGACGAAAACAGCTGCACGCTGATGCTATCCATCGTGGCGGTGGACAAATCATTCCTACGTGCCGTCGTGTCTGCTACGCTGCATGTTTGCTTGCTACCCCTGGTCTCCAGGAGCCGGTGTACCTCGGTACGTCCCACTCGCATCGCATTTTTCCGGGTACTGATATCATTCACAGTCGAGATCCAATGTCCTGAGAATGCCATCGGTGGTATCTACAGCGTATTGAACAGGCGTCGTGGCCAGGTCTTCAGTGAAGAGCAGAGGCCAGGAACGCCTATGTTCACCGTCAAGGCGTACCTCCCTGTCATGGAGTCCTTCGGTTTCAACAGTGATCTTCGCTCACAAACAGCCGGCCAAGCCTTCCCTCAGAGTGTGTTCGATCACTGGGAGCTCATGAACGGATGTGCGTAATTGCAAGTGTGACGTGTGAAGACTGATACTAACGAAATCTATCAGGTCCTCTCGACAAGGGCAGCAAGATCGAAGAGCTCGTCAGGGGCATTCGTGTGCGCAAGGGTCTCAAGGTAATTGGTGATCGCACGCTATTATGCAATGACTAACATCCGACATTTAGCCCGAAATTCCAGCTCTCGACCACTACTACGACAAGCTGTAAAGTTATTGTACGAAAGTGCTCACTACCAAACTTCTGGAATCCGTTCCTTGTAGCCATTCATATTTCACTAAATCCAATTGTTGTACTCTTGTATGCTTGATGATTTGGACGCCTATACCTAATAGTCACATGGCAATTGCTGAGAATGTTGGTGAGGCGACACTGCATGATTCACATCCCTCGGATCCGCATCTTCTACCGGCTGCGAATGTCTTGAGTCGAACATGGGTGTTTAACGTTATAACTTCGACAGGTGCTTAAAAGGCAGGTTACATGTAGCTGTCGCAGGGACAATAACCCAGCAATTCCCGTCTACTCAGACATGGCAGACGTTGACCTCGCCACCATCGCTGACGTACAAAGATACTTGTCTAATACCCCTTTCGCATCGCATACCATAAACGCACTGACAGGAGGCTTCGCCAACTTCACATACAGGATACACCTCAACGACTCATTCAAGGGTAAGGAAACATATGTATTGAAGTATGCAGCACCGTATGTGGCTGCATCCGGTGGTGCGATGGCTCTCCCCACAGAGCGTCAGGTGAGGCTGCCTTTGAAGTAGCGTTACACAGTGACTGGACTGATAACGACCTGACAGAAATTCGATGCGGAAGCCTTACGACTCGTCCGCAAGATGCATACTGATGACGATGTCATCACCGTTCCTAACGTCCATCTCTTCGACGAAGAAGCCCACGTCATAATCATGGACGATTGCGGGACGGACGCTCGTACGCTGAAACAGCTGGTGATTGACCAGGCGCTGCCACAGACAGTCGCCGAAGAAATCGGTGCTGCGATCGGTCGTTTCCTTGGGCGCATCCATGCCTGGAACAAAGACGCGTCTTTCGACATGGGCATTTTAAGGGACAACGAACTGGGGAGGATGCTCTCGACATTGGTTACATACGGTTGCCTCATATCTACGCTTAGCGGCAGAGATAATATCGCGACTTTGGCTGACCCCGGTCTCGACATCCCTGAGGGGAAATTGGCCACTATCTCGAAGCTAGTGGAGACCCGCAGTCAGGAAATCGGTAGGACGACGGGGGTGTTTACACATGGAGACTTCTGGCCTGGGAATATCATGGTATCCCTTCGGAGAGAGTCAGAAGGGGGCATGCCTAGGTTAGCGAAGCTTTATGTGTTGGACTGGGAGTTGGCGAAGGAAGGTCTTCGGGGGCTAGACATTGGTCAGTTCTGCGCGGAGATGCGGCTGCTTCAGCGGTTCTATCCGAGCCGCCAGGAGGAGACGTCCACAATTATGAGATCCTTCCTTCTGGCTTACAGAGGAGGGAGTGGGCCTGATGAAGCGCTTGCGAGGGTCGCGATTGCACATGTTGGAGCACATTTGGTTGCTTGGACCCCACGGGTGTATTGGGGAGACAAGGAAGATACCAGAAAGACGGTTGCTGAAGGAGTTGAGTTATTGGTTGGAGGTGCTGAAGAGACATCAGCCTGGCTGGAGGGTAGTATCGTTGGAAACTTGTTGATGTGAGACTTCGTATAGGCAACAAATTTTAATTGTAAAAGTCAGCATCAGCTCATTCAATTACTACACCGTCGCGAAGGGTCTTTTAATTTATTCGACACGCTAGCTCATCCTTTCAACTACGGCGCTGCAGACCCTTTGGTTACGACGCCTTTGTTATCGTTATGCGTTAACTGTACTGTATATAAGTAGTTTCACTTCGTTCGATAGTTGAATCACTGCTCATCACATTCCTATAGGACATCTCGACTCGTAAATCTCGACTAGGTATACTGCGAACTCTTCGTGTTCTCTGTCGTTGACTTCAACTCTGGCAGTACATGTCCCACGAAGTCTCACACTCCGCCCCGGCAGCCGTTGCCACTACTAGTACTAGCGCCGCTAGCTTGCCTTCTCCAGCCTCTGCGGTGATGCAGTTGGATGGACTTCCTGCAGAGCTGTATAGTGCAATCATCAGTCACCTACCAGCAGACTCGTCCCAGCAAGATGTCCTTGCCCTAACAAGAGCGATACCCAGATCGCCTGTGCCTATCCACCATTTATTCGAACGCATACGCATCAAGCATGCGCAGCAAATCGTACAATTGCATAGGCGCTTGCGCAATGCCACCGACGAGAGAAACTGGGTCAAGGACTTCGGTATCGTGACCTGGACTATCGATGCTGATGCCCTCGTCAATCTAATGGAGATTCTTCCTCGGATATCTTCTCTCCTTCTCTTTGTGGGACCCAATTTTGCTCCAGAGCATCTTGAGGCGATATTTCATGAACCAAGAGAAGACTTGCACTTTCTCTCTCTACGTTTCCGCCCCTAGTGAGTGTCAAATGGCTAATTCCTTTCGTTTATCCCTCCTGACACGTGTGTGATAAAGCGTCAAGGTGGCCACATATTATCAATTTCTCAAGGTAACACCTTGCGTGAATGTTCTACTGTTCGCTCAACGTGTACTTTTCAGGGAGCTTATTTCGATACTACCCTGACTGCACTTTCCCGTTGGCCTTCCTACAAGTTGCCAACTCTATCTATCGTCCAGGATCCTCCCGAATCAATGATATCAAGTGGGAGACATTTTGCACAACCGCTCGTCTTCTTTAAACTCGAGCCAATATCTGTGCTATTGTGCTCAGAATACATCAGGTCATTGGCGCACCTGCGTCTCCGTATACCATCTCGCCAAGTGTCCCGATTCATCAGCAGCATCCCGTCCCCTGTCCCTGCATTACGCCTTCTTGACCTGTCCACATGTAATATTCTTGCCTCCGATATGGAGGGGATACTCATTCGATTTCATAATCTGCAACATCTGATTCTTGATGGATGCAGCGTTGCGCGGGACCAATCGCAGGCGACAGAATGGAATAACATCGGAAAGATATGTGCAACTGCAACCGTCAGGCGAGCGAAAGCACGGGAAAAAGAGTTGAAAACTTGGTTGCAGCACAATGCAGCCACTGCCACTGCACTAGCAGTCATGCCACAACCCGCAGCAAGACGTATAAGACCGGGTCGTCGTGGTCTTGCCACAGCTACTATCTCGCTCAGGGAAGAAGAACCTACCGCGTCAGAGCCAGATATCATCCACGTACCTGCTGGGATAGTTATTCCTAAGGTACGCATCGTTCCATCGCCACCGGTGTTGCTCTCCCTGTGCACATCAGCATCCTTTATCACCGATGTTCAACACCAGACCATTCGGGAAGAGTTCGAGAAGGGCTGGGATGAAGGCCTTGCACAGCTTGCAGCCGTTAAATCCAGGCTTTATGGATCTTGGAAAAATGGCATACGGATGATGCGCATTACCGCAGATGTCAGCGGTGGCGGATATGATGACCTGGAAGCTATAGAGGGCGAGAGCACGTTCTACTCCAAACAGGATAACAATGCGAGTCTGGCCCCGCCTGCATTGTGCCTTGCAGGTTCAGGCACTTCAGGAAAGCACGTAGAGGGCTGCGGTCACAATATTGCTTGGAATGCCTGGAATGATACGATCTAGGCCAGGATGGACACACCTTCCTCTAGACGCATAGATTTAATCTTATGTATGTTGCAATTGAAATGTCTCTAGACCTTCAAGTAGCTAAATGCGCGCGTGGCATTACACCGCGTCGGTATGACGACATTCTCCTATGAAGAAACCTTTTAGCCATGTCGCCTCCTGTTCCATATCTTCCAGTGTCCGCGGCAATCTGTCCTCGTCTGCATCGACCTTGAATGGGTGATGTTGCACCGTGGTGCTAGACACTTTGAGATTTTGGAAGTCGCGGGGCAAGTCCGTTTCCGACCGCTCTAGTGCAGGATATATATCATCCATTCTTTGCGAAAAGTAGTCTCCATGGTATTTCCGAGGCATGACATGGAAGTGGACATGAGGTATAGACTGTCCTGCAGCCCTTCCGTCCTAGACCACATATCAATATCGAGTCCTATGTTCGTCTGCCAGTGGTTGTACCTGGCATGCCACAGTCAATGCGTCACCACCGTACGCGCGCTCGACCACTCGACCAACATTTTGGACAGAAGCGATGAGGGACGTTAATTCTGGTGTGGTGAGATCCGTCAAACGCGGTACGGGTCGATTGGGGATAACGAGCACGTCTAAAAGTCTGGCTTATAAGCCTGAGATTAAAATATCCCAAAAACTAGGCTCACGTCCTGGCACAATTGGTTTAAGATTGACAATGGCGTACGATAGCGCTGTCCTATAAAATGCTTGTCTTGTGACTTCGATTGTGGAAAACAAGAGCGGAGACGACATCTGTGAACCAAGTGTCACTGCGTGGCAATCACTTAAATGTTATTTGGCGGAAGGGTCAAAGTTACTTGATAGGGAATCCCGGTTCAACAAAGTCACCCAGTCTCGTGCATCATCGAGGTCATCGCTCAAGTCTACACAACATCAACTTTGCACTCGGCTCTCAGACAGCCAAATGTCGAGTCCGACAGATATATTCTTGCCACTGACGCTACCATATCCTATAAAAGTCACATCTCTCGATGTCCACCTAGGTGCTACTGTGCAGCGCGGAACCCGGCTATTGACGTACTCCTTCCTATATTCGTCTCCTGCAATAGGCTCAAAGCCAGAAACTCGGTTTGGCACATGGGACTGCTCAATTGAGGGAATTATCGAATCATGGAGGGTCAAGCTTGGCGATTCCATCTCTGCCCAGAAGGCGAAACAGAGGCCTATCATATGCATCACGGAGCCATGCAAGCATGGAGTTCAGATTGGGGGACTATGTGGGTTGTGCGGGAAGGATATGACAGAGTGCGTGCATCATTAGGTCGCATGAACTTCATTGACACACGTTCAGATTTGATTATACAGGGTTCTCTGATGCGTCGCGCGCATCTATCCAAATGACCCATTCTGCCTTCGGTCCAACAGTTTCTTTAGAAGAAGCCCGCAGGATAGAGAAGGAAACAGCAGACCACTTACTCAAGTCGAGGAAACTCTCTCTCATCGTCGATCTTGACCAAACCATAGTGCATGCGACGGTCGACCCGACTGTGGGTGAGTGGATCGCAGAAGGCGAGTCATGGGAGGCCAGACAAACCAAAAAGAGATCGACTACTCCAAAGGACGGACCTTCTGACGACGACTCTGACGGGACAGCGTCCGATGCTGAGGACGAATGCAATCCAAACTGGGAGGCTTTGCAGGACGTACGAAAGTTTCGTTTGGGTCCAGAATCATTTGGAATGCTTTCAGTTCCAAGAGGCGGACACAAAGGAAAGGGAAAGCAGAAGCTAATCGAGAATGAAGGGTGCATGTATTACATCAAACCTCGGTGCGTAGGCTTTTACCCCGTCACCATGGGTGGCTAGCTCATTCCTACAAGACCTGGAACCCATGAATTCTTTCGAAATATATCGACAAAGTATGAGATGCATGTATATACCATGGGTACTCGAGCCTACGCAGAAGAGGTTTGTGCTGCCATTGACCCTGATGGTAAAATATTTGGAGGAAGGATCCTCAGTAGAGATGAAAGCGGAAGTGAGTAACTTCACCTGATAATGATCTTGCAGCTCAACATCATTCAAGGTCTCACGCAGAAAAGTCTACAACGTCTGTTTCCCTGTGATACATCCATGGTAGTTATCATCGATGATCGTGCAGACGTTTGGGAGTGGAGTCCGAACCTTATCAAAGTCATCCCATGTTCGTACTAATGTTGTTATACTGTGCCTTAAAAACCACTCACTGATTTTCTTTCTCAAGACGACTTTTTCGTTGGCATAGGAGACATCAATTCTGCCTTCCTGCCTAAAATTGAACCTCTCGCGCCCACAGTCCTATCTCCATCTCTTGGCGAGTCTTTTTTTAGAAGTGATTTTCATAAGTTCGTATTGACTGGACTAACCAGCCAAGCCGCCCTCACCTCCTGTTTCTGGTTCCGAAGCCCCGTCACTACCAACATCAACACCCGAAGAACGCGAAAAAGCAGAGATGGAATCGAAGGCGATGCTAACACAAAATTCCATGGCGCTCGAAGCCCAAGTCGAAGAGCGTCCGTTGGCAAAGAAGCAAGAAGCTCTGCTGGAGTCTGATGGCACTGGATCGACTACACCACCTGGGGATCCATCACCCGGTCATCCCAAGAGCGATATGAAGGCAGCGGAAACCCCAAAAGTAGAGAAAGTTCCACGCAAGGCGTTATTGAAGAACGACGATACCGAGCTTCAACGGGTTGGCTATGTGTGTATCTCGCACATTGTAGAGGTAGCATTAACTAAATTTATCACAGCTACTTGGGGAAGTCCATCGTCGCTTCTTTACCTCATATGACAGCAGATCGCCAGAAGACCAGGGTAAGAAACGACGGCCCACCCTCACGCGGTCTAAAGCCCACGACGTGACAGTAAGTGGTTTATATTTCTCATGTAACGTCAATCAATTGCGCCACAGAGAATCATTCCGCAAATGCGCATGGATACTCTGCAAGGGGTACATATATTATTTTCCAGTGTGATACCTCTTGATACAAAGCCCGAAACAACTGAGATCTGGAAAATAGCTCACATGTTTGGAGCACAATGCTACACTGAGCTATCCAGTCGAATCACCCACGTGGTTGCCGCCAAGGTCGCTCGCTCTCTATCTTTTATACGACCCTAGCTCATACGTCTTCTATCGTATAGCATGGCACAGTCAAGGTAGATGCCGCGCGGAAGCGAGGGGGAATCAAGATTGTGTGGTTGTCTTGGTTTACGGACTCAATAGCACTGTGGCGTCGACAAGATGAGATTCCATATTTACTGGATGACCCGTCAGCTGCCGCTCCCAGTTCTAGTCCGATCCTCGACCCACACCAGATTTCTTCAGATCCGGAGCCCGATGCAGACGACTGGGACGTGGAGCCTGCCCCAGCAGGGAGCACGTCCTTGGAGCTTCACGACATCGATTGGAATGACATCAATGATGAAGTAGAAGCTGCTATGAACGAGAGCGACGATGAAGATGATGCCATGAGTGAGAGGAGTAGTGCGAGAAGTGCGTTTTCTGATAGCGACGATGCCATGCTTGATGACACTCGAAGTCAACTAAGGTTCGAATCCCGCCCTTAAAATTACCGGTTTAACTCCATCCTTCCTACAGTAGTCCAACTACTACCCCTCGACTGAAACGCAAAAGGCTACGAAGTGTCACACCCTCGGATGGTGGAAATAACAGGGTTGGCGACCGGCAGGGGGATGGCCTCCGTTCTCCCCTTGCCAAGCGCAAGAAACTAGCCGCAAGTCGAAGTGGAGCATCCAAACTGAAAGAGGCTGTTACTGCTGATGATTTGGTAGATACCGAGTCGCTCTCGGATCACAGCCGTAAACCATCACCGTTGTTATCCGTACCTCTTAAGAGTTTTGAGGAAGGTGCTGAGGATGATGATTATGCTGATGATGGAGACGACGAAGACGACGACTGGCTAGCTCACGAATTGGAAGTTGACTGGGGATAGTTTTCGTCCATTTTGTCCACTAAATTGTTTGTTTTCGTGTTTTAGTGTATTTCCCTGTAGCTTCTACGGAAGTAATATTACGTGCTACCATATCATATCAAGAAGCTGGATTCCTATCTCGCCATTCCCTCGTTCCAGCTGGCTGTTCGCAATACAGCTTTATTATGGGTCGAGTCTAGATTTTAGTTATAATCATGGATTCATTAGATTTTCGGATAGTCGGGCCATGGCCACAGCGCTTCTTGATATCAGCGTCTCCCGTCATGGCCAATGATTGTGGCGTCGTATCTCCAGTCGGCTCTGGCCCCTGTCAGCCTGAGGCCTGGTACTGGTGCGAGTCTCACGAAATCACCAGTAGTTCCTCGGCGGGTGGCGATTGCGTCTTAGTCGAAGCGGCTGGAAAATGTGCGTGAACCAGCTCGCGTTCGTCTTGAATTCATACTTTTGAAATTGATCTCTCTTACGTATATGAGTGCCGGAAATATATGTACGCGAGACCGTGGTTACGTCCCTTGAACTGCTGCCAGTACGAAGTTCTAGATGGATCTTCTCTATGCTTGCATCTACTTACCTATATTCACCTAGAAACGCGAGACCGACGAGGGTATTCACATAATATGAGAAGTGCGTATGCGAAGATTAACTGCAAGGAGGTTGGCTAATAGAATCGAGAAACGGGAAAGGGAACGGGAACGGCTCCTTCGGTAGGCGCAAAGTGACTCGATCAAATGACGTATATTGGGCATGCCATGTCGGACACCCGAAAACAACAGGTCAATATTGGGCAAAAACACATGCTCGCGGAAACACTAACGCGGTGTGTCGGAGTCCCGAGACTTGGTACTTAATACGCACGCTACTGAACTTGCTCCTTACTTATCGCTCCCTTAATCATGGTTGCAGGTGTTCAGATTCACACAAAGGTCGCTCAGGACGCCCAGTCTGAAATCCTTACCGATGGCGCAGTTGCATTTCTCGCTGCACTTCATAGAACCTTCGAGTCTACCAGGCAGAGCCTCCTAGCCGCGCGCGATGATGCACAGCGCAGGTTTGACTCAGGAGTACCTCTTGACTTTCCTCCTGAAACTGCCCACATCCGTGCTGAACCTTCGTGGCACTGTGCACCCCCTGGACCTGGTCTCGAAGACAGACGCGTTGAGATCACTGGTCCTACTGACCGGAAGATGGTCATCAATGCTCTGAACAGTGGTGCAAAAACCTTCATGGCAGACTTCGAAGGTATGCGGATCATTCATGATACTAATAATCGCGTTAATAGAATGTTCCCAGACTCTAGTGCTCCCACATTCGCAAACATGATCGTTGGTCAAGTCAATTTGCGGGATGCAATTAACCGACAAATCGACTTCTCATCCAGCGGCAAGCAATATAAGCTATCTGAGAACCCAGCTGTGCTTCTTGTCCGGTACATTTGATATCTTTGATGCCGAGTCATTAGTTGTTTATATTTTGTGTAGACCTAGGGGCTGGCACTTGGACGAGACGCGTGTCACGGTCGACAATACCCCTATCTCAGGGTCTCTCTTTGACTTTGGGCTCTACTTCTACACTAATGCTCATGAGCTCATAAAGCGTGGCTCGGGTCCCTACTTCTATCTTCCCAAAATGGAGCACTATCTCGAGGCCCGTCTGTGGAATGACGTCTTCGTCTTTTCACAATCCTATATTGGAATTCCTCATAACACAATCAGGGCAACCGTCCTCATCGAGACGCTCCCCGCAGCATTCCAGATGGAAGAAATTCTCTTTGAGCTCAGAAATCATTCTTCCGGACTCAATTGCGGAAGGTGAGGGAATATACATGGTTTGTTGTGAATGGTTAGTTTGCTCACTCACGTGTGTATTGTCAGATGGGACTATATATTTAGTGCAATCAAAAAGCGCAGGGCTGACAGAAGTGCCGTGTTACCAGACAGGAAGGACGTTACTATGACCGTGCCCTTCATGGATGCATATGTGCGTCTTCTGATTCAAACTTGCCATAGGTAAGGCTATTTTCTGCGCGTTATCATAGTGCTCACACGTGCTTTTAGGAGGAAGGTTGCTGCTATGGGCGGCATGTCTGCACAAATCCCTATTAAGGATGACCCTAAAGCCAACGAGGTGGCAATGGAGAAGGTCCGAGCAGACAAGCTTCGCGAGGTCACGGCTGGCCATGATGGAACTTGGATTGCGCACCCCTTGATCAACCAGATCGCTCGTAAGGTATTTGATGAAAATATGCTTGGTCCTAACCAGGTTCGCATCTGCGATATTTTTGTATCCGTGATAATGCTGATCATCCATGGGTTGTAGTATCACGTCCGACGGGAGGATGTGAAAGTCGCTGCCACGGACTTGCTGAGCTCCAATGTTCCCGGAAAGATTACCGAGGACGGCATTCGCTCTAATGTTTCTGTGGCTCTCGCCTACTGCGGAGCTTGGATCGGCGGCAATGGCTGCATCCCTGTCAGCTACTTGATGGAGGATGCTGCTACTGCTGAGATCGCACGTGTGCAACTCTGGCAGTGGGTGAAGTACAGTTCACGTCTTGACACTGGCGAGCAGATTACCGCGTTGTATATCGACCGCATCATCGCAGAGCAAGCACCTGGCGTCCAGAAGATCGCCCCAAGCGTCAAGGATGACCACTTGAAAATTGCTACGAAGTATCTCATGGATCAAGTCAGACAACAATGGCCAAGCGAGTTTTTGACGAGTGACTTGATGCCGTACTTGACGATGGCTGATGGTGTTGAGGACAAGTGGCATAGGAGTGTTCTGTAAAAGAGTTCTGAATACCTGACTATTTGTTCCATTGGTTTTGTCAACACCTTCGCGCTGAGAACCCTGAAATATTCTTCCCGGTGTACTTGTAGTATCATGCAGACTTAATGGGCCAATCAGTGTAGTATGTTAAGCGCGGAGTAGCTCAATACGTATGAGAAATGTGTCACATGCAATTTTTGAGACAATTTTTGAAGCCTGAGATGTACTGTTACTACTGTGCGAAACACAACAGCTCCACGAAGGGGTAAACCTAGTTAGCGGGAGAAGTATCGCCGTCGGCATATCACAAATACGCAGGGCCACACGTGAGTAGGAGCCTCGTGGCCGACCTTGAGCTTAATAAATTCTTCATCCTGGATCTCTACCCTCAACCTTGACGGATCTAGGGTTAACCCGAACCTATTCGGTTCCTCCGGCTCTCCGAGATGCACGTTTGTGTAGTCAGCGGCGTCCCTCACGGTGTCCTTCTTTTCACCCTTTAGCTGCCGTGCCATCTAGAGGCCCAAACAGAACACGCTAGATGCATGATATGTATATTCCGAGTCAGCGCTGAGGATTACGCGATGTCCCCTGATACGTACCCGCCTAAATACATAGCCCAAGGCGAACAGTCGCTAAGAGTTCTGTCCGTGACGTCCCCCGTCGTATTCAGCCGAACGACGAACCAGTCGCAGGAGGGAAAGGCTGCCGGTGCCGAACAATATTAGTCGGCCAGATTATATCCTGAAGAAATTATTGTCGCACTTCAGAAAATTGACGTACCATTTGTAGACATTGGTTGGCATTAAGGCGGATCTCGGAACACACGCACTTGACGCTGCTGGTACTATACCCTGAAACATGGGCTTTTGAAGTGTTTGATTTATGTCGACCTGCAAGTGGGAAGCGGGACGAGACAGTAGCAGGGGAAATCGTAGCCTCGCAACCTGGCAATACGCGGTCCCTAAAGAAACAGAAATCGGGTGTATTTATGTGCCAATACGTCGAAAAGCATGATAAGAATTATGGAAAAATACAATACAGTTCTCGGTATACGTCGAAATTTTCGACCAAGCATACAATATAGATAGCTGCAGCTCCGGGAAAAAAATTGGGAATTTGCTGACATGCTTTACAAGAAGTAGCCAGGGCCCTGTAGCCCTAAACCGGCAGTGGATAAGGGGAATACACTTCCTATATTCTAGAAGACTGGTGAGATCCGGACACATAGAGACCGAACTACTCACTACGGTTTCGGAAAATTGGTTTAATGAAGCCAGTGCATACCAGTTACTACCGAGACGGGTAAACAATGCCTGCGGCAGCTTCTAGACGAAGTACTTCATCTATCAAAGCATCCCTTCCCTCCTCAAGCCACCGGCAATATTCGACTGCTCGAAAGAGCACTCCGCTCTTGCCTTTGGTGTGACCCTTCCCCCTACTCCCGCTGCCCTTTGGTCTACCTCTAGTAGGCATATCAATAGCCTGTGCACCAGCTGGGGCGAGAAGGGATATCAACTGGGCGTATCCCTCGCGAATGGCATTACGACGCTTTTGCTCTGACATGATATGATTGAGTCTTTTCTGAGGGGTTGAGAGGAGGACTTTTGTTCTCCCCGTCTGGCACGAGGCTGCAGAAGCTCTCTTGCGCTTTGTGCCCATGGAGTCTTGTTTTGAGGGAGATGATGAAGTTGCGGATGATGAGGATGAAGGTCTGGTATTGGATGTATCTGATGGCATCTCAGGTTGCTCTGTGAGTATCGGCGATACAATTTCTCCCGAATTATTCAGATCGCGCGCGCCTTGCGGTATATAGGGCGCAGTGACAGTGGGATCTGCTTCGAAATCCCAATTGAAGTTGTCCAAGAATCCTAGCAGATCAGTTGTCTCAGATGGAGAGAAGAGGTCTGCAGATGATGGGATGGGCAGAGGAGGCGACAAGCCTGCGAGAACAGGATCAAATACATATTCGAAATCGGAGAAGGGAGGTGGCTGAGACGGTGATTGGGATGACATGGTGGTATAGGCAAGAACTATTACCGAGCCGGAATGAATCGATTACCGGTTAGCGGAGTACGGCATAGAACCGTGCCTTGGCCGGTGTGGCGGGAGCTACCGGATGTGCAAATACGCATAAATATCAATTAAATAGGCATATCCGCTCCGATGAATTACTTATATTCCCGCTTTACCGAACAGCGTCGGAACTTCACCGCTCCGCTACACCCATGTCGGCTCTTAGTGAGGCATCTACACCGGCGCATGACGCGGCGTCGGCCATGGACGCGCAACAACTCCATCAACTCCACCAACATGCTGCCGACGCCCAACAACAGCAGCAACAACAACAACATACTTCCAATGGCCCATCACCAGTCAACGATTCCACAGCAACTCGTAAAGGTGAGTTCCGCGCCATAATCGTCAACGATGTCACATACATACATACATATATGATGTTCAGCAAAAGCCCCTTCAGTAAGGCGAGCATGTACTGCATGTCATACCGGTAAAACTCGTTGTAGCGAGGTATTACCGTGCCAGGTTGGTACAGATCTCGAACAAGCAGACTCGTCCTTTGATATATTGACCGCGTACCTCCTATTAGAGCTGCTTAAAACGAGGTATCGGCGCAACATGCGCATATCCAGATCCTGAAAGCGACCAAAATCAGTCGCATCAAAGTAATTATTTGACTCCGCTGAAATGTAGTCTACTTATTCACGATCTTGTAATCTCCCAGCTCCCGGTGTGTCTACATTTGCTCAGGCACCCCTGGGATATGTCCATGGAGCACCTACTCTCAGCCAACATCAATATTATGATTACAATGGCGCATTTACTGGCGCCTCTTCATCTACCTTTCGGCCTAACAAGCGGCCCCGTAATCTCACAGAAGAAGAAGCAGCTGCCATCACTAGGAATTTCAGTCGTGGAGACTTTTTCGTTGGCTCGAGCGCTCCTGTGCGCATTGATCCTCGTCTGCCAGTCAGGCTTACCTTAGGCGAGGGGGACCATGTGCATTTCAGTATCACAGAAACTTTGACTTGATCGAGCTATCTGTTACTGGGAAATTAATCGGCTACTTCTTGCATTCGTTTCCGCACTGTGTATCATTATGATCGTCACAACCACCTTCTGAGGATTACTTGCGCGGTACCTCTCGCAAATCTCGTGTACATAATATAATCTTGTCGAAGACAGCAAGAATTATCACACTCAAAAAATTCATGGAGAGATGCAGCAAAAGTATTGATGAGAGTGGGATTCGAACCCACGCCCCGGAGGACCAGATAACTTGCTCATCCAATGAGCTGATCCTTAGTCTGGCGCCTTAGACCGCTCGGCCATCTCACCATGTATAATGACGGAATTTTATTTATTATATTTCATTTCATGCGTCACCGCAGTTGGCGGGGTTATGATATAGCTATGCAAACTAATTTCCGTCGCCTTGTTTCAAACCACCACTCACTTCAATCGTCCTCCTAAGTAGCATTCATGATGTTTTTTTCTTTCCCCAGGGCGCAGGTCGCTCTATCTACTTTTGCAATGATGATATCCATTTGTGACTTCGTTTATGCTTCGCCCACCGAATCGCCGCTTCGCCGTGCCACAATTTGCAATGGAAGTCCAGATTTGTGTACCCGTAGTTTTGGAAATGTCACCTTTGTCGGTGCCCATGATTCTTATGCAGTCGGTACCAACAATGGTGAGTTCCAATGACCTTGTACATGCAGATACTCACTTAGTTACTTTCCTGAAGTTTTCACAACCCAGGACTACAACAGTGAGCACAAACTTCTTTCCGAACCCCGAACTCACTACAAATGACCTCTGTCAGTTACACAACAGTTGAATGACGGGATTCGAATGCTGCAAATGCAGGCCCATAACTCGAGTGGAGTCATTCACCTTTGCCACACGAGCTGTGTATGTGACGTACATGCATGTTGTGTCAATCATGTCGTACTCACTCAGTGTTGTAGTCACTCTTTGATGGCGGAACTCTTCAGGCTTACCTTACAACTGGTAAGAATAAATATTCGCCTTCAGGTTGCCTTCCTTATCCCTTGGTACATAGTCAAAGCCTGGCTAGGTGCAAATCCAAATGAAGGTCGGTAGCGTTCATGATAGAAAGCAAAACTCTGGCGTTTCTCAAGATGTTTTTCTTTCAGTACTTTCATTGCTCATCGTCAACTCTGATACTCTTCCACCGAGTAGTTTTGACGCTGTCTTTAAGGCGGTTGGGCTCGACACGGTATCTTACTCGCCGCCCTCCTCTTCGCTGCTTGAAAGTGGCTGGCCGTCCCTTGGCAGCCTCATCGATTCTGGAACGCGATTGATAACTTTCATGGACTCCAACGCTGACTTCAACTCTGTTCCTTATATCATTGACGGTGTGTTGCACAGTTGAGCCCGCGGAGACTCTGCTTGATACTCTTACCCCAAGAATTCACTAACATCTGGGAGACTGCATATGACGTCACCACGTCGTTTGATTGCAATGTGAACCGGTCGAATGCCAACACCCCCACTGCTACATCTATGTACCTTATTAATCACTTTTTGGACACATTGATCCTTGGCCAACCTGCTCCGGACCCAAGCCAAGCTAATCAAACCAATGCTGTCACCGGTACAAATTCCCTCGGTGAGCAGTTCAATCTCTGCGTTGGCCAACAGGGCAGAAACCCGAACTTCATGCTTGTTGACGTACGTACATTCAACTATCTCGTGGATGTCTTTCTAATGGTTCCAAGTTCTACGAGTACGGCGGTGGATCTGTGTTCGAAGTCGCTGCCACAGCTAATGGCGTCACCTATTCACCTACTACGCCCATTGCGACTCCGGGAGGAACAAGTTCACCCTCATCCTCATCGAACTCCAGCCCGCCTAGCTTCAGTCGGTGGAGCTCGGTTTGGGTGGTCATTGGCAGCGTAGCGTTCGGCGCCTTCTGCATTTATTAATCTGCCATCTGACGTCGGTCATGCATATCCACCACTTGCAGTCTACCAAATAGCTATCCGGATCTGGGACTGAACTCGTACAATGTACATTCGCACTATACTCATCGGACTACACAATGGATTATCATGGACTTGGATGATACTATCGTTTTCTTTCTATACGCCACTTATATACCCGAGGTTTGTAAGTCTTTTCATCCGCTTTGCTTGCCTTGGCAGCTACCGTGTTGTCTATTTCATCCTCATCTTCATCGTTGTTCTCAGCTCCCACTTCTTCAACGCCACGCAGCTTTCGCCGACCTCCTTTGCCTGCCAAAAGTCTTTGCATCTCTAGTTCACGCTGTGTATACCGTAATTGAGTGTCGCGTTTTAGTCGGGCAGCGAGTTCTTTTAGGAGGCGCTTCCGGTTTTGCTGAATAAAAATTCTCAGGAAGTGCGTGACAACAGAGAAATATATGAGTATACCACATTAAGTTGCCGTATTTCTTCAGTCTCCTCAACAATATCCGTTGATGCACCTGCTGAAGTTTTGTTTTTCCGTCTCCGTCGAGAAGATGCACTTTCCATAGTCTTCCAGCCGAGGTCAACTTCAGCCCGTTCGACATCCACTTCGGTCGTGGTTTTGACTTGGTTTAAAGATCGCTGCTGAGATAACTGTTTTGCTGCAGTGTACATTTCATTTCATGAACAATGATGTCACAAGATACACTCACCTTCCGTCTCATTCCCAGCAAAGATAATATGACGTGGGGGTAGACGCCGTTTTGTTTCTGGGGGTATAACACCTGCTTCTCGGAGTGTGTCCAGGTCGGTTTCGTCCAACGCGTCCTCGCCGTCATCCTCTATGTTATCATCCTGCGGGGCGATGAGATTAGCCAATGCAGTAAGTTGGCTCTTGATCCTCTCAATTTTCTGTCAAGGAATGAGCTGAATAAACGACACAAGCACGCATAGAATGTATGCCTTGATTCCGTTGGCTCTCATTGTCCGAACATAACCCTCATCTTGTGTCTTGAGGAGTTTAACCATATCCATAGGCATAGAAACATTCCCTCTATCCTTGACATGTACCCCCTGCACCGTCCTCTCCTTGATCATCCCAAAGTAGAACTCATCCTTATTCCTATCCGCTGCCTTCTGCCTCAGGCGCGTTATACGATCCTGCTTGGAGTGATAATCCCGTGCACGTTGGACATAGTCCTTGTGCTTTTCTAAAATGCCAAATTTTGCGCGATGAGAGAGCTGCGAGCGCTCTTTATGATTTCGCCTATGCAACGAATTTCTGAGGGAGGAGGTCATTGCTGGAAAAAGGAAAGCGTGTGACAAAAAAGTTACGTGACATTGTATAAAGTTGTCACACGCGGGACCAGTTTTCCACCTTTTTGCTTTCATCCCAACCATTTTTTGTTCGGAATCCTTGTCAAAAAATGAGTTTCCAGCATTTCAGACTCGGGCAACTGGCCATGTCCCAGCCTTTGCCTCCACATTTGCAACAGAATCAGCAGCAATCTTATTCACAAAACCCCCCATCGTCCACATCATCGCCCGCAGCGCCTTCTAGCCTTGCTATACCGGCGCCTCCAAAGTCAACAACTGCAAGGTCACCTTATGGTTGTGGCGACAGTGATGATGGATACACTCTTATATTTCCAAACCTCGCTGCATTCCAAGAATGGAGGGTTCATGAGGAAGAAACACAGATGGTTGAATTCGTGAAGGGTGACACTCACGGTAGCAAGGCAGTTCCTCCCCGTTTCAAGGACCATACCAAACTAGTTTGTGCTCGACATTCAAGGAGCGGTCGCAAGAAGTATGTGAAGAAACACCCAGAGCGCGTTCGCAAGGTACCCAGTAGGAAGGTTCGTATCAGCAGCACGTTCCATAGTATGGCCCTGTTCACGCATTCCCTCAGCTTGATGGGCAGGGGTGTCTGGCGTCCATCAGCTACAAGACTTATTATGACACCGATGAAGTCCGAGTTTGTTGTGAGTAGTCATCTAAGTATTAGGGATATCGCCTTGCCTGAGCGATCTCAGATATTGCCGAGCATTCGCATCCTATCGGGCTGGCAAACTTGCCTTTTACTCGTCGTGGTAGGCGACAAACAGTCCTAGCCGAGAAAGAAGAGTCGAAGCGCGCCATACAAGCAGCTTCTGTAGCCCCTGCTCCCACGCAGCAGGAGGGCTCAACTACTCCATCTCCAACACAGGTCCAAAACTACCCTTCAAATCCTCCACTCGCCCATCTGCCCCATCCGTTCCCTGCTTTCCCTGGACCTCCGGCAATGGGCTATCCTCACATCGGTCCTCCTCAGGGCTCACCATCTCAGCAAGAACTGTGGGATCGCATGAGCATTCTATTTAACTCCATTCGTGAACATGCTCGAGCATTCGATTACCCCGGGCCTACTGTTGTTGCTCTTGAAAGCGTTCTCATCCGATTATACTTGGAAAGCCCGATGGGCGTCGTAGGGGGCCCAGGCTTTGGAGTTCTTGGCCCAAGTATGCACGGAGGCGCGATGGCCCCTCATCAGCATCAGCAGTCCCAGCAGCCACATCAAGATGTTCGCCAACACCAACAGCAAATGAATGGCACATCTCCTCAAAATGGTGAACAAGTAGTGAACAATGAAATGGATAGCGGTATAGAAAGTGGTTGACAACCCAGATTTTGGTTTTCTTGTTCACCACCGTCATTTTGAAGCTTCATCCTGGCAAGCTGTACTGTAAGATAGGTTGATGTCTAGTGGATTTTGCATGCGTTTGTTCCTTGGGACTTCGGCAGGAGTACCGCACATGTACCAAACACTCTTCTAATGCAGTGTAATTCATCCTAGTATCATCATATAATTCCAACAAGAAGCTGGCTGGACCTGTTATTACAAGAGATGGCAAGAGATTGACTACATGTACATAAGATATATTGCCTACCCTATGGCGATCCCTCCAGGTATAGCTCGATATCAATCTGCAAATGGATCCGCGAATGGGTCCTCGTCATCCACGATTCTTTCTGATTGTCGCATGCTTGAAGACGCCGCAGTTTGATGTGCGACGTTCCTCGGTTGTTCCTCTTCCTCGCTCTCGTAGTCGCTGAAATCAGAGAGACTTCCCCTACCCTGATCCCACTCCGAATCCGGTGAAATGTTACGATGTGCGGTTGGTCTCATGGGTGGGGGTAATTTCCCCTCTTCATTACCCAGAGACCCGAACGATAGATCCTGAAGATCTTCGTGGATATAATTCCCGCGGCTTTCTTGCTCCTCATAGTCGTGTAGCTGCTGCTTGTATTGTTCTACAGCTGCTCGTTGTTGAACCGACAGCTCGCCTGTACTATTTGTGCTGAGATGCGTCGCCGCCATTGCGGCTTGTATATTCGCTGTAGGATCCAACGGCGTCGTCTGACCGGGAGCTGAAAGCTGATCGCAGATCGCTGAGCAGCGAATTTATGCCGGAAAGCAGCCACCTACATTGACATACATTTGCAGGGCGGTGATAATGCGCTCGTTCGTCTCGATTAACGCTCCGATCATTTCCTCGTTCTCCACGAGCTGGTTTAAGTTATGAGCAACTAAATCAACAACAGAAGAAAAATACAGACTTGGATATATCGCACTATAGGCTTACGGACGGCACGTGCCTTCCCGAGACACTCCTGCACGCGCTCATTTGAGACTACGCTTTCTTTCTCGCCATTCACTAGCATTATGGCATTCACCAGGTTACTAGATGCTTGACTTGCGTTAGCGATGGTTGTCAGTATTTGGGGCTTCTCCTGTTATTGCGTCAGTTTGGTGGCAGATCACAGGCCTGACAATGAGGGCCACGCACAATTTCAAAGTCGAAGGGGGCTCGACGGGACCGGCTCTTCTTCTTCCTTGCGTCTTCCTCCGCTTTACGTGCCCTTTGCTTGGCTTCGTGCTTCTCCTGCTTAGCTCGTTGTTTCGCTAGCTCTTTCTCATCCCTCTCTTTCATTTTCCTTTCGTAGTCGGATGTTGGCCCATGACTGAGTGGATCTGCACTATTTGAGTATCCTTGGCTGCGACGATCTGCAGAACGAGATTGTCTAAAGAGACCTGCAACAACAGACATTGATGGATCATCCTTGAACTGGGAATGCCATGATGCAAGAATGGCCACGAGCTTCTTCTTAACTTTCTGATCCGTCGTTGGATCAGCTGCGAGCTGCTTTATGGCGTCAATCAGCTGGCCGTCGGCAAACGTGGCTGTTACTATGAGCCAAAGTCAGTCTTATATTTGTATATAAACTCACTTCGAAATTTCTGAGGACCATTATCGACAAGTGCTTTCAGTATCTAGTCCTATCAGTGAATATACTTCCGCCGATAAGGAATTAAAACGTACAACAAGTGCGCGGTACTGATGGTGTGCATCTCCATGCTTGAGCTTCTTCCGTATTGCTCTGGATGCTTCTGGAGTTCTAGTGTAACGGGTGTACGCCCAACGCATCAACAGTCACTATTAAACAATGTCAGGTCCGGATTTCAAGCGCACCCTGTTGGTTGTAGCGCAATTGATTCTACTAGTTCAGGGATTCTTAAAACCGTTGAATGAGCTTTGGATCCATTTAGAGATACTATTGTCCCTACCCATCATACGCCTCATCATTATATGAAGGTGAGGTGAGAATGTCTACCCAGTCGGTGATAGATGACTGCAGTGGATCGTAATTGTCTGAGCAAGTAAGAGCGATAGGTATCCTGAACGCACATGAGGTTTCTCGCGGTTTAGCGCAGAAACTGCAAACTTGAGAGCAGACATGAAGAACTACGGCCAAGTTAAGGAAAAGAGCCTAAATAGCCAATCTCCCCAGGGGGACGTGACGTCACGCCCCTGTCACGAATATCATTGTTCGGTGCTCGCGGGTTGTCGCGGAACAGGTGAAACAAGTAGTGGTCGATAGGCTTTATAACGGGTATCCGAGTAGTGCTCTTCCTATATTAATTGGAATATATAATTTCTTGTTTTTTTCGGATTAATATTGTGATTGGGGAAACAGCGGCGGTCACTATATGACATCAACTGGGCTGGTCGCATGTAATCCGCTTACACCATCACAAAATGCCAGTGGAGACACGCAGTGCTACACAAACCCCTAGTATGAGTCCTTCTGGTCCTCGAAGACAAAGGCGAATGAAGAAAAGCGGAGATGGAGATGAGAACATCGCTGCACAAAAGATAGAAGTGAAGATGGAACCCGAGGTCGGTGAGAAGCGTGAAGCCCCTGAGCCTGAAGAGACAGAGGCGAAGAGGCCGAAGATAGAAGAGGCCGATGTAAATAAATATGCATTCACCCCAGGTTAGTGTATTCTAGAGTTCGAGTGCCCTTCATCGTTAAACCTATTTTATCCAGGGGTAATCGAGCGTGGACATATATACTTCTTCTACCGCCCAAAAGTCCAGCATGAAGAAGTTCATTCTATGGACGATGTCAGCAAGCTCCATGTACTCCTTGTCCCTAGTTCATCCGAGTCCTTTAGCGTGCAAGGCAAAAGTGAGCAGAGTAAAGATGACTCCGGTGCAGATGCCGACGAGATGAACCTTGTCGCGCAAGGCGCAGACGCTGCACCTGCACCTGAGTCAACGACAAAGGACAAAAAACATTTCCGCTTGATCATTGTCGGCAAGAAGAGACTCCCTGATCCTGAACGCGAAAAGCACGCCCCAATCTGGGCGACAGTAATATTCGTGGGCGACAATTTACATGACCTGGAGAAGAAGCTGGGGGAAAGGACTTATGAGACAAAGACCCGGGGTATGATTTTACCTCTAGTGACAATTGCATTTTGAAACTGTTGTTAGGTACACGTCGCACACCGCCTGTTCGCCTTGCAGGCCGTGGTGTGTATGCGACTGTCAATTCTCAAGGGAATGTTCCATCAAGAAATGCCACTCACCTTGGATACCACCTTTCACACCCGACCGAGTTGGGAGATGTCCAGAAAGCACTTGGGATTCATATTGCATCCTCTTTCGTAATCCAACTCAAGAATCCCAAAGCAGAGGCTCCGGTTAGTCAACGTGTAGGATTGCCCAAGAGTCGACGTGCAATTTATTCAGAAGACGTCATGAAACACGTATTTGGAAGGGGTGAAAAAGGACGTTCGTCGATTGGACTCCGATTCACCAATTGTAACTGTATCGAACTTCTGGACCACGAAGGTACTGAATTACTTCTCATCCCCGCCCGTACGGGAACGGAAGGAAATGATCAGAGCCTCGGAAATGGGCGGGGAGAAGGTGAGGTCTGGTCCTTTCTTCTCGAATCCAAATATTTACTGGAGCTTAGCTTTGGAAGAAGCCAGCCGCTGTGAATCGGAGGAGCGAGTCGAACAAATTTTCAATCAATTAGCCTTTAATAAAGACCGCTTCCCAGCAGAGCCTCTCAAAGGGGAGTGGGCCTAATGCGATCAATATGAACGATTTTGCGGGCTACGCGGCCTTCAACTTCATATCACGAGTTTTCTTGCGGACCTGCGAGGAATGCAATTGTGGTAATGATGGTATGCTAGTCGATGGGTAAAATACAAATGTTCGCACAAGTTCTTGTCTTGTCTTGTCCTGTCCATGTCATGTCATGTCTGGTCCTGCTTCATCACCATCATTCACTCGTATCACTTTAATCCATTCGCGGTAATTGAAATTCCCTTGCCGATCAGTGAATGAACTCTGGAGGAACTTGTCAATCTGGACACGAAATCAGCCACTCGGACGGTGAGAGCAAATACAAGACGAACTTCCTGCTGACCCATTCTTTCTCCTACTTCTCCCATCCATTTTTGCATCTCGTCAGATTTAACCGTACCCGTGTCGCCCTCATCGAAACATTCAAAAGCCTCCCTCAACTCAGCCTCTGGATCGAACTCGAAAAGTCGCTCGCTCATCATGGTGAGGAACATAGTAAAATTGATACCTCTGTCTGATGAAACTGACGAGTCGCGTGAAGGCGTCACAGGAGGCGACTTGCTGTGCCCAGGGCCACCAGGACGCGCGCTGAGCAGGCCATCTAGCGTACTCTTCGATGGTGAAATACCTGGAACCAGATTGAGCGCTCAACCCCCCAAATAACGAGCGCAACCTCACCAAGGCTTGAGAATATTTCTCGCAGATCAGATTCCGTTACCCAGCCATCCTTGTCGTGGTCGATAAGTTGAAACGCCTCCTTGAATTGCTGAATCTGAGGCGCCTGAAACAAGGAGAAAACGCCAGATGGCTCGCGTCTTCCTCTTGACTTCTGCGAGTTAGACGATTTAGAAGGGGTTGCGTTCGGCGAAAGATAGTCTGGGTATCGCGACATGGTGTTTGAGTGAACTATATTCGAAAGCAACTTAATGAGTTAGTTTGCACGTGACTCCGACGGCGCTTTCGTTCATGTCGTCACCATTTTTGCAGGACAGTCTGCACACATAGTATGAGGAACTGGATATTACGCCAATGCCAGTGATGAACTCCTCGAGGGCGCCATCGCTCTAGTGGAGGAGTCCTTGACTTTGAGCCCAAGGTAAATGATGATAATGGCCATCCGACTTATGATTGACCAGCAGCACAGTGAGGGGGGCTTGAAACGAGAGTTGATCATATTCCCATGTCCACTTTGTGTATTCTCAATTCAATACCTCCTATTTGTCGAATATCTAGCCCACCGCCATTTCTCTCCGTGATGATCAGACCTTCCGTCCTCGACTCCAATGATAGCCTCTTGGTCCTCCACCGTGCGCCCACCGATTTAGCACCCCGCACGACAGTACCAACGCCACCAACACGGCTCCCCGGGGAACCCGACCAGTCAGTGGATTGCCTTGCGTGGGTCTAGACCTCCTTATTGTTAACCCGTGATCACGGCGACGTAGTGATGGGTGTGAACAGTTTACAGGTACGCTGCTCCAATGACTTTTGATAGGTTTTGATTTCCTCTCGGCGGGCTCTCGCGTACACAGGCCGCCAGTATCGGGGATTCTCGGGTACGGACGTAGATGCCGTCGTCGTGAACAGCCGCTTGGTATGCATACAGCATCTATTCTGATTCCGTCGTAGACTCGTACCTATGAACTTTATCGTGCAACTTAATACCCACAGAGCTCATACAAGCTGGTGGTAACCAATGGGGTGTGAAACTGACTGGTTTTAACATACGGATGCCGCATTTCCACCGAGTTACATAAGTGACTTGTGTCTCTTTTAGATGCACCTCAGTAAGTACATCCAATATGCTCTCCAGTGGCTGGCCTAATACACGTATATGACAGTCGATAAATTGGCACGTACAACACATGATAAGTGATGGTAGCTGATTCGCGCTAGTCCACCATGCCGTGAATGGAGCTACTGTTCCCACCTCGTGCCAAACGTGATGTCACGGGCTATATCGTACTGTAGGTCTTCCAGATAGGCTCACCTCTTAGAGCTATATCCACTGAAGCGGTTGCTTCTCATTAGGTACAGGCGTTTAGGGCGCACTTGGCAATATCCTTGGACAATGAAACGGCACCCAAAAATATTTGTCCGTACGTACCATTCAAATGAATATTCTTTGGTAGTCGTTGGGTGGTCGTGCAATATATCGTTTGTTGTTGGCAGGCGCTGGCAGCGTGGATGGCAATGAAATTCATTGCCGACATGTGTACCTGGCCGGGACGCGGGGCGACGGCTGCTCACGCTTCTTGTGTTTCAAATGTCATGAGTTTGTAGAGGTTTGTTCACCCCCTTGGCGTATAATTCTGGCCTCGCTTACTCGAAAGGACTACACTCGTGATATTTACGCAAGCGGGGTGCCCACTTTTGCAAAGAGCAACCTCGATGCAAGAGCGGCTTCAACATCATTTAAATAAGCAAGAATTCGAGGCTCAGTTACTCGGTAGGCGCAATTTGTCTATTGCGTGCTGGTACCCCTTCCGAGGAGATTATCCATGAGTCATTGCCCTGACCATGGTGTAACATCGTGCAGTCTCACGAACCCGGTTGCCTGTACTTAGTGATACGGCCACTCGGGTCAACGTCATTCTTCAAAAGGATGTACTTGTATCTCAGGGTCTGGAGCACAAGGTGCCAAACTTTGTATCCACTTTTTATCCACTAATTCGAATTCTTCATTACAGCCCACCTTACAGCCTACCTTAATGAATGCGATTTGCTCCCCATGTCGTTACTCGAAGATGCGTCATAACGCTCGAAGTTGCACATGAGATGCTCGTTGCGCACGCGGAGTCATGAAGCGATTTTACCGTGTGATCTTTATCGGTATGGTCAATGCAGTAGACCCTCTTCTTTCTCTCTAGTTCGCTGGGGGCAGCGCTGTTCTAGGACATTGGATCAGCGCGATCTTTGCGGATATACTGCGAAGGCACTGGCTATTATGGAAAGGCCGTCCACAAGTTAACTTTACTGAAATATGGAAGTTTGAGTTCATTCTCACTTAGTGCCTCATCGTTCGGACCCGTCCGAGTCCGTCTCGAATCATATACGGATAACTCGATAATCAGACGCCGCTTAAAAATACGAAGCCGATATCATTGCGCAGTAGAAGGCTTGCCACACCTGCTTCAGCTGAAAAGGCTGTTCAATGATCTTATTTGTGCTCCCAAAGGGACAGCCTTCAGTTGTCAGTATTGTTCCAGAAGCAGTCCCTTGGCACCAAATGTTCTTGGCGCACTCCTGTATAATTCCTCTTGGCAAATGAAGTCAGAGTCTGTCAGACTTCCAATTCGAAATGAAATCATGTCATTACCAATTAGTAATCGTGTCCTTGGCATGTTGGATGAGAGCTTGCACACAACCGCCGCGTGTACGGTAACCGTAGTCTTTCACGGCTGAATGATTTATCAGGTCGAGCTACAGCAGTCATGGTGTTTGATCACTACTAATGATTCTGTGAAGAGCCGAAGAGCCAGCGCATACAATGAATGATGTTAATCATGATGAGTATTCCTGATGGTGTGCCCAATAACCCAAAAATCATATTGGCCGCCATCTGAATTTTATCAGATGGCATCCCTGATTAACACAACAATATCTCAGAGGCAGCCTGAAGCAGCCTGTTCACATGTCGGCTTCGTTGCCTTGTCCACGACGGTGGTACCTGGCATCCCGTCATTTTCCCGTCCCAAAACGAGAGAATGCTGGCAATTATATCGGAACATGTTGGCAGTATGGCTCCACCATGAGAAAGTAAATTTGGGTTTACGGTTGTTCTCGGCAGCATCCGGGATCGAAGAGCTGAAGTACCGTACTTACGACTGATGATGGTCACAAGTAAGTATATTGACATTCGGTGAAATGTGGATAGAGGGTCCAGGGAGGTGCCAAGATGGGTGGGCCGGGCATCCTGGATCGACAATAGTATTAATAACAAGCAAATAATCTGAAGCCCTTCATGTATGTGAGATCCTCGAGGATCCTTGCAGTTGTCGAGGTCGACTGTGATTGACAATGTTTTATCCCGTTCCGCTCCGATTCAAGATGACTTTGGGCTTGTCGATTTCCTGGCTTGTGTACTCTCACACTGCTGTGTGAGAACGCATTCGAAACGCCAAACGTTCTGACCTGTGCCATGTAGGGCTGACGAAGAAGGAAGGTTTTCGGAAGCTATAGCGAGGAGTGACAAGGGTATTATGAGCGCCCTAGAACACACTCTCAAGGGTTTTATAAAACAACTTGACTAGGACTTGGTGGACAGCTTGAAGAGGGTATGTATTCCGAATTCAACCGGAGGGCAACCTAATTTGGAATGAGAAGATCGAACACGGTGATCTCCGATGCAGTGATGATCGGTCTTAGTGCCAAGGAAGCAAATTGCTTGGCACGCTGGCATTCTTGCGCCAAGACTCGATCTTGTCTTGGCATACAAAGGAGAACACTTCTGACCGCTTATAAAATCAAAATGAGTTCCTTACACTCCGCGACTGTTCTTGTCCCAGACTTCATCCCTCCGAATCACCTTGACCATCCATTGTCACAAGACTCTCTTGGCTACTACAACAAACCCATGCAGCCTCCTTCAGATTCTCCTCCTCCAGCCTCTCCTCAAAATAATAATTCCACAGCTTCATCCTTGAAAGCTCCTTCCCAATCATCACCATCAGACACTTCAGTCTCTCCTCATTCTATTCCATCAAATTCAGAATCCTATAATTGTCAATGGGTCGATTGTTCTGCCAGTTTCGCAGATCCTGAGATTCTGTATAATCATCTCTGCAACGACCATATCGGCCGAAAGAGTACAAATAATCTATGTCTCACGTGCAAATGGAAGGATTGTGGGACCTCCTGTGCAAAACGTGATCATATTACGAGTCATCTTCGAGGTATGTTATTCGTATCGCTTATTGTGAATCAGTATCAATCTAAAACGCCTCCTAGTTCACACTCCGTTGAAGCCGCATGTCTGTGAGGTTCGATATAATTTTTTTGCTTTTTTTTCACCGTTCGGTTTATGCTCACTCCTTGCCAGATATGCAAGAAGTCATTTAAGCGCCCGCAGGATCTCAAAAAGCACGAGAAAATCCATACAGAGGAGCACCACGCGCAACACAAGCACTCCAAGGCTATTACCGTAAATGATCCCGCTTACGCCTCCCGTGTTCGCGGAGATGTTATTCCATCAAAAGGCGCTCTCAATAGGTCGCTTTCTGGTAAGCTCCAAGGCGCAGCACCGGGCGCGTTGCCTCCCAAAGTCCCTTTCGCTCGCGCACACACACGTTCTGGTATAGGAGCAGATGGTTAGTTACACAATCTCCAGCATTACATCCGCTAACCTCGGACCTAAGGTGGGCACTACAGTGCCTTGCCAACTCCATCCCCGGAGTTTGAACCTCATCCTTCTCGTCATGTGCCTCATTCGTCATATGAGCTCTTTCTCCATAATCAGGTACCTTCATGGGACGGCGCTAAATCCGACGTACGCGCCTCAAGTCGCAACAAGAGGTCGCTTGAATACAATGTCGACGATTTCTTCACTGAAATGAAGAAGAGGAAAGTCAATCCTGCTTACGACAACCGTATGTATACTGTCGATTAATGCCCATGACTATCTAATAGAATGATCTCACAGACATGGTGGAGCGTCTCAACAATCTTGCATATGCACAAGACAGTGCACATTATGACGAGTTTAATCCTCGCTCAGTGTCTTTCGACGTCCGCACACCAGAGGAGCTTGCTGCGGTGAACGAATTTCTTGTGACCCTTGGCCGGGACGTGACTGCAAATAATCGTGCATCCCAGGACCTATCCGGACGGTTCTCGCCAACGTCGTATTTTGATGCTGACAGCCTCAGTCAACTTGGACTCACCGGAATGCCTGGACTGCTGGGTCCAGGAACAGCGTACACTCACGATGCTGCATACGCACAGACTGCGCACTCGCCGCACCAATATGCCACTGCCGTCTACCCTTCTCCACCCTCACTTGGGAGATCTTCGCATCCATCCGTGCAGTATAGTCCTGTTTATCCGCCTATGCATGCTTCCACCCCTGGTGGCTACTCAGATCATTACACATCTTCCCATCCGAGTCGTGCTTCGGCGTCTGCTTCCCACGATTATGGTCTCAATACGCCTCCCTCGACATATGCGTATCATTCAACATCCACTCCGCCAGGGCACTTCCACCCTACACCCCCGCTCGACCCGACATCTCCGCATTCTTCTAGCTCCACCCCCTCCAATGCTACGCCCCCACATCACTCGTCGATACAGGAGTCTTTTGCCGAGTTCAGCTCGCTTCGTAGGCCTCATGGCGCTCCTCCACCTGTGCAAATGGCTGCACCAGAGTATCATCACAAAGCTATGCGGAATATGATCCCATTGAAAACAGCTCCTGCTAATGCGCCCGAACCGGTAGCACCTGCCCTCCCTACCACCACACACCGCGGATCAATCAATGCATTGCTGTCGCTGCCATCATCATCTGTGCCTTCTTCCAGTAAATTGTACCCCTTGCTACTTCCCGAAGATTCTCATTTGAAGTTACCGTCACTCAAGCCTGATGCAGGTCCGTTCAGGCTCCCACCCATTAAGGATATGTACCGCTCCCCCTCACCTCAGACTTCTGCATCACGGTCTCCGGACACATCTCGTGGGACGACCCCTAGCTCGACACGTTCGTCACCCGTGTCCACTCACACAAATATCCCCGGTCTGCGATCAATCACTGAGACATCAGAAAGTGATGAACTTGTCAGGAAAGTTGGCAAGATCCAGCTAGATCACCTGACGAAGGAAGTCACACCGGAAGACCGGCGGAAACATGCAGAGCTTATACGTAATCTACTTGTGAAGATTAACGAGGATTATCGAAAACGCTTCGGCAGTCCCCAGATAGAGTCCTCGAGGGTTTTGCGAACCCGACTGCCTTCTGTAGATGTGGAGATGGCCGCTGCATAGGCGATAGACATTAATTAGTTATTACGAACTCATCAGTTTTGTGTTTTTGCACTCTTTACTTGTACACGAGTTTATAGAGCCAGACATACGTTACACATATTAGGATTGAATGCATGCAAATAAAATAAATAAGGCAAACAATCGGCAGTACACGAGACACGTTATGATCTCTTGAGCGTTAGTTTTATCTTTGGAGCGGAACCTGAAGGTGTACCAGGTACCCCCAGATCTACATCTTCCATTGCAGATACTGGGGGACTAGTCGCCAATGGGGAAGGAACCGGTGCACCAAAACCAAGGGCCCCATTAGCTCTGTTAAACCCACTTAAACTAGACATCCCGGCGGAGTTGGGCGGTGGACTTGTTACGGATGTAGGAGTGGCAGGTACAGGTGCCGTTCCACTGTTGAACTCTGCCCAACGAGGACATTTACGGTTAGTTTCTATCAGAAAAGGAGTCACCAGGTACAGCTCATGAATGAATGGGAATGACGTACTCATGTGGCCCATCTGACCACAATGACCACAGCGTCTCTGAACAAAACGTAAGTGCTAAACCTCGTGCTGGCTATTGTGCCCAGAACTCACGGTTGTATCTGGTTTGAGCGGCCGGCTGAGTTGCATTGGGGTGCCACCTTCCTTGACAATTTTGGCGTTCTTACGATGCAGACGCCGCTCTTGGTTCTTTTTCATCCGTGCTATCTGTTCCTCCAACCTACGAGGAGTTCGGGTTTCGGTTTCACGTTACTTATACAGCTAGCCATATAAACACATACCGTTTCTTGTACCTCTTGTCCTTGTCCACGTCACCCGTAGGTGCGAGATTATCGGCAAGCGTGGCCTCTTCCTCCAATAATTGCCTGGCACGCACATAAGCACGTATGACGGCAGGATCACGGATGATTTCCGTCTGCCATTCCTCATCGGCCTGAATTCGGGAATGAATTAAGTTCCGAGCTTGAAAGAGGTAGACAACAAACCAGTCGCTTAATCCGGAGAACTTTACGACTGTCATTCGGTCCCAAACTCATCTCCCGCTCCCGTTCCAACGAAGAGCCGCGGCTGAAAGCGGGTGATGCAGGGCCAGGACCGATCGGTGCTGGTGACATCGCAGGAGAGAAGGGTGTCTCATTCCTGAGCGAAGCTTGCCGTTGTAATTTCTTGACTTCAACAGGAGCAGGGACTTCATCTTCCTCCGATAATTGTGGTTCGTCCTTCCTGCTCAATGAATCGAACTGAGCTTTCCATATCCGCTCGATCTCGGATTTATAAATCTGCTGCTGTTCGGCAACATTATAACGGTGCGCGGACTTCGGTCTATTATCTGCCTCGGCTGACGAAAAAATATGGTTTAGTTGGCTCTGTGGCGCAAGAGAATAATCAAACTTACCAAGCTTCTGTTCATAATCTTCGCCTGCTTTCACAAAAATATCCTTCATGGAGATGCGGATGAAGCTAAAGGCTTCTCCGCGCCCAGTAGGGTCACCTTCACCATGCAACCGAAGCATGGCTTTAGCCTGGGTAGCAAACAGGAAATTCTTTGTCGTGATCCAAGGAGCCAGTTGTTGTTCAACGGAAAGCTTCGTCTCGCCTTCGTCATCCTCCGCAGTTTCAGCGGTTTGAGTATAGCCAGAGTCTTGGAGATGGCGTTGCCCGACTTGCATGCTCTCCATCAACACGACTTGCTCGGGACCTACCATCTTCAGCATATCCGCATCACTAGGGATGGTTACGGTAGATTTGAGACGCCAAAAACCTTGATGAGGACCGCGTCTGTGATATTCCATGAACTCCTTTAGCCTTTGCCGCATCTGGAGTTCATTTTGATCGGGAAAGTACTTCATCAATCTTGATATTTTTAGCCGCTCCTCACTGCTCTTCTTCAGGAGTTTGAAGGCAATTATTTGTAAGCGATACTTGATGGTGTTGGTGATCTTCCGAGAGTGCGGCCCTGGTACCTCGGTAACAGGGTACGTCTGCCCGATCACGAACAGGTTCTTGATCTCACGCAAGTAGTATCGTGTCTCGCCTTTTGTGGTGCTCCTAATACTCAATTAATAAATTTATATCGGTGAAATTGGGGGACCATACCTAACAGCCAGGAAGTCTGTGGGATAGGATTTGTGGCGGAAAAGTGGCGCCCGCACGAGATTGTTGTACAGTGCCGGGAATGTTTGGCCAGGATAGACATAGCCAAACTTCATGAAAGGCGACTCATCTTGTGGCTCGAGGACAAACGGTACCCCAAGGTCAAGCTTGATGAGTCAATTCAATTAAGTGTCCTGATTTATCTCATCGTTTGATCCCTACCTTCGGCATGTAGTCGTCCTTCTCGTCTTTCTTACGATAGTAGTTTACCAGCGCGCTACCCATACCGAAGTTTGGCACAATTGGCGGATGTTCTTCCTAAAGGATTTCTCGCTATATCCGATTCCATCAGGCAAGAGACAAAGAAGACTCACGGAATACTCCCATAGGACGAAATTACTGGTGTCCTTGAGGCTCAAGTCGGTCGTGCGATGTAATCCCTCACCGATATTGCCACCCTTACCGACCTTGCGGCCCGCTTTGTCCTTTTTCTTCTTCGCCGTGCGCACCTTGCTAAAGCGGATATCAATATTGGTTGGAAACTGTAAGGCGGGCCGGTGGAAGGAGCGGGCTTCCTGCTTTGAAAGCCTCGTCTTGTACTGATCGAGAAGATACATGAGAAGATCACTACAGTCAATGCTGAAATCAATTTACGCACAAATGGAAGTTGGAGCTTCTGAGCGGGATAGGCATGCTCGACAACAAGTTGTCCAAATGTCTGGCGCACACGGTGACGGCCACCTTCTTTCGACACCTCGTAAAAGTGGTCGTTAGACAGGTTAAATTTATCGCGGATTTGAGCATCATGTGCTCTAATGCGCTTTTTCGGTCTGACGGTCTCTACAAGTAAATGCCACCGCATATTAACAAAAGTGCCCGTCACAACAGTGAGGTAAAAGAACTACCTTGAGGATGCTCTTCTGCGATATCTTCTTCGTTAAGTTCTAGTTGAATGAAATCGCGGAAAGGGGCATTTCGGCTCCAGATAATGCTCTGCGTCCAAGCACCCGACTCCAGAGCTTTGTTGACCGGAGTAGTGAGATTATTATCTTCCAGGGTGGACAGCGTGGCCGTGTGGCTTGGCCCATACACAATCTCATCCTCCCAATTAGATAGCAGCACCAAATCAAAACTTCTGTCGTGCAAAGGAAGAGTGACGGGCACGTCTGATTTTTCCCGTTCCTACGCGTGATGAGGGATTAAAAGGAACACTCGAAATTGTCACTCACCTCGAGAGCACGCAGCAAGTCATGTTCGATGCTGCCCGCGGACATGACCTCCTCCACGCGCTTGTTCTCGACCTGCCGCTTGGTATCACCGACTACGGTATCAAGGAAACCTCTTGGAATATCGCGTTTCCGGGGGTAGATACTCTCAGCTATACAACGGTTAATATCCTTGAAAATTCTGTAGTATAATTCATACCCTGTAAAGGCCTCTTTGTTATCCTTGATTTCTTGACTGTGTACCCTTTGAACAACTCTGAGAAGTCAAGGACCTTGTCCTTCTCGAAGGCTGGAAAGCGTTCATAAACGGTCTTTGGCCTCTCCACCAGCCGCTTCACTACCCTAACGCGCTTCTCCATAGGACGCATGCCAATAGGGGATTGAACCTCCATTTTGACAAAGTCTTCCGGCATTTCGGTTTCAAACTCCTTGTCCACTTCATCCTCGAAGTCCTCTCCCTGATCTGCACCGACGGCGTCGTCGTCCCACTTGTCGTTGTAAATCTGTTTAACGTCCAAGGAAGTCAACCCGGAAATACCAAGGCTGTTGGGAAGATCGCCTGTAGAGAGGGATAGGCCTGACAGAACACTATTCAAAGAGAATCCTGTCAGTGTTGAAATCACTGAATCTTCATCCTGTATCCGCTGTGAAAAGCCACTTGCTAATGCATAGACCCGAGACTCACTTGGTTTGCCATGTCCTTCGATGACTGCTTGTGCGGATACTACTGTATAGAATATCCTTTCTTTATGGGTAAACCGACGAACTTCGTGAGTATTTCGACAGACGTAGCACACTTTGGGCAGACGTCGTACGAAACCCGGTGGAGACGAGAGTACTTACTACTAAGTAGTATCTTAAAGTAGCATTGACTTGAAGCTGCTTACAAATATTGCTGACATGAAAGGCAATTTCGCCAGCGCCTAGCACGTCCTTCATGATTTTGACCACCATGTCCATGAGTAAAGAGGTTGCCAAAAGTATTGAGGTAAGCACAACCAGCTGCAACTGTGATGCGTGTCGAATACAAAACACATGATATATAGGACTTCCGTGCAAAGGTCGCAGAGGCTGCAGAAGGCATCGTCTTCCGCGTGTTCCCAAACAAGGCGAGCTGCTTGCTGTGTTCTCTCTGACCTGTTGCTCATGTTCATTGTAGATAATGCATGTTATGATTTCTTCTGCTTTATTACCCCTTTGCTCACCTATATACAGTGAACTTACGAGCCTGATCGAGTCTACGAATGCTGATGATTCACCCTACCAAATGTCTCAAGCAGCTGCATCCACAGACGCTACAATCTACCCTCCACCGTCATCAACAGAGAAAAATGGACCATCATCTAACAAGCGTAGGCGCAATGAAGACGGAAGTGCCGCGCCGGCCCATCTCAACGAGACCGTCAACGCAAGATACCCAGAACTTGTGCACACCAACAAACTCATTTTGAAGCTGCATGAGACTGTCAAATTAGAGTGTGCACAATTGTCCGACTCTTGTGTATGTATCCGGCTGTTCATCTGGGCATTTTTGACCATACATAATCCAATAGGACAAAGTCAAATTATGGGTGAACCTGACCATGCCCAAGTACGTGCTATTCGACATCTCTTATTATCTGTATTGACACGAGATTCAGGATTGAAGAGTGAGCTCGTTTCCCTTCCAGTAGGCCGCTTTTTGACGTCTTCCCTCGAACAGTGGTGACAACTTCGGTGAGTTAAATCTATAGGTCTTATTTGTGGTGGCTCAACTGAAATCGTCCGACACCTAAGGTGTTCAAATCCAAGAGGGTAAGTTATCATAGATTGACCCTGCTGTCATTGGTCTGATACTCTTTCAGAGGTTCTTAGCGAACTTCTTCGTTCGCAGGAAAGCGCGTATAACATACGCGATGCTGCTCGCCAACATCATCTAGCAAGAGCAAAGATTTGCTCCAAACTCATCAAGTACCCCCACTTAGAAGACTACACAGTACGTGCCTCTTGTGTAATATATTCTTGAACCGCTAATGGGACTATTGTTCAGCTGGGCTTGAAAGAACATGATGAGAAGCAATTTTTCTTTACTCGCCAGAACCTCATAGACATTCGCAATGTCTATGCTGTCCTCACTGATATCCTGCATAAAAACATTGCCAAGGCAGGTTTTCCGCATCACTCCTTCGTTCTCTCCGCTCATATTGTGTGTAGATTCGGGCACCCAAGGGAAACAATGGTGTCGGACTATACTGATGCATAGACGTCCTGGGACTAGTACTCTTACAGTATCCATTCTGATAATTACAAGGAGTCATTGATATTTCGGTTAAAGTGTTCCTCCTGTTAGCCAGTGACATCTATTATAAATTCCAGGTATGTGACTTCAAAGTTCTACTTTTTCATCAGTTTGGTGGCAATAACGGCCTGTATTGCCTCCGGCGCACAATTACACTGATATCGTTTTGAAGATGTTGAATCCATCAAGTGCAGTGCTCAAAATTGCACCTGGAATCTGTGGGTGCCAGTGAACTTCCTTGACATCCTTTTGACCTTGATGGACAAAGAGGAGTTGTGGCGGGACGTCTCGTGCACTATCAGGTGCATCATTCATCAGCGTCCCTATTTCGTCATCGTCTGGTTCGACCCCAAGATCCCAAAGGGTCACCTGGTCGTCTGCACCAGACGCAGCGAATATCGAGTCTTCGGTCGGGTGCCACTCGATAGAGGTTATGGGGGCGGTGTGCCATTTAAAAGAGGCAACGGGGCTAGGTACCACTGTTGTCCTTGACGATCTGTGAGCATGGGCATAACATACAATCTGACCTGGACGTACCCTTTCTTTTGGACATTGCGTAAGTCCCAAACCTTTATTCCGCCTTCATCGCCACCACTAAGAAGGAGGTAACTAGTACTTCGATTCCAGCTAATGACATTCACATCACTCTCATGCGCTGGCTCGATTCCAGCCACACTTCGCCGTCCTTTACTCCGCACGTCCCAAATCTGCACGCTGCAGTCCGCAGAGCATGACGCAAAAACGGTGGGCTCGGATGGGCTCCACTGCAAGTCTTCAACACTGGAGGTATGTGACGTGAACGGCTGAGAAAGGGCGTTGAATCCCGATGGTGTGGTTGTCGTCAAGTATATCTTCGAGTGCACGTCTCCAGTGAGTAGACGTAGTGATGAGGGATTTGCATTTCCTGATGAAGCCCAGTCCATTGCAAATCCTTCGGCGCGACCATGCGAGTTGATGGTGAAAGCTGGTTTGTTAGTTCTCGACTTGTCCCATGAGTACCCCGGAACGTCAAGAGACTCGATCAGCGGCCTAATGTCCCATATATGAACTTTGCCGTTGTCGGCCCATGTTGCGGTAAAGTAGGGCTGTGATGCTGGAGGTAGAGGCGATGATGGAGGTAAGGGTTGGGCACGAATGCGGTTTACACCACCGTGATGAGGTACTGAGCGGAATTCCAGTATAGCGTCTTCATCGAGTGCATCGTCATCCTCCTCGTCCGAATCTGAATCATCTGCACATGTCGATTTATGAGAATCGATCGGCGAAAACGTGTGATCATAAATTACCTCCATCTTTTTGCGTTCGATGTAGTGAGCTCATTTTGAAGACTGAGAGCTCGTTTTTGCTTGCTTGATCTGCTTGTGTTCCAGCGACAAGGTATGCAGTTGCTGGATAACGCTGCCGCTCGTCCCCCAGACTGTCCCGGAGGACGTCGAATGACAAACAAGGCCATGTCACATTCATTGAATGGCGCATGATATACACTGAGTCATCGGGCTCCAGTATCTCGTCCTTTCCAAGGACATGCGTTCCGGGAATAAATGCCTCTGGAGCAGGAGGCAATTCTTCAGATTCTTCGATGGCGGGCATGACTTCATCGACATCCATCCCTAAACAACATTGACTGTGAGTTCTACTCCGAATCGACATGAAAAGCAATATCACGCACCATCTTCGCCGTCGCCGGCCTCTCCATCAACCACCTCCTCTTCGGATTCGATTTCATCCTCCCAAGCATCCTCGAACTCACCGATATCATTTACTTCATTCTCATCACGCTTAGCCCCACTTCCGGAGGCCTTCGCGAATGCTTGGCCGTCTGTCGCCCTGTCAGATGCACTTCGTTTAGACATCTCGGATTGAGAGTGCTTTCCTCGTAGATACTACACAGATCACAAAATTATCGAGCACGTGGTCAAACTGTCTTGATTACATAAGTAATTTTTGATGATACAATACAACAACTTCAGGAATCATTAATCAGGACTGCCAACTTGTACAGTACTACTTATACTGACAGGCCACACAGGTACTCGTACAAACGATCCGTGCAGCTGCGCACTGGTGTATCTTTAAAACAGTGCCTGATCGGTTACTGATCGGGGTCCGGTATACACTTTGCGCGTCCTCCCGGCAAGCCTAACGACGGCCTTACAAACATTGATCACTCCATATCATCATGCCGAGCGCTGATGGTGACCTGGCATTACATCATTGCATCTCGGGAATTATCAATCGTTCGCTAAGCCAAAGGACACGTAGGTATCATACAGGACGACGCGCGTACCCAAGTACGTGTATCCTGGGTGCCCCTGCAGGTCTGAAGTACTGTGGTGGCTTACTATAAATACAAACCACGGTTCAGCATGACAATCTTAATAAACTGCACTTCGAACTACTTCTACAAGCAATAATGTCTCTACCTGAAGGGTGCGTCGGCTGACTAACTACCATACTCTTTTTAATGACTTCATTTGGCATAGCTATGGATACATCCCGAGCTCATTGATTACCATAGGGTGGGTCCTTGTCTGGCAGGGCATCATGGTTGGAAGATACCGCAAGAAAGCAGGGATCGAGTATCCTCAACGTGCGTCCAAGTGACTTCTTGCTCGGTCTAGACTCTTAGATACTCTTCGCCGCAGCGTATGCCGAGCAAGCTCAGGTTAAAGATTCCTCTGCAGCCCTCCGTTTTAACTGCATGCAGCGTATGTTTTCTCTAAATTCGTAGTTGCATGGCTTTTGATTCACCCCTTTCCTAGGTGCACACCAAAACACGCTTGAATCGGCACCCGTGGTATTTGTTTCGTAAGTCTGCATTGCATTTGAGGAGAAAGTGACATAGAACAGAGGTTGTCATCAGAACTGTTGTGGCGGGTCTGAAATACCCTACGCTAGCTGCTGCCATATGTGTTGCATTTTCCTTCGCGCGCGTCGTTTATACGATTGGATACAAGTCGGGCCAACCAAAGAGGGTCTGTTGTTCCGTCTTGTCATGATACTCGACATTATCTCAATTGTTTTCACAGCGGATTTATGGAACTGTGCTCAGCGGTTTGTCAGTGCTTGGTAAGTGGCATCATCATCTTTGTCTTGTCTTCCCCTCTCTTATCGTGTCTCTTTAGGGCTATTGTCGACCGCTACATACGCTGCTTACCAGCTCGTTCCGCCGTGTTAATGTGGATGACATAAATCACATTGTGATTAGTTTATCACACTGAGACTCAATTCATGAAGTTTGCCTCACGAAAGATGATCAAAAACCAGCACGTTCTTCATTCATAATTCCTTCTTGGCGAGCTCCTCGATCCGTGGCCTTTTCCATGAGGCGCACTGCATGTGGTACATGTATCTCCCCCGTGCTGTGTGCACTAACGCGCGAAACAATTCACCCGTCTGTGACGATATGATGACTGGCGGAAAGTGGATGACCTTGCCATTCACATGCTTGCAACAGCTAAATACTAGTGTCGCGCTGACAACTCATGCTACAGGTTGCTACGAGAGCTAACCGCAATGTTTCGTTGAAGTTCATTGTTATTCTGAGTGAATCACCCGCGGCGTCGGCCGAACATTCATTTTGTCCTCCTGGGTGATAGTAATACATATCGGTTATTATCCACGAAGTCGGCTTTTGCCTTATCAAAGCAACAAAGTATGTAACATAATGAGAATGCCCCTGTGGATTTGGTAACTGTTGAAAGGCTACAACGTTGTCATTCATCTACTGTGCTCGTTAGCTTTTCCTTCCTCAATCATGTCCGAATCATCTCATCGTCTGTCCTTCCCAACCTCGTCTGAAGAGTTTGCGCTCCCATCAACGTCGAGCGCGGCATCTTCGACATCAGCCGACGATGTTTTGTCGAATCCACTGTTCTTGAGACTGCGACGACCGACATTACTCAACAAATCGTCGTACTATTCAGACAAAAGAATACAAAGTCCATTGGCAATTTCGTTCACTGTGCCCTCTAGAAGACGAGGGAGCAATGGCGAAGAATCAGAAAGCGACCGAGAGAGAATGTGGTCTGAAAGCTCTCCATCAAGCAGCTCGGGAAATCCAACACCCCCAATTACTCTTCCACTAGAAGGAGATGACGAAAGCAACGTTAGCACATGCAGCGGTGGACCCAGTCCCTCAACGCCGCCACCAAGTCGTAGTCTAAGCACCAATGCACTACCAGCCGATGCTGTAGACACGCCTATCCCAATATTGCGCCGTCCCACCTATCCAGTGAGTGCTATGCTGCATAGTTGTTATTCCATGCTAATATTAATATCTCATGCAGCTGAAACCTCCGCGCATATTGAATCTGCTAGCAGAACCACGTCCAGAAGAGGACGAACTTCAATCCGAGGCAGCTTTCCAACGCCTGTTGGCATCGTACTCCGACCTCCCCTCGCAACCTCGCACACCTCGTGCACCCTCAGACCGTGGTCGCTACCCTGAAGAAGTTTGCCACGAGGATTCGCACGAGGATCCTTTGAGTGACGATGATGACGATGACGACGTCCAGGGTCTCTTTGCTTTTGACGCACAGAACGAATCAACCAACGTGAAGCCTTGTACCCCTGCTCAGAGTGTAAATGGGGATGATTTGAACATGTCTCTGGCAGAAAGCCCGATGGGAGTAGCCATGGATGTAGATCCTGTATGTTTCCACTATCTCATTTGTTATCTCTTCCTAACCGCCGGACAGCCTACGGTATCTCCCTCCATCACTTCCACGCCCATGTCCATTCAATGGCGATACACGCCACCACCAACTACAAGCGCTGTCCGCTCGAACAAGCGTAAATGTAAGGTTTCCGCATATCATTTAGAAGTGTCACATTAACAACTCGTGGCAGTGGACGATCGATATGATCCATATCCTACATCTGCGAAACGCCGTGCTGTATCGCCTTCCATATCGTACTTGCGAGAAACACACCCTTCACTCGTGTCGTACCCTCGGACACCTAGTTCCAGGCCTCCAGTCCCGATTCCTCTTTCTATCCCTCCATCCAGTTCTAGTGCTTCTGCCACCTCATCGCCCACCGTCACGTCTAGTTACCCCTTCCAACCTTACCCGAGTTCACGGCAGGTGAACCTAGGAACCATGAGCTTATCTTCCAGCCCCGTACTTCGGCCTTCTTTAGGGCTTGTGAGTCCGATCTTACGGCCGATTCTGCGAACGCGGAGAGGAGCTGATGGCGAGGAAAGAGAAATCGAGGGCGCAGGCGAAGCCGTGAATGGATTATCACTAGGCTGAGTGACCAGTAAAGGGGGCACCTTAAGTGGGATGCAGAATAGTAATCCTGCTTTGCTTTATCTCCATTTACTGGTCTGGCTTGGCAAGTTGCGCGAACTTCGCGGGCATTTTGCTTCCACGCACGCTCGAATCGGACTGCTTAGCAGGGTGTTTGAAGCCCTTCGTTCCATACCATCCGACTGATGGGCTGATCTCACTACGAAGCTGTCCCGCATTGCGCAATTACCTTTGTAAATTAGTTCAAGGTAAGGTGTCTCTCACGCATTTGACACTACGTATAACGTCACGTGATACAATTGGAATCTTCTCTCGCCACAATATGTGCTTTTTATATCTAATCTTCCGTCTATTCGCTTCAAGCGAACCCGGTAGGAACGTGCCACCTCTCAAAAGACGCGCCCAGGGTCAGATATAAATATGTCCCCAACTCCCAAGCTCACCAAACGCCAGAAAAAGGGTTTAGCTTTCCGCGAGGGCAAAGGCAAAGCAAAAAAGCAAGAAGACTTGGAGCACGATGTCCCTATTCTCGAACTTCAGGACCTTTTTGAAGGTCGGGCTAGCAGTGAGGAGGGTGGGGAGGTCGTTCAAGGCGCTCAAAAGAGTGTTGGGGGGAAAGGAAAAGGAAGGGAAGAGGTCGTGGTTCAGAAGGACGGAGAGAAAAAAGGGCTGGTGGTGGCAACGAAAAAGAGAAAGAGGGAAGTTGCGGAAGATGCACAAGGAACCGGAGATCTAGAGGGAGAGGACGGGCAGTTGGGGGGGCGGAAAGTTAAGAGAACAAAGAGAGATGCCAGGACTGTTCCAGAGGATGCAGAGGAAGCTGAGCAGGCAGAGTCGAAAACTGAAAAATCAAAACAACGTTTTATTCTGTTTCTTGGTATGATCGAGCATTCTGAGCAGTCCCTCCGTTCACTGACGCCTTGACCTCAGGAAATCTTAAATATACCACCACCTTAGAATCAATACAAGCTCACTTCGCGGCATGTGGTAAGTCATCGTAGTAATCTGTAGCACACAAGGAGGTTTTAACATCGACGCTCAGATCCACCACCCACTGTCCGTTTACTAGCACCTAAACCAACTACCAATAAACCTCCTTCAAGACCCACGATCAAATCCAAGGGATGCGCTTTTCTCGAATTCAAGCATCGCAATGCTCTTCAGCAGGGCCTCAAGCTCCACCATTCCAGTTTAGATGGTCGCCAGATCAATGTTGAACTTACTGCTGGTGGCGGCGGCAAGAGCGAAGTGAGGCTGTCGAAATTGAAGCAGCGGAACAAGGAGTTGGAGAGTCAGCGAGTGAGCCATATTTCCAGCGTAGTTTACTTGGTGCTAAGCAACTTAATTGTACAGCAAAAACAACTCCAGAAGAAAGCCAAGTCAAAAGGTGAAGAGCCAGCGTCTGGGATGGACGGAACAAAGAGATTCTCCACAACATCAGGCGCCGATCAGGAGGTGCAGAAAAAGCGGACATGGACGGTCGGTGACACGGAAGACACTACGACACATCGCGGGGGAAAGAAACACGCGAAGGCTGGTAAAGCACGGCGGACCAAAAGCAAAGATTGGGGTACTGGCGTCAATGCTATCCCTGTTGGCTGAAGTTTCATTCTGTAGAGCATTCTATGACTCCTTGCTATGCTGTTGGATATTAAATTACGTTATGAATATCGTCCCAGTAAATATGTGACAAAACGGCGCTCAGCGTCCAATCACGAGACAAGAATGAAGATAAGGAACTAGTAAAGAGTTTAGAATTTGCATGCCTGTATTTCTCGAAAAAGAGAAACTCACGAAAACGATCAACACGCCAAAGACCTTGAGCATCAGCCAGCGATTGCTCGAAATGCTCGCATAATACTTGAGTAATTCTCTCTGCGCACCACTCACATTCGACGCGATGTCCACGGTGTCTGCGTCAATACGTTGTACTGTTTCTCGTTGCTCGGCAACCATATTAGCCAGCTGAGTGAATATTTGTCCTAGTTCTGCAATTGTCGATTCGATGGATTCTATGGCTGTTGATCTCGATTGGATATACGAGTCCTAGAAGTCCCTCAGTATAATGTTCAATTGAGCAGCATTCAATCGAATCACCTGTTGTTCGATTTGCTGCATTTGCATGAATGCATTGCCACCGTGCTTTGTAGAGCCTTCCTCGGCTGAATCAAGGTCCAATGCGAGAACGTCTTCATTTTGAAAGGCTCGGCCCTTGCCTTTGGAGTTAGGTCGGCTTCCGTCACCCATAGGGTCCTGTCTCCCGTTTAGAAGTAGCGAACCTGATAGGCACATTGGTCGTGAGCTTGTTTATGTGCCAATGGTGACTTACTCGGTGGAGCCTGGTGGGTTGCAGCTGCCGTAGAGAACATGAACTGCTCTGTACGATCTTTGCTTTCTTTCATGTTCTAGAACTACATTTAGCCTGAGTTGCAGTGATGTGGTTTAGCGGCTCACTTGTGTCCTAACTTCTAGGACATCCTTGAAACTCATGCTTGTATTTGCCAGCTTGCTCTGCAGCATCATGACGACATTGTGGTTGTGTTCCTCAATCTGTTTCCCCTCTGAAGATTTCGATGCTTGTGCGTTCCTTTGCTTAACATAGGATTGTAGAGCGGCTATTTGCCTGTTTATGTTTGCAATGTCTTGTTTGATGATAAATGTAAGTTCCTGGAAGACCCACGTTAGCGTACTGCGGACATGTCGGTGAGCAAGCATACACTAATCTCCACTGGCCTGTCGTCAAACAGTGTCTTCCGTTTCGCGACTAGAAGCTGGTCAATAAACGGGAAGTGAACGATGAGACTTTACACTTACGCTGCGCAAGTTTTCCTAGCTTTATGGTAGTGCTACTAATGTCTTTGCCAATGGCAGAGGCCATGCGCGAGAATTCGCTTTTTGCTTGTCCATTGCTGTGTGATTGAAGCAGCTTCTGTTTTACCTCAGCGGTTCGAGGTGGTACAGCGGACCTGTTTCGTATGGACTCGACGCATGAACGAAACTCGTGTGTTCTGTCTTGTATTGCCATGGCGGCTGAAAAGAACTTGTGTCTATAAAGAGAAGAATAAAGTATTAAATATAAATGATGAGTGCCAGTGGTCAGTGGTATATGCCCGACTTGGTTGGACGAAGGGCAAGTTGTAAACACGGGCTGCGGCCGGCAATTTATGTAAGCACTAGGACCAGGCCGGGCCATGACCTTTTGGGTGTCATACTACTTACTCTGTTACCTTATGCAACTCGACTAATTCTTTTATCAAAGTATCGGAATCAAGTACTTAGTCAGTTGTATATGCTGCGTTATATTGCCATTCGACGTAATAACATCGTCAAGAGCAAGGCATATCTAGGAGCTAGTGCTGTCCTCTACTCTCGTCATACCCTTTTCTCCAGGTGCAGCACTCACTCCACCTCCCTCTCCATTGCGAAGTTTACCATGCTGTCATTGCCCTCGACCCCACCCCCAAAGTCAAAAATTCTCGTCTTTGGAGCAGGCAATTTTGGAAGCTGTTTGGCGGACCATCTTGGAAACTCGGACCATGAAGTATTCATGTGGTCTCGGGAAGCTCGTTTTGTGGAATACTTTAACAAGCATCAGCGGAACCCAGACTACCTGAAAGATCACGAATTCTCAACGAATATTCGCGTTGTTGGCCCAGAGATACCCAGCAAGGAGATGATGAAACAGATGGACGTTTTACTTTTTGCAATACCAACGCAAGGCGTCAGGTGAATTTCTCGTGGACCTGTCCGATTTCGTAGTTTATTTAGGGTCGGAACCAACAGAGAAACACTCATCAAACTACAACACAGCCTAGACCGCGCAAACTTGCCTTTGATGATTTTTGTCAACAAAGGTATTGAAACAGACACGCAGGCACTAACACTCGAGATCATCGCTGATACTTGCGGAAGTGAGATTGCCCGCGCGGCAACTTTTATTGTAAGCGTTGTCTTCTCTGCTGATCTCCGTACTCGTGACTCTGGTAGTCTGGACCGTCGTTTGCAAAGGAAAGTACGTTCAGATTTTGAAATGAATCATGACTCCTCCTGAGAAGATCCCCAAGTTGTTCGCAGGCAGCCGACTTCCGTTTCTGTTGCATCTCTAACAGAATCGCAAGCAAAGAAAGCGTCAGAGATATTTCATCAGCCGTGGTTCCGGTGGTAAGATTTACACTATTCCAATCCTGGCGTTCTGGTTCAAGGTGCCCCGCAGTTACACTGGATCTGATCCGATAGGGTTAGAACTTGCAGGCGCCCTTAAAAACGTTTACGCTATCGCCACAGGCCTCGCCGATGGACTCGGATTCGAGAATAACACGAGAGCCGGTAGGTTTGTTACATTCTCCAAATCAGAATCAGAAGCTTACTTATAGTTGAATGGCAAGGCCTCATTACTCGTGGCCTCGCGGAAATGACGCGAATCGGAACCGCGTACGGAGCGTCACCATTGACGTTCTTAGGGCTTGCCGGTGTGGGAGACCTGTTTCTTACGTGTAGTTCGCCGACCAGTCGTAATTACACCGTGGGCTATCGATTGGGTAAAGGAGAGCCGCTGGAAGATATTATCGAGACGCTTGGTAGTGTAGCTGAGGGAGTGACAACAGTGAAGGGATTGAAGAAGATCATCGATGAGATGCAAGTGTCCGCGCCTCTTGCCAATGGGGTGCGTAACGCGGTCTGCCCTATCTTTACTCTATCTTTCAGCTAAAACGATCACGCTTGCCCGATTGTAATCACAGATATATGCTCTTCTCTATGAAGGTGGGTGCAGATGGAGCCTGATATGCCTAATCTGAATGTCTCGTGCAGGAAAAGACCTGCATGAAGGTATACAAGAGTTGATGTGTCGCCCGCCGTCGCGTGAACTGGACCTGCCGGAGAAAGCAGGGGAGCCTGCCAAAAGGTTAATGCAGAAACTAGGATTGGACGCATGAACCTTTTCATATACATAGTTGGAGTGATTATTGAAAGTCTCGAGCAAGGCTCCCGTTTCCGTATGGCATGTGATCGTGACTTGATAACACGTCTTCCTGAAAAGGAACGTTACACCCGGTGCCTAGATCAATGACCCACGAGTCGACTATACATGCATACGTAGGTTCACGCGTAGAACGACTGACTATCCTCCAAGTACTCCCAATAATTTATTGATTGTAGCCAGATCTTCTACGAACCTGTCGTGAAGTGGTCCTACGGTGGATCAGGTGAATCAGAGGTGATTGGCAGGATTTCCTCACGTCATATTAATAATATATTGATTTTAAATTACGTAAGCGTATCCAAGTCAGTATTTTCACACGCATTTTTTTACATTTTTTGTAGGGGCGCGCACTCCGAAAGCCGATCCAAGCCAAAGTTGAGGTCGACGTGTCTAAGCCATCTTTTCTTCCTTTCGCTCAGTTTCTCAGATCTACCCTTGGTCCATTCTGCGTAGCCCTATTTGTTCTTTTTCTTCATCCATTAGATTCACTATAGGATTTGCGATATGGTCTCACAGCTCTGGACCGCTTGCTCTGAGGGAAACCTTGAAACAGTCCTTGGCATACTCAATGATGCATCTTCGGTCGATATCGAGATCAGAGGTATGTTGCTCGCATTTTTAATTTTATACTGCCACGCTCGTAGAATCTTAATGTCAATTCCTTTGTCTCCACCTGGAATTCTCTTATAGATCATACCGGGTCCACCCCCCTCATCGAAGCAGTCAAGAACGGACATGTTGATGTGGTGAAGGTGCTACTCGACCGAGGTAATATAATTCACGCGTCAAATTGCGATTATCTCATCGATTGTGTGATCAGGTGCCGATCCTTCTTTTGCATCTGTGCATGGTCGGCCAGAAATGTACACATCTGATGCTGCGATCTTGGAGCTCTTCAATAATGCCCAAAACAAGCCTGCGCCAAATGGTGTACCCGCACAAGAACAAGGCTACACCCAGGATTCGCTGGTTAACCCTGCGAAGCCCTACTATCCTGTCCCCGCTGGACCTTATGCTTATTACCCAGGCGTATCCCCTATGCCGACATTGCCCGATGGCTCTCCTGCGTATTATCCGCAGCCCCCCATGCAAATGGGTGAAAACGGAGGTTTTGGAAACCTTCCCCCGCCGGAAGTGGCACGCTTCATTCCTTGCAGATACTTCCCTGCTTGTCGTTACGGTTCTTCTTGTCTTTTTGCGCATCCTCAAGCTGGTCCGTATTATTCTGCTCCGCCGCCGCCCCCTGCACAATATCCCGCTCCTTACGATCCAATGACTCAACAACCTTATGCCCCTAATTATTACGCTGTACCCCCACCTGCATATCACCCACCAAGTTCGGTCCCTCCTCATATCAACCCCGCATCGCCTACCGCAGGTCCCGTTCATACTCCCCCACACCCACCGATAGTTCACACCAGATCTGGTTCAGAAGCGATATCGCCTGTCCAGGTCCCGTTCAGCCCCTCCGCTGGACCTGCACCGGTACCATATGGTGCTGTATCACCTGTATCACCATCGTACCCACCACCATCTCATGTACCTCTTCCCCTTTCTATCCCTTCGCTTCCGCCTCCCCACCAACCACCTAGTGCGCCAGGTCCGCAATCTCCGCAGACAGTATATCCGAATGGGCCGATTTCTGCACCTCCATTTGCTGTTCGTCAAGATCCTGCACCATATCAATCTCATGGCCCGCACCACCACCATGGGTTCAATGAAGCCAATGGTGGGCCAAAGCCACCTCATACTGAGGGCTTTAGCCACGGCCCAGTGTTCCGCCATGGTGTGAATCACAATCGCCGGGGTAGTATGAGGCGTGGGTCCTTAGGCGGAAGTCGTAAACCAGCCTGCCTCTTTTATCCTGCAGGCAGGTGCAGAAATGGGTGAGTCCTCCTGATTTCACTATTCATCGCTTTATATTTAATACAAAACTCAGCGATGACTGTCGTTTCCCTCATGTTCTTCCTGACGTTACGAATACTCAACCCCCTCATTTTAATGGGCGGGGACCACGTCCAAGGGATAACGCGCGGAATGGACCGAACGGTATCCCTACGATTGAGGAAAAAATGGCCAACTTGAACGTCCGAGAGGTATGATTATCCTTCTGATTTCAAGGTTTGCCCTGATTGGTTTATATGTTCTGTTCACAGGATGCCCAACCTCGCGTGAACGGCACTGCAGCTTCTAGTCGATCTCAATCGACGGACGGCAGCCGCTCGAGAGGAACGAAGTCCAATGGTCCGCCTCGAGCGGAGAAAAAAACTGCCTCAAAGCAGAGGGTTCCCAATGCAGATGAGTTCCCTGTACTTGGCGGTTCGACGAATTCGTCGAGAAGCTCCGTCAATGGGTCGTGCGGTCCGACAGCAGCACAAGTGCTTCAAGCGCCCGCGCCTGCCCGCAAAGATACTACAAAAGACCCAGCGACTCGTACTGCATCTCCAGAACAGAATTCTGTGAAAAACCAGGCTGTAAAGTTTGATTAACAGTAATTTTGTGTGCTGGACTGATTGGTTCTTAGGAACCGAAACCTGCTGGAGTCAATGGCGTACAACCTAATGGCACGCCTGCTACTGTCCCACCCCCTGCTAAGTTGCCCCTCTCTTTCGCAGCTGCAGCGACGGGTACCACGCCTGAAGTTGCAAAGGAGGTGTCTGTCTCTGCGTAAGACGGACTTATGTTTACATCTATGTCATCATCGGGTTTTGGCTTTACTTTAATGATATTTCTTGGTTCATTCATCCGACTCCATTTATTTATTCTTGCTACCATATCTTTTTTCCTTTCTGTTTCTGGATCTTTTCCGCATACACATTATCCATTGCCATGATTTCACACTTGTCTTTTTTTTCGTCTGGTCAATACAGCATTACAGCTTTTTCACTCGGTACCCTTGATATCTAGAAGAGTACGTTTTTTTCTCTCATTGTGCTCTTGTCTCGTTTATCTACTGGTGTTGATCTGCCTGCCGGGGTACACATACTATTTACATCTACTTTCGACTACTGTGACACTGACTCCCTCTCCCATCTCATCTCATGTCTTGCTCACATTCAGTATCAATATCGCAATGTTTTCATGCATACTGTACCTATGATCGAGACACCGTTCCACGAAAGTAAATAAAAGGCACTTTCGTGTCTCGTTTGTCGAGCAAATGCGGCTTGATGTGCTTGAATGTAGCTTCAACGTAAAAGGCAAACGACTTACTGATATTTAGACGAGTTGTCAAGCTCCACTTGTTCTTCCTACGTCTTCAGCGGTACATATAACCAAGCATTTTGCTATTGAGGACTCCAACACTCCAAATTCCTCATCTCAACCCCACTTTTATCCGTCACCTCACCAATTCGATAAACAGCAGCGTCAGCAGTCCCCCGCAAGACCTGCACAGCCCTATCCACATCCTCTCGCCCCACAATAAGCACCAACCCGATACCATTATTGAACGTACGAGCCATTTCCAAAGGGGCGATTCCCCCACGCTGCATCAGGAACCGGAACACAGGGGGAAGCTGCCAAGTCGACGCATCAATGAATGCACCCATTCCTTTTGGCAGCACCCGGGGGATGTTCTCGATAAAGCCACCCCCTGTAATGTGAGACATGCCTTTTAGAAATCCATGGTGTACAGCTGGGAGAACTTGCTTGACGTATATCCTAGTGGGCTCCAGAAGACTGAGGGCGAGAGTCTTTTGATCGTCCCACGGACATGCCGAGGAGTATGACAGGCCTATCATCTCGATGACTTTTCGAACGAGCGAGAACCCATTCGAGTGGATTCCAGAAGAAGCGATTCCGAGAAGGACGTCTCCTGGCATGATATCTGCCCGAGGGAGGATTGAACTGCGCTCGACTGCACCGACCGCGAAGCCTGCGAGGTCGTAATCGCCTGTTTGTTTGTTTTGTTATGACGAAGGGTGGATCCCGTGGGCGGAGAACGCTCTCACCGTCTTGGTACATCCCTGGCATCTCTGCCGTTTCACCACCGATCAAAGCACAGCCGGCTTGTTGGCAGCCCTGTGTGATACCCTTGATGACGTCCGCGGCAGTAGCGACATCTAGTTTGCTGCATCCGTAATAATCGAGGAAATAAAGCGGCTCGGCGCCCTGCACAAGCAGGTCGTTGACCGACATCGCAACCAGGTCGATTCCTGGGGATGGAGTTGACATATTTGATTAGCAGGTCAGATGTGACCCACTCACCGACCAGATGGTGGATACCGGCATCGACAGCGATACGAAGTTTCGTACCCACGCCGTCTGTCCCGCTGACCAGCACGGGATCTTTGTAGCCGGTTGCTTTGAGGTCAAAAATACCTCCAAAACCCCCTATTTCCACATCAGCACCGGAGCGCTTAGTGGCGCGCACATATGGTTTGATGGCTTCTACGAACGCGTTTCCGGCATCTACTGAGACGCCGGCCTGCGCATATGTCAGGCCGTCTGATGGAGCTTGACTTGATGATGTCAGTGCTCTACTATCTGTCAGCTGTAGTTATGATCCGATGGATGAGGTGCCTGCCTGTGTGCAATATCTCGCCTGTAGAACTTGCCCTCGAATGAGATTTTGTCGACAGTCGCATAAACTTGCGAAAGAGCTTGTTCCAGGGTTGGTGCGGAGCATGTTACTGCCATGACCCGGCCACCAGATGTGACCAGATCATTTCCGCTCATCGATGTTCCGCAATGGAACACCACCACATCTGAAACAAGAGGTTAATCGATCGCCCAAGATTAGCGAATAGAAAAGGCTATACCAGACGGGACCTCGCCCACTTGAATTGGCTTCCCCTTGGCATAGCTCTCGGGGTATCCCCCCGAAACGAGGATAACAGAGACTGAGAAGCCTGGACGCGTGTTGATCTGGACTGAATCGAGGTGACGTTCTGCACACGCCTGTTTGATAGGGGAATCAATAGCCTCTCGGAAAAGCTGATGATAGACGGACGCACGATAAGGACTGCAGCGAGATCGACATCGTCGCTCAGGAGCATCATGAGTGCCTCGGTTTCGGGGTCCCCGAAACGTACGTTGTATTCTAGGACCTTGGGCCCATCGGCAGTGAGCATGAAGCCTGTAAAGAGGAGGCCGACGAAAGGGAATCCTGAGGAGGGTGAGCGGGAGACGGGCTAGAAAAGGTATGGGATATACCTTCTTTGCGCATGCCGTCGATGGTAGGACGTAGAGACTCTGTCATGATACGATCCATAATCGCAGGTGTTGCGACAGGGGCAGGCGCATAGGCGCCCATGCCTCCAGTATTGAGGCCGGTGTCCCCCTCGGCAATACGCTTGTGATCTTGTGCGGCTGGTAAGGGTACGATAGTGTACCCATCAGAAAACGCGAGCACAGAGATCTCGGGACCTTCGAGAAGTTCCTCGATCACGATCTCATCACCTGCGAAATGGTATAATTATATCTATAGGCAGAGAAACGATAGGAACAAACCTGCTGATCCAAAGGCATTGTCTACCATGATGGATCGCAGACCTTGGAGAGCCTCATCAGTAGAGGAGGGAATGAGGACGCCCTTTCCGCCTGCAAGACCACTGGCTTTTAAGACGACAGGATGACCACATGTTTGAACGTAGTTGGTGGCGTCCTGGAGCTGAGAAGAAGAAAATGTTCTAAATTTGGCGGTGGGTATAGCATGACGGTGCATGAACGCCTTGGAGAAGGCTTTGGAGCCTTCCATCCTAGCTGCTAGCTGTGTGGGACCGAATACGGGTATGCCAACTGGATAAAAGATAAGTAGATGCAAGGCGATGACCGGGAGGGAAATAATGACCGTCACGAAAGCATTTTTCTACGCCAAGAACAAGAGGATCCTCTGGACCGGGTACTACGATATCGATCTAGTTGAATGAGAACCAGTATTAGATGAAATTGATAGGAAAATACCTTCTTGTTTACAGCCCAGTCTACGATATTCTTGTAAGGGTGGATGAGCGGAAGATCAAGATTTGAAGTTTTTTGATTTTTAGCGGATCCTGGATTACCAGGACATACGAATATATGTTTTACGATAGCAGACTGCGCAAGTTTCCATGCTAGAGCATGTTCTCTGCCTCCGCTGCCAAGAATCAAGATCTGCGTGCTCATCGCAAAGATGAAAGGATGATAAATATAAGGACCCCAATGAGGTGGAGTAGTGACAAGACTCAGACTCGATCATCAGTCTATCATGGCAAATTACAGAAATCCAGTCTTCTCAAGTGTTCTTGAACCATTTGAAGAGGTACAATAATCTCACTGAGAGGACCAAGTCGTCAGTTTGACCGGCTCACGGTTCTCTTTGTTCTCCCGTGTTACGAGATCGCTAATTTCTTTTTTCCCTTGTACTAGAGTCAAGGCGACGTCGGCGTGTTTGACCGTCGTCTAGTTGCAACAAACCCTTATGAAGAGCTCATGGAAGAACAATCTCAACCACAGCGTAAACTTTCAAGAAGATCTTCAAAAAATACATCAGGAAGGTCTTTATGGAATAGAAAATCCACAAAGAAGACCACCGCAGCTGTCTTGGCAGCAGCTACAGCCGCTGGACCTGCACTTAAACACCTGGACCTACAATCGTCTCAATCTCTAGTCTCCATGGACTCAAAACTCGCAAACGACACTTCAGACGAAGACCACGATTTTTCTACTCTCGTCTCTCGTTCAATAATACCAGATCCTTTGGGTGAACTACCAGCTTGGTTCAAGAAAGAGAACGACATGGCTGCTGCAAATACATCATCCTACAGGATAAAATATCCTTTGCATAATCCAACAGGTCCCAAGTGGTACAAGAACTACCACCTTATTCCCCCTGCTCAGCTCAATCCTGGTAATCGTCCTCCGTCCGTCTTTTCTCCTTCATTTCCACCAATGGCTTCTACTCTCAACGACCGTTCAGAGGACTCTATTCGCTTACCTGGCCCAAGCCGCACTCCCTCAGGCACTTCCCTTCAAACTCCCTCTTCCTCTCAGATTCGTATCCCAGAATCAGGTAGTAAACCTCGCAGCAGAAAAACTTCACAGGATAACGCCGATTTACTCGACGCCTCTGATCCCTGGGGTACTCACTGGCATCACCAGTCCCCGTACGATACAGGTACAAATATAAGTCCAGTCTCGGTTGACCCCCCCGAGGCAAGTGGCTTCTACTCTCGTAATTCATTCAACCTTATCTCTCTCTTCAGGCTCGCTCTCGTTCTCGTCTGTCAAGCATGAATGCTGCACCGACTCGTCGTAAGACAGTCACCCCATCTCCATTGTCGCAGTCTACATCTGCACTACACACACAAACATCTGAACCGAACATCACCCGTAAACTCAGTAAACGCCGAAAACCCGTGTTGGGCAACCTGTTCGGTGGACAGGATTCGTTGCAAGTGCCGGATACATCTGCGCGTCGTCACTCCGCTCTCCTTCCCACCTCTGTGCCTAATGCATCCACTGTAGCTCTATCAACGCATTCTTCAAAGAAGGAACGACGAACAAGTGTTCTAGGTCGACTGGTGAGGAAGTTCAGCATGTTGACCAAGTCTACTCAAGATGTGGGACCTACCATCAGCGAACGAGCAGAGGATGAGGGTGCTGCGCCTTCTGAGCCTCGCCGCTCCTTTTTCTCCCAACGACAACCTTCTCCAGAGAAGTCGTCAATGGAAAAAAAGCACTCGGATCTATCCAAGCGTGTACCGCCGCCACGGATAGATATCGACTTGCAGACAACGGATGGGCTGGGTCCTTCGACAGAATTGGAGCGCGAGATACCCGACCATCGCTCGTCTATCTCGTTGGAAGTGCCATTTTCGCCTGGACGGTTAACGATAGCAAACCCAGATTCGCCGAGTTCTGGAAGGACTACTCCGATTAGACAAAGCCTTGCGTTGCCACCTGAGGACCTGCCTCGCATAGATGTTTCGCCGCTACTACAGCCCGTGCAGCAACATCACGATGGGAACCCAAGCAGGGAGTCGGTGGTTCATCCCGGTGGCAAGACATCACCTGTCAAACACAAAAGCCACGCGCCCGCACCTTCAATTTCTGTTCCTGATGCGGTTCGCTCTCCTGCGAGCGTTCGGTCACTACCACCGCCATCCACCTATTACCGCCCCCCGTCTATTCCCTCGTTGTCAATGGGCGCGCCTTCCTTGTTGACCTCGCCCGTGGCACCCCCGGAGGTCAAAACATTCCATGCTTACTCCATCGCCACCACCGCCATTGTATCAACGTTGGATGACTCGCCCTTGTCCAGGGCATCAGTCCTGGTCAACCCACCTACGCCTCATAACCCCGATGAATTACACTCAGACCTTCCACCTGAATTACCCCAAATCCAGAGGGTACCGAGCAAGGCACCCTCACGGGAGAACTCTTCCGTCAAGAAGGGCGATGGGGAAGTACCTGTACGTGTGGCCAAGTCGAACTCCACAACGAGCCGGAAGACGGAGACGTTCAAGTTGATGCGGAACCCGTCTGATAAGGTTTCACCGTCTGATAATACTATCACTGCTGAGGGTGAGCAATGGACTGTTGTCAATTCCTCTGACGTTCCTCGCCGGAGGCGGACAAAGGAGAAGCCTGTAGAGAAGAGCGAGAGGGCGGAAAGGGTAGAGAAGCCATCGTCGCGGTCTTCAACGAATTACCGTGAGAGCGAGAGGGTCGAAAAGCCGTCGTCGCGGTCCTCGACGAGGGATCGTGAGAGCAGCAGGAGGGATCAGCGAAGGCAGGATAAAACTGCTCAGGACGCTGTCGAGAACCAGGGACGTGCGGGTAGTAGTAGTCAAGGTCGAACGAAACGGACAAAACCGGAAACAGCTGACTCCAGCTCCCTCTCGGGACGTCCTTCGCGAGCGCGTAGTCTTGACACCACCTCCCGTACGAGTGTTAGTCAGCCGATGGTGTTTACGCTTCAAGGCGAGCCACCTCGTCAACGCAAGAGTGATGACCGGCCACGCGACTCCTACCACCCAAAGCCCATCCGACCTGGTCCGAATCCTATTTCTGGAATCGCACATGTCGAACGCCTGCCCTCAAATGTAATTCGTCCAACCTCCGAACTCCCATCTGCCGCAGATATCAATGCCCTTCGCGCACGCGAGGCATGGGAAATGGATCGCTTATGGAAGGGCAGAAGCATGAATCACCAGGAGTCCAACGTGATTGCCTCGCCGTCCAGTCGCGATTCACCGCAGGTCAACGGAGAGTTCAGAGTAGATGCTTCTGGGCACGGTTCGAGTCACACGTCATACCTTGTTCAGCCGCTCCAAGCACATCCTATGCCCGCGAGCGTGTTCTATGCCAACATGCCTTCTGCGCCTCCCCCAATTATCTATACTGCCTCGTCTCCGTATGGACAGATGCTGCATCAGGCTTCCCATCAGTCTGTTTACCGATCCCTCCCCAACTCTTTCATGTTCCCTTCTTCAGAGCCTCCGGTAGATTCCCCGTCTCGCCAGAACCCTCTACCCCGTCCCCCACGTGAATCATCTTATCAACCCGCACACTTGTCAACGCTTGCAGATAGAGGTAGTGGAGCTTCCTCGGATTATTGGACGAACAAGTAACTTACCCACCCATTCCCTCACATTGATATATCACACCGCTCACGATCAAACATTTCAGCGTTCAGATACAAGTACTAATTCATACCGCAATTTGTTTTTTTCCCTTCCTTCAGTTCCCTCGGGACTTTGTGATTAGGCGGACATTTTTCCGATTCAGTTTGTCTCGCTACTCATTTATTATTGATTTGGACTGGAGATTAATTGAGCGCAATGCTTCGACTACTATTTGCAATATTCATGATTTCCGTCAGTGACTCTTTGCCAGAGGATGAAATGATTCAATTTCGCTATAAGTACAATTCGCTTTGAGCCTGATACAGGAGATATGCAAAGTGCGATTATGAGGGAGCTTGATGTGAACGTTATGCACATGAGCCAAACCAACAAACGAGACATGCCACAATCCAAAACCATCAAGAGTAAGTAAAAGTAAGTAAAGCAATAGAAAAGTGTACAAAGTTCACAGTTCCATCACGAGGGACCATACTGCCGATAGTCCAGCGGGAACTTGGGCACGGGGTAATCGTCCCATTGGCGTTCTCCATCGAGGAAGCGACGTAACCGCGCGACTTGCGATGAGAGGTACATCAAGATGATCTGCATCTCGATGTCGAGTTTGAGTTTGAGGATTTCTTCGCAGGTGCGGAGAGCTTGCGTGCGTGTTGTGACGAACATGTTGCCTCGGAACCCAAGCTCTTTCAGACTGTCGATCAGTTCTCCGAATTCGGAACACCACGCTAGTACGCCTAGCTGTTCTTGTGCGTCAGTATTGGGTTTGGGTTTGGAAGGGAAGGAGACTTACTTGGCCGTATTGCTTGTAACGACCGTAGAGAACGTTGGGTGCTGCTCCCAGTGCAAAACCGAATGCTTCGTTTTGCATGATGACGCTTTGTTCTGGGATGTATGGTTCGACCACAGGCGGGGGCTGCACAAGGCGTTAGTGTCTGACTTGGGGGTGGTGGTGATGGTAAGGACGTACCTCTGGCCTTGGAGGCGGCTCCTGGAACCACTGGTGTCCAGAGTAGTCCACTTCTCCACCAAAATCTACGTGCTCAGCGTTCTTCGCCGTGTAATCCATTATTCGACGATTAGGAGGAGGGCTGGTTTCAAGACGTAAAGTTTCGAGTAGTGTGGTGAGATCCTTTGGTAAAGGTATCGAATCAAGTGGAGCAGAGCCCTGTGCTTGAGAAGAAGGAGTGAAGATAGCGTGTAAATTGAAAGAGTTCTCGCTTTATCAGAACGAAGGTCAGCCAAAGCGTTTCAGGTGGCGTATGATGTGGACATACGATGGAAGTGGGGAAAGAGAAGTCGGGACGCTGAGATTGAGAGTGTTAGATGAGGGTGAGAACTGTTTTCGGGAAGACGATGATGGAGATAACTCCTGTGAATGCAGGTGATCGGAATCAGCGGAATGCCTAAGAGAAAATAAGAAACATTCCTTGCCTTGAACAGAGGGTTCAGAGACTGTCTATTCTCTTTGGATGACAAACGTCTAGAACCAGGGCTACTCAGACGAGTCTTCCGGGCAGCGATTGATTGGCGATGACGTTCTGCACTGATACGGCTGATCGTCGATAATCGATGGTATAATGCCGCAGAAGGTGAAGGTTGCGCCGATACGAAAGCAGAACTTGATATTATGCTGGAAGTGCCGGAATCGCTGGAAGAGGATTCTGCTATAGAACGCGGAGTTGCAAGTGAGTCCTGATCTACTTCAGGTGTCTCCAAATAAATATCGGTGACTACTTGCTGAAGACCAGGCTTGTAAGGTGATGCGGGTGCGTAAAGAGGTTGTGGTGAGGGAACCGGAAGGAAAGGTATCGGAACGGGTAAGGGTCTAGGGGAATCGGGAGCAAAAAGTGCAGAAGTAAAATATGTGCTGATCTCCGGAACTTTTAAGTGCTCCGAGTCTGTCAGCAGAGATATCCTTGAAGATGGAAAGATGGTGCGATAGTCGAATAGGTCACGGTTCTGTACGTTTCGACTGAGCCAAGAAGGGGACGGTGGAATGAATGATGTACGTGATGATGGGCTGAGAAGTGAGCTGGTAGCGAATGGTGATGGTGAGGCAGTAAACTCCGATGGATCAACACACGCGTGATCGATAACGGGAAACGGTTTCGCGACCTGCTCTGGATGTAAGGCGTTACTGGCAGGCGGTGGGATTGGAAGGGGTGCTGGTGACGATGATTCACCTGTTATAGCTGCCTTGCGAGCTAAAACGACAAGTGCGGCCTCAGAAAGGTTTGAAGAGTTCTCAGCTGCAGGCTCAATGACAAGATTCGAAGTGGAAGAATGGAGGGGTTCTGTGAATGCAGACTGAACAGAGAGCGACAGCGAGGTTGCTTTGCTTGATGCTCTCTTCCTACTTCTGATGGTATCACCGGACGAAACGTCTGAAGTGTGAGAGTTGAAAGGACCGTGCAATAACCTTGATAAAGACCCGAAGCGCTTCAATGAACCACTATCTTTACGACTGCTTCTGACGTCAAAGTCAAGCGCAGTAGCAGACGTAAATGGTCCGGATGTCTGAGTCGGAGTGCTGGAAAGTTCTGGATTTCCGTCAAGGTCGGAAGGCGAGTCAACGAGAGGAGGGCCGCGAAGAATGAACTCGTTTGTAAATGGAGGGGAGACACGAAGGGTAGAGCAAGTGTCGTCGAGTTCTTGATTGGCAGTGACAAGTGTCGAGCTCGTAAATGAGGATGTTGCGTACGCCGAAGCGATCGGAGTAGGTATGTGAGTTGGGGGTCTTGGGAATGCAAGATAGATGTCGGAGACTTCCGCTGCCCGATTGGACTGGACTGTTTGCCGACCGGAATTGAAAGCCGACAAGTGAAGGGACGCCTTGGATAAGTTTTTAAGGCGATATAAAGCGGATTTGGTACGTGAATGTGTTGGTGGTTTAGGAGGGGTGGATGGATCAGAGGAGGGTTTATTGCACGTTTCCCCAGTGGAAGGTTCTGGATTAGGACAAGCTAGAGGCTCGTCGTCGAGATGAATTGGAAGATCTTCTCGATTTACGAGTTCAAATTCCTCGGGGTCTTCACCTTGTAATTGCTGCTCCTGCTCTTGGGTAGTCTCTGGATGCTTCTTTGAAAAGAGACCTTGGTTACCTCGCCCTTTGAAAGTGCGGGAGAGTAAACGAGTTGGATCAAGAGTCTGAGCCGAGCTGCGCAAAGACCCTCGAAGGCCGCGAGGTAGTCTCGACTGGAAGTAGGTTGATGGCGACGTTGTATCTGCTCCAAGTCCTTGTGATATGGACTTGTAAGGAGAAGAGAATAAAGCCGGGAGGAGTGACCTTTGAAGAAAATCAGGCGCTGTGTCAGCGTGATTGTAACGTGGATTCCTGACGACTAGGAGGTGCAAAAGAGAAGCTACATCTGGTTCAATTACTTACCAGTCCTTGTCCTCGTGTTTTCTGTAAAACTTGTTAGTTTTCCGCTGACCTGCCTCGAGGCCACACAAACTATATGTGATCGGCACTCGGTATCAATTAGTTACATAAGCTTTGACCGTATCATCGCGTTGTACACTAGATTGAGTACGTTCAGAATCTTTAGATTATTACGCTGAAACTCACTCACGTCTACTAACCACCCGTGGACATCATGCTTCAGAAGTATCATCAGCAAGTACTGCCTCTGATAAGCTACTCATTATTTTCCGTCTCCACAGGGCGCTCATTTTGGCTCAAAATAGGTCTGATATTTTCATTCTGGCACTTACATACAGATTAATCAAAGCATGGGGCAATGCTGCCAGCAATGACGCCTTTTCTTTCTTGATCAGGAAAGACACGCCCAAGCCACCCAGAGCTTCAAGTCGTTCTCTTCCTAGACAACCTTTGGAGTTGAGCTGCGCATACTGATAGAAGGATTACAACCGCTTGCCTTGCATGCATTGTTATCACTGGCTATCAGCACCACCATGGTTCTCATACTGATAACGCACTGACATTGATAACGTTTTCTCGTAGTATCACAAGGCAAACGGTCGGGTTTCATGCACCGTGCTGCAGTAGATCGTGGTGTAAATTACTAGTACGTGATATCATGAATGACATCCATGTTAAGCTAGAAATGATTATTCAATAGTCCAATGCATTGGGTGACGCTAGACTCGAGTTTTCTGGCGGTAAGTCCGCCATGATACTCAAAGAACCCGTCTTCTTATATGTTCTGATCAGCTACGCAATATTTGCCGGTCTCAGACTGCTTCGACCAATCTGGCTCTAGCATCGTGACACTCAGGCTCCTCGATCAGAGCAAGGCAGCGTTTTCAACTTCTGATATCATGTATTATTCATAGAGATCCCCATCTAAACCCCAACTCGACTATTTCAATGTCCGAGTAGCTCCAACATGTCATATGTCCATCGGAGATGAGCTCACATGTCAGCTTGAGCGGATATTATTTTCACGTACGCCTTCTTCACGAGCCCCTCTGCTCTTCCGAGCATCTGCTGCAATGGCACTGCGTACTACGAAACCGCGGAAGCTCGGTTTCATGTCGTCAGGATGTCGCGTGACGACTACAGCGGCTTCGTGATCGTACGCTATACCGTTTACTTGCTCTTGGCAAACTCAGGGTTTTCTATAAGTCGGAATGTTCGAAACCAGCATCGCCCCTACACATGCTTAGGCCCAATAAGACGTCCGAGATCCGGATCATATCTACAATATCAGAAACCCTTCTAACAAATGGAGCGCACGACTTTTTCGTATTGGATAACCCCTGTAGATGCTTTGCAGGCACGCCTTACAGCTGCGGAGATCTAGCAACGTGCGGCCCCAGGCGAGGTCGGAGAATGAAGCAAGTCCCAAAACATCCGATTAAATTTGAAGGTACCCAGGCCGGCAGACACCTCGGTGTTGTGTGCTGCGCTGATCGGATAGACATCACTGCAAGCGAGAAATGTATGCGAGGAGTAATTAGGACCAGAACGGGTGGAATAGTATCATGATCGTCCCTTGTTGTGGGCATCTCCTGATTCAGCTCCAAGACATCAATCATTTTCATTGTTTCATCTGAGCGAGGAAAGCAAACAGCTGATATAAAGACTTGTGTTCGTGTTAGACAGGATGACAGACGCTGGTAGCTATAAGTACACAGAACAAGCCGAACAAGAAATCAAACAAAAAAACGACTTGTCATTCACGACAACTGCAGGGAAGATCAGTGCAGTAAGCTCTGCCTCTCACCCGGTACTGCAACATCAATCAGACTCTCTTGATCCCTTTGTCTACCAGGGAGGAGACGCCGCAAGAGCGGCACTGCTTGCAGGACCGAACGGCTACCGGAGAGGCTACCGGAAAGTGCCGGCAGATGCCAAACAACTGAGCTTCCGCCCATGATCGCGACCAACAAAACGAGCACACCGAAGTCTCCAACCACGGCATAGACAGTCCTCCTTTGGTCGAATGGGAACTGCAAGCCGATAGTGCGAGTCCACGATCCGGAGCCAAGTTGCATAATCTCCGAAATGCCACCACCTCCAACGCCACTGACTCCCATTGCTCCTCCATCACACCACAGCACCATGCTCCCGATTTCGTTTGCACGCGACTTTGCTTGTTCCCACATCGCCAGACTGACGGTGGAGTCCCACGTGCGAGCGGGTGCCAGGATCAAAGCTGGTCTGGAGTCAAGCGAACTAAACGCAGATGAGAACGCGAAATCAAGACAGATAGATGATGTGATAGTAACTGGGCGGGTATGATTAGGCGTCGAGGACCATTCAGATTTCGTCGCCCATTTTGGAGGGCCAAGCTCAAAGTTGTACATAGCTGGGGGCTCAGTTGAAGGAATTGCTGAGAAGGATTCTGTGACTATCTGACTGTCAGATGCTCGGCAAGGTCGCGATCACATAGAAGGACGTACACGGAACGAGGTTACGTTTGTAATATTGTACGACTTCCTCGCCTTTCTTCTGTCCTTCATGGACAAGGGCAAGCCCGTTGCGCCGCATGTGTGATCCACCGGGGTTTGACGGATCTTTGGGCACGAATTCATCGAAGGCAACTCCGATCACAGATCTCTGAATATTCTTGCGCAACTCTTCGAACGCGGCTTCCCTCTCCTCCTGACCCTCGAACTCTACCGCACTTTCAGGCCACAGAACTACCTTGGCCTGCGAAGTTAATTTTTTGGTCTCGGTAATGAAGTCGCCGAGAGTTGGACGTTGACCTTTGCGAACGGGTGGGAGGGCGCAGGCAACACCCAGAGGCGAAGTATCAAAGATGGTGTCAGTTCGAGCGGGTAGACCGACATATAAAGACGGAAGGGTGAGTGCGACAAGAAGTGTTCCTAAAGTGAGAAGACTCCGCGAGCGCCTGTTGGATTGCGCTTCACCGGACGAAGTAGACAGGTGAACCAGTTGCTCGTCGTTGTCGGTGCTCATTAGCCAGGCAGCTGCAACTTCCGAAGACAGAGCCGCACAGGCACCGACGGCCCAGTCGATGCCCATTGGCCCTGTATAGGGTAGTAACCAACCAAAAGGATGGGAAGAAGAGACTGGACTCCAATTTAGGAGTCTCCCCACGGGGGAGAGGTGGGATACAATAGCCCATGTCATCGCCCACACAACAGGTAAAAAGGCGACCTGAGCCCAGACAGTTTGGAATTTGTGACGGAATCGGATATCTACATAAAACGGCAAGATTGCCAACACGTATGTGGCTGCGGACATAACCGCAACCGCAGCAAACGACTGCAGCGAGCTTGACAGCGCATTTGTTGCGGAGGAGTAATGCGCTAATGAAGCACCAGCTGTTACAGCTACCCAAGAGCACATTAGCTCCAATACCCTAGTGCTTCGGCATGAGATGCGCATCCCATGGACGCGCAGAATGGTGAGGAGCAGTACCAACGGTACAAACGTCGGGGTTGGGCTTAATGATAACACTGCGAGTAGAAACTCGCTGACCCCAAAGATCAAGGTGGGGTTTTTGACGAGGATGAGAGATTGTAGGGTGTCCCCCATGATATATAATCGATGATAATGGTTGTTGAGTGAGTCCTTGAAAGACTGCGTGATTGCTGCGGCCAAGTTTTATATGATGAGAACAAGAAGCTTGGCTTGAAATGGTACTAAAGCTCGGGCTCTAAAGGTAGGTCGCTCGACCAACGTTCGACTCAACATCAAATCTCAAGCTTGGCCCGAACGACATCGAACATCTGTTCGATATTCCGGAAGAAGGACAAGCACAATGTGTTCCTGATCAGTGCGAACGCCAGTGTTCGCTGCAGTGCGGTATTCTACCGAGCCTCTCACAGAAATCGTGCAAGACTCGTCAGCATCTAATTCAATTTGCTGGATGACCAGAATATACCGTCATTGTAAGTAAGTCTAACGAAAATTTAAAGGAAAGCCTGATAAAAGCCAAACACGGCTGATTGTCATCGCAGCTGTAGGACTTTTGGGCCGAGTCGACTCCGAGTCGAGGACCTCAACGACATCCGTTACTTGGATGCCAGACTCACCCACACTTCCTTTCGGGAGATGAACACCTATACTGCGAATATCTACTCGATACACCGCCGAAACGTACCCTGCCATCCACATCTGAAGACCCTGTCTCATAGGGTGTCGTCCGTGAAGTGTCTCCACGAAACCCTCTTTTTTCTCGCCGACTGTCAGCTCTTCGAGTTGATTTTTTGCATGTGTCCTTCTCTGTCGTTATAGTCAATTTCATCTGCACTTGTAAACACCGAGTTTCGCAGTGCGTTGCAATTAATTGATATATGGCATTATTGACAAGCAATATTTCAGACGCAGTCGACGTCGGCGCTTCCATAGGTTATCGACAAACACGTAGTACGGGAAGGCAGACAGAACCAGGAAAGAACAAAAAGCTGAACAAACAGTGATTGTTTTCAATGCACTGCAGAAATGGTTAGTGCGGTAAACTCTGCTTCTCCGAGCCCTGCAACACTAATAACAATATCTTGTTCAGTCCTTCTGATTCTGCCATCCAGCACTAAATAGCATCCGAATACTAGTGCTGGCAGGTACCTGGCCACTGAGCCTCCACCCATGATCGCCAGCAAGAAAGCAAGTACACCTATTTCGCTTACCCCAAGTCTTTACTTGGCGGAAAGGGAAGTACGGCAGGCCATTGGTGCGAGACCAAGATCCGGAGACAAACTGCGAAATCCCGACCTCCAACGCCGCTGACTCCCGTTTCCCGTCGCACCACAGCGCCATGCTGCCAATTTCATTAGCACGTAATCTGGCTTGCTCCCACATTGCGAGACCGATGACTAGCAAGACCGTGTTTAGACAGAAGGACGTACATGGTATCAATTTCTGCTTGTGATACTAGACAACCTGGGCCATTTCTCTGTTCGCGATGAATGAGCGTCAACCCATTACGCCTCATGCGATATCCACCAAGGTTTGACGGATCTTGAGGGATGAATTTCTCGAACGCAATCCTGACGACAGATATCTGGACACCCTTGCGCATATCTTCGAATGCAGCTTCCCTCTTCTTGACTGCTGAATACTACTGCGCTTTCAGGCCACACAATTTGGTGGGCTTGCAAAGTTAATTTACTGATCTCGGCAATGAACTTGTCACTAAGAGCTGGGTGTCGATATTCGCGAACAGTTGGGAGAGCGCAGGCAACGCCCAGTGGCGAAACTTCAAACAATGTATCAATTCGAGCGGCTAGACTGACATGTAAAGAGGGAAGGGCGAATGTCAACATCGCTGACAACAACTAAAAGGAACTGAGCCAACTCGTTCCCAGCGCACAGTCAGACCCGTACCTTGCACACATTAAGTGTTACAATAGTGCACGAGTTTGTGATAACACATATAACTCCAAATGCAATAAGTGATTGTGATGAGCTTGACAGAACATCAGGAGGGGAGGAGTAATAAGCCAAAGATGAACTGTGACAACTGTCCAGAAGAACATTAGTTCTAATTCCTGGGTGAATGTAATTCGGGCTCCATTGGTGTATACGGATAATCGCGAGCAGTAACACCAATGGTACGAACGTTGGCGATCGGGGCCCAGTGATATGAAGCAAGCACGAACTTCGTAACTGCAAAAATAGGTGTTGCATACTTTGCGAGGATGAGGCATTGTAACGTGTCCCCCATCTTAGCTAGGTGATGCTAGGCCCTTATGTAGTGATTGATCGAACATCGAGTCCTCAGGCCACGTAAATACTGCAGCTGCCCTTGAGCGCTTGGGTATTTGATGAGCATAAGGACCCAAACTTAACTTAAGGGTAAAGGTAAGCGTCTACGAAGATCAGAAAGCACGATAGAGTACACTCCACCGCTTCGAATACCGACGTCCATAGCACAATCTCCTCCTAAGAATGACAAGAATATAAACCTCGACTGCTCTTGTATGAGCAGCAGTACAGCACCCCGGGATACTACGTCAATTTTGGAAATGGGAGTACGGTTCCAGGGTCTTCGGCGTCGAGAACAACCGACTACGTTGTTGTAACAAGAAGCGGCTAGCAGTTTGCACACGAGCAGCTACAACTGATGAAGTAGCGAACTACAGAACGAGTCAGTTCGAAGGTAGATGATATATCACTACATGAAGTTATACCTGGTGCAATCAGAGTGGGGGTCATGGAGCTGCTCCCTCAGCAGACTCATCATCATTCAGGTTTACGGCGAATGGGTCAACCGTTTGATCCATGAGAGGTCCACCCAATAATGCGTCGCCGCTGTCCATTTGACTGAGGTCATGAACGCTTTCAAACGTAGTTCCATCAGGCCCGAGCACTGTCATATCCAGGTCTCCAACTTCTTCAAGATTGACGTTGTCGTGTACGCCGATTTCGATATTCACATCGCCGTCGAGAGCTTTGAGTGACTCATCCAACATGTCTACAACCTCCTCCGTGACCAATATAGGTTCAGTAGCTTGGAGCGAAAGTGCAGGAGGTGTTGGCGAGGATGGTTTGGTTTGGGGTTCTGACGGAATTTCCTGATTAATTGAGTTCGTCTCTGTGTCCACCGCAGGTATGTCTGCATCGGGAGCTACAGAGGCAACCGGCTCGTCCTGGTCCATCTCTTCGTCTCCTTCCACTACCTCAGGTTCGTCGGGAAGGGGCGCTAGTGGTTCGTCCACTTCTCCTTCATCGTCACTAAATTGCTTCAAGGTTGGCTAGAATTTCGAAGTCACTCTATCAATAAGTCAGACTACTTACTTGTTTTCTGTCTGTCTTCACCCACTTGTAGATCTTCACAGAAGAGTTTGGAGCGGCATTTTCTGGAACGGTCCATACTTTCTCCCAGCAAACAACTGGCTGCATGAGTTGGCGTCTTGCGGCCTCCGTTGTTGCGATGCTGACGCCGATTCTCCGCCTAGTGGACATGAATGCAAATGAAGAAAGGACTCTTGATTGTGTTGATTGATTCTGTTTTTGAACAAACCTATGATCGCGAATGTGATGAGTTCATCAAGTTTGGTGAGTTTTCCGCCACCCGTTTGGGGGTCGCTCAGACGGGCCTTGCCGATGATCAGGCCCAGTGACTACATAAGTCAACATTGTTTAGAGGAAATCATCTCAATCGTGGATTCGTTGCCATGTTGGGTATCGGAAAACCTGTGTCATTAGGCAAGAAGCAGCATTTTCGTATACCGGTGCAACTTCACGCAGATGAACTGAAAGTAGGATTACCATCGAGATGTTATGATCGTTACCTAGCCCACGATACGCTGCTGCTCCTCATGGACTTCTTTGATCACCTTGCCATATACATCAGTGGGTAAATTTAAAATCGACATTAAAGAAGTACCTTCCATTCCACTGGGATAATACCCTCTCTAACTCAACAGCATACGAAACTAGGCGCGCACACATTTGAGCTTGGGAAACTGGTACGTGCCATCTTCCAAATTAAACAATATCGCGTGCGGATTGACAGAAAGGAGCTGATACTGCTGAGAGTAGGCAACGAGGCAATAAAGGTGTACTTGCGCCAGGCACCTTGCAAACCCCTAAACTTCACAGCGTTCCCATGTGTGTGGTACCAGTTCAGATAACCAGGTGAGATAACACCTTTTCCTTCAACTTTCCTCACCCCACAACCCAAGACGAAACCTTCGAGCTTGGGACGTGGTGCAGCATTAGCAGAGACAAGAGTTGCGGTTGAAAGAAGCTTCTGGGAAGGGTCGGTGTAATACAACGTACTGTTTGGAAGAGTCTTAGGCCTGGTCATCTTGAGAAATCTATTTCGAAGTGCTGTACCAAAAAATGATCAACCGCTTGAAGCTACTAGTACCCCTTGCGATGACACAGCTGCATATATGTATTCAACTGGGAAGTGTTCAGTATAACATAAACATACGTCAAATATAAGTTACGAATAACCAGACAGACTTCGCAAAAAGATGAGTTGCAACACAGCAAATAGAACTATCACCACCATACGCATGGACCTGGAGGGTTTGAATGAAGCGGACGAGGTCTTCCGCTGCCTTGAGTGAGTGGCATGACTTCATGGTCTAGGGGATGTAGCACAAAAGTGGGATTGCACACGACCTGTATCAAGACTTGTAATGGTGAACAAGAGACAACGTAATGGACGTCGGAATACGACCGCCGCCTGACTCATTCGCTACCCCGGCGCATGTCAGCAAGTTCACAAGTCCTATCGTGTGGTTTAGTGGGCCATACACACAACAGACTGTTGAACACAACGCCCAACACAGGCAAGTGTCACGGCCGCGCCAGAAGAGAACCTGCGAATTTTATGGAATCTCTTCTGCCCAACGCAACATGTCGTCAAGGGACACGTTGATTGTAGATGTCTGTACCTACACGAAATCAGGTTTACGTTGACGTGCACGAGGATAAGTTACCTGAGAACTGCGGAATTTCGCAGTCGACTTCTGGTCTGAACCCGCCATTTCCTGAGCCGAAGAACGTAGCTCCAACAACCGAGCCTCAATAGCATCACAATGCCTAGCTTGCCGTATTCAATAACATTAAACTAATAGAGTGGTGCACGCACGAGTGAATGTTCTTCGTCTCCTCGCGCCTCAGCTCCAGCTGTCGTTGCATCATGAGTTCAAGATTTCCTCTAGCCTATCTAAATATGAGTTAACCGCATGGGTCAGAGTGTGAGAGTAAAGACCTGAACGGGCCGTAGATCATTTGCAGCTGCCATAAGATTCTGGGCAAGTATCGTGATCCACTCAAGCTGACGTTGCCACTCTGGCTGTGCTGAGGATGAAGGTGGTGGTGGTGGTGCAAGAATTGCATCTGTCAAATTGGAGTACGTGACCAGTATTGACCTCAGGACAGCAAGAAGCGCAGGCCGTTGATCTTAGGGAATACAACTTCAGGACAGCGAATGTATCGAAGAGACTGTCTCACCTGTACTTGGGTCAGGAGGGTAGAGCTGATGTCCCCCGAGTTCAGCTAGAGACGGGACGGTCTCTTTCACCTAATTGGGAGAAAATCAAACACCATATTAAATGCCAAGCAGCATGCATACAAACCACGTATCCCCGAAGACGCTATAGTGGCCTTCTTCAAGGACCCAGTCTACTCGTGGTTTCTCGAGCTGGGCCAGCGACCATGTAGGAACATTGGTTTGATCTGAGAGTAATTCATGCTGGTCAACTACCCCGAGATCAGCATTTTCATCCCCGACTCGTTCCTTGAGTAAAGCAAGTAGCTTCAGGTTATGCGATGTATAGTTGTTGTAGTGAGATGGCGGTGAGGGGAAGGGATTGCGGAGTTCAGCTTCCTCTTCGTCCATCATTGCTCATGTGCAGTATGGAATTTACAAAGAATCAGTAACGCGAAATGTACGTGAAGATTTTGTCAAGGATTAATATTATCATCATCATGTTGCTGTTCCACATGTGATAGTTGTTTGGCAAAAGCTTGTGATCCAAACAAACTTGACTGAATCTTTGCTCTTGTCTTACTGCCGCCGTCGTCAAAATGGTGCGCCGAATTGCTTCACAGGTGCACAAGCAGGCAGCGCGACTCATGCGCGCGAATTACATCAAGAACGAGCCTGTGTGGTTTCAAGCGGTTCTCGAACATCCTCCTCTCCCTCTCCCTCCAAGAGCTCCCCCAGTTCGAGAAGACTGTCGGTTATCGTCCAGCAGAAAAATGCGGAAACCAAAGACTGAACCGTTACCTATATTCTACTTGGAGGACAAAGTTCGTCGGCAATTTTTCCGCGACCATCCATTTGAGGCATTCAGGCCTGTCAGCATTGTTGAAGGTCGCGAAGTAGAGGATGAGCATCCAGTACGAGGAACAGATTGGATACGGCTAGTTCAAAGAGGACTCAACCCTTCCCCAGAGAAGTGAGTACTTCTTCTTCCAGTCAACCGTCGAATAACATGGCAACTCCCGTTTTGTTAGCGTTGTCCACTTTGCTGTTAACCTGCATCACCACCACAAAATGGCTCTTAGCATTGCATACACACGCGCTGTTGCAGAGTTCAGATCGCTACGAGCTGGGCATGATTTTGCCAACACCTTTGCTCGAATGGAAGCTGAAGCTTATGGCACTGTCTTCCCATCTGAAATTGACCGGACGTTTGAGAAGGAAGATGCAGTCTACCAATCTGCAGACCGCAAGGTTGAACTTGACAGGGGTGCTCTTCTCGCTCGCAAGAGGTGGAAGGCTATCTTGGATGTGGACAGCGGGATGGGAGATTTTGACAGAGGACAGCAATATACCAGGAATTGGAAGCAAGGTATCCGTCCGACCTACCTTCCGGTCGATGAATTGGCGGCTGCGTTGGAAGCTGGAAAGCCTGCGCAATCCATGGAGCAAGATTGTGTCGCCGCGAGTCAAGAGTTTGCTAAGATACTAAGTTTAAACCCATAGAGATACTTACCTTGCAATCCTCAGCCATCGACTTGTTAATGTTTTAAAGCATTATATCAAGAACATAAGCTGCCAGTAATAATACACAACTATGCCTTGATGCGAGATTGAGCAGCCTGTGCCGCGTTCATCCCTATCCAAGTCTTCTCTACAAGTCCAAGTAGCTTTTGCATGTCTGAACTCCAATCATTCATCACGTCCTCTGCACTGCGCTTACTCCTGAAGTTGACGATACCTGCTGGTCGGTCTACACGTGCCCAGATGGTATGTGAAACAACTAGCCGAGCAAGGGTTTCTTCCGTTTGCTGTGGTGTAAGGTCGAGAAGAATCGTGAGACGGGAGAGGGTGATTCGAGTGTAATACTGTGCGACCACGCGTACGTTCTGAATAAAAATTGTGAATTAGTAGTACACTCGGTTAAATAAATGAATTAAATTCACATGTTCGACGACGCGGGTATGGAGGTCCTCCCATTGCTTGGAAACAGAGAACACCGGCGTTGTTCGCAAGAAAGGTCCATACAAGGATTCAATTCCAGGCCACCTCATCAATTCACGGGTCACAAATGACTTGACAAGGTTACTGTCCAAGAATCAGTATTGACGTCAACACAGGACAATGGTCTCACTAATGGAGCTCAAGCTTCTCGAGTGCGGGGTTAGCAAATAGATGGTGCAGCATGTCTGACTGTTCGTTGTCATGAGGCGCAAGCACCACGTAATAAACGATGTGTTCGAGGGCCTGAAGACCGTAACTCATCAGTCATTATAGGCCTGATGGGAATAAGAAGTACGCACAGCACGACTTTTACTCTCGTCCTCCTTTATCGACGGCGTATCCCAAACCTTCTCATAGTGCTTCGCCACTTCCAGATACGCACTTTGATGGAGAGCTTGTTGGATCATTAGATCATAATATTTGAGTTTGAGATCCTAGATCCAGTCAGTCATTGAGCGTCTCGCCCATCAGGTACCCATGATGAACGGACGAACCTCATTCTCTTTTTCCTTGAGGAACGACTCGTTGACTTTGCGGCCACCAACTTTGGCCTTGACCCATTCCGGCTCACCACTTCCAAGTGCATTCTTCCCCTGTTTCGCGGGAACTTCCGCGTCTTTCAATCGAGCGACAGCAATCAATAGCCTCATCTGCTCTAGAATAAACTCCGTCTTTTCTCTCCGCTCCATCGAAGAGTAAGTTTCCACTTGCAGGTCGCTAAGGAGATCAGAAGCTGTCTGTAGTGCTTCTTTGATTGTAGCTGCCAAAGCGCTTGGAGCCTTGGAAAGAGTTTCATGGTAATGAGAGAGAGCGAGAGTCACACGCGCACGAGGCGTCTCAAGAAAAATCTATGAGGAACGCCATAAGAATGTGTTGATAGTCCATGACGTGATGGACTAGCCTTTCCCTCTGTCACAGACCGCAGAGTTTCAACCAACTCTAACCACTTCTCAACACCTTGCTCTTGTCGAATCCCAGGCAGCCACGATATTGCCTGTTCGACGATGGCTTGAACAACGACTTTGAGTTGGCCGTGCTTCTTGCTCAGTAAGCTGATGGTGCTGTTGAGTTGTGTGTAGTCTCGGGATTCGTAACAGAGTTCAAGTGCCGCTTTAGCTAGACGCGTCGTGGAAGGCAGGTCATTAGCCTATGCGTGGAATGTTGAGTATGAAGAAGTCGTCAAAGTAACAAGACGTGCATTTCGTGTTTGCTTCTCTAGCGCAAGCAATCTCTCCAAGGCATCTGACAGCTGAACAGACTCAGACTAGATCGAGGTGCTTGGTCAGTTCGAATAGTAAGACACATATGCAACTCTGCACGCACCTTGACGAGAGCGGAAGTCTCTGGTAGGAGCTCGTCAACTTCCTTTGTGAAGTCTTTCTCCTGTTTTCTAACCTCGGCCATTGCAATTGAGTAGTGAGACTTAGAATATGGCTTGTCTTGTTTTGGTGTGCAGTGACGCGTCGCAAAAATGTTTGGCATTATTTGCTTTTCTGCACTGACTTTCCATTTCTGGACTGACCCCTGAACGGGAATGATACTCGCCTCCCCGGCCACTTCCTTAATGTCTTGTTGACCATCCACAGCATTCGTGAATTTCATGCCATTCCAGTCTGCGTTAGAATAATATGCGTGATAGTAACCCTAATAATAAGCGCCAGCACCGTGTACCAAATGAGTAAAGCGTCCCGTCGCGATAAGGAATTCATAGACAAACAGGAGGAATATCATGATCCAGGAGCTCTGACGTCGATGATGAAACCGAGTGCGCAGGAGAAGGCCTGAGTTCGTGTTTTTCTGACGACGAATCGTTCCCTTCTTTTGGTTGAGCATGGAGTATGGAGAGAGATTTGTCGAGCATATGCATAGGGATCGTGAGAGGATAAGATGTGAGAATACGGCATGCGAAGGTAAGCAGTCCAGCAAGGACTGCAGGGATGACAGAAGGGAGGGCATAGAAGGGGTCGGGATATTTGTTAACTGAGTTAGGTTCTTCAAAGGGCAGTGCCTGGATGGCGCTGATAGCTTTGGTTTCCGTGTGAACCGATGCATCGACTTCGGTGGAGACCATGTTGGGCCGAATGGAAACGGACTGATGTGAGACCGCCGGAGTAGCATCGACACTTGTATCCATGATTGACGGTGTAGCATCAACGGACATCGAGACTAACTCTGGCTTGGCCTCAGTTGACCTATCAACCAGTTTGGGCGACACTTGGACATGGCGCTGAACCAAACGAGGCTTGGCCTGCAGCGACTTGTCCGCAGTGATACGTGTCACAGTAGCGTCAACACTCTGTTCCCGGGTCTCGGGCTTCTGCGTGGCAAGATGCACAACCCTGGCCCTCTCCATCAAGCGCATGCCTTGCATGTGCGGCAGCCAGTCTGAAACCTTCTGCCAGCCTGTTGCGTTCGCCTCGACGTATCCGGGGCGGTTCTTCTCATGGAACCACTTTATTGTCTCCAAATAGGGCGCAAGGTGACTGAGAAGAATGGTCGTCTGAAGAGAATCATTGACAACGGAGTGGCCCACGTGTAGGCGGAGAAGTGACCGCGAGGATACATCAAGGGAGTTAAACGTCTCCTCGGATTCCGTGTGGGCATCTAGCACGAGTGCAAGCGTCTGTAGTCGCTTGCAGCCCTGAGTCAGAACCGCAACGCCTTCTAACGTAAGACTGGGCCCGGACGAGGCGGGGAAACGTGCCATAGGGCAGAGCCGGAGGGTCTCGATGTTGGGACATGCCTGGGCTACAGCCTGCAGATCTGAGTTATGGAAGAGGACTGATTCTGGCAGGTCGATTTCTAAACGGAGGAGAGATGGGAGCGAGGTGAAGTGCTGGAGGGGAAGGTGACGGCAAGGTGGGTCTCCGCCTCGAGACGTTGATCTCACAAGCTCATTGAAACGGGATGAGCCTGTCGCGTTGATACGCAGCGAGAGGAGCGATTTGCTGAAGCGCTCGCAGATCAGACCAGAGAGGTCCTGCCAGTCAGCCATATCCGGGGGGTCCTCAATAACGAGTTCCAGGTGCGTGAGACTGCTCGTCAAATGCTTCAAGAACACTGCGATATTTGCAACCTCTCCAGTCAACGATAGTTGACGAAGATCTGTAAACACGCCACCCGAGCGCAGGTCACCGGTCAAGCGCAAGGATGACTTGCGGATTTCCGTGAAGTCTATCTCATCCCCAGAGAAGACACCACTGTCTGACGATGCATCACTGGGAGTGGAAGCTCCCGAAGCGACGATGTCGTCGAAGAAACCTTCGACTGCGATGACAGACCGACCAGTAAGATCAAGCTCGAGAACACGCAACATAGGCAAAGATGCGGCCCATTGCCCAACGCTCGATGAGAGCGCGCCAGGTGCAACTAGAACCAACTTTTCCAACGTGTTGTGAGACCTCAAAATATCAGTGAACGTGTCGGGAAGGCTTGTGGGCGACGTGAAGGAAAAGGATGACAGCTGAGTGGTGCTGCATACCTCCGCAAGGAAAGTGGCAAGTTGTGGGATCCTCGTGCTGACCTCCAACACCAGACTTTGAAGCTCTGGGTTCAGGAAAATGGTGCAGCGTTGCAGACCAGCAGCAGTGTCCACGCGCCAGATGAGCTGCTGCAAGTGAGGAAGGATGTATTGCACGGGTCGGTTCTCTGCAATGATTGCAAAGATAGATGGAGAGACGCTGGGAGAGGACTCGATGTACGCAATGCGGCGTACACGTTCACCATAAGCGAGCACTCGGCTCCAGTCCTCGGCATTGGGTGCCTTGGCCTGCGAGAGGTATCTAGTTGAGTAATCGAGAGGCCTTATGTCAGGGAAAACCCACCAAACCAAGTCCAGGGCGGCGGGCTCTCTTCATCAGGGTGTTGGGAAACAAAGAAATAATTGGAAGCAAGGAGTCCAATTCCCTCCATAGTACATTCAGAGCGGGCTCGCACATAGCTCTACAGGTCCGCGCAAGGCGTGACATGGAGCGGCGGCCATTAGGAGAGTCGATGATAGTCTCAAACAGCTTTTTGGCTGCATCAGGATCCCGGAGGATAGTAGGGAACATTGTCTGCTGATGGACAGAGTAAGGGCGGTAGGAAGTTCGATTGCTTTGTTTGCTTTGACTATCAGAATCGCGGGAGCGGCGAAGGCGAAGAGATACAGAAGCTAAAGCGTCGGAAAACAAGGAGGTGGAAGACATGGATACTTGGGTTAAGCACCTGGTTTTAAACCACTTACTGCGCTCACATGCCGTAACGCCCGGACTATGTGAGGAGTCACCAGCAGGATGAGGGCTGGTTCAAATAACAAATTGAATGTGCGCAATGACTTCAGGAGCCGAGCCGTGCTCCCCTTTCGAACACGGAGGTGAAACACGCGTCAAGGGTTTGCCCTTACGCAATAGAAGCGAATGATTGGTGTCTAGACTGGGGAATGTCAAGTCCCACCTTTCCGCTATCATGGAGTGATTATACGTTAGTACATTGCTGCCTCACTCTATGCAGTGCATGGCTTGGGGCGGCGGGCACCACATGCGCTGGGTCAGACGCTGGCATCAGACACGTGTTTAGCGTGTGTTCCTCATTCTGTACTTGATCCTGCAAGTGATAGCAAGTATAATTGCACGAAGCGTCTCGATATGAAGCACTGAAAACGTCCTGTGAAAGCACCGAAATCATAAAACACGACCACATACGGCTAGTAAATCCTACAGCTCTCCGACTTCCCATGGTATAGGCTCGCCTTCCCAATCATCTTCTCCCTCGGTACTACCCCGAGTGTCATCTTCCGCTTCACCGATATCCCATATATCCCCACCTCTCGACGCGTCATAATGACCAACACGATCGCCGTAAAGTAAACCGCGGAAGACACGCTCCTCCTTGCTGTTGTGGGTTCTTGATGGTGAAATGGCCAACATGAGGCGAAGCTCATCAGGTAAATCAACACGAAACGTTCCGTTTTCGTCACAACTCGTGTCGCCAGCCGCGGCAGATTGATCGCGGTCACGGGCACCGCTATGTAATATTGGATCCCAGTCAAGCTTATCAGCATTTTCCGACACTTGCTGTGCTGTCTGGGTCCGATTGATGACTTTAACAGCAACCTCGTCTAAATCGTCATCATCTTCCTCCTCATCCTCCTCATCCACAACCTTGGCCTTTTTTCGGCTTGTTCCAGCCATTCCCTTGCCATTTGCTGGAACGCGTCGATTTGAAGAGGCCTCTTCAGAGGTGGGAGACGGCGGAAGTAAGGGGAACTGTGGAAAAGAAGCTGATGACAGTCCATCATTCACTGACACGGCCTCCAATACACGCTTGAGCGATGACTTAGGTTCCTGGGACTTGCCGTGCGCTCGTTTCTCCACAGCAATTGTACGCGATGACCCAGATCTTGACTGGTTTACCCGGCCTTCAGCGTTGGGAAACTCGTCCTTCTTGATGATTTTTGATATCAAAGTAGGTTTTGCATCTGTCCTCGATTTCTGTTTATCTTGGCAGTTGTTCGAGCGTCTAGAATCTTTATGGGCATTGGCCGGAAATGCTTCGAGACTCGTGGCATCGTTTGAATCGACCCCATGTGAGATTACAGCATCGTTTGAACCTCGTGATTGTGACTTGGAAACGTTTGCAGGCCTCTTAGGTACACTTGCAGTCGGTAGTGTGTCTTCGAAGAGGAGCCTGAATGACTTGCCGCCTGCCGGTAGTTTTATGGGAGAATCGTCCACAAAAGATATATTGACATCCGTGCCACCCATAATCTCATCACTTTCATCATCGCTTGACAAAGAGTGTGATAATCGGAAGGGTAAAGCCGAGTGAGAACCGATACGTTGACGTTTCTGCTTATTGGGCGAGGGAGAGACAGGCTCACCGCGAAGTCTCTTTCGTGCACGCGAGACTGCCGTGTTCGGCGCGGGAGGTAATTGGGAGCTGAGAGATATACCAATTGGTACATATGGCTGTCCTTCTGGGAAATTATCTGGGGATTCGCTCCGTGAGGAACAGTTTGGTATATTCTTGGACGGAGTTGCGAAAGAATTTGGTAAATGCGCCTTTCGAGTTGAAAATGAGGATGCAGGGGGGGAATCCCTCTGCTTGCCTTTATTTTTGACTGGTGAGAACGGATTAAAGCCTGGAAGAGGAGCGACGACTTCGATTTCGCGCGGCTTGGAAATAATATGGGAGCGACTTGGGTGAGCAGTAGATTTTGGTGGGGTGGTAGGCGTCTGAGAGGAAGAAGGACGCGTCTGAGAGAGACAGGCAGCTGCTGCTACTGCCTTTGATAGTTTCTTGTATAACTTGTACTTGTCAGCTGCAAGGATATTGAGTACAAGACGCGACATAAGAGTACCGATCAGACGCACCTATAGCAGGTTGATCTTTAATATCCTGAACAGACGGATCTCTGGAGAACTTTGACTTGAAGTCGCGTTCCCAAGCTTTAATTTCTGTTCGAAGAGATACAACGTCTGCCATTTAGTTGAGTTCAAGCAGAAACCGGTGTTGAACGTAAACCGTGTCAATGGTTTACCACAACTTGAACGCCAAGCCAAACAGAGAAGTGCAGTCTAATTTTATTGATCATGATGGGCTCACCTCATGTGCTTGCACATGTGGGCACAAGCCCTGCATGTCCCTTTCTAAGTCTTTCTTCTCTTGATAACATTTGTTAACTGACAACGATTCTTTGTCTGGTTATAGCTCCTCTTTAAGGCTGCTCTACAAGGCTCTGTATCTGTCTATCTATGGCTTTAAACTGGGGTGCAGGTCGTCATAAACACCAAGCCAACCATCATTTTCAGCATGCGCCAAGCACAGTCCACGATGAGCGCGTTCTAGGTTTCTTTCAGTCTCCTACTTCTGCTGCTTATCAGCACCATAATCCTAATCCATACGCCATTGTATCTCCAGCATCTCTCACTCCTGACTTCGATCAATCTCCGTCTTCATATTATCGCCGTGATAGCCCTCCCAGTTTTTCAAGACCATTGTCAACGACCATCTTAAATGACCCTGCATTCTCCCCAGATCCTCGCGTTCATCCACATTTTCCACTCGTTAGCCCTACATTCTACAAGGAACTCCCGTCTAAATCTCCTTTTATGGTTGTTAGCAATTCCTCTCAGACCTTTCAGACCACTCCCAGTGACATCTCACCTCATCAGGAAGTGCTCTGTCCAATAGAGGACCCAGACTTTGTTTCACACTCACCCGGCTCGGAAGAAGCTCACCCGTCCCCGACTGCCTCGACTTCTGTATCTTTAGATTCTGACTCTCACACCGCTCTCGCTGCTTTCACGTCGCCTACTGTATCATCCGTTACATCTCATTCCCACTCGCCGATTCATCCCGAGACACCTCGTGTTGTTTCACCTTTGCAACTTTCGTTTCCGTTCCCAGCATCTTCGGTCTCGTCTCCGCCGAGTCATGACCCAGGATCTTCGTCAGCCATGTATCCCCCTACTTCTAATCGTCCTACCCCAACACGTACTGTCACGGCTCCAGAGCAGCGAGAAAAAGTGGTGAAACCTGCCACAACGCGCTCTGACTCGGCTCCAGTTCATGCAGATGGTAGTAACAGGCCTACAGGAAAGCACCGTATGAAGAATTTTATCCGACGCCTCACAAGCTCCCGTGCCCTCGATCGAATCGACGAAATGGATGAGACGGATCCTTTGGGAGCAAGATGGCAACATGATGGCCCTTACGAAGCTATTGGTAGCAATCTTGCGCAACTTGGGCCCGCTCACATGTATAATGACATTGACATCCTGCGAGGCGATTTCCACACTAAATCTAAGCGCGAGGTGGGTTGGACATGCAAACTTTTCCGACTCGTATTTACATTCTCTTTGCAAAGAACGCCCCTCGTCAGGTGCGGACCCAGAAAGTATGTTTGGTAGTTGAGAACGATGAAGCTTTTATCTTTACATGTTTTGCTGCAGCTCCCTAGATTGCCCCCAATTGGTCCAGGAGTCAGTCGGCCGTCTGCAAAGTTTGTTCCCGGGCAAATTATTCCATCTGGTATTATCTCTCCGCCTCTGCATACCATTCAGGCCAACACTGTAATTACGAACCCAGATCTTCGTAATCTAGGTTCGGGCCAGTTAAAACCCAGTCACCCCAGAGGCCACTCTCCTCTTTACCACCATCCGCCCGAGGCGCTGACTTCTCGTTCATCGTCACGTGCACCCGCCAGCAAGTCTGCTTCTCGGATCCATCGCTTTGGTGACGATATACCTCGCATACCACAACGGCCAGCTCATGATGAGCTCACGCCTTATCCCCTCCATCAAATACATTCTGTGCCCGATTTACCGCCGGGTCATAATGAACGATATCTCGAAACTCGGTCACAAGCTCGCGGAGATGCAAATCAGGCAACGCTTTTTTCATCACCGCCCGTCGTTGAACCACCTGATGGTCAAGCGATCGACTTGGCGAACCCCCTTCCTCAACATCGTAGAACTTACTCATTAGACAGTTCGCCATCGCGCACCGCCACATCTACACAATCAATATCTCGCGCTCAAAATAGCTTACAGCCACCGCGCAATCATCACCTTCCAAAACGCCTCGTCATGCCTACCCTTCTTCAGCCCCCGCAACCACTACCCCAGCGACAACAATATCAACAACCCCTGGATATATATCCCCGAGCCAATCCCCATGATCCTCACCCCGATCTCGACCCTGATCCCTTCCCACCAACCAAAGGCTACACTCACGAACCGGCAGCAATGTATCACCAAGGCCGAAAACTACTACGGAAGAAAACGGCCGTCTTCCCTGGAAATATACCTTTGCCAACGCATGCGCCTGGAGCTCATGCTGACTCAAATCCTCCATTGACAAAACATTTGTCCTTGTCAGCAACCAATACTGGGAAGGTCAAGGAAGTAGTTCATCGGCGAAGATTGAGTAAACGGAAACATGATATCTGATTCATGTCATAACCCTTCTTCTGGACTTTGTCACGGAGATGTGTTGGTGTTCTTGTTTGAGCTGTCTTCTATCTCATTGATTTGATTTACCTCATAGAGGACGATCCATGCATTTATCGAGGTGTCCTGGCTATGGACCTTGGTACACCAATCGCATTGGCTCATAACCCACGCAATACTTCTAGATGTTCTTGATTCTTCTGTATGTGTTTTTAGCACGACTGTGGAATTGATGCACTTTTCTTCCAGTATATTGTGTCTTTGCGCTGGTTTTTTGATAGATTGGTTTTGCCACGTAAGACTGAGGGAAATCCCGATGCTGAAAGCTGCTAAACTTGGTTTCTCGGCGATGTACGTTCAGGCTGCTAAGTTTGCCATATGCAGACGGATGTCGTCCCGACTACCAGACGCATTCCAGTAAAGGAATTTGGTGGTGTCTATGGCCCCTGATTGGTTGGAGATGCAAGTGCAAAGTCTTGACCATCTTCTGTTCGCTACATAGTCAGTTGACTAACATGCACTAGTACTGTAATACCTGTTCACCCTGGGACACCGTGGTGCCCAGATAGGTTACCGCAAGCCACTGATCGCGATTGCACATGTCATTTTAACACACTGTAATCCCCTTCATCTTATTTTCACCTTCATTCTGTTTCATGGACATGTTGCGCTTGGTTCCATGATTAGTCAGTTACCCCTTCCGCGGTTGCACATTGAGCCCACTAACTTCCGCTCTAATTACGACAGCAATAACCAATGATGGCGGCCTTGAGGTGATTCAACGTTGCATCTTTAGCCAAAACAATGGCAATGCAGCTGATCGACCTGCATACTCGATTGGATATGCGGCAAAGTTCCGTTCAATTCCGTTCATTTCTGGCGGGGGTGAGGCGCCCTACATAGAAACTTTAGCAGTCTGAGCGGAGATGTGTTGGCTCCATGGCCTTTTGCCACATCAGAAGCTCAGGATAAGTTCGCAATTGAAGTTGGAAGGGCTGTCCCTGGCTGTTCTCGTTACTAAAAATTGTAAATTTATTTCTGATGCGGGCCATGGATCATGGCTTCGTTGACATGACGAAATTCCTATCGATGAGGTTGGCTCGTCTCTGGGTCTTCTCATAGCTTTTAATGCGCATCGAGAATAAGGATCACTAGCCTTTCTCCTTGAGAACGGAAAATCATATGTTCAGCACTCCGCGCCACTGCTCGGGTTTCGTATGTATCTAATCTAGCCTGCCCTACTCGGTAAGAGGCTTGTGCTTAACTCTATTTTCCACTATACTAATTGATGTGCCCGTTGAACATAAATACCCTTCCCCCGCATGGGAGTGGTGTCGGAAATGCCCTCTACCCCTTTTTGCCCCCGACGCTCATCCCATGGACAGTACTGGTCTCTTTGTTTATGGCTTGGCTGTTGCAGTAGCCCTTCTTCTCGTCTTCATTTACGACCATTGCAGGTCTTCTGAGGCAAGCACTTTCATGCAGTCGCGGTGAGCTGACTAACGTCGAGTCTAGCTTGATACTATCCCTGCGATTGGTCCATCAGGGGCAGTCTCTTCATGGCTCGGCGCGGTCCGGTTCATAAAGGATGCTCCAGCCATGGTGCAAGAAGGCTATCAGAAGGTTGGTGACAATGTCATGCTTAGGCAATTATGTCTTGAACGTCGATGAAGCACAAAGGCGGAATGTTCAGAGTGCCATTGATTGACAGATGGGTAGTGGTCCTGACTGGGCCACGACTAATAGAGGAGTTGAGAAAGGTGCCGGAGGACGAGCTTTCGTTTGATCATGCTATGCGAGATGTGCGTTGGAAGTTTTTTTTTGGTTCCGTAACATTGAGATTTGATCCACTATTTCACAGCTTCTTCAAGTCAAATATACATTTGGCGTCGATGCGCAAGAATATCCATATCACATACAAGTCACTCGCAACCATCTCTCTCGAAACCTTCAGGCGCTCTTTCCTGACGTTTACGACGAGATCAACCACGCATTCAGCACGATCACACCATTAGACCAAGATGGCAAGTTTTTCCACCTTCTCCGTGAGGTTATTCTTACGTTCTTTTTGTGCAGGTTGGACCCAGGTTCGCATATACCCGGAAATCATGAAGGCTATGTGTCGCGTAAGCAATCGCATCTTTGTTGGGCTTCCGCTATGTGAGTGGTTCGCTTAGATCAAGGGTGCATCCGCTCAACCCGCTTACAGGCCGATCCCCTGAATTTGAAGCCCTGCAACAGCAATTCGCTTTACAAGTGGTATTGCGTGCAACACTCGTGAATTGTTTCCCAAAATTTGCACATCCGTAAGCAGTGTCGCTGAATTGATGGTGCGAAGACCCAACTTTGACCCTTAGGATCATTGGTCGATTATTGACGAACACGCCTAGTAGCATTAGGAGATGCATGGCACTTCTTGAACCTATCGTGCAGGAACGACTGCAGGCTCTAGATCAATTCAGGGACGAATGGAATACTCAACCGGTGTGTTATTTTCCTATGTCGGACATGGTTCGCCACTTGATTATGTTTCCTTGTAAAGAATGACATGATTAGCTGGCTCATTGACGTATCCGACAATGAGCACAGGAATCTTCGGAGTATATGCTTGCGGATTTTGGTCCTCAATTTCGCTGCATTACATACATCAGCTCAGGTATGCCGTTATACTATAGAGCAAACCGATCACTGACTCCTTACTGGTCTCACAAAGAGCCTCACCCACGCTCTATTAAACCTTGCTACATACCCTCAATATTGCACACCCCTTCGAGAGGAAGCTTCAGCTGTTATTAATAAAGATGGATGGACAAAGACTGCGATGACGAAACTCGTCAAGATGGACAGCTTTCTCAAGGAATCCCAGCGATTCAATAGCACCACTCTCTGTAGGTTGTTACTCATTTTTTGGTGATACTAAGCTGACTTCTGGTAGTCCCTATGATGCGCAAAGCAATGCGGCAATTCGTATTCTCGGATGGTACTGTAATACCCAGCGGAACTCACGTTGTTGTCGCTTCATTACCCATGCATCTCGACGAGGAATATTTTAAAAGCGCATCTGAGTTCCAACCTTTCCGGTTTTCACAGCGGCGCGAGGACGATGGAGAAGACCCACAAATCCTGCTAGCTTCCACAAGTGCAAGTTATATCCCTTTTGGGTATGGGCATCATGCTTGGTGCGCTAAAATTGCCCGATCTATGGTTTTGAGTTCTCACTCGCCGATTCGTCAGCCCCGGTCGCTTCTTTGCTTCTAGTGTGATGAAGGCGATGATGGCTTATCTTGTGCTAAACTATGATATTAAATTGGAGAAAGAAGGCGAGCGTCCTCCAGATGAATGGTTTATGATGAATTGCTCTCCAAACCGGAAGGCAGAGGTCATGTTTAGACGGCGACGGTCCACATGATACTTGAATGTAACGATTTCACATGCATATTAGACACCCAGATAATAGATAATGGCCGCATTGTTCACTACTTCATTGTTTCCAGCAATAGCACATCGAATAAATTGCATGAAGAACTTCATTCTTGGACCTGGCTGAATACTAAGTCGACTCTAGCTCTAACAAGGATTGATGTGAATAAAGTGTGATCTTGTTATCAACAGTCTTTAAGCTTCAAGTGCGTTGTCACAACACTGTTTATATTCCATAGCCCTCGAGAAAATCTTCGTTCTCAAGGGTCCTATGGCTCAATCGGTCCAAGCTGTGCCAGGAGCCATCGAGACAGAAACCATGTCTGGTGCACATTGTCTTGCGCGAACATGCGTGACCTACGGAAGAGTTGCACTTAATACATCATGCGAACTTCAAGGTTCAGGGCCATAACTCATTTGGATCACTGATGTGTATGAAACCAACTTAGATTATCATACTTCTTGTCCTAGGAAGTTCCACAAGTCTGGAGCAAGGGGAATTTGACAACCTTGGCGCTGACAGGTCATTTACCGTCCAAAATATGAATCGAAGTCTCTTGGATCAGAACAAATCAGTATTACGGCGCACATTAATCATCTTCTGAAGACACTTGAGATAGAAGCTAAATTTATCAGGATGAAGTTGATCCAAATAATTCGGGACGTAGAGTATGACAAGCAGAACTGTGCGATTGGCAGGCAACATCAATAAGTCAAACGGAACATGAACTGGAAACTATACTGGTTCGTATCAGGACCCTAATGTGACCAGCTCCAATATCCGGCATCGTCAGCTTCGTCTTCTATCTCATGCGCAGGGCAACTGTCTTATACGATTCAGCAGCCACCTAGCATCTAATAAGCAACGTGCGACTTGGGAAGCAATCACACCTACGATTGGACGCCGGTAGTATGCCTTGTTCGGAGGCTCCCTCTTTTGCTCCCAACTGCTCATAAATCGTCGGCGAGGGACAACGTCCGCTGTGATCCGAGGAAGGTGGGCCTGGACCATGATACCTTCTTTGCTAGCATATTTGTCCCGCACTTTTGTCACTCGGTAGCTTGGGCGTCCTGTTTCGAGGAACACTGTGTTGTACATTGCTTTGAGTCAGAGCAATCATCAACTGCGTGTCCTTGGCATCGTGAGCTGCGTGGCGAGCGAAATTGGTATGATGCTTGTTTCCCTGAGTGAGCTAGGTACGAAGCGTCAGACAGAGACGACATTGGAGGGAGCACAAATGATTCCTTGGGAGTAGTATATGGATCCTGCACGACACGTCAAAATTGACATTGGAGGGGTCAATTGTTAGGAGCTTACTTTAACGAGATCAATTGCCTGAAGCGCAAATTTGAGCAAACGTTCACGCCTGTGCACGTTGGTCTCCGAAGCCCTAGCGACACCTCCACCAAACTTGGAACCGACACGATTCTGCAAACAAGGCGAAACTGTAAGTATTCCCAGGGTGCATGAGAAGCTACGACTCGTTTGATAATCTAGCAAAATGCATCAGAAATGTTAACATCATCTTGCTTGCGAAGTCATAGACAAAGGCAGAGCTACTTACCCCATGGTTTGGTGGTTTCGGAAGAGTTGACGTAATCAGTTGTTTCTTAGTTTTTGCCAACAAGTCGTCCAGTGCTTCCATTGCAATTCCCGTGGGCCGTCACCCAGATGTGCAAACATGCACACTTGTCAGAGCCTACCGTAGGACGTTTTCTAATTTTGGTCAATCAGTGGGGAATGATGCGAAAGCCCAAGGCGGTGGGTTCTAGAGCTCCTTAAAATGATTCTGTTGAATTTTTGTGAGCGACACATCTTAATCCGATTGCTTATTCACTTCATCATGAACTTCACATAGATGATATTTTCAGCGGCCGTTTGAAGTTGCATTCCTCGACACAATCGCCTGAGTTCCTTTGGTTTCCTATACTTGCAATAGGTGATTTTGGTAGTCCAGTTCAAAGCCCGAACATGTTGCAGATGCGAAGATGTCCAGTGATGTACTAACCTGAGATATAGCATCTTCGGTCAGTCCCGGACCTCATAATGTGCGATGAAGTTCCTCATTGTTTCCGATTTCCAGATCAAGGAAGTCAGCCATGCCACCAAATAGTCCCTATACGTACGCCACAGATACTGCCAGCAGGTTCTCAGGTGTCGATTTTCACATGCCCGCAAAACTTGCTAACGCATCCAATACAATTATACAGGGCAGATAGTGAGGCCCGGATATTGTACGAAATTCCGAAAAACTTACTCCCGAGGTTTTCCGTTTCGCATTTGGATCATACTGTCAACTTGGAAGAGAAGCTTTCCGCTCATGGTGTCATGGATAATCCGCTTACTCGGCGCGTTCCATTGGCACGATTCTGGATGTCGTTAAGGTGAAGCGCGGGCCGGAGCGAGGGCTTGATGAAGCACAACCCTTCATGGCTTCATTCATGTAAAATTTTACATTACTCGTCTGTCCTAGACGAGCTACAATAGCTAGTACCTTCTTTTGTCGGACAGCCATGTTCCAACACTTTCTTCCTCGGGTCCATGGAGATTGAACGCCATTCCGTCGGACGCAATGGTTCTTTCAGGCAGGCGGTAAACAGACCGGTCAGAGGGGCCCCTAGTAGAAGGCGCTGAAATACCAATGTCTGATTTCATCCATATCGATATCTTGTAACGTGGCCAAACCACTACGCAGATATACCACTTACTGGTATCCACCATGAGACCTGATGCAGCATAAATGCCGAGTACACGATCGTATTTCAGATGCTTGATGCATGCGAAAAAACCTACAGGTTCTTGCCGTCGACGTTAAAGCTATGAGAAATACGTTGCTCTACCAATCCTAACCTCCACATGGACGAGGTCGATCAGGATAATTACAAATACAGTAGGGTGCCAGGTTGTTGACAATGGCTTGGTTGTCCAATCTCACAACGTTCGCGAAGCAAGGTTTGCCCGATTACATTCTTGGCTTTGCTATTTGATTGACAACCAAGGTGCACCAGCTGTCAGTCGGACAGTCACAGTTGAGTCCATTGGTGTCACATACCATAAGGATAGGTTTAGATCGCACGCAGGTAACAAGTATTGAAGTACTTCTATATGCAAATAAGATACCGATGTACTGGATGACTGTCATGTCATGGAAAAAATGAAAGCCTCAATCATCTACGCCATCCTGTGCCTGCGAAAGGGCTCGTAGGATATTGTTAGGTATGTTCATAACCTGTGCAAACTTATCCTCGAAAAGGACCCCGCCTTGTACTCGCGCTTTGATGGCGCAAAGCTCTGTGAAGGCAACAGAGAACCCGAATGACTGGCTGAGAGTGTAAGCATACGATGCCATAATAGTCTTGAGCTCCTCCTCTGAAAAAAAGAGTACGTCTTGGAACGACGGCCGCCGGGCGAAATATTGCGCAGCTTTTTGGATCTGTTGTTCCTTGGGATCAGAAGAGCGCCCAGAGCTTGAGGCACTTTTCGGCATTGCAATGGCGCGTAGCCAGTCTTGGTATGCTTTGTCGACATGCTTTTTTGCAACAGTGAGGTTGGCCTGCAATCCTTGGAAACCGACATGCACCGCTTGTGTTGCCCTGTAAGATGCAGATGTGTAAGGAGAGGTGAGATGGGCATCACGGCTCAAAGCACGGGGCGAGGAACTGCGGAGGCTTGAGTACTTCTTGACAAACTCGTTACGGAGGCGATTGCCCTCGTCCACGAGGTCATCGAGGATAAAAGATGATGATTTCACTCGCTTCAATAACGGCGAGTCTTCTCTGGGATAGTCGCTCTTTTCTAGAGCTGCCACTTGGTAATATGGTTTGCGGCTCCCGCGAGAATTGCGGTCTGCTTCGAAAACATGGTGTTTGACTCTTAGCCCAGTCTTGCTTGCATCTAGGCACGTTGTAAACCTTCACCGCATATTACAAAGCGGGTATCGTAGCGACACAACTTGAAGTACTTACATATATGCAAGTCGAACGGCTTTTGTACTGTCATAGCCATATTGGTACACAGCCGCATCATGAAAGCCAGAATACATTCCGCGCTTCGTCTCCGCGAGCCCGAGCAGCAAAACCTTCTGAAAAGCTGTTTGAGCCTCTTTGTCTGAGAGCTTGGATACTCGTCGGTCAAAATCAAGAAGGTGTTCGACCTCTTGTTCGAAGTCGTTCCTCAAATCCACGGGTGTCTCACACAGCGGAGCGGTGTTAAAGTTTTCAACGAGGTTTTTAGACCAGATCAGCACGACGGTATCTTCGAAAAACCATCACTAAACGAGGAAAAAATAAGTATGAACCAAAAGAAGCTCACCCCCGTCATAATCTACAAAGTGGAGTTGTAAGCAAATGCCTCGGGAATAAGCATGATGGGGAAAATACCAACCTCCACCACCCAAGTAGCTCGCCAGTGACCGTTCGCCTTTCACCGAAAATACAATGACATCAAAGTAACTTGCCAACCTTGGGTGACTGACGGCAGTGACCTAACCCATATGTGATGACTCGGAGGCAGTTCTACATAAAACAGTTTTCCTACCTTCTGGACGTCTGAGGGCAATCTCGTGGGATTCCTCCACACCTAATCACAAGTCTCAGGACAAACTTTGCTCAAAACTAAAGTGCTCACTAAAACAGGTCCTGTTATGATATCCATATGGGTTCCACTTTGAGGGTCGGTGATGAGTTGCGACGACCGACAATGGATCTGGCCCTCTTCAAGAACACCGTACGGATCTGTGGTCCAATCAGATGGGTAACAGTGATTGATAAGGACGTTACTTACCTGGTATGATGTAGGCCTCAAGGGACTCCTTGATTGGAATATGACATTTTTTTACATAATCGTCCAGAACGAGCGTCACCACGCTTTGGAGTTTGCAAAAGAGCGGGTCGAGCTTTAAGGGGTGAAATCCTGCCTGGAGAAGCTCGAGGACAGATTCGTGTAGAGAGGTCGGTTGGCCGCTATGGGGATTGCGACTTCGGGGATCCGAGGCAGCCGGTGGCTGGTCCAATGCGACATCATCATCATCATCATCATCATCATCATCATCATCATCATCATCATCATCATCATCATCATCATCATCATCATCATCATCATCATCATCATCATCATCATCATCATCACCATCAATCTCGTCACTCAGCTCCTCGTTGGGTCGGAGTTGGCCAAGGCCGAATGCACGGGCCTGGCCAGCAATCCGCCGCCGCAGTCTGCAAGTCACAACACGACCAGCACGCTCAACAGCTCGCCAAACTATGAGCATTGAATTGGGGCCGTTCCATTCAGTGAGCTGACACACTTCATTGTGCAGCCCATCAGCCATTAGTTCCTTCAAAATACTGGTGGGGACGTCATTGTGCGCTAGATTTACCAGGGTGTCTCTGGATAAGCGGCTCGGTCCAGTCACACGAGACGGCGCAACAAGATCGAAAATTCTATGGGCGGCGTCAACATTGTGCAGAGGTCCGCAATTGATTTTGTTCTGCGAGTTGCGTATCCAAATCTTTGGTGGTCCATCGACGACTTGATATTCAGGATCTGGGTGCAGCACCCACATTCCCTTGGCACCAGCAATACGTCCCTGCACGGCCGTCGGTCGACTCGGATATTGGATTACTCGCATGATGGCAGTCAATGCTGCACCGCTGATGAACCCACACCCATCGGTCATGATTTTTTCAGCTGGGTGCTCTCCCTCGCCCCAGTCCCCAGCATCTGCAAGATCTAAGTCAATGCACCATAGTTTGCAAGCTAGAGGAAATGCTACATTGATCGTCAATGAAGAATATATTCTCAGGAGCAAATTTGATTGTTGGTACCGAAGTTGATAGGCCGAGCGCCCATCGGGTAGACCATTTGCTGATGGGCTAGTTGGGGTGCGCGTCAGAGCTGCATCACGGGGACTCTGACGAAAAGGTATTTACCTGTTTTGAATTCAACCTCAATGGATTGTGCCACTGTACAAATTCATGAAGTGTTAGTCGATGACCGTCGCCATCACCAGGGTTAGTCTGCCGATCTATATTTTCGTTGGTTTCAAAGAGGTAGACACTGCCTTCCTTCGCATGAAATGGTACGAAGACGCGGCCACATAACACAAATTTGCTGGACTCCAGAAACTTGGGAACTTCTGTGTCATATTTCAGGCTAGCCGGAACACGGACTTGGAGGATGCGTCGAGACCCCAAAAACCGAGCAAATCGATGCGACCGCCGAATCTCGGGTTTCTCGAGCTCGAGTTTAAACGAACTTCCAGCTCTCACGATACGGGCAACTTGCTGGATCTTGCCTCCGTACCAATTCTCTTTTCCCTCCCAGTCGCCCATAGTTCCCAGGCCGCGGCCTTTACTTTCAATAATCGCAAGCTGCTCTCGATCGTATTCAAACCTTTCAGTCATATTTAGCTTGGAATTTGTGGGATGAATGAACTTTATACCAAATTTCTGATGGTGCTCTCATTGCAGATGACGGCCCCATCTCGTTTTTGATGACGGCAGCCACTTTCCATGCAGCTTGCACATTTGAACCCTTGAGTTGACACAAACGATGTTCCGTCATATCTTCGAACGTCCACATGCCACGAGTGACGCCTCGTGCTAGTTCATAAATCGTTCCCCACGCGAGTTGCTGTTGATCGAGGACCATTTGGGCTCTCTTACAATGGGCGATGTGTACAATATTCAACTGAACTCCAAACTCGGGAGGACGATGTTTTGTCCTTGTCTCTACTTGTGGCAGATTCATCTGCAGGGCTGTAGTAAGCATGTGTTAGATGGAAGGACTGTGAAAACTTACAGCTGGCGCGGCGGGCGCAGTCTTCACGGATGGTAGAGGAAGAGACGATCTCCCAGGCTCTGGTGGACGCTTCTGGCCCATGGATCCAACGGACGACATCAATTCGAGTCCGGTTGTGTGATTGCACGAAGAACAAAGAACAGTGCTGTGTTGACGATGGCAAATCACTGTCCGTCTCTATCACTGATTGTATGGATGCGGAACCAGCGTCTTTTTGAACCCGTTCTAATGGCGAGGCAGAAGTTAACCCCTACCGACTCGATGCAGGCAAGTTTAGAAGCGCATTAAAGGCATTATAAATGCACTGGTTCACCAGATCACAGCTGCAGCGCTGATCAGCGGGCTTCGCGTTCCACTTCAATTGCATAGTGAATATTTTTGTAGGCTCAGGGCCAGGCCTTTCTACAACTGGTTTCAACAGTGGTGTTCCTTCCGCGTCGAATGACAATATTAAGTAGTTGGGTACTTAATCTGATCAAGTTGGTTACAGTACTAGGTTGATTTGGGACTGAAGACTAGGGGTGAATGGAGTGGTCAGACCATGAAGCTTCTAAAAGGAACATCAAATTGACGAACCAGCCCGTACTACCAACGTCGAGTCATGACCAAATACAGTAATCGATAATCAGTGCACTGAGGTCGGTCCTCAGGACCATCTTCATTCAGACTCTGATCCTATCAGAATTTTTGGGATATGGTGAGTCAAAAGCAGGAGTGAAACACTAACTGCTTACGGTATGCAATGATAGCCACCAAGACAGAAGAACCAGAATCCCTCGGGACTTGGTCGAGCTATCATCAATAAAAAGTTCAAGGATGCCAAAGAAAGACAAGAGTCCGGTCTTGTACGCGATATTTTGCGTTCTGCATGCGTTTACTCATGTACTCAGTATACAACCGAAGTTGACTCAACAACCCGCCTTAAATCTGTCACGCAGGAGAGAGACTTAGATGAATTCCTAAACACAGCACAGTTGGCAGGCACAGAGTTTACGGCTGGTGCGTGAATATTACTTCCTTTTTGTTTATAGCCTCACGCGGCAAGGTAGAACGACGAAACGTCAAGATTATCCAGTCCCCTGCAGGATCAACACACAATCCCCATCTTCTCACCGATCAGGAGGAGGAGTCGACTTTGAAGAAGCACCAGCTGAATAAGGAGCGACTCAGGGTGCCCAGAAGACCTCCATGGACGAAAGCAATTACAACATCACAATTAGATCGACAGGAGAAAGATGCCTTCCTCGAGTGGCGAAGGGGGCTCGCTCAGTATGTGGGAAAACACATGATCTTCTGCAGCCACTAACCGGTATCGATAAAGACTTCAGGAGGAGGACAAATTTCTGTTAACGCCATTCGAGCGCAATATCGAAGTCTGGAGGCAGTTGTGGCGTGTCTTGGAGCGATCACATCTCGTGGTGCAAATCGTAGATGCTCGCAATCCGCTAAGATTTAGGTGCGAGGATCTTGAGTCGTATGTCAAAGATGTGGAAGGTGCAGAAGGCGAGGCGGGTACAGGAAGAGATAAGCGCAAGACACTCCTATTGATCAATAAGGCCGATTTACTCACTGCGACCCAAAGGTGAGCGTGGGTTCACTTCTAATCAAATGTATATCTTTATTCGAACCTTCACCCCAAGGCGAATATGGGCAGATTATTTTGATGGCCAAGGGATACAATACGCATTCTTCTCCGCTGCGAATGCTGCTGCATTACAACAAGCCCGCCGGGATGCTATTGCTCAGGCCGAAGAAGAACAACTTCAAGACGAAGATTCACTGTCCGATTCAGATGGTCCGGATACACCCAGTGACGATGTTAGTGATGATGACTTCGCAAAAGAGTCGGTGCCGGAATCGCCGCCTCACTCCGAAAGCGACACAGATGACGAACACCAGTATGTTCACACAGAGGAAGATAGTCCCGACGGAAAGGACCCTCGTACCAAAGTTCTCTCAGTGTTGGAGCTCGAAGGTCTCTTCGTCACAGCTGCTCCAGATTTATCAAGTGAAGCTCGATTGTTTTTTTAAATCCAAATCAAGGCTTACAGCTCACCAATCGGCAGTATTTGCTGGCCCGTCCGGAGAACCTCCAACAAAACTGGTGGTTGGACTCGTTGGTTATCCCAATGTTGGTAAATCCAGCACAATCAACGCCCTTCTTGGAGAAAAAAAGGTTTCCGTCTCCTCGACTCCCGGAAAGACAAAGCACTTCCAAACTATTCATCTCTCTCCAGCGATAGTACTTTGCGACTGTCCTGGGTTAGTATTCCCGCAATTTGCAACAACTAAGGCCGCACTGGTTTGCGACGGTGTGTTACCAATTGACCAAATGAGAGAGTATTCTGGTCCGGTAGCTCTGGTAGCCAAGCGAATACCAAAGGAGGTACTTGAAGCGACTTACGGTTTGACTATTAAATTCAAGGGCGTAGAAGAGGGGGGTGACGGGAAGATCACTGCGGAGGACTTCTTGATCGCTTATGCGAGTGAGTACTCTTCGTTTGGTTAAAATGACCATGTTTTTCATGAGTCAACAGTTGCCCGAGGGTTCATGCGGTCTGGCCAAGGTAATCCAGACGAGGCGCGAGCAGCACGGTATGTCCTAAAGGACTATGTCAACGGGAAGCTGCTTTTCTGCCACCCACCGCCGAGCACGCCTGAAGAATCTTTCAACCAAAGAACCCACGAACTATCATTGCTGAGAGTGACGGGAAAGAAACGTGCACCTGTTACAAGAGTCGGAAAAGGCGCGGATACATTCGTGCCGGCTAATCCGTCTCCCATGCTTGTTGCTCAAGGGCGGGGGCTGAAATCTCAAGCTCTCGACCAAGACTTCTTCGCTCACAATTCGAATCTATCAGCACGAGCATTTTTACAAGGTACCTCTCGTAACGGGCAAGAGTTCTCGAGGGGAAGAATATATCCTCATCAGAATATGGTGGCTGACGATGGCACTCCATTGGGACATGGAAACGCGAGACAGGCCGCCGTGTCAGCGAGTGCTAGTGAGGTTGGGAAGAAGCATAATAAAAAGAACAAACGAGTGAAGCAGAGGAGCGGCAAGGGATATGATTGATGCCTAACACGCTGGTGGAACACATTTATCTATTGAGAAGACTGTTGAGAATGAATGGTCCGGTCAAATTCCAAAAGTAGCAATGACCCCTCTGCAGTTGGATAAATGTCTCGAGTCGCATCTAGTATTTACGTCGTTTCTTGTTTCTTCTCTAAATCTACCAAGCATGGCATCAAAGACGCGCTCGCTAGGACCGACTCAGCCTGTACCCTCGTTTGTCTCTTCAAAGTCGGCACGTTCGCAAACCCTGTCAAGATCGGATGTATGCGCCAAATTCATTACAACGACCGCGGATGGACGCACGGAAGGTATGGGTTCTGTCTTGTTGCGGCAGTGATCATTAACAACGATCTGCTGCGCAGCAATAACTCTAAGTATTGGGAAACCGATAACCATTGGAAGGAACCCGTCTCTTTGGTCGCTTGACGCATCTTCTGCTCTGGGTTATCTTGTTTACTCACTTGCTCATATGCAGCTCGTACGTGATACCAGATATCGTGGTGTCCAGCCTACATTGCAAGATACATGCGTCAGCTTACATGTTTTACGTGTTCACACGTCTCCTGACACACGTTGAGCAGGGTCCAGTCTAGCACTGGGGGAATCATTATATCATGCCAGGTAGCTACTTCAAGTTATACCGACTTATCTTACTGGCCTGACTGCTGCGAAGGACTTGTCGACAAATGGGCTCATTCTGAATGGGCACAAAATCCGCAAAACATCTGTCATTGTCATGAATGGCGATACATTCAGAATACCAGCCTCGCAGAGTATGCATGTGTCGCTTTCATTTTGTGCCTTACTGACCGGTTATCAGCGTTTCAGTGCATACTCAAGTGGAGACACCTTCATGAAAAACACGAAAAACACGCGTCACAGCCTTCTCAATCACAAATGCAGTCATACAAAGTCGCTATTGTTCACCAAAGCAACATGTTTGATTCTAAAGAGTTTATGCAGGACCTCGGTCGATTCATAATCACATCTCACTGTCTCGGGAGTGGAAGTTATGCCACCGTACAGCTTGCTCTTGATACCACAGGTCACCAACAAGCCGCCTGCAAAATTATTAGGCGCAAGGAAGGCAATGACCTCAGAAAAGAGATGAAGGAAGCAACACTGCTCATGAACCTGCACCACGTTCGTGCACAATTTCATTTTTTTATCCTGAAATGTCATGATCTTGATTTAAACAGCCCAACATTAACAGGGTATATGCTGTCGATTTGGATCCGGAATTCTTGTATGTCGCTTGTTTTCTGGTTCACCACTGAAGCGACAAATCGCGTGCATCAGATACATTATTCTTGAACTCTGTACCGGCGGCGACCTTTTTACGTACATAACCACGCACTCCAAGCATCGATTATGCGAGGGGGAGGCAAAGTACATCATGTATCAACTTCTCAAGGGCTTGAAGTACCTGCACGATCGTATGATCTCGCACAGAGGTAAGGTTTCATACCCCTCCCGCGAGGCCCTAGCTGAGCTTAAGGCAGATCTTAAGGTGACGCCTTGTGCGTATTTTAAATTGCTGACTTCATTCTGTCATCAACAGCCAGAAAACATTCTACTTTTCTCACCTGGACCTTACCCACGCATCCAGATCGCTGACTTCGGCCTTGCTCGTCCAAAAGCTTACCAAGAAACCTTGCATGTTTGTGGCACCATATCTTATCTCCCGCCAGAAGGTATCCTGGCGCTCGAGCACAAACATCTTGGCTACGTTGGCATGCCAGCTGACTGCTGGAGTGCAGGAGTGACGCTTTTTGCGATGTTGACGTGCGTGTTCTGCTGCATTTGCTATCATAAAAATCACACTTAGAGTTAATGCCCGGATTGCTGAAGCGGAAGTCACCCATTCGACTTCGACAGTTCTTCTCAATCTCGCATCTCACTTGAAGACATCGTAGACTCTCAAGGCTTCGTCCAATCCCAACATGCAACGGCTCAAGATGAAAGAACAAAACAACGTATCCTTGATGGACAGATCTGCTTCCATGAACCGATCTGGGGTCCGCTTAGCGATGGTGCGTGCCCAGGATTACCTATTGTGTTCAGTCCTCCACAAGCCGTATCTTACGAATTAATGACCAACCCCTGACTATTTGCGGATGTGTAGCCAAGATCCTCGTCTCGCGCCTTCTTGTCCCGGACCCACAGGACCGTGCAACAGTGTATACCGCGCTCAAGAGTTGGTGGATCTGCATGGACCTTGAGGAGTTGGATCAAGCGTACCGAGAGCGGATCCGAGCGCACTTCACGTGATTCAGTTTGCGATAGTCTGTTTTTGTGGCACTAGATTTGTACAGTGCTCCTGTGGTATTCAATTCCAGCGGTTTACATCCGATTCTGGGATTAAATGTATTTGTCGTAAGTGTGATAGTAAGAAACTGTAGGAATCGCGGGGGGTGTCCTACAAGTCAAGGGGATCAGAACTTGAGTATGAATATATGATGTCCTGAACATATTGAGTTGCTATTCGTTCCATGTAATAATATCTCTATCTTCTTCTGAGTTATGGTCGCGTTTACGGTGCAGCATGACACGTTCGCGTGAAGGGAACAGTCTGTTGCAATCTACGGGTGCTAGTGAATGGACAGATATCAGACAACATAATGCGTACCTTGAAATGCACATATGTATATCGGTGTTCTACAGCAGTGGGTAAATCAGGACACGATGGTACAATGTAATATGACTTACTCTTGAGGAGAGGTGACACGAGCGAGACCGGATATTAGCTGATCATGCGTAGTCGTTGCTTTCAGAAAGGTCACTCAGCTCGCATAGCATCATGATTATGACCTTACTTACTGTCATGGGTCGCAGGCTTCGACTTGAGGACGGACGGCAGCGACGGACCATGCATTACAGGATGAAGAAATGTAGCACAACCACATCTGATTACCAAAAGTTGACCGGTCCATGGACCATCACTCGCTTAGCGCCACTGGCCTGTGTCCCGTCGTTCATCAGGAAAACCACTGCCGACCTGTAGCAACTTGTAACACAGCGCTTCTTTTGAATCGACCGTAGCAACTCGTAACAGCCAGTAATAGCTGAAAGCAGTAAAGCCTCCATACTGGCTCCGGGGCTTTCGAACACGCCACAATGTATCCGTAATTTTCAGTAAGCGATCATAATCTTTGTGGTACGATAAGACATGATCATCGTGACTGCTTGCCATTCAACCAATAGCTTTGCCAGGCAGGAATTTTGGGATTGAGGGACTCTACTAAGTGATAGTACAGGCACAAGAAACTACTGGTAACTGAGGATAGCATGAAAGGTCTCTTTATCTGCAAAATTATTTACATAAAACTCCTGCACCAGCTGCAAACTATTGTCACAGTTCATGCTTGCTGATACCTGTTGACCAAACTTGGGAATTAGCTGGATAACCTGATGCACGCTTTCCAGAGGCACTATGTCCCCCAAAGCAGCATTGTTCGATCAAACACGACAGTGAACTAAGAACATATCAGTCACAGGTGCAGGAGTGACAATATGAACACTGTCGAAGGTGTTGATTAATGAATGTGAAAAGTTGAAGAAATCGACATAGAGGAAGGGCTGGTTCAGATAGGGGGCTTCAGTAATAGGCTGGAGGATAGATTTGACTTGGACAATGGCATAACCTAGCATTCTGTGAGAATCTAGAAAGTTACAAGGAAAAGAATTACATGTACGTTTGGACGCTGCTGGGGAAAGCAGTTCACCACTTTTGTGAGCAATAAGGACAGTGTTTCCTCTTCCAAATGGCATCAAAGAGCTTGGTGGTAGCGCCTGAATGGTATGAGCAGGACTAACAACACGGCTATCTTGAGTAGAGCGCCACTGCAGGCAGAAATTCTGCCAAATGCGAAGGTGATCAAAGGAAAGGGAGCAGTTGGGGTGACAAAATCATCTTCCATTGTGCTCAAGGTAAGATCTACCAGAGATCAGATCACCCAGTGCTGGACGGAGATCAGGAATGTGAAAAAGTTGAGACACTTCTTCAATAGATAGGTGGGGATGATGTGGATGGCAAGTAAGCAGGATTGCAACAGGATCATCGGAAGAAATATGAGAACAATCTTTGGTGAATAGTGAAATGACTGGTTTGCCAGCACTGACATACTGCTCATCGGGCAGAACAGTAGAGATCCAGGTCGCTTCGGGATAGTGAAGAGCCATTGCATTTGCTTCCCTGGACATTTTGTATATTAAACTTGCCTGCTGCGATTTCAAGACTGTAGAGCTGGAAGAATTGTAGTTTTTCCTGTTGATTGAGGAAGCAGCAACACTGACCATGGAAATCCTTGTGGTCGGTCATGCAATAAGGTTGTTTCACATGGGTAATGTGGCAGCGCTCGGTGATATCACTGCTCCATTGATATGGGGCACCCATGGCGCGAGTACTCTGGACGACATGCTGCATTAACTCCAGTTTTGGGATCTGGAAGTGATTAAGGGGACCGTTCTTGCCACGGTGACCACCAGCAGTTATGATGGAAACTTTATAGTGGTGAAACTCGCACAAGGCCTCAGTTAACAAGTGTAACGTTTTGTCATAGAGGAAGAGATTCTGAGCTTGAAATATGAATTCTGTGATAGTGTGTAGTGTGCATGCAACGTCATCGGGGACAGCACCAGCAATCATGGCAGGAAGAAGCTTCTCAAGGTCTTGATGATCTCGACCAGTTAGCTGCTTCAATGTAGATACACTGTGTGCCCAATGGCACACTCCTACATGAGGTTGAAGAACTGATAGTCAAAGATTGAGTTCTGCTCCCCCCATGATGTTTATGGACCAAGTAATAGGGTGGTTGAAGAAAAATTTGTGCCATTGATGAAGGGCATCCGGCATCAAAAAGTGGGATGGGCATGCATCACCCCAATCCATCCAGTACAGTTCAACTACGCCATTCAGATGCAGTGTCTGGCATGCCTTATAGAAGGATGCGATGTCGCAATGGTCAGAAATAGCGCAGGCCCTTTCAATAGCATCAATAGTGTGAGAACAAATTTGAGGAGAGTGTGGAAGAGGGTCCCAAAATTGTGTGGAGACAGCGAGGGAAATTGGTGAGTGCTTCGAGGCAGTACATGCAATGAGGAGTTGCTCAGGGTAGTCAGCTATCCAGGCAACCAAAGGGGTATGAATCATACACAAATCTCCTCTCAGGTCTGACATGACGCAGCCATCACGGGCAGCAATCTTCAAATTACGCATGACAATTGAGATCATGAAATGATAGACTCATGTGGATAGAATTGCATGAATGGGCTTTGAGACCTTGAGAAATTTAGGTAGGTATTGGGAGGTAAGCAACCAAAGCAAACACATGTGATGTTGCTTTCATATGAACACCTGCATGTATGTTAGCAAGTGAGATCAATAGGGGATGCATCTCCTTGTTTCCGGTCCTGATCATTAAAGGTGTCTTGTCTGAAGCACCAATCACACCAACGAATGAATAGCCTGGAGGAAGCTTATCCTGACAACTCATCGTTAATACAGTGAGGACTCAGCATCAGTAGGTGCCACCCACCTGTATCTCCCATGCATGATCAGCACTCATGAACTCTCCATAAGCTCACTGTCCATCTGGGCCTTCAAATTCTTGGTATGGCCGAAAATCCATGCAAGGCATAAAGACTGGGTTAGTGAAAAGATGCTTAATGACATCCAAACCATCCCTCCAATATAGCACCAGTGGCACTTTTGTCTTATAGGAACTGACCTTGATTTGCTGGTGGTACCATCAAGGAACCTCAGGTAGTCCTTCAATTTGAACTCGCAGATCTTTGGACATATGGAAAGAGGGTGGATTATTCTTTGTCTATCTATCATTAATATACTGGTACAAGAAATGTCGATAGGTAACTTACATGCTCAAGGTGGAGAAAGGCATTGATTTCCTTTTGCAATAATGCCCCCCCCTGAAAGCCAGCATGCTAGGTCAAACTTGGATTTTGATGCAAAGGGATAATGCATGTTTTCTGTATGATGGATGTTAGCATGTTTGTTGTTGTCCATTTGCTGAAGAAGATTTTGCCTGCTGGGTGTGGCAATTGGGATATTGGGGTGATATTCCCTTATCATGCCAGGACGTGGGCCTGCAGAGGGATTGACAGATATGAGAGGGGCGTCACATGCTGAGCTGACCACAGGGTATTCAGCATGCGGCATGGTGGGTTCTTCGATATTATCCAGGGGATCAAAGTCTTCATAACATTCCCCATAGGCTAGGTACATGCTAAGCTTTAGTTGTAGTTTGAGTGAGAAATACATACCATCTTGCTCTGTTTCTGGGTCCTCAATATAGCCGTCTTGTGAGAAACAACTGTGCTCCCTGAAGTCTGGAGTATTGCCTTGGACAACCCTTTGACCACAGAGAACAGAAGCTGACAGATGACAAATAACATTGTCACTGTCTACAAATGTATCTGCACAGTTGGGACACGCAAATGTATGCCCATTGTTAGTTGAATGGGGTACATCAAAAAGAGACAGACATGCTGATGAATCCTGCAGTTGAGGAACACCCTTATAAATATGAATCTGAAATCCCTTGGTTGTCCAAATCTGCTAAATTTGATTGTCCTCCCATCATCGTTATCAAGTGTTCAGGATCGTTGTGTAGATAACTCACCTCCTAGGTGTCAACTGTCTTTCCAGCATTTTCACCATATATCAAGGGTTGCTTTATGATTAAGATAAGCTGTCTTCCCAGCATTGTCGACATACAGAGGGCCCAGTTCTATCTACATATCAGGATTCTGTCACCTGTGAACAAGATACTCCAATGGTGTCATGGCTGGTTGTGGAGTATCACTGGACTTAGCAAAATTTCGATGAACTCAACTCACCATGCAAGTTTCCCATCTGTCAGGCTGGTATCACAATCAACAAACAAGTACCTTGCATGCTATTGAAGAATTTCATGCCCTGCACAAGCAGCACTGGTAGTTCAGTCGCATCAGGGAGTACTGGGTCTTTCAAGAGTCTAAGGTCCGTTTATTATCAAGAGTGGGTGACCCATTCACTTGTTATGTACTCCAGTGTTTCACCCCAGTTGCCTCTCACATCTGAGGCACCTAATAGCTCTCCCCTTTTGAAGAGCAGCTTAAGAGCTAGGTTTGTTTATTATCACGAGCCATTTTTCCCAAGTGTATAACTCACTGACTATGCACTCCAGTGTTTCATTGCCTCCCACAACTGAGGCGCCTAGTAGCTCTCCCATTTTGAAGGGTCACTCTTTCAGTGTAAGAGCTAGTTCTCCAGTGACCCCAAACAAGCATAATAGGTATGTTTATTCAATGAGTGTCATTTATGTGCTACATGATGATTGACACCAAGAACTCCAGTGTTTCACTGCCTCCCACATCTGAGGTGCTTGATAGCTCTCCCATTGTGAAGAGTCATGCCTCCTGCTTGAGGACTGGTTTCCCAGTGACCCCAGTCAAGACTAGGTCTGTTTATGTCTAATACAAAATAAGTGGTATTCACTGACTTCTCAGAGTATCCACTGTTGGATCACTGGCTCCCATGCACGAGGTGCCAGCTAGCTCTCCCATCCCAGGGAGTAGTTGCCCAATACCAAGTAGCTCCCCCATCCTGAGGGGTAGATCTCCCACTGTGAATGTTCTACCCCTCTTGCCCACCATGTCGGATGAGGGTAGCACTACAGTAGCTCACACATATAGCCCTCACAAGAGGCCACACCAGTACAGCTTGCTGCTGGCTGCCGATGGACTCACGGACCACGAGAATTTTCCCATGAAGAAACCTAGGCTGTTGCTCACAACCATATGTTACCCTCACCTGAATATGGTTCAAAAACTGATACATGACTTAGTTCACTTGTGATCGATCTCCTGAATCTGAAATATATTTTAATCAGTGCATGCTTGAGCTCTCTTGTATCAGCCATCAGACCTTTGCCACCAAGATGGAATATCAGCGCCTACACGCTGAAGAACTAGAACTAATCGTGTCTCTGATGAAAGATGAAATGGAGGAGTCCCAGGTGCATGTGGCAAGGGCTGATTTGCAGATAGGCTTGCTCTGGAACAGCCTGCATGATGCGGGTGTGGCTGTGATATGGAATAAAGGGAGAAAAGATGCCAAGAAGGAGATTGGATATAGCAGGATGTTCCCTCATTGTGGAGACCATGAAGTTGATGACAATGGTGACTCATGGGATTCTTCAGTTTCTTCTGGATGTAATGGCAGTGTCGATGATAAGTTGCAGGCAAGTGGGGAGTCATATTACTCACAGGCAGCTCCACTATTAAATCCCTGAGCCTGATTACTCTTATCTGACCATTTATAGACTACAAACAACTACATATGTACATATGTACTATCACTGGTGATAGCTGGCGGTGCAATTATAAGAATATGAATTTGTCTTCTGATGGCAGCTGGCTGCCATCTCGACGATCACCGCAATCACAATCCCATCATGTAAGCGCCAGCATTAGAAATTCATACTTGAGCTAAATCTTGTTGTTCCCCTGCTCATTTGGGTCACACAACTCTGAGTCATGCCTCGTGCTGCAATCGATAAAACAGTGCAAGTGGGCCTGCAGGTTTGCTTTGAAGCTGAGCCAATCACGTGCTCATTCATTCACCCTATGAACCCAAACCATGGCTTTATTTAAAGGTGAGTCTTTAATCGGGTAATTCAAGTTACAATCATCTTTAACGCTACTAGTACTATGCCTCGCACTGGCAGCCAAGGTGGGCATGGGCATGGGCATGGCAGTGCCATCCCTGGTGCACAATCTGGCGCCAATGAACACAGAATGTCAATCCCCCCCTTCCAACCAATACTGTTCCAAATGAGCCACAATGACTCAGGAATCACAACAGAACATCAAATTGCTGCTAATAATATGATTTATGTACATACACTTTGCTTTGGTGTGTTCTCAGTTCAATACTAACGATGTTTCAAGACAGAAGGTCCTACCATCGACACATTACAGCAACATCAATCTTGCTGCAGATCAACCCAGTTACTGCTGCAAGATCAGCTTAGACCATATGCAATCCCATCCTCACGCACCTCCAGCCACCGAACATCATCAAGGGTCTCAATGAGCACCATGTCACTAGACAACCTCGATGACAACAGCACCAATTCACAGCATGCAAGGCATGGTTCGAGACATGGTGCATTGAAGCTCTCCAAAATTGGATTTTACAGTGAGAACAACAAACAAAACATATATCACGCACGGAAACTCATCGTGCTCAATATGATCCTTGAGTCTGGTTGGGAGGATGATTGCAACACACTGGATGCCATTGCTAGAGAATGCCTATCTTCAGCATGTGTGAGGACCAGCCACAGTACGTGTTTTTTTTTCATTGATCATAGATGCACACTTATCTATAAATAGTTACCAAGCCTACTACTGCAATCATTAAGCTTGTCTTAGATGAACTATCAAACATATGAGGCAAGTTGGTTCAAGAAGCTGAAGGGTGTCTACCAGCCCTTGGCCTTCAGCCCGATGGTACTTTGTCCCCAGAAGACGACATGGCATGCATAATAGCATGTGTGAATGCCATATTAGATGAAAAAAATCTTCAAGATTACTTCCTCCATGGATGGGACACTGAGCACTCGAAAATACTTGTATTTTCAGCTGTGGTTTACTTTAAATTTCATGAAGGCTTTTGGTTTGGGCGAAATTCACCTTTCCTCAATGACCCAGCAGCGAGAGTGCAGATCTCGAAACCCTCATGGTTCATGTATGAGTTGTTGGGTGCTGCAGTAAGTCCATTCATCAAACATTCCTCAGACATTGATTAATTTTTGTTTGATGCTAGTTATATTGCGCCATCTGCCATGCTGCAACAGGCAGGCTGTCAAAGACCAAAAATGTCCTGCAATTCTCTGCTCACGAGTTTCAACCAGTTGCAGCTGGAATCCGAAATGCAATCAAACAATATATGGATTGCCCTGACCTTGACGATGGCGAATTCTTACCCCAGATGACCGCTCACCATGTGCAATGCCTGTAAGTGTGCGTGTGATGCCAAAATGATATATTGACTTTGTAAATACAGAAAAGCTCTTAGGTCTTGTACTGGGGAAGGATTGCCCACCAAACAATACAACATCAATGTGCCCTCCTCCTCATTGGAACTGTACCAACCAAGGATGGATAACTTTGCGGCAACCCTTTTGACGTCATCTTTGACCTTGTTACCCTCACTAACATACCCTCAGAATACAGCTGCATCATCTTCATCTTCATCATCTAACACATCATGGTACCCACATGATGTTGTACAATCACCTCAAGTAGTGTCATACGCACCATATGTCCCAGATGATCATGATTACATTGGTCATGGAAAAATGCCCTCATATCCCCAACCTCAATACTATATTCAGCCGGAGTCACAACCTCAGGCTTTCAGAGAGCCTGAGGTAGTGTTAGATCAGAGTAATGGGCCGCCATTCATGCAGGATGACCCATGTAATGATGATCAATTGTATTTTGTGCCAGGTTCAAGTTCAAGTTCACTGGCAGGCTGGGGGGTAACTTCACAGGCAGCTGGGGGCCCTCATACTTACCATGAAGTTCCGCACTATTTTTCACATCATTTGGACCATCAGTAGTAGTAGTTTTGAATGTCATGGTTGAATCATCATGCTCATTGTTCTGCCAGTGTCAATTATTGTACTATGATTATCAGTGTACTAGTAGTACTATCTCATCTAATCGCCAAGTTTTGAAGATTAATTGACCACATCTAGGAAGCGAGCAAGTAGCGCTTAAGTCTGAATTCAATTACCCAATGTTCAAAAGCATTTTAACTCTAAATGGCTTAGTGCTATAGTTACAGCTCACTATAAGATGTTACAGCTTGATTCTGTAATAGTCGACTGTTACCAAACTGGAATCTGCTACTGTGCTTCTGCTAGCTACCAAGCACTTCATAACTCACAATATCCCACTGATGTTTCTGCTCGATATCTATAAGCCCCTTGGACCTGCCATCCTTAGTCCCCAGAGTTGTTGCTTGTTGCTTGTCTCATATACTTTCACTGATCATTTCTTGCGGAATACTATATGTGCATGTTCTATACTTTCATGGCATCAAGAAGTGTGGTGTGGAAAAATGGTAAGGTCAGCTGGCATGATTGGACAAGACGGAGAATCATTTGGCTGGCCTAGACCTGGACCAAGATAGGTCCAGGAATTGAAGAACACTTGCTTCAGCATCATACATTCAAGTCTTCTTCTGAATCAAAAATTGACCATTGCCATAGCACACATGGGGAGTTCAAGTGGTGTTGGACAACTCTGGCTTTAGTTCAATATAACATGCATAGGGCATTTGAGACTTCAAATTTGAAGTATATTCTTTGCATTTTGTACAACATTCAAAGTGCTCTAAAATATTGATAACCCTGATGTGACATCTGTTTACAGAACTTCCCCAGCTGTGTCTCAGGTGTCAGCAGCATCAATCTAGTCCTGTGACCTCTGTCACGGTGGTGATGGCTTTTGAGTCCACAATAAACAACAAAGTCATCTAACACCAGCCCTTCATCTAAGATACTGCTGACTCTGGTGATGTTCTTTGTTGTTCTTGCATGTGACAGACAGTGCTTTGCTATCCATACCAAGGTCTTAATGGAGTTGGTCTCACAGAAGAATGGTGAGGTACTCAGTTGGTTCATTTCATCAAGTAATTACTTACATCAGGAAATCAACCCCAAGTTGATATGACCAGATATAATTGGTAACTAGCAGTGACCCGTGGCTACACCACTCAGTTGTGCTTGAAAACAAACATTAAAATTTTCATATAGTACCATACTGTGACAATGACGAAAAATGTGACTATGGTGTAGTCTAATTAATGTTCTCTTCAGTCCTTTGGTGCTTGGCTGGCTGTGCAACCTGGGAGAAGTCAAATTTCATGCCAGGTTTGCTTGGCATTCTGCTGGGAGAAGGACCTAATATCTGTTAGAATGAAGTTGGTGTGATATAGCAGTATGTACGTACCATGACTTGCAATGTTACCCAAGGACTTTGTCACAACAGGGCGCCCTAAGAATACAATCGAGTCGACCTCAACAGTGAATCTCTGTTTGCTCTGATCCCAGGCCTGCAACAGATTTGACCTTTCTTCCAGTGATGAATCCGGTGACTGAAACATAATGATGCAGCTGCAGCATGAGTTTCTTGCCGGACTTTGTCCACCTCACTGTGTTCGGAAAGGCACATTCAACAGGCATGGCAGATTTGAAAACTTGATTGGGCCTTGATGTTCCGGAAGTCTGGGCAGATGAGTTGCTTTGTAGGCATGAGATATACTAATGTGCATCAATAGAAAATGTGCTCACAAGATCATCAGTACTCTTGACAGTGCCACAGAGCTCAATGTAAGGCATGTAGAGGGGTGAAACACCATCTTTTACAATTGGAATCAACTGTGTGGAAAAAGACAAAATCAGGCCCAACAGCCATATCATGCATGTAGTGAGATGTACCCTGACCACATCTCCAACCAAATCAAAGTATGCCTCTCATTTTGGGTCCTCAAGAGCAATGTTTGCACTCAGTTCCATTTTTGCAATCTTTGAACAAATCAGTTTGTGCTACAATGACAGATGAGATGATAAATAAGAACACTTACCCTCGCAATCACAATGTAGAACCCAACTGGATCAAAAACATGGTTTTCAGCATTGAAACACTTCAATGCAGCCAACAGTGGAGGCTGGTCATCACCTAGATACATCTGAGCATCGAAAATTAGAGCCCTTCCTTGACCTTCGCAAAATCTGCCATTCTTGAAGACAGCCACAGCAGTTATGGTGGCAGAACTTGCACTCGAGTTTGACATGAGGTATTGAGGTAAATTCTTCTGAGAGATACTATGAGTAATAGAGAAGCTGGATGGAATGCTCACCAGATGTGATGCATAACAGTTTATATATTCTGGCAGTGTTTGGTTAGATGGGTGCATGGAATCTCAATAGAATCTTGCAGAACATTCAACAGCCGTCAATTGTGGGTGTTCAGGAGTGCCACACAGCATGATCATTGTGTTTGGGCCTTGTCTTTGAAACCATGCATTTGCCAATTCTTTGCATACTAAAATGAGTAAAATTGAACATCAAGCAAAAAATAACATCCCCCATGGTAATTCCAACAATGTGTGTCAATGGTTGAATGATTGATAGTGAACTGAAGCAAGTACATCTAGAAAGGATATGATTTTTGATGAACTTCAGACAGCATGGTGAAAAACCTACCAATTTGGCATTAGTCTGGTGGGAGGAGAATTTTGATGTGCTGCTGACTTGTTGCACGTGAGAGAGCCACATACAACTGACCATGGCTGAACACCAGTGCTTGAAGATCCAATCCAACATATTTTACTGATTGCCCTTGTGCCTTGTTTACCATCATTGTGAATGCTAACCAAACAGGAAACTGTCTCCTCTTCATGACAAATGCCAAGTCTTGTGTTTTTGATGAAGGTGTTAGTGTGATGTGCAGGATGAAAGCAACTTCTTCATCATGGTCACCACCAATTATTCTGGCCTCCAGAACCCTGTTTGACATGTGCAGGAGAACCATTTGAGTGCCATTGCATAGCCCTTGCCCAGGTGCCAAGTTCCAGAGAAGAATAAGTGGACAACCAATTTTTAGGCATAGCTCACCTGGTGGGAGGCCAGATCCATTGAGTGTTTGGAGAAACTCAACTGGCAATCCATCTCCAAGTTGCACACCATCAGCACCGTCCTCTGTCACCACACTGTCAGCACTCAAATACACCTTTTCTTCACCACTCATTCTTCCCAGCAACTCTGCATTTACAGTGGCAACATCATCATTCCACGCAGCAAGGATTGTCCGGTTTTTGAAGTAGTCAACAGGTGGAGGTTGAGGGCTATCAATGCCATCATAAATCATGGTAATCAATGAGTCAAGTCAGTGTGTGACCATGGTGGGTGGCAGTGCAATGGTGCTGTCATCTTGCAGATTTCGTCCATGTCTGACATCAAGGAGCCATTGTGCAAACTGCTGGTTATCTGCACTATTCTCAAGCCACATGTTCTGCTTAAGCTTCAAAAGTTCAATATTCCACCAGATGTATGAACACTGGATGGAAGCGCTGACAGTGTCTTCATGTATTCCTTGTGGCACAACTGGAAGTATTTGTAAAAAATCACCACCAAAGATCACTGTAATTCCACCAAATGGCCTGTCCAAATTTCTATACACATACAATCTACAGCTTCGGGTGCATGTCAATGCTGCATTGGAAGTTCATCCCAAATAATGAGACAGGTTATTTGGAGTAGCTCCACCAGTAGACCTTCCTTGGCAATATTGCACACCAAATCCTCATTAAGACCCTCAATTGAAATTTTGAACATGGAGTGTGCTGTGCATCCACCTGGCAAGAGTAGTGCTGCAATACCAGATGAAGCAACACAGAGTACAATCCATCCTTCGGCTTGCACTTTGTGGCAAATTGTCTTGTAGACAAATGTTTTGCCTGTTCCACCTGGTCCATTGAGGAAAAATGTTGTTCCACACTGCTGCTCGACTGATTCAATGATGTGGTTGTAAGCATGAGCTTGCTCAAAATTCAAGCAGGGAATGTGATTGAGAGCCTTCTGTTGTTCAACTGCTTTGTCATAAGAGAGTTGTTTGGCAATATAGTGATTGGTAGTGTTAATGTTGCGTGCTCAAGGGGGTCGGATCACAAGGGCTTGGCCTCAGCTCATATGCTGTGCCCCTTTCCTGAGTATGTGCCCTTAATTTCCAGGGGCTAGGACAGTTGTCCAGAGTTTCTGGGATTTGACTAGGGTGGACAACGGACATCCAGATCTGAAATGTGAGATAAATCTGATGGACATCCAGATGTTACTTGGGCAAGCAGATAAGACTAATTCAGACGAAGTCCAGACTAGAAACTAACAGGGGATAGACTACCCTAAGGTAGAGCTGGAAATGTAGTCTAGGATGCAATCCTAAGACTCAGAATATGACAGGAGACTTGTCTCGAGTCCAGAGGACACAGGAATGAGCAGGAACTAAGATGATATTCAAACTGGAGTATTTCTGAGAGTTACAGGAGGTTTATATACTGTAGGTATCATATAGGAATCAGTCAGCAAACATAAAGGCTATGTATGAAGCATATGCAAAGTCTATTAGTAAGTAGGACGGATCACAAATAATGAACACCGGAAATGAAATGTATGTAACAGATCAATAATCAGAAGGGAAACATAGTTAACCAGAGTCCAGAGACAGGGGAAGTCTAAATGGGGTTGGGTGCTGATATAGGGTTTGGATTCCAGAAGGAAGATAAAGATAGATCAGATCATTGGAGATCCAGATCTTGGATCTGGATATCTGGAGAAGCAGATTTAGAGTTGAGAGTCTGGAATGGCATATGACAGGTAGCTTCAGCATGACACCAGTCATGCTGGGGCTCTGGCATCAAGAACTGGGCAAGAGAGTATCCTGACTGCTGGAGAATGTTGTTGAGGAGATAAAGGCCAAAATCATACACCTCGCCATCTGAAGGATCAAGCTGTGGCATGACAATGTGAAGGCGGTGGCACAGGTCATCACAAATGTGATGCCAAAAATTAATCCATAGTGCACTAGGCCTTGTAGGTGTGCAAAAAATCAACAGAGTTGCAAACAAACAATGCAATTGGCTGCCTGTCTGCATCTGTGCAGCCTCCTCGAGACACTGCCGCCACTCACCATCATCTTCCAAAAGACTGTGAATGAGACATGCTTCCTGAAATGTGGCATGAATGACACCATTGATAGTACAAAGGTCTTGAAATGATTTTGGCCCTCTTACAACTGTAAGAAGTGTTCACAGGTAGAACCTCTCTCCACCCATAGGAGGTACATGGTACATGTGACCCAGTGCAAACCCTCGCTGGTGTACTGCCCAGGACTTTGATTCAGCTTTCCAGGTGAAAAACTGTGGAAACTCCTGGTAAGTGTATTTCTGTGCCTCCATTCCACATGCACCTGAGTCTGCATTTGCATCAAAAAATGCTGTTAGTGTGGTTTTCTCATTGGCAGCCTGTGCAAGGATGATTTCAGGATCTTCATCTGGGTTAAATGTGACTAAGTGTTGTCCTGGAAGATGGACCTGTAGCCGTGTGATATTTGGATGCTGATCATGGATATGGAGTTGAAGGAGGCGCCATGTAGCCTCTGAAGCTGAAATATAATGACCATCAATGAATTGAGCAATTTCATCTTGCTTGTTGATTTGCATAGTAGCATGGTCATGACCCTTGCAAATATACTTGTTGACATATTTGATTGAGCCAAATGAGACAGCACATTCAACATTGATGTGGCAGTTGAATTCAGCCAACATAAAAGGATTGTAAGGTACAACCCAGCTATTATCAAGCATGAAGTTGCTAACCTTGAATTGCCGACCATCGTCTGGTTGGTAATAGCGAGGATAACCATCATGGTCAAGGAGTGTGTGAGGTTGATATGGCTTCAGGTATCCCTTTGTGCACTTTCCATTCTCCATGCATGGAGCATTTGGGTTGAAGGCACCACAGGGACCATGGACCATGCAGGTCTCAACAGTCTCAAATAGCATTTGATGTGTTGGATCTGGCCACCTTGCCCATATTGTGGTGTCAATGTCTGCTGTGGTTGATAACTTGTGTGGATGATCAAGGAAAATAAGCATGGGCATATGTGGTAGGCCGCATTTTTGAAATTCAATGGTATAGATATAAGCCGCCATGCGACCAAACATGCCCTGCTTGTACACATATTCAACAATAGCTCCCCTCTTGAGCTTGAAGACTCTTGCCACCAGATCAGGGTGGTCAGCAACAGTCTGTCCTGGAAGGAGCTCCTGCTGGATTTCAGGCCACTTCAGATTGCAGGTAACTGTCATGAATATATCAATCTTCTTAAAGTACTGTGCAAGAGCAAGGCCATCCTGAAAACATTGGTACATATAATGTGGCCCACCTGTGTAAGATGATGGCAGAATGAAGCATTGGCCAAGTTCATGCAGGTCCATTTGACCATCAGCAGCGGCAGCAGCATCCTGGAGCCCACTGTACACTGAAGCATGAACAGTCCCTTGGTTTTGATGAATATAACTGAGCCGATTCTGGTCCATGCTTGCCCATACATCCACCAAAAATTGTTGAAAGAGAGTTGCTCCCCAAAGAATGGCTGAAAATTCAGCTTCACAGTGGAATAACTGATATGCATAGTATCAAGCTTGTGACAGGCGTTTTGGATTTGCCTTGTCAGGTTGATGCATCTTGAGATCCAAGTGCCAACCATCCGCTCCACAGGGAAAGAATAAAACATGATGAAGACACACATATGAATGGTGTCCATCATGAATTCACTGGAGTGGACCTGCCCTTCAATGAAGCACAACATCACAGGAGTCAGATGCCTCAGTCCCATCTCCTGGGATGACAGCTGCGATTTCACTAATTCATGGTAGGTTGTAACATCATTGATTGCACACAGGATTGGCAAGTAGTCATATTGTGACAGGAGATTCCACAGAATATTGAGCAAGGATTTCGTGAGCATGCTGGAATAGACAGGCATAGCGGTGATGATCACACAGAAGTGTCTGCAATGTGTCCATAGTGCGCTGGCTCAAATCAGCATTGTGTTGCATCCTGCTCTTCTAGTGCTGCATTAGGATTGTAAATGTATAGTTGTGCATATGTAGGTTGTCTTCCCTCTCCCACTATAAGCTCCCCCACATGATGGTATGGCTCTCCATGAATTCGATAGATGTATGGACCTTGTCCATTATTGACAGAGTGGTCAACCTGTACACCAAGTGATGTGAAGGTGAGTGCAACATTATAGCAGTGGATGTTCTTGCGAAACTCGACAACATCTGGCGTTATTTTCTGCAAAAGGCCCTTTAGCTGCTGTGGAGGCTCAACCAACAATGGAAGCTGAACTTGGCCTGAATCACAGCAGGAGCCAAACTTTGGGTTCCATTTCAAAGAAGCTGCAAGCCGTTCATCCATCCAGTGATAGGCACTGCAGTTCGGACATGCAACATTCATCCAACCTAGATCATGACGATGTTCTGGCTCAACATATGGTTGCTGAGCACATGGAGGGGGGCCATTTACAGCAAGATGTCCAGGATTATTGACAGGCAGCTGTTCATCAACTTGCATTGGAGAATTAGCTTGATCAATTTGCAATGGTTGATGGACAGGAGTTGGTGCACAAGGGGGAGTTGGCATGCAAGGTGGAGTAGGTGGGCGAGGCTGATGATGCACATGAACTTGAGAGGCAGGAGACAGTGCAGGACAAATTGGGGCTGGCACATGATGCTCAGTGGGTGCATGTTCACATTCAATCATTTGCTGCTGTTCTCGTTCTATCCTTTGCTGCTGTTCTCATTCTCACCTCTGCCTTTGTGCCAATGAACACTTGCTTATAGGTGGCTGTTCATTGACAGTGATGTGCAGCAGATTTGAGGGCTGGGTGGCAGCGGTTGCACTAGACAAATCACAATCCTGAATACAGTAAATAACTGAAGTCAGACAACAAAATCTATAAAATTCACCATGTTCAGACTGTCAGAGGTTGAAGAACCACATGCATGCGTCTGTCCTGCAGCCCCGCACTTGACACCAGTCTTGAGGGCCCATCTCTTATGTGGTGGCACATCATGGTCTGCCTTGTCCGTCTTCTTGCATGCCTTTGACCGTTTCTGCATAGCATCAGAAGGATTTTTCCTGCAGAAGACAATATGCAATGTGTAATGATAAGTAACGCTGGACACATGAACTTTAACTCACAAATTATTAGTCATTTGCAATTGCAATGAGCGTTGGCCCATTGACATCTTTGGCATGCTTCATGATTGACAGCACCTTTGCATTAATGGGCCAATGAGAATGTGAGTTTGTCTCAGTGAATGAGAGAGCAAGTAGAAAGCAAGCATGTGACCAAGTTTTTTAGTATAGTAGATTGCAAAATATTATTATATGTTATGTTTTAACCTTAGATATCATTATCATGGTGTCACACATATATGAACTAAGATATGACTATGCATCAGCAAATCACTTTGCTTCTGTGGGCTCTGTACAGCTCTGTACAGAAGGGACCAAGCTGTGGCCAGCCATTTTTTGGTGGTGGGAAAAAAAGTGTTTTACTGATGTGCCAGAAATATCACCTTGATGTGTCTTTTGCATTAGGAAATCAGCACAAACTTGGCTTACTAATGTGATATACGCAGAGAGGGAGTCCACAAATGAGATACATGAACATTTGCAGACATTTGTGGACTAGCGCAGTACAGCTGATTATGAGGTGTGGTACAGGTGAGTACAAAGCACATTGACTGAAGATGATATATAGGAGCACGAGGGTCACGGTGAAGTATGTATGAAGCTAAGGCCGCTAAATCAACTTGTATTTGTATTCGAGAAATACAATAAACTCCGCAAGGTCAGAAGTCGGCAATGCCGACCCCTAGTGTTATCCGTATATGCAAAAAGTGTGTCATCTGATCTCTTGTGGGTTTTCACTGGTGCTTAAAAGTTGAGGATGACGCATACTGGCATGCATTACAGGATGAAGTAATGTAGCACAGCCACTTCTATTAAATTGCACCCCAAAGCCGCAGTACTTACTCGCGGAGGGGCATGTATGACTTATCTTCGTCACCGTCGACCACAGTGAGCTCCACTCTCAGGACCATAACTTCCCGCTTCGAACATTCAGTCAATAGTCGAGACGACGAGGAGATACCTGCAAGTTGGTCTGGGATGTGGGGTACCCGGTCAACGTCTGTTGCAATGACGAAGGCCAATAATGGCAGGGCTGCACGTGGGATTCACGGCAGGTCGTTCAGCGCTTCTCCAGCGTCTGCCCCTCCTTCATGGGCACTCCAGCACCCGCTCTCTATGTCCACTAGTACTAATCAGAAATATTCAACACCTGTTGTGCGGTGGCCATCCTCGTCGTCTGCCAGAGACATACCGTCCAGTTCAATGTCGACCCCAGATGACTCACCGTCGTCGTCGCGTCCGCCATCTCCGGGACTGTCGTTACTAAACGAAGCGTTGAGTGACAGCATCCTTCCGACAGTGCCTCCACGTGCACGACTGCCTCTATGTTTTTCGCCTGCTCGCCTGCTTAGTCGACCACCTCCATTACTCAGTAATCTGCTATCTACTCTCCCGTCAGCATCTGTGACTTCCATCCCTCCACACTTTCAAAATGGGCCTCCCTTATCTTCTGCAGATCCCGCAGCTCACATTAATGAACCATGTATATCGCTAAACCACTCCCTACCTGCTCGTTCGTCCATCGACACACTACGTTCGATCCATGCATCTACCGCACCACAGATTGCGCTTCCTCCTATTCCAAGTAAATGGTGGTTCCAGAGTGATTCAGACTCGGAGATTAAGGACAACGTGGGCAAGCTCCTCAATGACGAAGATCAGGCTTCGTCGCTGAATAAAATTCATCAGAAGTGTATGTTTGTAGTCCACTCCTCGGGCTTGACTAACTGCTTGCGTGTAGATCGTTCACCAAAAGCCCCTGTTGTGTTCTGCCATGGACTTCTTGGTTTTGACACCGTGACCGTTGGACCTTCCCTTGCACCCTTACAGGTCGCACATTGGCGTGGTATCAAGGAAGCATTGGAGGCAAATGGTTGTGAAGTTCTGATTACACGAGTACCTGCAACAAGTTCTCCTGTAGAGCGCGCGAAAGTTCTCGAGAAAAGGATCTCTGAAGTCTATCCTGGCCGAGCTGTTCATCTCATAGGACACAGCATGGTAAGTTGAGCAGTGAGGCGGAAGGCCACCCCTATTGACGCATTGCAGGGCGGCCTCGATTGCCGTTACCTCACAACGCACCTCACCCAACGCAAGTTTTCCGTGATAAGCATGACTACAATCGCCACTCCACATCGTGGCTCCTCCTTTGCGGACCACTTCATGTCGCTCGCCTCGCAGCATCTTCCATCCGTCCTTGCGCTACTTGAGCTCCTGCCAAATGGTGGAGGCGATGGAAAGGCATTCGAATGTCTTACCCTAGAAAGCATGCGCCGGTTTAATGAGGAGACACCTGACGTTGAGGGTGTGCGCTATTTTAGCTGGGGTGCATCCTATGAACCAGGGCTTATTGATACATGGAAATGGCCGCATAGTGTCATCTTGGAGAAGGAGGGTCCAAACGATGGGCTGGTTAGCGTCGAATCAGCGAAGTGGGTGAGTGTGCAAGATGCCTCCTTCATGTGTGTGCCTTGCTGAATACGCATGCAGGGCACATATCTCGGTACCCTTTCTCCCGTGAACCATCTGGACCTTGTTGGATGGACGAACGCTGCGCGATATACGTGGGCCTCGATTTGGGGGAAGGAGATTCCGTTCAAGCCTGCTTCATTCTACCTTGGTGTTGCAGACTTGCTGGCTGGAGTAGAGGAGAACGAGGGAGAGGAGGATGCGTTAGAGAACGGCAGGGTTGAAGGTCACCAAGAGAGAATGCAGCAATACCTCTTGGGTAGCAGTCCGTCTCCCAGGTCGACGCCAAGCCCACTGCTGAGAATGCACCCTGCACTTGGAGAGATGGTATCAAAAGCGCAAGAAGAATCAATGTCCGTACCCCAACGTACTCCCCAATCAGCAGAAGCATCGAGATTCCCGACATCCCCAGAAGCACCTCCATCAACGAAGCAGATATCTTTACCCCCTACACCTCCTCACGAGGAGACCCCACCCACACCGCCTATAAAATCGTCAAGTCCGCCTACACATATGCGAGAACGAGACTAGACCACTCTGCAATGTGCGATACCCGTAAATACAATATTAAGTATCTGCTGCATTATTAGCTGTATCGTATTCTAATTGCTTACTACTGAGATTCAGCATTGATTAGTATGTCTCACGGAATAAAACACATTTCATCCGATGTGAGTTGGAGTAGGACAAATTAATACCATGACCGGGGGGTGGACCGGAGAAACGGGAGATCATGATCATGAGACAGGTGTCCAGGCCGTCTCACCCGGGCCCAACAAGCGCGTATTATTCTTGTCTGTTTCGCTAGCTCGCACACTTAATAGTTTTGATCTTCCTATCGTGAATCTCAACACTAACATATAGCCCGCTGACATGTCGCTCGAAAAACTTTCATCAAACAAGCACTACGAGGGGACGCTCGCAAAGTACAAGTTTAGAGTACGTCGTTTGGCAGTGGCGGCAACGCCGTAGCCACGCTAATGGTGTGGCTAATAGTCTGCTGCTCTGGGCGATACCTATACCCAATTCAATCTCTTCCTCCCCGCCAATGCGGCTCAGGGGAAGGTCCCTGTACTTGTCTATCTTGCAGGGCTGACCTGCACGGAGGATAATGGGTGCGTGTTAAACACCCTTTCGTTGACCCCGCAAACTCACACGGCGAAACACAGGGCTCAAAAAGGCGGTTTCATGCGTGATGCGGCAGCTCAGGGCATTGCTCTACTCTTCCCTGACACCTCCCCGCGTGGCGCAGGAATCGATGGTGAAGATGTAGATTGGGATTTTGGCAGTGGTGGGTAATCTCTATCTTGGTGCTCATTCTTACCTAACAGCGGACGCGGATAGGTGCTGGGTTTTACGTGAACGCAACGAATCCCAAGTGGTCGAAGCATTACAATATGCTCAGCCATGTTACTCAAGAGCTCCCGCAGGTGCTCGAAAAAGCAGGCTTGCCTCTCGTCTGTCCCGACGTCTCTTATCTTCTCCCCTTCTTTCCCTGACGTCAATATTCATAGGACTTCACACGCCAGTCAATCTTTGGACACTCGATGGGCGGACACGGGGCGCTGACTGTGTACCTTGCGTCACTATTATCGGGGATGAAGCAATATCGTAGCGCATCTGCGTTTTCACCCATCTGTGAGCCATCCGAGGTGCCGTGGGGGACGAAGGCATTCTCTGGGTATCTTGCGGGTGGTGTTGCGGAGGGGAAAAACCGTTATGATGCAACAGCGATGATCGGGAAGGTGAAGGGAGCGGTGAATATCCTTGTGGATTATGTGCGTCATGTTTTTGTCTATTCGTTGGCCCTGATTAGATTGAGCTGATATATAGTAACAGGGTACGGCGGATAATTTCCTGTACCAACTGCACCCGGAAAGGTTCCTCGAGGCTGCGCGCGTGGCTGGGCATGATGAGGTACAGGTACGGGTAAGGAAGCAAGAGGGGTACGATCATAGCTACTACTTCGTGCGTCTGAGTCTGCTTTTGGATGATGGAATGATGTACTGACAATGGAATGTACAGATATCGACATTTGCATCAGACCATATTCACTGTAAGTTCTTGTCAGGTTTCTGGAATGTGTCAATACTTATACGGAGGGTTATAGTCCACGCCAACTTCCTGAAAGCGTAAGAGGAGGATAAATAAAGCAAGAAGCTGACGTTTGTACGAATGGAGATATGATAGCTGGGCGTTAGTCTTACAATGCAGTGAGAATTGGATTGACCTGGGTGCCGAAGACGGCCGAGTGTGGGGAAAAAAAAGTGAGATGGATTCCCGTTGGATTCCCGAAGGAGGGAGAGCCACACTGCAGTGGTCGTTGCGAAGGAGACCGGAAATTGTTGAAGTGATGTTGAGATTTTGGTCAAAGACTACTGGTAGGATGGAAAGCAAATAGTTGTATACAACTACGGTCACAGCGAGCACAGTGCTAGTACAGTACTGCTTATACCATCAATTGAAAAGCTATCAATTCCTGTTCTCTACAACGACAACAAATTGTCATAGCCCCCGTCCTTTTCACATACTCACTCTTAATTCTTCAAACAAAATTTATTAGCCAACCATACCGTCCATCCTAGTAAACAGAGCACGAAGAATGTCATTCTTCTCAAGGAAGAAGCAGCCTAGCGCAAGTCAGCTCGCTGCTTCATCTGTAACAGTAGCCCAGACTCCAAGTCAAGCTCTCGCCCAGCTGGCCGCAAAGGACAATACTGCTCAACTTCAGCACAATACTGCTCCACTTCAACACCTACGCGATAATGACTCGTGAGTCCTTCATATTCAACTTTTATTCTCCAACAGCCGTTCATCGTTTTCTTCATACCTACTTCAGCTCAAATACCACGAATGGTCCTGTAGCATCCCTCGCTCAACGTCAACAAGCTCGTGGCACCAGCCCCATCATAACCCAACAACAGTCCCAGTCACAGCAGCAACCGCCACTCCAAACTTCCCAGCAGCCTCAACAACGGCCAGCTTATCCTTGGTCCGCACGGCGCTTACTCCTCCCGCCCCCACTCGTAATCCCGAAGCCTGGCGTTGCCGCACCAAATTCACCTTCACCTTCACCATTCCCTCGTTATGGACATGCACTTCCCGCGACAGCCACTGCTTCCGGAGACTTGTATCTTTTTGGTGGTCTCGTTCGCGAAACCGCCCGCAATGATTTATACCTTTTCTCTACTCGCGATCTCTCCGCGACTCTCGTGCAGACAGGCGGAGAAATACCATCGCCCCGAGTTGGTCATGCTAGTGCAATCGTTAGCAGCGTTCTCATTATATGGGGAGGCGACACAAAAACAGACCCCTCGTCCGATCAGTCAGAAAAACAAGATGATGGCTTGTATCTTCTGAATCTCGGTGCGTCCATCCTAATTGTTCAGAGAAACCATACTTCATGTATACCCCAGTTTCACGAGAGTGGACACGGGTAGCTATGCACGGTCCTGCGCCTGTTGGACGGTATGGTCATGCTGTTACCATGGTCGGCACCAAATTTTTCGTCTTCGGAGGTCAGGTAGATGGCGAGTTCCTGAATGACCTCTGGTCATTTGATCTCAATACTCGTAAGTCTCATTCAATTTAAGCTTATTTTCCTAAACCTTATGTTACGCTATGCTCTTAGTACGGACAACAACAGCTTGGGAGCTGTGTCAACCTGTCGGAACCGCCCGTCCTGCCCAACGCACAGGACATGCCTGTGTAACATACCAGGATCGTATCATCGTGTATGTTCGTTATTCATTCAATACTGGCTCGTATTCACGTTTTACAGGTTCGGAGGAACAGATGGCCAATACCATTACAATGATACGTGGTCGTATGATACTAATACCAGGACATGGTCGGAACTGCAATGCATTGGATTTATTCCCTCACCCCGGGAAGGCCACGCAGCCGCTGTAGTCGACGACGTCATCTATATATTTGGTGGCCGGGGTGTAGACGGCAAGGACCTTGGCGATTTGGCAGCATTCAAAATGTCAAGTACGTGATTTGATGAATGATAGGCGTGCATATTCTAAGCCCATCGCGTACAGACCAGCGGTGGTACATGTTCCAAAATATGGGTCCAGCGCCTAGCGGCCGTTCGGGACATGCTATGGCGTCCATGGGAACCAGAGTTTTTGTTCTTGGCGGAGAGTCTTTCACCCCAACCAAGGGCGACGACCATGGAATTATTAATGTTCTTGACACCAGTACGTGTCCGCTTTTCTCCACCAACGTCACTGCTAACGAGTTGCTCAGAGCACATCAAATACCCTGATTCCAAAGGACCACCGGCCAACAAGAACGATCGAAAATCATCTGCAACACCTACGCCTCCGCCAGGACCACCCGCACCAGGAGGCACTGTGCCTAATGGTATCCGCGCCATGTCCCCGACAGGTGCTCCTCAAGACGTAGACGACCTCCGCCGGGCTATATCTCCGCCAGGAATCCGGCCTGGAACTCGTACACCGAATGGTGCCCCTGCGCAGTCATCTCCCAACACCAAAGGTAAAGCACCGACACGCCCTCGAAGAGATGATGGGGACATGTTCGGAACAGATGATGGGAACGGGACAGACACTGGTGCTACCATCGAGTCTGTCACTACATCCCGAGATCATGCACCATCTCCAGACCAGACCCGAGCACGGAGTCCCAACTCCTTTAGTGTCGTCACCCGTGCGATGTCCCCCACATCTCAAAGTGGATCCGATCCCTATGGTAACGTACAGCCACCGAACGTGGCGAGCATGGCGATGAGTGGACTGGCTGCCCGAAGTCCATCACCTGTTGTGGATCGTAGCAGGCCACCTCTTGATGCTTTCTATCAGCCATCAGGTGGTTCTCCTGGTGCGAACGAAAACGGAAACGGACATGCCCAGGGGAAATTCGGTTCAACGGGTAATGTGACAGCTGATCTAATTCGAGATTACAAGGTCAAAGAGATGGAGGTCGAAACGTTGCGGATGCGAGAGGCTTGGATGAAGACGGCGCTTTTGAAGGCATCCCGGTCGGGCTTTATTCAACTTGGCGAAGAAGCATTGGAAGCTGAGGATATCGACTTCCAAGATGATACCAGTGAGGAACAAAGAAAACTTGCTGACATGGTCATGAATTTCAGGCACTTCAAGATCCAGATGCAGGTGTGTTTTCTCCTTTCAAGAACACATGAAACGTTCTAACGGAGACGCAGACTACCCTGGCCAATCAAGCCCGCGAGGCTTCTGAGCGCATTGCGGATGCTGAGCGTATGAAGTCCGCTGCGATCCAGGAAGCCGCATACTACCGTGCGAAGCTCACTGCCTATGAAGCATCTACACCTGGCGAGGTCTCACAAATTGAGCGAGAGCGTATTGCTGAGCTCGAACGTCATCTTGCTACTCTCCTGGCAGAACAGACTGCACAGAAGAAGACAACAGAGGAGCTGAGTGACTCACTCGCCTTGCAGACTACGCTTCTTGAGCAGGCCGAGGCACGGTCCACTGATGCCAGCAATCGTGCTGATGTCCTGGAGGAGACACACCATCGTGTTGTCCGCGAACACTCTGAAATTCGTGACCGTTACGTGGAAGTCGAGGCTGCTCTTCGAGATCACGCCGATCGACTTCTTGGCCAGACTTCGCTGCTTGAGCAAAAAGACGCTGAGACTTCTCAGGTCAAGAGACAGGTTGAAGAGTTGAGCCAACTCCGGGATCAGCATATCCGCGCTCTTGATCAAGCCCGTACAGCACTACAAGCCATATCCTCCCGCTCTGAAGAGGATCAACGCGCTCGTGATCAGGTCACTCAGCTAGAGGCAGACATTGCAGAATTGCGCGGTGACCTAGAGACTCGCACATCCGAAGTGGAACAAGCGAGGATCAGGCTTGCAGAGGTCGAGAACGCATGGGCCAAGTCTCGCGAAGAAGCTGATGCATTCCGCGCACTCACCACTGGCAGTCTTGGCGAACTTCTCGATTCGCATCGTGACCTCAAGGCAGACGAAGACAGATTAACGAGAGGACATGCGGAGAAAGTGGAGGTTATGGAGGTGGAAGCTACTTCTCTACGGAAGATGCTGAAGGAGGTCACACAGCAGCTCGAGGAAGTGCAAAGGGACCTCTCAGAGGAACGACGCAGGGTACGGCAGACGGAATCCGAGCAAACATTCCTACGATCGCAAATTGTGGGCCTCCGAGCGCAATTATCCAGCTCTGTCATGGAGCAGGGTCGTCTACGCAAAGATTTTGCGGAAAAAGATAATGATCTGCGGGGTGCGTTGAAGGAGACGGCCGATACCAATATCCGGCTGGCAATGCTCCGGAACTATCTTTCAGAAAATGGCATCATCCCAGATTCAGATGAACCTTTCTCAAATTTGGGAAGTGCTTCGCGATTGGCAGACCTGGAGAAACAGTTGGAAGAACGCTCCTTGATGTACGAGCGCTCAGAGCGAGAACTCAGCGGAGCTCTCCGAAGGAAGCGCGAACTTGAGGCTCAGTTGAGTGTGATGTCACAACAACAAGATCGATCAAGGTCCATGCAGAGCCCTGTGAACCAAGGTGACTCAGAAGCTGACGCACGCGCTCTTGAAGCTGAACGAAAACTCGAGGAGACGGAACGAAGCTATAAGGCGCGAATGCGCCAGATGGAAGAGGATTATCAGCTCGCTGTGCATTATGTGAAGTGAGCTTTTTCACAAGTACCTGTGCATGTCTTGGGTCTAACCGTCCATCGCAGAGGAACGGAAAAAATGATGCGAAGGATGAAAGATGAGGTTACGAGGACAAAGACTGCCTATGCTAGTCTGCAAGCGGAACTGGACACTGTTCGAGGACGATCCAGTACTGAACCGCGACGTGGTGTCAATGGCCGCAGCACTCCTTCAGACGACAATAACGAGCACCTTCGCGGCCAGTTGATTGATGCACAGAAGCAAAGTCAGCGTTTAATCAATGACAACAAAGATCTCCGTCAAAGAATGGAGACGCTGGAGAAAGATCTCGACATCATGAAGGATAACTTTGTCATCTCTCAACGAGAGTTTGACGAACGCCAGACTCGTGTAGAGGAGCTAGAGTTGGAGATTGAGAGAATGAACGCCACTCTCGCTGTATATCGCGAAGGGAGTGGCGCCAGTTTATTGGAACAGCTCACCGTCGAAAACACCAACCTCAAAAGGGACAACGAACAGCTTTCGCATAAAATTCACCTTCTTCTGGAAGTCGATCAGCCTCTCAAACGACCATCCAGCATGACGAGCTCAGAGAATTTCGAACACCTATCGAATGAACTGGACGATTGGCAACGACAGATGGCTAGCTCGTTTGGCGCCCGGCGACCGCTAAGTGACTTCGAATCCCCCTCTCATTTAGTAGGACATGAGCGAACCCGGTCGCGATCGTAACACTTGTTTTGTGTCATGTTATTTTTTTGCTTTGCACATATAGTTATACCCTTATTGCCTTGATTGCTGACCGCCGCTCATGCTCACACTCATTTCGTTTCGTACTTCTACGTCCCTCCGTTGCTTCGTCGTCGTTCGACGTCAATTATTCTCCATATATATTATGACATACATCAACATTTGCGACATCTCGAGTCTAACTCATTGTGAATCGGATGCTGCTTTGTGTCCACTCGACTGCCTTCTGCTTGACAGCCGATGCACCTTCCTCGTCCCCAATCTTACGCTCCAGTTCAAGCCACTTCTTGAAAAATGACCTTTACGCGACATTAGCACATGCAGTTCCGATAGGTAGTAGAACACGTACTTTGCCTTATGGCTAGTCATTTTAATGGCAAATAGACGATTGAAGATGTTCCTGCGTGCTGTTAGTGAGGGCACTTTGGGAGGCAGAGTGCTTACCTTAACGATTGGATATCACCTTGCCCCGCCTCCATATCCATATAAATCGACCATAGGTCCCAACGCTTCGGATGAGAGTCTACGATCCCCTCGAATATAGTCTTGCCTCGTTCTGCATCGCCGAGTTTGTATTCGAGCTGAGCGAATTTTGATATTGTTTTCAAGTCTATACAGCTGATTCAGGTCTGAATACAAGAATGTCATCAAACGACTCACGCTTGCGCTTTTCCAAGCTTTGCAGTGAACGCGGTAGCAATTTGCGTGCCTGCTCCAAGTCTCGGCGGCGCAAATAATGTTCGCAAAATAGAGTCCACACTTTCGAACTGTAGCCGAACTTCTTACAGGTCCGCTTATACTGATCCTCTGCTTTCTGTGCCTTCTCATTAGTACATTAGTGAAGCCGAGGTAGCAAACTTGCCTCGTGCTTCTCGCTCTCATCTAAGATGGCCGCCAGGCGGAGATAAACAGTCTTGGAGTCATTGTGTCGGGCAGCATCCTTGAAGACAGTCTCCAGTGACTCATCGGTGCCATAGACATTCTCGACGTTCAGTAAAGCAATCCAAACATTGAGCCGCTCTTCCTCCTCCCTGAAACTGATGATCTGAATCGCTCGTCGGCCAGTCTCCCGTGCTTTATCGATTTCGGATAATTGGAGGAGGAAAGACATGTACTGCATCCACAGGTAGGATGAATTTGGGGAGCCCAGGAGCAGCCGCTCAAAGTCGGCATTTGACTCTGGAAGTTTTGAGTGCATGTCAGCAGTGAGGTCCTGCTCAATCTCTTTCTTCTTGCGTCTTTCCTTCTTTTTGCTTGACTCATCCTCTTCGCTGCCTTCGTCGGAAGAAGAAGCGGATTCCCCATCAGACCTAGCGTCACCGGAGAACCAAGAAAACCCTTCAACTTTCAAAGGTGCAGCTTGTTTGTGAGTGGGGGATCTTGGCGTCGACTGCGATTGGGTGGGCACAGGATTCACTTGTGGCAATGGGCTGCTACGTTTGCTAGCCAGTGCATTTGAAGGGACCGGCTCGTGAGCATGAGATGGGCGCAGTGACGGGATAACCGGTGTTTTGTGGACCACCACAACACCCTCTGAGACAGCACTCGATGTAATGTCACTGGTATCGGTCACCTTGGCAGCTTTTGATGATGAGGCCTGACGAATGCTTGCGACAACTCGTGGTGGATTCAAGTCAACGGTTAGAATCCGCACTTTAACGACTCTGCCCGCGACAAACATGTCCTTCAGTGTGCTTGAATAGTCACTGCGAAGCAAAGTGTCAATCAAAAGCAGAGCCAACGGAGAAATCGAACAAACCTTGCTTCTCGAGACGGCACAAATGCTTTGAGATCATTGTAGAATCGGACAATCAAGCCCTTGTCCACAACTCGGTACACTACTGCATCTGTGATCATCCCGACCTTCGCCTCCTCGATAGAGGTCAGGACTGGCAGAGTAGATTCAATCAACGTCTTTTTAGCCGTCAACTCTACTCTCATGCGTTCGGGGTCGACAGCAAGAACCTGCAGATTTCCTTAGCATGCATCATGTCTAATGGGTATGATTGCGTACCCGGCATTTTATGCTGCCCCCGGCCTTGAACCTTTTTGATGGATGCTTGAGCGGTATATCTGCGTAGTGATTTGGCCATATGATGCCGTCCGCATTACAAGAGATCGACACGAATAGGGCGGAATCAGTAAGGCGTTTAACAGTGCCTTTCAGGACCTCTCCGACTCGTATATCACCTGCCTGAAGGAACCTTTGATCTAAAATTGAGGGTCGGAGGGAGAGTTGCAGTAATCCGTCCAACGGATGATAGCCTATGACACGCGCTCTATGGATGGTGTTCAATTTCCATGGGCCCGAAGAGGAAGAGAGCATCGGAACATGACCATCAGAAGTGTGAGATATCTATCAAGGAAGTGGTGTTAGTTTAGGACAATAGAATGATGTGAAACCTTACATGAATGAATCCATCAATGTGGGGCTGCACTTCAACAACAAGCCCTCGCTCCGGCTCTACGCGCTTCACAGTAACAGCATCCAAGATCGTACCAATGGGATACTCCAAGTGAATGCCAGCATCATCAGTGGAAAGTTTCACCTCCAGGTTGACAACGTGATCCAAGAGCGACACAGAAAACTTCGGTGGCGAACTTCCGGTAATTTCGTACAGTATTCGGGCCTTCACTTTCTGCCCTATCTTGAATGTTTTGGCAGGGTTAGTGGGCACATTAAACTCGTCAGCTGTGGCGTCAAAAAAGCCAAGTATCTGTAAGTTGATGCCGCTTGGTGAAATTGCCGTGATTAGGGCTTGACCTAGTATTCCTGGCAATACGGAGGTGATATTACTGACTTCTGAGATCTGTGAATTAGAACGTAAGTGAGGAACATCGCAAATCGTGATCAGCAAGACTGACTGAAGATGACTGTATGCCTCGAGGATCGACCGAAACTGTGCATATTCTCTCGTTGTTGGACGTCTTCAGGACAGCAATATCGAGCAGTTGGCCAACATGAAGCTTTGAACCGTCAGAACCACCTTTTTTGGCATCTTTGAAGGATAGGAAACCAGAGGAGCCCTGTACGCCGATGTCAAGAATGTACCCATGGTCTTCTACACTTTGCACAGCCGCTGAGAGCGTCTATGCGAGACTTAATCATAATAAAATAATATGATCTAAGACATTGCTCACAAAGCCAGGTTTGAGATCCGCTTTAACGACTCCAGAGTTTACTGTCTTGGGTACAAGACTCAACTCAATGCGACGACTAGCTTTCGCGGCTTCATCCCTTAATTTTCCGATGGCAGAAACGTCTGTAGACCCTGATGCGTGCACATTGGTTACAATTGCACGGACGTATTGTCCCACACGGAAGAGTTGAAACAAATCCGGCACCTCCGTCTGAGAATCGGATTCCCCGTCGTCAATCGATTCGGTATCTGAAGGCTCTTCTTGTTCATGCATTGATTCGAGACGACTAGTCAACTGAGATGTAACTTGTGTGATGGGAACGTGACCCATGAGTTGGTTCGGTAGGGATATAATGAGAGCCAGTGGTTGTATCGATGCGATTTGACCAAGCAATTTCATACCCGGAACGATGCGCTGCAAATATGTCACTGAGCTCATGCTCCCCACCTTCATGATATAAAAACTACCTTGTAATTGAGATGCTCGATGCGAACCACATCTTTCTTTGGCATAACACTCGCTTTGCTTTTGGCGTCAGATCTACTCTTCTTTTTTTGAGACTTCCCAGACGCCTATTAAAAGTTCTACTCAGTCGAATTTGGAGTAAGACGGCAGAACTTACAGCAAATAGCTCCTCGTTTGCTTCTTGCGTCGCTTCAGCTCGGATAGCTTTAACCTCTGCAGCTGTTAGGCTAGTTCCACCTCCTCGTGGAAAATCAACCTCGTTCATGAGATTTGATATGAGTTGGACAGATTTTTCCGGCACATCTGTTGACCTGTCTTTCACAAGTTTACTCTTTTTGACATTGCGGGATGAGTTATCCTCTAGAGCACGTTTCTGGCCCACCATGCTCTTGATAAACGCTCGGATTGGTGGCTGTCAACACCGTAGCACACAGGATCTGACCGTCCGACACGTAATGGAAGGGAAGCCTGAGGATGCCTTCCCTACAGCTTGCGAGTATTGGTGTGGGTTGCAACTTGCCCGTTACCTACTTTTGAGCGACTCCAAGAAATTGCAAGTAGCTGATTATGTCAGCGCTAGCATTTCTTCCATCCACCTCATCGTACTCCCAAACTTATGGGTGAGTCTCTCTCTTTGTTCTTAATGACATTTCCCGATTATCAATATTTCTAGATTTTCAAGTAAGTCATATATTCTAGTGTGATCTGAGAATCCAATTTTACCTTGCTCCAGAACCGTGTCGGCTCCAAGTTCGGTGGAGGTGGTGTCGCTGGGGCTTCGGAGACCAACGTGGACAGGCGTGAACGTTTGCGCAAACTTGCGCTCGAGACGATTGATCTTGCCAAAGTACGCTCTTATTTGCCCTGCATTCCAATCATAACTTGATGTGTCGTTTAGGATCCTTATATCTTAAGGAATCACTTGGGTGGCCTCGAATGTCGTCTCTGTCTGACGCTTCATACCAACGAAGGTTCATACCTGGCTCACACTCAGGGAAAGAAGCATCAGACCAATCTTGCTCGTCGTGCGGCTCGCGATGCTAAGGACACGCAGTTGATGATTGCTCCAACTCAAAGCAATGTACAACGCAAAGTATTCCTCAAAATAGGACGCCCAGGATACCGAGTGACAAAAGTGCGGGACAAAGATACTGGCAAAGAAGGTATGATGGTTCAGGTCCACCTTCCTCAGATCAAAGCGGACGTCATCCCTCGCCGACGATTTATGAGCGCTTGGGAGCAAAAGAGGGAGCCTCCGAACAAGGCATACCAGTATCTAATCGTATGTGCGATTACTTCCCAAGTTACACGTTGCTTATTGGATGCCAGGTGGCTGCTGAGCCGTACGAGACCATTGCTTTCCGCATTCCTGCGCGTGAGATAGAAGACGAAGCTGACGATGCCGGATATTGGAACTGGTCATATTGGGATCCTGATACGAAACAGTATAGCTTCCAGTTCATGTTCCGTTTGACTTATTAACGCTACCTGCCGCTCACACAATGTTCTTTGCACGTCGTATCTGTACTCCTGATCATTTTTGCTGCACTTGGTGTGGTTTATGTCAAATAGGCGATCAACTTTAAGGTGTACGGTTCAGTCGAAAAATAAATAAATAAATCCCATGCATGCAGTGTCACGGCATAGGCCCAGTGCTGCAGAATTGTTCACTGATCCATGGTTTGCAGGGATCAATGCTGTTTAAGACCACACCAAACTCCATAAACAAATCTGTTTCGTCAGTTAGGAATTCTTAGTGGCTTCTGAATCAGTGACTGGGAGGGAAATGAGAATTGGTATGGAAGCAAGATCCCCATCATGATATTGTGAGAGCTGGAAGTTCATTAACATCGCTCACATCGCTTCACTCAGGCAAAATAACACCAAATTGAATTTGTGACTCTTACGTCCTCGACCAGTAACCAGTTCGTAGCAAGTACATCTCATTAATATTGTCATGAATCATGGACGGCAGGCAATCGCGTCGGTATACAGAAGCTATATTCGTGAGATTGGACGATTGCCCCACGTTTACCTTCGGTGAGGCCCATCCTCGGATCAGCATGAGCATTGCTAATAACCCGTAGTCGAGTTTTCCGTCTGAAGGCAGAGGATGACTGTCGCGCTGTGCTGCTGACTAAATGTGATGATCGCAGGACGGGGAAGTTGAAGAGAGTTTCAAAGGCGAGGCTACTTTTGTCAAGTAACGACTTTCGTCTTATTTCTAGCTAGACCATACAACAAGTCCGTGCAGCAAATAATGGCAGTCACCAAGCCTTTAACCGTATCCTGGACCTTGCCTACGGACGAGTGGGTAGGCTAAGGTGGGAATTGATGGAGGTGATGAGTTCAAGTGCCCGTTTGCGTTGCTCATAATCACCTGATGATGTTCTGGCAGCCCTTACTGTCTGACCCAAACGCACCACTTCCTCCGCCAATCATCCCCGGCAAAGAATCATCGCGCCCTCCCGTATACTCCCAAGAGCTTACGACACTTCTCACTTCGGGTCTGTCCCGCAGGAAAAGACCTTTGGTACCTGGCGATCTCAGCTTCCCACCAATACTTCCCCAACGTGCAGACCCTAATTCATCTGATGCCCAGATACTGGGTCCTTTTAGTAAACGCCGAGAAGTAAACGCTCGCTGGAAGTACTTCGGACAGGAGTGGAAGAAAGTGCTTCCACCTCTCCAGATTTCCGTTTCGTCTTCTCGAGAAGTCGGCGACGAAGGCAGCGACCTGGGTACTTCGACTGCTGTCCGGAAAATAGGTTTTGACGGTACCACTGTTCTCGAGGAGTTGATTCAATTAACAAAACCGAGGAATATATCTGGTGTTTTCCTTCCAAGACGATGGTTGCGCAGGAGATACCAGGAGTTGCTGGGAAGGCTCCCCATCCTTACATTCACCTCAGCGTGCGAAGACATGAAAACCAAGAAATCTGGCGGCTTCTCGGTGTCATTGGCACCGAATGCGCTCAAGGCACGTAATCAAGTGAGACCATTACCCTGCGCGACGGACGACGATATAGCGTGGAATCAAAGTATTTGGCAAGCAGGTAGGGCAGTGGTTAGAGGCCGTGATCATCAGGAGGAAATCCATTGTGAGACACGATCGCCCACGAGCAATTACATAGAGTAACGCCATTGACAAGTGGTCAGAACTTTCAGTGGCTTGGCGCAACGAATCTCCAGCACAATCTATCCCGCGTGGCCATTTTTGCAAGCACGGAGGGGATATATTACCCACAAGGTACTAGTTGTAAATATACAAATATGACTAGATGTCCAAAGTCTGATCGAACCTCAACTGATATCTGCGGAACTCTCCAGCTCTAGGCCGTGCAGGTCAATAAGATACATGCTATAATTGCGGTCCGCAGCTTTAGCAACTCCAGCTTCGCCGATCGACTGATCCACCCCACACTGAAGATTGAGTATGGTCTTATACTCATCGAAGGTGAAATTCTGGTGTTGACGGATAGTGTCGAGTAAACCCTGGTTCGACTCGTAAGCAGTTTGTCATACACAAGCAAAGAAGGAAGTGTACCTGGGGTGTCAGGAAGAAGAGTGAATAATAACTCTTCGCGCGCTCAAACTCGACATGCTGCCGTTCGTCACCAATAGTCCGTACGCTCTGCTGCAGTGCCAGAGTGTTTCTTATAATCTTCCTGATACCAAAACCATTCGCAATGCGCACATATCGAGCATTGGAGATAAGGAGATGTTCCATTAAATGTTCAAGTCCGGCAAAGACAAATCTGCGAGAGGTGAGAGAATTACTTATGTGAGGCGAGGGGCAAATACTTACCGGTGCTCCTCCTTGAGCATCGCTGCTGACACAAACTCGTTACAATCGCTAATTTCGGTATTAAGGTCCACGATGTACGGGTCAGGCTCGCCAGCTTCATGATCGATATTGTAGTTACCCTGTAATCAATTAGTAGGATTATAAGTACATGCAATTCAACACCAACGAGACGCATGGCTGCATCCAAATAGTGCATTGTTCGGCAGCGAATGTCGATCCTAATGGTATGCAGGATGATCTCGGCCAGTTGGGAGTACGTCTTAAGCAAGGCGCCGAACCGCCTAGTAATATATATAAGCATAATGGTCAACGTCATGATCAGCACACCCACATTGCCATTTCTCGTGACAGGGGAAGGCTAAGCTGTTCGTCATAAGTACCCCGCGAGACAAAAGTAGGGATTGCCGAGGGAGTGAACGGCATCACGACATCGGCGGACTCCAGTGCTGCAGGTGTAGTCGGCGAGAGCGTACCGTCTGGAAATGACTTCAGTGCGTTCAACTCCTCTGTGAACCATGCCTACAGATCAATTGAATTAATGCAAAAAATTCATACATCCTGTGCAACTGACCACACTGCGGTAAAGACCACATAGACTCGCCAAATTTCGAGTTGAAGAAACCAAGTTATGTTTGGCTATCTGAGCTTGACCGAGGTAATTCAGCTCCAGATGTGTTTCCTGTCGACTAAGCTGACGCCCGATCACATTATTAGAATGCTGCAAAACAATCGTCAGTTTCACAAGCATCTAGAATGTGCGAAACGCACGGGTGTTGCGAAGAGCTCTGTTAAGCACGGGATTAATTCCGATTTTTGTGCCCACTGAGCTGCCAACACCAGATGTGATGTGTCAGAGATGTTAGTTATCGAAGAAACCAGATCTTGGAACTTGTCACTACAGCGCTGGTAGAATTGAATGATTACGCCAACAATCAGGCGAGAATAACTTTCTCGATGGAACGGAGTTGTGCGGAGCATTGCGCACAACGAGTTTATCAGTGCAATCAGCTGTGTAGTTGCCTGGATAGCCGTGTGTCAATGATCGATATTGTAGCACCCGCGAAAGCACGAACTCTGAATATTGGCTTTGGACTAAATCTGGTCGACATCTGGTCGTATTGGAAAGCATCAGGACCTAGTTGAACTGTGAGTAAGATAAGGTGATATGAGAGAAATCAACTAACTTGTCACTGCGTGATGGAAAAGTTCAGAGATGCGCTCTTCCAACTGTGGCAGATAAACCTTGAGGACAAAATCGTCTAGTACACCACTCGCAGAGCGAGCACTTTCCACCCCATCGGGAAGGATTTCCGTCACACGGTTCAAGAAAGCAAGGGTGGGCTGGAAAAGTACGCTAACATGGAATGCATCCGGCTTGATCAGCAAACGGTGATGCTGCCCAACACCTAATAGACGGTCGTCTGTACCGACTGTCGACAGTGTCGCCTGGACAGCACTATCGGAAGAATTTTGCACAAGACCAGGCATTGTATCTCGAAGGACCCGAGTGAGCTCATCCTCGTGACGTCGGAGGACTTTGCCCGTGGACTTCATGTTAGTATCCGCAAATCGGAATATGGACTGCAAATAAATGATTAGTGTGAGAAATGCAACAATATTCTGCACTGACCTTTTGTTTGTCTCTCATGAACCGACCTTCTCGCAGGACCTCATTGATGGACGATATCGGATTCCGCCCCGCCACCGAGCCTTGTTCTTCGTCGGTCAAATAGTCATGCAAGAGCGCCCGAACCTGTAACCCACTTGGTAGGTTGATTATAAAATCACTGTGCTACACACCTCAGCTTGTACTGGTAGCCATACATCGGTGAGCGGAAACAAAGCTCCCGGTTTGGCGCCGGATGAGTCCTTGAAGTCTTTCCGCTGAGGAAATACAGGTCAGCATGAAGCTTTTTTGCAAGATAAAATGTAGCATACTGATCCTATACGGTTAGCGACCTCACAAACCACCCTTAATCCCTGGGTTACCGCATCAAGCTTGGAATAAACAGTCCAAAAGAAGTCCTTCAATGTTTCCTGATCGACTTGCTTCGTGGAAGACTCCAGTGCTGCAAGGCGTAAGGAAAAGGTCTGGAGGAGAATACCTTTTGCTGGCATCGAAGGAACAACACCATCTGGAGTGATGCCGACGGAATCGTTGGCAACAAAAATATACCCACCCTCTGACCGTCTTCCTAGGCTGGCTGCGCCGAACAGAGAAACTCTCTTAGACTCTTCCGTTCTCTCCTCAACTTCGTCCAAGGTACACTCGACCAACGAGTATATCTCGCCCTGCAAACGCTGTGCGACAATATCGAGCGCACTCCCAAGCTTTCCCAGGACTGCGAGGGACTCCAGTAGAGTTTCGATGTAGGCGAAGGAGTCACCTTCCGGGTTTGCATCAAGTTGAGGTGCCTGAGAAGCCGAAGTTGCAAGCGCAACAAGATTAAGATTCGATGAGAAAGACGGAGCGGATTGAAGAGATGAGAAAGACAAATCCTGAACAGACGCATTGCTGCGAAAGTTCGATTCGCTGAGATCATGGGGAGGGTCGTTTGGTCGGAGTGCAAGAGAGTTGAGAAAGCGAGATAATCGGGAAGACCCAAGTTTCGGTGAAGAGGATTCAGGGGAAGGATATGCAATGCCATTCGGAGACGGTTGTCCACTCGATTCGTTCTCAAATTCAACCTTAGGAACTTCGAAGACATGTTAAGGCGAGAGTTGCACAAATTGGGATGACTTACAAGCTGTCTGATTCAACTTAAAGGCAGCCCACCGCGACTCACACCAGAAGGATTTGAGATAAAGATGGTTGTGAAGTTCGTCAATCAATATTTCTCGTAGAGCCTGCTAAGTCATAAGATGTTACCTGCTGCTAAGCAATTGACAAACGCACATTTTCCTGACCAATCAGATAACTTCGTAGATCTGAAACTGCTCCAATCTCTTGCATATCGGGTTTGTTGATCAACTTAAGGCTCCGCACAAGGAGAACTGATGCTTGAAGCAACCTTTTCTCCGACATGAGAGTCTCAAGTACGTCGGGCACCGATTTTAGATGCTCACTTTTACAGGTGAATAGTCAGTGGATGAGCGAATTGACATATTAAAAGAAACTGACATCTGATCCAATAAACGCATCATCTCTTCTAATACCTGTCCCCTTGACCACAGTTGAACAAGATCGGCGCGCTTATTTCCCAAAGCCTCCTTCGCTTCCATAAGAGCTGTCTTCGACTGTTTTATTTGTGTCTGGGCAAGTCCAAGGTGATTGAGAAGAGCAGCATGATGCGGAAGTGCGTCCGCAAACGCCTTGTGGTGCTCTGAGCACAAATATTATTAAATAAAGACACAAGTGCAGAGCTCCGGGCTTACTGTCTACTGATCCTTTTAATGCATGCGAAAGCATTACCTTGGTTTGTCGAAAAGACTCGATGCCTTTGCCTGTCGAAGAGTCGTCGAGTAGTGACAAAGCCAAGTCAACATTGTTAAACTGCGACAATTGCAAGATTATTTCGCTCAGCTACTGGTTCACAGTAGAATCTATGCCTTACATCAGGGTCAATGACAAACTCCCATTCATCCTTGATCTGGTCGAGCACAGCTACAACGCGATGTTAGCATACAATTAAACAGTTGAAACATGAAGTTAGGCAGGTTGCAATGATCAGATTCCTCACCATCGATATCTCCTGCTTTAGCCTTCCCAGTTGCTTTCCGGTATGGCATTCGCTCGCGGATGCGCTCTTGCCTCCTCATCTCCAACTCCTTCTCCCTCTGTTTTTCTTGTTCATACGTTATATCTTCGCTACCATTTGCCATCGCACGTTTACGAGCTCCAGCTTCCCTGAAGGCAGCCATGACAGAAGCCAGTGCAGGGGTTGTCGGGGAAATCTCATCGTGAGCGCTAGATCGTGGAATGTCGACCTGGGGCCTATTATTTGCAGTTACTATACTTCCGTTATGGTATTGCGGCACGGCTGAGGAATCTGAGCGCGTTGTGCTGGAACTATCTCTGCGGTCCCTTGCCGCGTAACCCTCAAGTTGCGTTGCTCGAGAAGAAGTGGAAGCCCGTTCTGAATGCTCGGATACCTGGCGTGGTCTTAACTCTGACCTTTGTGGGCGGAGGGGACCCTTGGGTGAGGAGGAGGCAAATGTGTTGTTACTGGGGGCTGCCTGGCGTGATGGCGGGCGGGCGATCTGCAACGGTCTGGTACTTGAATAAGAACCGTTTGAGTTGTTCAGTGAGGGAACGCCTATCGGTTCGACAGGAAAGGTCGGTATTCGAGACATCTGAGTTGTATGACCGCGAGCTAGAAGACTTGTTGCCCAAATACGGCTCAAACTATCTGGTAGTCTACTTCCGTTTTTAGACTCGATGTTACAGGCCATAGTAGTACATACTACATGGTAAACAACCACTGCTAGTACTGCTAGTATTAATCTAGTGCTTTGGCTGCCAACAAGGTGATGGCCTTTCAAGTTGGCTTAGAATATGCTGAAACGTTACGAACATCCACAGACATTATCCCACTCACAGTGGCCCTGATTCAGAACCCCAGGATGACCGGCCCCGACACCAGGACTAGTTTACCCCCATTTCTAGAATCTCTGGCACCAGATTTCAGCGTTCCATATATAAATGCTTGTTTTCCTGCCAGTGAAGGTATACCACCTGTACACGTGCACTGGTGGCCTTGCAAACGATTAGGTGTGTCACCTTCCACAGTTCTATTCTTTATACCAGGTAGGTTCAACATAGTATCTCATCCGAGTTTATCTTGAATAACTACAGGAAATCCTGGGGTCATTAATTTCTATCATCCATTTCTCACTGCAATACACAAACAAGACAGGTCTGGGACACTGGCGATACTGTCGCATTCACATATTGGACATGACCCTGCTATCGAGGATCTTTCGCTAGCAAGTCGCGTTTCATCTAATCATGCGTTGCTGTTTCAAGTCCAAAACTCTCTTCGAATTTTCGATGCTTTGAGCATATATTTTGGCATCAATACACGTACTGTGATCACTGGCCACAGCGTTGGTTCATGGGTAGCTCTGCAGGTACTGTTTCCGAAGTGTCCCACTGTGCTGCCTCTCCAACGCTCTTTGAAAGGTCTTGAAACTGCGATCCGTTGCCGTTTCTGGAGTTTTCTTCCTTTTTCCGACTATCACCAACATTGCCTGTACACCGAATGGTCGACTGTTTTCGGTTGGTAGTTGAGTTTTAGTAGTAGTCATGCTCATGATTCCTACTTTTTCTCAGCGATTTTTTCAGCCTCCCTTTCCGCGTATTGTATCACAGGTTGCTCGGGCATTGCGTCTTATGCCGCTAACCATCTTCTGTTGGTTGTTTCCACAATACCCGATACTCCAAGCCCGTGTTCTTCAGTCATTTCTACTATCTCCTTCGTCAATCTTTGCTGCGATGACGATGGCACACGATGAGATGCTGAGTATCAGGGAACTAGACGTTACCACCTTGGAGACATATCGACACCAGATTTGGTTTTACTTCGCAGAGAACGACGACTGGGTTGACAAAGGAAGAGAAATGATTCTCCAGGTCTTTGGGCCAGAACCTGACACTGTGAAAGTCGTGCATGGGCATCGCGATATCCCGCATGCGTTCTGTATCAGTTTGTCAAGTCGTATGCAATCCTTCGTACTATCTTGATACTGATTGTGATTGATAGGTCATGGTGAAGAACTAGCAGCGGAGTGCTATGAGTGGCTCGTTTCCGGGGGATTCGTGTGACATTAGATGCACTTTCACATTTGCCTTTAACCACGAACTATATATTGCGCCGTTTATTTTACCGTTCTGCAGCTCTCTTCCATTTATCTGTCATTGATGCGTGTTGGGGGCATCGTCTGAATTCCCACGGGAGAACACGAAAACGCGAGCTGACAAATCATACGCGTCTTGCTGTAAACGCTCATTCATTTCTAAGGAAGCGTGTCTAAAGCGCACTCGGGTTCAAAGTGGAAACGGCGCCTTTTGAGAAGACATTCCCAGCATGTCTTCTCCAACCTCTGATCCCCTTTTACTTTTTACTCCACCAACATCTAGCTCTCCTGGTGGACCACCACCTACTACTGATAGTAGCGTCGCGTCCACCAAATTTACGATGACTTCCAAGACGCGCTCCAAAGCGTCCTTTTTCATAGAGCCTCCTGTCTTGTCTGAATCGCAGAGGAAACAGTATAAACCTGTTCCTGAAGAATTCAAAGAAGGCGTAACTTTCGACAGGGATGACATTGACAGTGTGGTAGGCGAATACCACGATGGCACCGACCTGTCCTACTTTGTGCGTTTCAAGGATGGGCTAGCATATAGAGTGCGCGTGGCTTTGCCTAAAATTTCCTCACAGATCTAACGCGCAATTTATATATATAGCTTCCTGCTAGTGACTTCCAGGCCGAATATGCTGAGCTGGTTGAGGAATACGGTTAGTTTCCACTTTAGTGGCGTGTATAGCGCGTGTCTCATAACTTGTATCGCAGATCGAAAGAAAGGTGCTGGAGAGCTCGGTGAATTCGACCCATCCTCTAGCGCAGTGCACGAGGATTCTCGCATTAGGACTATTGTCACCATAAACATGGTCAATGGTGTTGCTCGGAGCACAAGGGCGTGGGGCTATACCTCATCCTTGGCCTCCCTATCTGATCTTACGGAACCTTCTGAATCCGACCAGCAAGAGGACGACGACCGGAGCGAAGACGAATACCGCCAGGACCGGAGCATGCCCACCCGCAAAGCCAATTCTAGGCCTATCCGAGCGGCTGCTAAGGGCAAAAGCACATCACGTGCTACAACTCAAACAAAGCTTCCTTTCAGTCCCAAGAAGTTACGCAGCAGGCATGTTCGCCGGTATATGACCGAATCGGAGGATGAATTGGCAGGATACGAGCAGGAGGACATCATAGATGTCATTCCCGCTCGCAGGTCCGCTCGTGAACGCAAGAGCGCAAGAACTAACCTCGCAGAGGATTACGTTGAGGACACTGGTGACAGTGAAAGCGATGGCGAATCGTACATGGAAACTTCCAAGAGGGCTGGAAAGTCCAGAGCAGCCGCAAAAACTCAAAAGCGACTGAAGCGGGGACCTGTTTCCCGACCTGCCTATGGCATCTTTCGTTCTGTTGCGGATCTTGAGTTTGACGCCTATGAGGAGGATACTGAATTGCTGCGCTCTCATCGGGACATTTGCGAGAAATGCCACAAAGCTCCTGCTCACGTGCAACTGGAAAAACCGAAAAAAGGCAGGAAAAAGATTCGCAAGGACGAGGACCATGGGTTCGAGGAGAGCGAGGATGATCTCATTCAGCCCTTGGGTGGTTGGGTTCGATGGTATGATCAAACTGACTTAACTCTCTTTCGAATACTTATGTCCAAAACACAGCCTAAAGTGTCCGGTTGCAGTTCATTGGCGTTGTCTCGCAAAGACCCAGAAAGATGAGATCACCCGTGCAGCGCGTGCGCGTGATAAAGAAGAATGGAAGAGTCAACAGCCGGACGGTTACGATGGTCACGAGCCTCCAGACTCCGAGCTTCCTAATCGCAAGGAGCTCAGTATTATGCAGACCACAGAGTTCATATGTGCCAACTGCATGAAGGGCGGAATTTGTATGGGCTGCAAGGAGATTGCTCTAGAAGCCGATTCATCCATCACGAGACGGTCAACCGCACCACGCGCGGTTTCGGAACCTAAACCCGCAGGGCTTACTCGGGATGTCGAAATGGTTGACGCAACGCAAACTTCTTCGAATGCCGTTGACAGTGTATCGAGCCCTGCAAGAGAGCTTGTCTACCGATGTTTCACTTGCAAGCGTCTTGCCCATTATCGCCATCTTCCCACCCCAGATACCTTTGAACCTGATAACCCGGCTTCTGTTGACGACATCAAACTCGCATCCTTCTATCAATTCGAGACTGGATGGCGTTGCGCAGATTGCTTCTCGTATGAGTACACCGTAGACAAGATTCTTGCGTGGCGTCCATATCCTGCCAACGCCGTTGAACCGCAATACTCGTCTTCGAATTCTCCAGATCCGAAGAGCATGCTACCTCGTGAGTACCTCGTGAAATGGAACGAGCGAAGTTATCGACGCACCCAATGGGTTCCACACATGTGGTTGGCATCTACAACATATACAAAGCTGAAAAACTTCATTGCGACTGGTCCTAAAGTAGAATTGTTGGACAACCCTGCTGCTGAACAAAACGTCATGCAGGTTGATTCTTTCGCGAAGGAGATACCAGCTCAGCCGGTGTCATTCGAGGTCAATGCCAGTCAAACTCCTGAGGTCGAGGCCAAGCCCAAGTCGGTATCGTCTCTAAGTCCTTTACCAGATGCAGAGCGTTATATTCCCCCTGCATGGAAAACCACGGATCGTGTGCTGGATGTACTTTTCTGGACAGTTAACCGGTCGGGGCGTGGAAAGAAAGCTAAAAGGAACTCGGCCATGGAGAGCGATGAGGAATTAGAATTCCCTCTGGAGCTCCAGGATCAGCTGGTGAAAGTGCAGTTGAAAGGTGAACAACCTAGTGATGACTGTATGGAAACTGTCGACGATTTCTTGCGCACTGTTGATAAGTCGGAGCTGGACACCAAGGACATCAAGTATGTCGCATGGGCGTTTATCAAATGGGATGATCTGGGCTATAATGAAGGTGAACATTTCTTCTCACTTGTCGTTGTGTGACTCAATTAGCGAAACAGCAACCTGGGATTCTCCTCCTCGTTCTGACGAGCCTGGTTACTTAGCATTTGAGGCAGCTTTCGAACGCTTTATAGACTCGCAGAGCGTTTTTGTTCGAAAATCGGACAAGGACGTCAAGAAGCTGGAGAGCAGAGTGAAGGATGGATACGCACAGCACGCCCTTCGTCAGAAACGTCAACCTAAGCTTGGTCAGAACAGTCAACTCCAACTCATGCCATTCCAGGTTTGGTCTTTATCATTCTTAGTCCGACCGACATGCTAACGATCTTCCAGATGGATGGCTTTGACTGGCTCTGTGACAATTGGTGGAACTTGCAGCCTTGTATCCTTGCCGATGAGATGGGCCTGGTACGCCTACCAGTAAACATCATTCCCCTATACTCACGTTTAACTTTGCACAGGGCAAGACAGTCCAAATCGTCACTTTCCTTGGGACTATCATTGATAAATGGCAAGGAGCTCCTGCTCTTGTCGTTGTTCCCAACTCCACCATCACGAACTGGGTTCGAGAATTTACTCGTTGGGCACCAAAGTTACGAGTAGTACCATTCTACGGTGAAGCGAAGGCTCGGGACGTGATCATTGAATACGAGTTGTTCCATCCTTCCGACCGAAAGGGTGGTCCGGAACCCAAGTACCATGTGTTGGTGACCACTTATGAAACACTAATTAACCCTAGGGATTTCAACTCGGTGTTTAAGAGTATTCCGCGTTGGGAAGTTCTTGTTGTGGACGAAGGACAACGTTGTAAGTTACTCAGTACTAATGACAGACAACATTGCTGACCCCGGCTCAGTGAAGAGCGATCATAGTCTATTGTTCAAAAAACTTAACGAGCTGCATACGATTCATCGCGTGATCATGACTGGGGTAAGCCACCTCCGCGATTGTCTGACAATCGGCAACTAACCTCGTCAGACACCTCTCAACAACAATATCCGCGAGCTCTTCAACCTCATGAACTTCCTTGATCCCGAAGAATGGAGCGACCTCGAGGCCTTGGAAAAAGAGCATGAAGAATTGAATGAGGAGCTGGTGCGGCAGCTGCATATTAGACTCAAGCCTTACTTCTTGCGGCGCATCAAGAGCGAGGTTTTGCAACTTCCCCCCAAAGTTTGTTTGTCACAGTGAATTCGGTTGTATTCTCACATTCTCCAGAACGAGGTCATCGTTCCCCTTTCCATGGCTCCTCTGCAGAAGGAAATTTATAGATCTATCCTCAGTACGTGCTCATTGCGGCTTAACCTTGTCATACGCTGACTGTCGTTCTGTAGGTCAAAATTTGGACATTCTCCGAAGTCTGACCCAGGCTGCGACTACCAAAGCGGGAAAAACCCTGGTTAGCAAGGCCAATTTGAATAATATGTTGATGCAACTTCGCAAGTCAGTTCACCGCTGCATAACCGTCGACACTTGGTGCTCATCCCTATGTAGATGCCTTCAACATCCGTATCTTAATTCTGAAGACATAGAGCCTCGCAACCTCACCCCTGCAGAGGCTCACGAGAGACTGATAGGTGCTAGCACCAAATTGCGGTTTTTGAAGATGCTTTTACCCAAACTGAAGGCTAGAGGTCATCGTATACTATTGTTTAGTCAGGTGAGTGCAACACTCCAGTAATCTATCCTAGTGACTTATGTTCCACAGTTTGTTATGGCGCTTGATATTATCGAGGACTTCGTCAGAGGTGAAGGCTACAAGTTTTTGCGCCTGGTAATTACCCGCGCCCGTGATAGATACAAATGACGTTCTTGACCCTTTCTAGGACGGAAACACTAAACAGGCCGATCGCCAAAAGGGCATGGACGAGTTTAACAAACCTAACTCGGATGTTTTCATCTACATGCTCAGTACTCGAGCGGGTGGCGTCGGCATCAACTTGTATACCGCAGATACAGTCATCATATTCGATCCTGATTTCAACCCTCACCAGGTATGTATGACTTGACCTATTCATATTAGCTGCCCTAACCCAGATCTGGCATTCTAGGACTTGCAAGTACGGCATGATTCATGTTAGGCTTTTAACCTCTGTAGTGACATATTTCAGGCCATAGCTCGCTCTCACCGGTATGGGCAGACGAAGACGTGCTTGGTGTTCAAGTTCATGGTCAAAGATTCGGCTGAAGGCATGAATCCCCGAGCGACTTTTTGTGTGTTGACACTTACAGAGTATTCTAGAACGGATCATGTCAATGGGAAAGAAGAAGCTTGTTCTCGACCATTTAATTGTTCAGAAGATGGACGACGGCGACGGCGCTGGCGAAGATCTTCAGTCGATCCTCACGTTTGGAGCTAAAGCCTTGTTTGAAGAAGGTGATGAGTCTTCGAAGGACATAGCTTGTGAGTACATCATTGCCACCATCAGACTGATGTAGGGCTCAAATTTCGTTTTAAGACATCGACAATGACGTTGAGAAACTCATCGAGAAAACTGAATTAGAGGGTGATCAACAGGCAGCCACCAAGGAGGCCGGGCTCTCCTTTGCGTTTGCCAAGGTATGGGCAGCAGACAAGGATACCATGGAAGAGATCCAAGAGGATGTTCCGGATCCGGAACAGGGCGATTCTTGGGCCCTAGCGCTTGAGCGAATAGCCGCCGCCAAGGGTGCGGAGCAGGTAACCGAAGTCACAGGCAGAGGCGCTCGCAGGAAGGCGGCTGCTATATTCCCTCAGGTGATTCCGATGACATCTACCCGCTAATGTGCAAGACTGATCATTTCCACAGCAAAAGCTTGATCACATTGAAGGTCTGGAAGACACGCCCGACACGAGCAGGAAAAAGAAGAAACATCGATCTTCGAAGTCAGATGCATCCAGCGATTCCGACGCTTATCCAGGTACGCCTGGCGCGCAAACAACCGATTCGGGTACTAGCTCAATGGACATGGACATGGTTAACGAACTCTTAACGACCTCTGACAAGGTGAAGATGAAAGCCAAGGCCAGGGTCAAGTATCGAGAACAGGCCTCGGTAAAAGAAGATGAGGATAACCTGCTTTGTGGTCTTTGTAACACGCGCCATGGAAAGGGGATCTGCTACATGACCGAAGACTCCACCAATCTGGTGGAGTACAGGGAAATACTGATGAGCCACGAGTCGGATGAGCCATGGGCAGTCAGGGTATGGACGTCGCTTCACATGGTTTCATGAAGATACTAACACTTACTTTAGGCAGCTGCTATCGATGCTATAGAGAAGACGCTTGGTAAAAGGGGGCATGGCCATCTTCTTGCTGGTCAGCCGCTCAAACTTGTCGCAAACGGCAACAGCAACCAGGTTTATGTCAAGCAAAAAAAGGAACATGCTCGTGGTTCATTGGATGTTCAGAAACCGAAGACAGTCTCATCATCCAAGCCATCTACCTCTTCTTCTGCTGCCCCGCTCGAATCTTCGTCCGCTAAGCCCTTCATAGTGTCATCTTTTCGACTTTCCAGACCTGCAGGCGAGGCCAAGAAAGCTGGGCGACAGACAGCACTGGAGTCTTCCATCACGGATGAGGACAGGGAGAGGGAGGGTAGAACCGTTGAGCCACTCGCTCTGCCATCGAAACGAAGGCCATCACCTGTGCCTGTGGCGGAGTCATCATCCGCCAAGAAGCATAAATTATCAACCACACAATGCCCAGTTTGTGGAGGTCCATACCACCACATGGAAGATTGCCCCGTCGTCGCACTTGGCCCTCGCAGGTGATGTATCCCGCCTTGTAGTGTATGTAGCTTCCTGACGTTCACCCTATAGTATTACAGCACATATCCTACGGCTGGAGCAGGACCCTTCGCAACAGGCCACGGTGCATAGTCTTCAGAAACAGCTTAGACGCCAGCGGCGGAAGCAAGATGCTGAGGAAGCAGCTCGTTATAGTGCGTTCGGTGGCCCTTCGATGTTGGGCCAGTGAGGAGTGCAGATCTTTTCCCATACCTTACATGCTGTCTTATAACTACTGAAATATGCGAAATAAGCGTAAACTTTGTGTTTGCTGTTGTGCGGCGGTGTTGTGCATCGCATTCGCAGCGTCATAAGGGGTCAGGCAAGGTTGAAATTCGATAGAGAAGTCACGCATAGGTATGAAGGAGCTCGGCATTGGAAAGAACGAATGTCTGTTGCTCGAGTAAGAAAGTGATTCAGGCAATGGAAAGCGGCAGTGTGATGAAGCAAGATCTAAACTCATTTCAAACTTGCAGTAGGACATACGAGAGACGTGCATCAATTGGTTTGCGACGAGACCTTTTGCAAGTACAAGATTACTTACTATGCAAAAATGCTTGAGGAGACAAGCAACATATTTCTCTAGCCTGCTAGCATCAAACTGCAGTGAGGTCAGGCTCGAAAGATGCAAACACTCAACAGGTGGGCTTGCAAATGGCTCCTGTCAGTGGTACGACGGCTAAATCGGCTGACTGCCTCAAAGAGCCGGAACGTAGTACGTAATTATATCTAAATATAGGTTGAGGACCCACTGTGACAACTTTTGAATGAACACGCAGCACAACCACCATCTTAAGTCACGAAGATCTTTTTTGGATTCACCTTGGACAAACATTGCACATCTTATAATTATTAATGTCTCTGCCTCCCCGCCTTCGTGGCCACAGTGTTGCTCTTTCCTCCATGGAATCAACGCCTGAACCTGGCCTCGGAATGTCACATAATACCCTCAAACGAAGTCGTTCACAGACCCTCAATGCAATCCCAGAGGAGCTACCTGACCTTCCGAAGCTTACAGGGCATATTATTCTCCAAGTCTTCACCCATAGATCTCTCCGACTGGCGTGCAATGCGCAATTTCATGACAATGAGCGATTGGCGGTCCTTGGCCACAATATTTTGGAGATGATGACAACGGATTTGCTTTTCTCCCGAAAACCCAGGCTTACAGTGCATCAAATTGAGGTGAGTCGTATGTCTTTTGAATGTTCATGATAACTTCTACTTTTGAGTAGGTACAACGGACCCAACTCTTGACTGACGAAACAATTGATATCTGGTCAAAACTATACCGGCTGCGAGAGGAGCTTCGTTGTGACCCCAGGTGTCTACAATCACTCCAGATTCCCGAGGTACTTACTTATTTATCATGCGCATTATTCAATTCTCATCCAGGTCCAGGAAGGGCGCCTAATATTCAATGCCTATCTGGGAGCCGTGTTCCTCGAGCACGGGCTCCAGACAGTGCACGAGTGGATAGGCGGCCTCCTTCGGCTGTCCACTACGATACTGAACGATAATCACGATATGGATGTTGATTTCCCCTCGATAACTTCAAAGCCATCATCGCCTACTCCCATCTCAAAACGAATTAAAGTTGAGGAGCCTTCTGCTCCTCCGCCACCGTTACCATCATTCCCTCCTCCACCAGTTTACCAACTGCCATCACGTTTTTCGCCGCACCAGCCGCCCCCACAGACACGGTCTTTGGTGCACCCGCTGCCACCACCATTTATACAACCACGATCCAATTTTCCGCTGACCTCCCCTTATAATCCGTACTTGCGGCCACCTCTTGCTAGACTGCCGTCTCCCCCAAGGATCTCACCTCCGAATCCGTTGGCCCCTGCTCAACCTCACCTTGCATTTCTACCACTGTTCAATCAAACAGCTCATCAACGTGGTGTGAGCGTCAGTTACCCAGCGTCATTGGTGGGTCCTCCTCATGCCGGAAAATGGAACGTGACTTGCGTTGGTGAGCACGTGTAACGTCATTTTATCTATTGAAATAGCGTTTAATAATCGAATGTGGGACTAGTTGATGGGATCGAGAAGGGTAAAGGATCCAGCGACACTAAACAGCAAGCTAAAGAACAAGCTGCGAGACAGGCTTACTACGAGATGGGATGGGCACCTCGTAAGTGTGAATCTCCTTGATTGGTTGACGTTCGACCTCAGTTGTCTCTTATCACAGGAGGTTAGCGCCATCAGATGCAGGGGTACTAGGCGTTTCTCATAGCAGTGCTATTCGGGCAAGTTCCAACCACGGTCTCTTACCGGAGCATATGGCTGTGTGCCCGAACAGCACTATTATAAGATATATGAGTTGTCTGATGTCGTGCGTTCGTAGGAACGGAATAGCGAGCAGGTATTGATTCTTCTCCATAATTTTTCGTCGCGGACGGACTACGCTAAATCAGGTATAGAGGGTTATCTGTAGGAGCATTACATAGTAGGGACCAACGTGACCATGCTAGTCCACAGGAGATGAAGTCTAATTATTATCTTGTTCGCGTCAGGAAGTACGGAAGATACCGGCGGCTGACTGATAGTCCGAGGCATGGTGAGCGTGAGAAAGGATAACTGAATTAATCATGGTCACGTGTTCTTGCGACATGATCTTTAAACTGGACAGCTTCTTTCGCGCCTACTGTTTTACTCGTCGTCCGTGACGTCCGGAACGCTCTCTTCCTCATTGTCATGCACAATGGCGACACATGCACCATCGGGATCATCGCCTAACATTCAGAATTTATCGCTTGATTCATACAGCCAGTCGAATCATATTGACCTTACCCTAGAAGACGATGAACCCAATTCTTCTGAGAGCGTTTTCAATTCTGGCATCCCGAAGCGCCCAACAACCGATTATCATTCCCCTCCGCCCAGGCAGAGTATGTTTTATGATCCAGTGCATTCAACTGAACACCAGCAATCTTATGCTAAATACTCTCTTCCAAATCAACTGCCGCTCGCATACCATTCTCCTCCAATGAAGCCCAGCATATTTTCACCACTTGACCAGTCATCTTTTAATTCGTCGCCCCCACCGCTTCACCCACAGTCTTCCAACTATCGTCCCGTTTTTGCTGGTCTACCACAAGCGCCACGGAATACGTCTACTCAACTACCAATTACAGGCGGTGCGCGCACCTTGCCTCCTCTTGTTCCAACTCGTCAATCTTCATCTGCTCCGCCCTCAAATCATCAGGTCATTGATCTTACCGACTCTCCGTCACCACCTCCTAGTCCTCGGCCTCGCCAACAGCCCATGTCTTCTGCGTTACCCGATGACCTTCATCCCAAAACTCCAGTTTGCATAGGGCAGCTCACAGTCACTGCACTTGTGCTATACCCCGTGTCTTATCTGCAAGGCCAGGATTCAATTAATGATGTCGAGTGGGCAAATGTCCGCTTGCAGTATGAACACAATCCTCAGAGGGCAGGTGCAACTGAGACGATACATATCAAGACGCCTAGTAGTAAAACATCGTCGGGCGAACTTTCTCAAGGAGAAGCTTTTGGTGTGGTCGAACAAAAGGTCGCTACAGATCTCGGCCCCATGCTAGGTAAGGGCTTGATCCGCTTAGATGCAAAGGTGCGGCGTGGTTCGCCAAACGTAAGTGACATTCCTTTCTTTTTGACGAACCTCTCATTCGCTCTGCCAAGCTTCCTATACTACCTCTCCAGATGCTGGTTTATACGCCGAAAGGCAATATCGCTGTCGTTGGCAATTATCTGCAATCATGCGGTCTGATGCTTGACCACCCCTCTGGCCCATATGATATCTCGCGCCTCATGAACTATCACTATTGTAACCCGCATGCTCCACCACCTGGGGGGCATCGTTCAATGCTTCCTTCCAGATCTGGATATGCTGGTCCGGGAGGAAATAGCCCTCGTTGGAATGCTCCCATGGTTTCCGGCAAAACATTAGAAGTACAACGAAGCCAAATTGATGAGCTTTTCAAGAGTCTAAAAAGTGGAGACGAATTAGCAGAGACAGAACCTAGTTAGTGCTGTGTTTATTTTCGGTGGTCCTTGTCTTCATCTGACTGGCTCCGAAAGGTAATGACATAGGAACGACGTTGTATCCTCATCAAAAGAAGGCGGTTACTTTTCTACTCGAACGGGAGCGAGAGAAACGCTGCGCAGATGGTCGCTACTCGTCATTGTGGCAACCACGGAACGATCTCCATACCGGACAATTATCTTGGTTTCATATCGTTACCCAGAAAGAGGTCTTTCAAGAACCTCAAGAATCCAAAGGTGCTATTCTCGCAGATGATGTCAGTTTGCCCTCCGCCCTTTATCTCTGCCCTATCTGACGGATCGTGCCTTGTCTCCTGATTAGATGGGTCTCGGCAAGACGATCACTTGCGTTTCCCTTATTGCAGCAACACTTGATTCTGCACACGCATTTGCTGCTACGCCCTTACCGCCTCCACCCGCGCCTCCTCCGGAACGGAGTATGCTGGAGGATCCCTTGACTGCTGCTCATTTCGCGGGGAGTGTGTGGGGAATACCAGAGGTTGATTCGCCATCATTTTCCACCAAGGGCAAAGGAAAGGCAGCAAAAGCCCAGGACAAGGCCGAGGCTGAATACGCTAGAGCGTGTCGTATCAAGGCGAAAAGTCGGGCGACGCTGATTATATGCCCTCTTTCCACCGTATCGAATTGGGAGGATCAGTTCCGTGAGCATTGGCGAGGAGAAGTCACTGTGGTCGGTGGCGGTGGGATGAGCTGTTCCGCCGCCACGTTATCTTCCTTGCAGAATAATTCCCCTCCATCTTCTCAGGCTGAAACCAAAGTAGAAACGAAGCCACCTCTTCGAAAACGCGATGGTCGACCACTTCGTGTCTACGTATACCATGGAAATTCCCGACGACCAGACGCAGCATTCCTTGCAGACTTTGATGCTGTCATTACTACGTATGCGACCTTAGCATCGGAATACTCAAAGCAAAATCGGAAGATGGCAAATGTAGAAGCCGAAGATGATGACGATGGTAGCAGTGACGGGTACGGTGGGGTCGACATTGACGAGCGCGGTAATCAAGTACTCAAATTGCCGAAACCAAAACGAGCGGGAATGAAGAGGAAAAAGTCTTGTTCGAGCTTTAGTGCGTCTGAGGCGTCTAGTGCTTTGCAGACTATACACTGGTTTCGTGTCGTGCTTGATGAGGCTCAGTACGTTCTTGTATAATTTCCCCATGTATCACGATTAACACCATTATATTCAGTTCGATCAAGGAAACCCAGACTGTTGGCAGTCGTGCCTCTTGCGATTTAATGGCAGACCGCCGATTATGCCTCACAGGCACACCCGTTCAGAACAAGCTTGATGACGTGTATGCTCTTATCAAGTTCTTGCGCTTGGAGCCTTTTGATGACAAGAACATATGGACGGAGTTCATTGGCACTCCAGTCAAATATGGGCAGTCATTGGGTGTTGCACGTCTTCAGATGATCATGAAGTGCATTACCTTGAGGCGAACAAAGGAGTCGAAGGCTTCTGATGGCCGTCGAATACTCCATCTCCCTCCACGTCGCGATGAACTCCGGTATCTGAAATTTGATCCGCATGAGCAGACCATCTACGATCAATTCTTCTCGGAGTCCAAAGCCGAGTTCAACGAGCTTTCCAACAAAAATGAAGTTATGAAGAACTACGTTGGCATACTCCAAAAAATCTTGCGTCTCCGACAGATTTGCGACCACTTCGAGCTCGTGGAGGGTAAAGGACCACTAGGAGATATGCAGAACATGGACCTTACCAGTTACGAAGACATTGCCGCTGCCATTGGGAAGGAAGGTCTCAATCCTACTCGTGCAGCTGCGATCGTTGCCTTGCTACGGGAAGCAGCTACAACTCAATGCGTTGAATGTGGAGAAGAGCTGTGTATGTCTTCTGATCAGCAGGGGCAGATGGACGTTGGTGGTGGTGCCATGGATATGGATGGTCCGTCTGCACCCAAGCGAGGAAGGAAGACGAAAGGTTCCGGTTCCCGTGCCCCTACGCGAGCTAGTAGTCCATCAGCACCGTCACTCGTCCTCACCCGCTGTCAGCATTTGTTTTGCCTGGGATGCTACCGTCAGTGTGTATGCCCAGGTTGGCCAGATGTTCCTACCGATGTCCGCCGTTCATGTTCGGCTTGCCAGACTGGTCTTTTACCGCAAGATGCAGTTCGAGTTCGACCTGATTGCTCGCCAGTTGATTTTGGCGTCAAGAAAAAGCCGGTCAAGCGAGAAAAACGAACCAAAGGTGTTACACTCGAGAACTTCCATCCGTCTACCAAAGTCAAGGCCTTACTCGGGGACCTTATGCAATTTTCCCGGGCAAACCCGCATTCTGTCAATTACGACCCTGATTCAATTGAGGTGGAAATGGTAGATAATGAAGGCAATAAACTCGACGATGGCATAATCAAGACTGTTGTCTTGTATGTGTCTAATTCTCATTTGATGGATCTCACAGTTTATATCTCTATATTCTAGCTCCCAATGGACAACAATGCTAGATAAGTATGTCGTTACAATCTCGCAAAAAGGTGTGTTGTCTCACCTGAGTTTAGGATCGAAGATGCGTTGGAGACAGCTGGCATCCGCTATGATCGTCTAGATGGCACAATGAAACGTGATGACCGTACCCGTGCCATGGATGCATTGAAACATGATCCCGGGTGTGAAGTCCTTCTAGTCAGTTTGAAGGCCGGAGGAGTAGGCTTAAACTTGACTGCCGCCCAACGCGTGTACTTGATGGATCCATATTGGTAACGTTTATCTTTATAATTCCTGTGATTCAAGTGTTGCTCAAGCCTTTCGCAGGAATCCTGCAGTCGAGAATCAAGCAGTGGATAGGATTGTGAGTCCTTTTCACGCCTTTTGTTGTGGTCCACTGATTTCGTCGTAGCATCGTTTAGGGCAGACACGCCCTGTAACAACAGTCAAGCTCATCATCGAGAATTCCATCGAGGATCGCCTTCTGGAAGTGCAGCGCAAGAAGACCGAGCTGGCCAACATGACTTTGGGTCAGAACTTCAGCAAAGCCGACATGCTACAACGACGCATGGAAGAGCTGAATCAGCTCTTCGCAGCGTAATTTATCTAAACCTTTCAGGTTCATCGTTTCTTCGTTTTTTTGGAACACTCTTTGGAATACCTGTACTAATTCTCTACTCGTAACAAACTTCATGTAATCCTTAGAACACCTTGATTTACGAATCTCACTTCTCCATTTTGGTCTGCCATCGATTCAAATTACTGGTAGTGTTTACAGCATGACGTGTGTACATAGATAGATGGCGTGTAATTGGAAGATATCATCAGAAAGCAAAGTGCGCGGCGTTCTTTCTTCTTCCCAGGGCATATACGAAGATCTGACTCACAAATAGACCAACTGTTATTCCAATCGCCACTTCTATTATCCGTATGGCAAGCTGAAGTCCAGCCGAGTATTGCTGAGTAGACGATGTCTCATCAGACGAGAGCAGACCACCGCCCTGACCGATACCAGACTGTTTGATATTAGATCAATGGACGAATAAAGCACATTTCAGAACGGCTTACAGGGACGAGGAACAGGACACCAGTGACCATGGCCGTAAAAGCGGTTCCACGCATGACTCGTGAGTACACGTTGCCCAAGACCCCAATGACCAAAGCCCCAGAAGCCGAAATGATGTCGCTTTTACCAGGAAGATAGTTATTCGAGAGTCGATTCGCGACGAAAGCACAGCACGCAAACACGACCATGACCAGAAGTTGCCAGCTGCGCAACTTCTGCAAATTGGACAAAGACGAGCAAAGAGAGTACGCTGGTACGAGGAAGAAGAGCGTCCACCAGGGAAGCTCCTTTCTCCACCATGGCCAATTGGGCTCCCTGTAGCACCCTTTCAGGTCGGGTCAATATAAGTTGAATTTTAAACGATCAAATCCAATACCATTAACTATATGAGGGTCATTGGTTTGAGCAAAACCGAAGATGGCACCTCCCGGAACGGGAGACGTGCCGTTCTCAGCGTGAAAAGTCCCGTGGTACATCGTATATCTCCCTGCTTCGGCCTTATCTAAATTATGTCGGGCGTGTTTGTTGAGTACAAGATAAAGATCGGAGCCTATCGTCAGACCGAATCCCTGGTTGTGGATTTGAGAAGTGAAAAAAAAATTGCGAATCGGACGTACCAGGAACAAAGTATAGATGATCGCATAGACCATTCTTACGGATCCACATAGAATGTTTCTGGAAGTGAGCTCTAGTGCGCTGATGACTGATATCTGGATCGTCGCAGTGAGTGGTAGATAGCACGAGTCAGCCACTTACGGATAGTAAATCCTGGAAGAATCAACACCACCCCAGCAGATGCTATGGCGTTGTAGCAGAACAACCTGCCTGGTATGGTGCTGAGTGCCCGAGCCACGAAGGACACGATGATGGCAATTGATATCCTAATCAATCTGCTAAATTGAGTGAATACAGAGGAAAAGATCGCTTACTCGTAGACGTTCGCGTACGTTGCGCTCTTCGTTGCGGTGTTAAGGCCGAGATATTGCAAGACGAAGGCACACACTCCGCTAATCCACATATCAATGACCGACCCCCCGAACGCAAGGACACATATAGTAGAGCCGCATACGAAGGCTAAGAGGCAGCGTACCAACAACGAATATATCGGGGGAGCGGAGAGTATGGAGGCCAATTGCTTGGTGCCTTCTTCCACAGTCATCTTGTCATGAAGAACCTTGCGATACACAATATGGACTCCTTGCAACGCCGTAAGCGCAATTCGTCCATTCGCTTTCACGAAATGAGTCTCCACGGATGTCATGTCTTCATCACCAAACGTGACGATGATGATATTCGGTATATGGACGAACGAGGCTCTCGCGTCAAGGATCTGGGAAGCAGTAGCCAACTGCGACTCGATACGATGGGATGGAGCACCAAAAGCGAGCAAACACTTGGCGAGCTTGAGCATGAAAGCACGGCGCTTGTCGATGTCTATACGAGGTCGTCATTGGATGGCAGGCACAATACTCTTCCGAGGCTCACCTTGAACGTGTTTTGTTATCGCGGAAGGCCGCTTGCTCTTGATCACACTGGCACGAAGCTTGGCCCCCTGATAAAAGCTGTTTGGACCACCCCCTCCCAAAGGCCGCTTGGATGGCTTGGCTTCAGCGCTGGCATCCCCGCTGATCGAGGATCCCCTCGTTTTCCTGCTCGTCGGATTAAAGGTCTTCATGTCACTGAAAATCTCTTCATCAAGTGCTTCTTGCGGGCGTCGAGTGAAAGGGATTAGCCTGTCCATGACGGAGCGCCTTCGCTTGGGTGGAGTCCTTCCGTCTTCCAATGCGCTGAAGGTACGGCTGATTTCCGCAGCAGCAACTTCCTCCCTGACCTTGGTGTGCTGAGATGAGGAAGCTGATATCGCCTCATCAGTGGGCCGCCAAGTTGAGCTAGCAGTCGACTGCTGCGAGGATGAAGGCGAATTTCTCGCAAGGCCAATGCCAGCAAGGTGGGGGAGTCGTTCATGACATACAGGTCGCCTGCGCGCTTCTGGGGTGACAGGGGAGTACATTATATGCACAAAAAGTGGTTGCGAAGACCATGTATCAGAGACATCTGCATTTATACCCTTCAAACATTCTGATCCAGTCTGATGGTCGTGATTGCACACCAATCGAATTTCCATGCCGTACATCTTACTTTCAATTCAGCCCAGCCTGAGCCGGGAATAGTCGTCCAAAAGCACACCGATCGATTGAATAGCGATGAAAGAGCTATACAAGAATACTAGAAATATATATAACCACGCGAGAACAGATAGGAACTTACAATCGTACAACATATAGACAAGAACCTATAAAGAATCACGACAACCATAAAAACAGCGCGTCGGGAGATCGCAAGAACTACTACCAGATCTGAGGGGCAGGAGGTAGGTAGTCAGCAGGCAGCAAGAATGCATCCATGCCTTGCTGGGAAAATGAGTTACCACCCAGGCTCTGATCAGAAATCCACACTGGAAGTTGTTCGTTCGACGTCATTTCAAAGCCACGCCAGATGTTATCGACCTCGACGGTCTGCTGCGGCATCATGCCCATTTGCATCTGCTGCATGACTTCAGGACTCGAATATGCAATATCATACTTTTGAGCAAAATTCTCGGGGCTCATGTGCACATTCTGCTGCATGTCAATCACCATGGACATGTTTCGAGGAGGCTCCCTAGGTATCTTGGGGGAGCGGGAGCTTGATGCCGTCTTACGCCTCTTCGCTCTTTTCAGCATCAGCTGAAGCGTGATGGCATAGCGCTTGCCAGGGACTGCCAAAGCAGTTGACGAGTGTGTCTATAGCAAGATGCAACAGGACTCACTTTGAGACATTAAACCTGCGAGACGTTCGACCTGCGACCGTATTTCTTGCATATCACAATCAGTCGGGCTGAGACGTTGTGAGTACATTATTCACCGCCTGCAGCGCGCGTAACTTACAAAAGACGTGCTAACCGCAGCAAGAACGATGCTGCAAATGTTGCAGTTGCATGTGTATAGTGAACGGCTATTTCATGCCAGTTTAGGGATCCTGAAACAATAAAATAACGGGAGCCAACCATATTTCATGCCTTCGCTATACGATGGCGAGTTGACTGTGATTTCAAGGCCCTGGCGAGCAGTGCGTATTGAACGTATTGCCAATTCTCTTTGGGCGGCTGGCATCTTCTCGACATCCTCTGGGCCATTAATACCACGTAAGGCAGTTGCATTGTGGAACAGCTCTGCGTGGAGTTGTTGGATCTGCAAACTTTGTCGGTAAAACGCTTGACGAAGAGTCAGCAGGGTATGCAGGGAGTGGTTCCTGACGGTTGAATCGCACCTGCATCTTCATATTTCTGCGAAAAAGCCTGATCCCAAGTTTTATACCAATTTCGGAACTCAGAGTCAGCTTGTTGAATGACTGCAAAAGTGACTTCGTCGACAGCTCGTTCAAAAGGCGACAGCTTGTTGTGGACTCTTTCGCGGATAGCCATAAGTTCAACAGTCGAAACCAAGCGCATATCATCCTCAATTGCTAAAGGGTGCTGTAGAAGCAAACGGCACTGCCATATGCTTTCATCATCCTTTAAAATTGCTGGACGTCCTGTGCCATAGGATAATCTTTGATATGTAATCAGTGATCGGAAAATGCGCTTAAAGCCGTCCGTAAACGCACTGATGTTCGAAGAGATACAGGCAAAACCAAGTTCGGGATGCAACAACGAGGTCGCGATCTTCCGAACCGTCAATGGTGGTTTTAGTTTTGCTTTGCATTCGCCTCAGAAGTTTGGGCCAAGCTTTGTGAAGTGCTAAAAATAATAAAACACTCAGATTTTTTTTTTTGCAGTGAATGTTCTACTCACACAGTTCCATGGCCATGCGAACAGCGTGGCCGCCACTGAGCCAACCATTATCCGACCACCCGGAAACAAGAACTTTCAAATGATTAATCCAACTTGGATGTCACAGAAAGCACACTCACTCATCGCTTGCACGGCTTCTACGCGGCTTACCGGAGCAAACAGTGTGGCGCACGAAATATTTTGCACTGCTTCCAAACATCGGGTGTAAGTCTCGCTTGCATTCCCTGATGGATAATGAGATAAGCTGATAACAAAATAATGTCAGCAAGTCACCTCCGCCGTCCCTCACGCGGGCAGCAACTGTACAGATGGCATCGACAGCGAACGGTGACCGCTCATGGAGCCCGTCGAAAGTGTCAACTTGGCAATCGAATACTGGGAGAAAGGTGGAACATCCGGCATAAAATCTGTATGACGGCATTGGTACGCAGCATGAAGAAAAGAGGCTAAAATAAAACCACATTCTGAACAGTTCACGGGCTTCTTGCTCCGAAATGATGTTTGTTGTGACAACTGCTCATTTAAATGTTGAGAATCAGTTGTGCAAGTGGATAAGAAAACGCTACCATCCGGGAAAGTCAAACCACGGGAAGACCGATGACGAATCTTTCTCCTCTTCATTGGCCTAGATTTTCGCTCGGGGGAAGGCGTTCTGGTCCTGCTCTGTGGTTCACTACTTCCTTCGCCATTTTCCTATATGATACGGGTTCACGCGCAGTGAGTGTGAAACGGTAAAATCACTGACCTTGGCAGCTCGCTCAATAGCTACATCGGCTAGACCTCTCAGAACTTCCCATGGTGCTACCAGGCCAGAGGCTGGTAGTTCTCCATTGTCGTCATCAATATCCGTGGAGTCCGCGCTGGTAGGATTGGACGAGGATGGGGCGGTACGTTTAGATCCCGAAGGTGACTGCACATTGTGGCCACGCTGCATTTGCCTTTGTTGATGTGAATCATGACGGCCAGGTATAGATACTTGTGAGGCTGTACGACCGATCGCTTGTAACGTGGAAAATGGGGGTAGAACTTGTCCAGAAGGGGAATAACCATATGATTGGGTCGGTGAAGTCGGATTGGTATGTGAGGGCGGAAGTTGTGGTGGGTGGTACTCTCCATGACCAGGAGATTGTCCAACCGATACCAATGCACCTTGGGATACAGCATTTCTCGAATGACGCGGTGGGGCGTTTAACATAGGTGGAAGAGATCCATGGTTGAGATTGGGGTGATAGGCTGTGGGTGTGGTAGGGCCAGCCTGTACGCTGTGAATACCTGGATCGCTCACATGGGCCCCATTCGGGCCAGAAGACATTGGGGGAGATCCCATGGACTGTATTGTTGGTGACTGTGTATTATACGGCGCCTGTGAGAACGTCGAGGGAGAGCGGTTATTATACGGCGTAGCGCCTCGAAGGTGACCAACGATCTCGAGAAGAGTATTCTGTATCGAAGATTGAGTGAAACGTATCTCAGCAACATGAGCTTCTAGACTTCGTATACGCCTGTAATACTGTAAGTAAAAGATTATGACATGTCATAGAGCCAAGTTGACTGACTCAAGTCCTGCCTCGCCCGTGAGAGTTGCTTCTCTGGTGGGCTTTTCGAATAGACAATCAAGTCCTGCATGACGACAACGTCTACATGGTGGATTATCTGCACCCTCGCAGCGCATCTTCTGCTTCCGACAAGCATTCTGTTCATTTAATGGCGTAAGTGAGCATGCATCGGGAACTTGGAAAGCCGGAGCGTGCTCACACAAGCGCCTGTATCGGGGCAGTCAGTAGGGAGATCTCATACATGAAGAACTTAATGGAACATACGGGGGACACGATTAAGGGTCTTCACGACTGGCTTAACATCCCGCTTGTCATTAGCCTTGTCAAAATCGTCATCATGCTTCTTGTGAAGTACAGAGTTAGCACTTGAGGCAGGATCCATGATTGATGCGTGTAGTGGAGTATTGTACAGACTGATTCAATGCCAAGATATTAGATAGAGAAAGCGTTCAGGTAGAAAGCGATACCGAACCGAACACGTACGTTCAGCCTTGCCACATGCGACGTTGTTCAACTTCATCTACTAGTAGTACGATATCGACACTGACAGCAAATAAAAATAAATAGTAAAATCTAAATATAAAAGATAATTTCAATACAAAATCAATTCTGTAAACGGACAAAATGTCCTTCGAAGAGGTTACTCCCCACGAGTCCCTACGAGTCCCCACGACCATGGCAGCCATATCTGCTATCATCCCCATGCCACCCTTTTTAACTCCCCTTTACTATCATCGTTCCAATGGCAATTGACTCATTGACCGTGCGCCCTGCATCCATCATATCATTGAAATATCGCCTCTTCAGGTCAATCAGTTTAGTTTTCAAACGAACATGTCCAACTGTGGACAGTAGGCTATAATTGGCCGCTTCTGATATCGTTGGAAACTCCCCCCTCACGTATCTATGCAGTCAAGGCTGCGCCCTGGTCAACTTCGTTGATTGGAGTCACCCTACTTGTGCTCCTCCCGAATTTGATACCCTGGAACGCGGCAGTAAGCTTCTATCAGCTCCTACTACAGCGACCAGCTGGATGTTGCCCGTAGTACCAGTGTGTCCTGCTGCAATCATACTCATTTATGTGATTTTTACCATGGATAGTTTTCTGGCAACTTGTGAGAACTTTACTCAATTTCAGAGGGCCTTTTCGAGTTCTGCCAGCAGTCGGTGAGTCCGAGGTTTTACCACGGTGCTCCAAAGTTCGGAGCCAGTAATCGTTGGTTCATTTCCGATGTCAAGACTTCCATAAACCAGCAGCGGATAATCGGAGGACCGCTAGAATCTCTCAAATGAGAATTTTTATCACTGACCCTATGGTGGGCTGTGATCTTTTACGTGCTAGAAGATGGTGAGCTGCCTCACTGCAGTGCATGATGCTTACTGGGGCCAATATAAGTACATCACATTTATGTTGGGTATCAATTACAAGTAATCATCATATAGCGGCTATATAGCGCTGATCGGATAGCCGCGTAGGGGCCAGTCAAACGCTTGAAAACACGTCACTTTGTCATTTTTGGGGAGGATGAACGATGATTCGTCGCTTGAGGTTGCTCAGAATGAACGCCGCATTGACTTCCTCTCGTGTCATCTTAGCCATGGCCAAGACACAGGCGCGGGTTTCTTGCTCGATGAACTGCAGATCGACTTCCTTGGGTGACATTTCTGCCATCGTCGCTACACAGGCGCGGGCTTCTTGATAAAGAGCTTCTTGGTCCTGATCCCCTTGGTCTAGGGCACTTTGGGCATCACCCGACTCGTGCTCGCCATCGTCGACATCCGAATCGGTCATGGCATCGGTATCATCAATGTTCATATTCCAGCAGCATTCTGATAGAGGGAACAGCATCTGCGATGAATTCCGTTGTAGTCTAGCCTCTTTGGCGCGCCGATTATTGAACCAGTTCCTAACTCTCTGGACTGGACTATGGAATCCATTTGGTCAGCTTGGGTAACCGCGCTATGTGAAGGCATCCAAACTCACATATCAATCGCCTCGGCCAGTAATTCGACATCATCCTTCGTAGGGCGATCATTTTTGGCATAATAAGGGTTAAGGATGTTAAGCTGCTCATTTGTCATACATTTCCTCTTGGGAGTATTTTCGACCTCATAGGGAGAAGTACGATGAGACCTTTCACTTTGAGATTTCATAGTGATGACTTGAGCTTTCTTGGAAGACGTTGCCTGTATTCTCGTGGCTGGAGGTGATACCAAACGGTTTCCTTCGTGTAGGGTATATATACTATCAATCAAGCTACCTGTGGATTGTGGCCCACCGCTATGGAGATGTGGATATTGGACAGTCCACTGCTGCTTAGTCCCTGTCATCCTGATAGAACAATGACCCCGGTTGCTTTGTGTATTCTTTGGCTGCAACTAGCAGGGTGGAGGACGGACAATTGTAGCACATGTGGACACAATATTTGGTTTCGCATGTATGTGAGGACGTCGAGGCAGACCTGAATCGAGTCCAAGTCCGCAAACTACTCCAACTAAAAGGGGCGATATTACATAAAGCCGTGTATAATTCAACTCCGTGGCGTTTGAGTACGTGGCCGCAGTACTGGCTGGTAGTGCTTCTGATCCTGATACACGCACTCAACCCATCTTGTCTTGTTTCTGATATCGCAACACCTGTCAGTACAAGCCACTATCATATCTTCTGTTCAGTGATTATAATCTATTCTGACAACAGTTTGTGATTAGTATCGTCGTCGACCACCGTTCGAAGTTTGGAGAGGAATTCATAATGTTAATGTCTATGGTGTCCCATCTGCTTTGGTGATGATATCTGTCGACTCATCATGGCCACAAATACACTGACTATACTTCCATTTCAGTGCGTGGTTCGCGTTCCTACTGCCAAGCTATTCTACCTACAAGGCGCTCTCCTCTCCTTTGTCCGGTGAACTTCAGAGCCTTTCAATGTATTGGGCTGTCGTTGGAGCTTTTATTGCGATCGAGTCGACCATAGGCCCATTCGTATCATGGTTAGTTTTCAAATGTTCCATCTCGTTTCAATATTATTCACCCCTATCTGGTGTATAAGGCTGCCATTTTATTGGGAAACACGAACCCTTTTCTTGCTTTACCTATCTCTCCCGCAAATCCAGGTCCGTAGTCGTCTTCTGCTGTACTTATCTAGGTTTTCACAAAAAGACAGGGTTCGACGTACATCTACAAAACCTACCTTGAACCATTCTGCTCCAAGAATGAGGCAGAGTTGGATTCCAGCATTGCTTCTGCTCAGAACAACGTCCTTGGTTTCCTTCAGTCGCGCATTTCTATGCTCATTGACCTCTTGTGGACCATCTTGAACAAGACTCCCATCACTAAACAACCTCAAGCTGCAAGGGAAGGCCAACCTGTACAACAGCCCTACTCCCTTGAATCGGTGAAGGGGCTTTGGACGTCTTATGGTCCTACCATTATGGGAGCATTACCAAAGTCTTCCACGAAACCTAGTTCCTCTCCCGATACTGTTGCGAAGCAGGCTACATATGCCAGTGGTGCTGACGTCAATCATGAAGACTCCTGAGGCACGCTCAGAATCCACCTTAAATCCATTTTGTTGAGGTATTTCTATCAAAACTCATCGAAGCACGGATATTCGTTTTTTATTTCTTATTCTATCATTTCAACAAGAATGGGTGGTATGTGTATAAGGTAGACTGTGCGTACTATACAATGTGCATTCAATGTGAGGTTCGTTATTAGTACTGCAAAATAAGTTATGATCCAAGCCTGTGACGCCTGAAGGACGTCTCAACATCGGCACTAGTGTATTCCAATGAGACGCCACTATCCGCATAACATTGTGAGATCCGCTTGTTGAAGTTCTCTGTCATTCTTTGCAGTTCCTCTTCACAAGCTTTCCACACGCCGACCATGACCGTGCCAGGAGTAATGCCGCTGCTTTCTTCCTTCGTCGCCTTCTCTTCAGCTTCAGTAAAATGCTTCTCGACGCGCTTGAATAAGGCATCAAGATGTTTGCGGATGTCTTTGCCATCGAACTCCTTGACAACTTTCTTCAGCGAAGATCTGTTGTAGTTGCTGTTCTTTGAAACTTCGGTCGGGGCAGTAGTCGTGAGCAACCGTTCGATGCCGTCGAAATAGTCCTGTGTGGAAGACAAAAATCAGAAAGTGGTGACGAATAAGAATACAACTGCACATACGGTGATCTTTGCAAAAGGTCGTCTGAGGATAATTTTGACATAGGCATTCAGATTCTCATTGTAAATCGTCTCCGCTTGTTTCAGGAACCCAGAAACCGAGCCTACATCCAGCTGGGACATTTCCGCAACGAAGTAATGCATATTCTCTGCAAGCCGACTTTTAACAAACGATCGCAAGTATACCAGCTCACTTACCAACAAGCAGCACGTGATAATTGAGCTGGCCTTTGTCTTCATCGTCACCGTCTAGGGTAGCCATGTGCTTAAGACATTCAAACATACTGTGCACAATCTTTTCATAAGCGAGATCAACATTGGCTCTGATCTCCAAACCATCCGCGCCAATTAGTTGTTGTTCGATGCGACCGACATAGATCGGGAAGTATTTCACGAAATGAGCGACCCCCTTCCGTTTCTTGCTCGTGAGCTTAGTCTCCTCGATCATCTTGATTTGTTGGTTCTGTAAACTTGTCGTGAACAGCAATTCAATCACAGAGACAACGGCTTACGATATGGCGATCGAAGGTTCCCTTGAGCCTAGTATGCTGCTTTTCCAGCATTTGCAGAAAGAACGCATTGTCACGCTCATCCGCATCTGCTACAAAGCGCTCTAAGCAGACCACGACTCCGACTACCTGCCTATCGGCGGAGTGAGCAAAGCTTCTCCACGGGAAAATCATGCAACACGTACAGCGTATCTTTGGCAATAGCGGAATCAATCCATTGCTTCAGCTCGGCAGGTAAAAAGCCGAAAATCAAGTCCATGGCACCGCGTGCGAGTTTCATGGTTGTTTGGCTCAAGCCGGCACTTCGTGCAGCTTGTCGCCTGAAGTAATTGTCCAGCCCAGCGTAATCAGCAAACGTAAGACCAGCATCATTAATTTGCAGAAAATCTGCAATGAAGTCACCCTCCCGGTAGACTTGAGGGGCAATTTGCTCCAAAATAAGACCCAGAGCCTGATACTATTGTGAGTCAAGACTAGCTGAATCAAAGATAAGCGCACCTCTGGTGCACGATACTCTTCGTCCGTCTGCCTTTCCCTGTCTTTATTTCGATCCTTTCGTCCCTCGATAGGCGAACGGACTATGGTTCCAGCGCGACGAATTGATGCCTTTTGGCTATTTTCATTGGTTGACCCAAAGTCTATGTCATTATGAGCCAAACAACTGCTTAAAAGGGCCGATCACAAACTCTGGTCAGCATCTTCGTCTGGTGTCTTCTTCAGCAGTCCTGCGTAAATAGAGAGTAAACTCCCCATCTGTTTTTTGTGAAGTTCACTGGTGGTGGAGAAGTATGCCTTGAGATAGATCCGTCAATGGGAGTTGTAGGCACTGAAATCCACTTACTCCACAGAATCTTGAATATATACTCTCATCCATCTCCTTCAGGTAGAGAAGTAGTCCTGCATAACGACCGAGGTATGCCTCCATGCCTTGATGATTTTTGATAACCGGACGTCCTCGTCCAGGCTTGGTAATCCCATTGTTTCCATCCAGGATAATCTCCGCCTACACACGGAATATAAGTATCACATTCATGACCACAGATAAACAGTTCACCTGTGCGACAGACATGATTGATAGATAGTCATAGACACGTTTGCAAAACTGTGCATTGTGGGTCCTGTATTCGTCTAATCGCTCCATGGTAGCAGCCATGTCTGCGAACAATGAAACCCTGGGAAGAAACGCCAAAAGGTACAAACATACCGGTGTCTTGACCAGCTTGGAGAGCCTTATAAAGTTCTGTGGCCGCTGTCTCCAATTTCTGTATCCCAGATGCCTTTTCGAGGGATTCCTGAGTAAGTGTCACCAGTACTTCACGGTCTACTTGGACAGTTTGCTGTCCTGGCATCAGTATGGCGTGTGATGGCAGATTCGGAAGAACGTACAAGGAGATTCTCGAGCTCGCTCAGCAAAGCACGTTGATTCTGTGTCTGAACCTGTAAGCCGCGCCGCTGAGATTGTATGAATGAGATATCATCCCCGACGGCCTGCGGTTAGACATTTTAGTGTGCAATACAGCCAGTTTGATGACAAGGTCTAACGTTCAAATGAATTTTGTATGATGAAATTAAGCTGTCCATTGCATCGACTTCAGTGATAGCTTCTTCCAGCAAATTCATGACTAGGGCCACACGATCATCGGACTCCACGAAGGAGTGTATATTGGCCTGGAATGCGAGTCAGTGGTTAAGAAACACGAGGCTTCTCGGGTGCCTGGTTCACCTTCTCAAGGGCTATCAACTCGTCTAGCAGACGGGCCTCAACCAAGTCTGCTGCCCCCTTTGCGTTCTTTTTCCCAAAAAGGTCATCGCTGGCCCACTCAAATCCCTCTAGCATCTCCTCTACACTCGCCATTGTAGCCTGCGAGGTCTCCTCTTCACCTGCACTCCCATCCTCTGGGTAATCTCCTGCTACAAGCCTATCCAAAGCAGCTTGATTTAGAGGGTCAAAGAATGATACTCGGTTGTTATGCTCCCGGCGAGGTTGCAGAGGCTCTGGGGTAGGCATGGATTTGCTTGAAGGCAGCTTTTGAGATCGAACAGAAATCGGGGACTCTGATCGAGGAAGCTGGGCGACTGTTGGAGTGGCTGAAAGCGGACTCGACGCGTGAACAAATTCAGCAGAGGGACGAGATACAGCAAAAGGGTAAATTTCTTTGGGAGTGCGTAGAGGCGACGAAGAGAGAGGTGCACGGGTCGGTACGAGGTTCGTTGGCAGGCCATTCGATGAGGGGTTTGGGGGCGGCGTCGCGTTTGATGGACGGCGAATAACTCGCGGTCGAAGTGAACTTGGTAGACCGGATTGAACGGTCTGCGGTTGCACTTGTAACTGAGAGGCTGGTGGTGGGGAAGGGGGTCGGATCACGCCCGAGCCGGAATTATTCTGAGGTAGATTACTAATATTGGAACCAGCAGGAGAAGAAGGTCTTGCAACTTGAGTGCGAGGAGGGAGCTCCGTACGCATGCCTGGCTGTGGTGTCCCCGCTCGCGAAGCCGCAGCTTGTCGTCTTGCTGGCCCAGTAGTTATGTTTGAGTCAGTTTGCGGTGCTTGAGTGACCAGAGTTTCCGAGGATTGAGAGAATACATTGGCTGATAATAAGGATCAATAGCAAGCGTGCATGAGGAGCGCGTTATCTTACCAGGACCTGGCTCATTTTGTCGCACTCCAACTAGATGGAGCGTACTAGTGCCATTTGTGACAAGGTAAAACAGTTTCACTGCCGCGGAAATGAAATTTGCTTGATCAAGATGGTTTTCTGTCTGCCATTTATATGTACGAGCCAATGTGATATTGAAGGATGCTGGCTGCATAAGTGTCAGCTGTGTGATTGCGCTTATCCCTATGCTTATACGTACATTCAAAACTTCTATACCACGCAACTCGGAAAGTTTCCATGTCTTCCCTACGGAGAATGAACCGTTTGTATTAAGCTTTGACTTGTGAAGGAAACCAGTTCCATCGCTACCCTCTGAAGAACTGTTTGAGTAATCCATAAGACAGATGATGATAACATACGTGACAGCAAGATATAGCGAGGCTTTTTACCAGAGTCTTCTCCTGCATCCTCCCATATTTTTATGTGTCCAACGTATGTCTCTTGAATCGCAGCACCTGAGTTGCGCTTATCAAATACTGATGCGATTATGCGTTGCTTTGTGTGATCATGATCAGACATTGTTATAAGTTGTTGCCAGAGCCCCTTCGAGGAATTGGCAGACGCTCAGGGCTTCCTCTGATTACCCGAACCTGGTTGTTGTAGTACCTATGTAATTCTTAATTGATATGGGAAAGCGGTTGTTTGGCTTTATTGACCAAAGGCTTCAATAATCCAAAAAAGGACCACACATAAGAGAGTCAAGAAGGCGAGTTCCGGCTACCGACCACCCTTTACTATCGACTTCAGCCAAGAGTAAGGACGTCTGGTCCCCATAGACTTAGCCATACCGGCACCTGTCATAAAAGCAGTAGTCATTCCTTTCTCAATCATTAACGATCTTCCCCCCGAAACAATATCTGGTTTGGACCACTCCCCACAGCGGCACTACAATAAAGAAGGTTTGTCTTACTTGCACCGAACACCAGTGGATCAAGCGTCGGTATTTATTTCAGGCAGGTATCTCTTCATCTATCTCTCGTAAATAACCGAGAAAAGTTCAGCCCTTGTATCCCATACATTACTGCAAATAGATCACTGATGAATACATCACACACAGGCTCGTCTACAACAGCACTCTCAAATTCACCCACTCTGTCTTTCCGTGACGCTCTTTCTTCTTTTGATGGTCAGGAAGATGGATCTGCAGTGGATAGTCCCGTCTCGTCATCTCGTCGCGGGAACCGTCTCTAGATGTCTCAGCAGATGGCATGGATGTGGAGTTTGCAGACCCATCCATGGAGTCCGTCGTACTTTCAGAGGATTCCGTTCCGCGACGTACTTTAAGGAAACGAGTCATAACCAGCAAGGGATCATTGCGATTCAAGCCCGCTTCTGTTTCTGCCATCACAGCACGTCATGGGACTACTTCCGAAGACAACCTCAAGAAGAAAGCATATAAACAAGCATTTTTACAATCTGCGGCCCGTGCTCAAAGCGAGAGAGAAACTAGAGTGCGGGAGCTGAAGAAACGCGCGTTGGCAATCACATCTACCGGAAAGACTCCCGCAACCTCCCGCCAACGCCTCGTAATGCAGATGGTTTATGATGAGATTACCCCGTACCCTGACGAAGCCTGGGTATCCCAGCTGGGCGTCATCATAAACAGGTTTGTTGTCACTGGCTCATTGTTGCCACATCGCCTAATCTTGCCATTTGTAGGGAATACCACCAAGTTAAGAACTGGTTTTCCAATCAACGACAGAAAGATGCCAGGGATTCACGGCAACACACGCCTCAGCCCGCTGCTCCTGCCAGTCTCGAAGCATCTTTATGCAAGATCACATGCGACGGACGTGATTTGCGCTTGCGCACTGCCGCACTGAATTCGTGCGGGGTAGAAGATTGGTCTGATACTTTCTTTGATGAAGTAGTCATGATTTACAATTTCCGTCTTCTCGCAAAGCACAGTCAAGAAGAGGCAATGGCAGCTCTCGTCGAATCTGAGCCTGATGTGGCTATACCCTCATAGCCAACCACTGTCTATCGCCTTTCATCTCATATCATCCCTCACTCTTACTATATGTAGTTGTAATTCTCTCAGACGCTTTCTGTACATTATAATCGTGGGTATACGTACCTGTTATCGTATGGCCGCCGTTAATGATAATCAACAACCAATCACGAGCTAGCTACGAACGAAGTACATGCACTATGTATCTGAATCTGAATGACTGCTTGGCAAAGGCTGATAGTGAGAATCCAGCTGCCTCCACCGGGTAAATAATCTCCTGTGATTACCACCACCCGATGTCCCCTTGACTTCTCCCGCTCGTAATACCTCGTATTTCTTCCCTCTCCAAATTACCTCATTGCCAAGCATGGCCAAGAACCATATTGGCAATGCTAAAAGTTCGCGCAGGCACCATGCAGTGAAGAACCACCATCGTCTGTCTGCTGGAAGAGGATGACCAGCGAGTGACTCGTAAACATCTAAATCTACCCAAAGCCAGGCTGCGTGGTGAACCACAAGAAAAAGCCATATTGGAATACCAAAAAGATACCGCAAACTTGCAGCAGCAATGGAACTAGCCATAAGATTTTCGGTAAAGGGCTCCATGATTGTTGCCGCAAGAGTCATGTGCTTGCGTACACGAATCCAGCGCACACGTCTCCACACGTAGTCCGATAAAGACATTTTCCCGATTGCGTTATGCGCCACGTCACATGACAAATCGTGGCGGAGATCCAGCTCGTGCCATAAAGCACTGGCAATCATGTTATCTTCGGCCAAGAATTTCCCAAACGCAGCAAGGCCATGGGTACAGTCTTGGTCATCGTTTGATTCTGTGTGCGCTCGAGGCTTCAATGAACCGTTTACTCGCTCCAGATCAGAGCGCCGGTAGAGGTTTGATTTTCCAACAACGCAAGATTCGATAGACACAGTGTTGATTGCGAGATACATCTTCGCATGATTGGTATTGAGGAATGCCTCCTCAATTCTTGAACCGAGAAACCCTTCTGGAGCAGATACACATGGGACGTGATGGATGAGCGCAACGCGCCTCTTGGGAGGTCTTGTGTGCGTGGGTGACTCCAGTAGGTCAACGGAGCGCGCAAGTGTCCCAGGTGCAATGGAGACACCCGAATCGATAACCCAGAGAATGTCGTGGATAGCTTCACGATATGAACGAATGAGGTTGTTTACTTTCGGGTTGACCCCCACCACTTCTTCACCTGAATTGCTTTCTTCAGCCGAGTCGTCAACATTGCTCACTATAGACTGACCTATTATTATCCTGGCAGAAATATTGGGGTATTTAGAGATGAGATCTCTCGCAATTGGAAGAGCTTGATCTTGTTCATCAGCGACAGACAATATGATTTCGAAGTTGGGATATTCTTGCGCGAACGTAGACTCAAGGTTCTCGTATAAGTTGGCATCCAGGCCTTTCAGTGGTCGTAGAATAGATACACCAGGGATAGAACCTGGTGGCGCCGTTGCAAGTGGAGACCGCGGTCGCATGCGGTACCTTCTCCGGCTGTCACAGTGGCAAAGCCCTTAAGTGACGGTTGTCGTTCGAGTAACACAGTTGCTCACCCTGTTCTGCATCCCAGGAGACCAATACTCCATAAAACTACATACCACACGAGCCCGATGGTAGCAAAGATAAAAGGAAAGAATGAGGGACTCTGGTCAAGCTCCAGCTGAGTCTCCATCGGTCTACCATCGGTTACGGTCTACTACTCATTCGTGATGGCCCACTATTTCGTGAGTCACACTCATGTCACGAAAAGTCACGAAAGTCACACTGGCCGAATCTCAGCAGACTTCATGAATCATGAAAATTTGAATCATGAACCAGGCACATGCAGACCCAGGCAGGCCCTTGCTCCGGTCTTGAGAGTTTGTCGCGCCGCCTGTCAAATGCAAGTAGCAGTGCAGGAGCTCGAAAGATTCCTGCAGCTACCGAAGTATGCTTGTATATCATACTGGTAGGTGCCATTTGCGACCCGTCAGCGAGTACTTGCAGCCAAGATCCTGGGCTCATACTCGGGGTCGTTAGACTACACCAAGCTTGACGATGAAGCCATCTCAGCGCTCAAGCGCTCACTGGTGCTACTCACGAACTAAAAAATCGAATGTCCAACGTTGCAACGTCGGCAGCAACGGAAGGTAAGTCACGGCGGTGTCACACAGAAAACATGATCTCTACCAGATTTATTTTGCTTCACTTGGAATATGCTAGTATAGTATGCAGAATATGATCAGTATGTCTAAGCAATCACTGTAAGATTGAGTGCTGTGGACGAAAATCACGAAATGCAGGTCTGTGCATCAGAGAATTCGTGAGTCTACCCAGGGTGCTTTACGTTGATTGCGGTGGTTTTCCGACGTTATACATGGCTTTATATGACTTTATATTCCAATATAAAGAAAATCTTTCCTATATATGACAATATCTTCGGTTCACGAGTCCTCTGATGGTCGCGATTAGACCGTGTGCGGAACCAAAAATTGTAATTTGTGAAAAACTCTAATTTCCATCCACTTATGCAACCTGAAGTTCCTCTAGGCCAAATAGCTGAATAGTGTTCTTATACACCTTTTCTGTCACTTTCTCGAACGGGACCTCTTCATTGAGCTTGTGTATGACCCATGCAACGCCTCCGATCGCACTGGGCTCGTTTCTCCCTTTCACTGGCCTGCCCATCATGAACGATGGCAATTTAGTGCCGGAAGGGAAATACTTCGACTTTAATGACGCCGGAAGCGTCTCTAGTAAGGTATTTGACGCGTGTGTTGAGGTCATGGAGCACCAAGGAGCATCTAATATCAAACCATTTTTCAGTACCCTCCACAACCACAATGACATCGAAATTTGACCTGTCTCGAGTAAAAGCTTGTCCGGTCGAATCGCCTTTGCAGTAAGCAGGTTTTGCTCTGTTTTGAGGGAGCACCCATTGATGCTGATGCGATAATATCAGTGCTAAAATTCAATGCTGACCCTCTGAAACCACACCTTATGTGGAAACCCATGTCCATCTGTGCGTCAGAGTCAGCGCAATTCGAAGAATGATAGACTATGAACTCACGAGCTCGACGACCTCTTCAACCGACCCTGTGAAACTGTGAACAACTCCCTTTCTCTTTCCATCCTCTCCGAAACCTTCGTCACGAAGGATATTCACAAAGTCTTTGTGGGCTGCACGGGAGTGAAGGAACAGCGGTAGCTTGTACTTTTTGGCAAGAAATAGCTGTGAGCCTGTACCGATGCAAGGTATCACCCAGCACACGGCAATTAGCTTGAAACAAGGGGTCCGATGTTCCACACATACGGAAGTGTCGTCGCTGTACGTCTTCCGGTGCGAAGTGCATGCGATCGTAATCTGATGACCTCAATAACCTTGTCAATGGTTTGCACACATGCAACATCTAGACACACCCAAGCCACACTCGCCAATAGCAACAACTCTGCCTTTACCGTGGAGATTGGCACTTATTAGGCTGTCCAGCGCCTGGAGGTAGGCTTCTGGACCGCCCGGGTACTCGTCAAATTCTTTTGAGCGGGTTGGATGGCATCCCACTGTCGCAAAAAAGCCTTGTGAAGTAAAGCAGCGCATTATGACATCAGGGTGCAAATAATTCTGGTTTTACGAGATGGTGCGAACCATATTGAGCAGCAAGAGACAGTGCAGTTTTTGATTCTCCAAGACTTCCGCCTGTGATTATCATAGATCGAACACCAGCTAACCGCGACCTGTCCAGCATTGCTTCAAAGTCGTCTGCAAATGACTGTTAGCGCAGCGTAGAAGCACTGAAGGCCACGATAGACCTTCATGTTTTTTTTTGCCATGGTGAATGCCATGAAATACAGCATCGGTGAGATTTACTGTTCAACAACGATATCGAGATCGTATTAATGCGATGTGTACCACCATAATCCATGGTTCTCAATGGCACTCACCTCCGATGTCTATGATGATTGACCAGATCAATACGACCAGCGCCGGACTGGAAAGTTTGGATCCCATCTCACCTATGAATCTAAAAGTCCCCGATAACTCAGCGGGCACTGGCTTTGATGGTATAACAGTAACGGGCATGTCTATGTCGGGTGAAGCTTGCGTGAATAGGTTTACATAGATACCGTTATAATGCGGTTGTAGAGGGAACGAGCCAGGAGACCCCTGAGCTCAGTGACGCGGATGAGTGACTCACACAGAACTTCGGACCCTTGGCCAGTAAAAAGGAAACGACTATCTTCATTCGTCCATGGTCTGTCCAGGATAGACTAATTAATCCAGTTCCCACATTGACGATGATAGCATCAGCGGCTTTGTCGGCATCACGTATAATACCCAGCCCACGGCTACAAACGACTTACTAATTTAATACAATTATGCAGTATTACTACTTGCAATTGCCCCCTGTCGTGCTTTACCGCCGAATATGTCCCGAACCATACCCAAGAAGATATCCTTTATCGCTGCACGGCTCTCCCAGAGAGGTAGGATTGATGTGATGCCAGCAGCTACGAAGAGCCACGCGACACAGATGATAATCCAACCTCTGAAAAAGTTCAGAGAGAACACGTAGTGTGATAGGAACATGGGTATCGGTATAAGCTGCGATCAAGTTAATAACCGAGCGTCAACATATCAATTACACTCACGAAAAGTACAATGAATATCAGTGTCAATGATGCCCAGGTAGCAACCTTGAGTGACTTTTGAAGTTCAGCGTATTCTTCAGCTGGGACATCAATCGTTATGTCGTCTTTCGCCGATGCTACATCCACCATGGCACTTTCTTGCTTCTCTTTCTCGACAGGTGAGTCGGAGCCAGAGCCAGACACGGAGTCCGGTATGGTCGCTTGCTTTCGATCCATCTCTCTTGCTCGGGGGTTGATTCTTTTAGTAGCAGACCAATCAAACTCGTTGTCAGGTTTAATGAGAGTGACGACGGCGGAAATGATAGCACCCGAGCAGCAAGCGCCCAGGTTTCCAGCAAGGTTAGGATACATTAGTCCTTGTTCTTCGTCAGCATAGAACACGGTGTCTGCAGCGGACAAGAACTTACCTGTAGTTGCGATAGTCAATTCGCCGTAATACGTTTTTGCAACTGCCAACCATGCAATTATGCCAACTACTACTCCTCCCAATGCGCCACTGATGGCAGCCTCTTTTGTTTGCTGGCGCCATACCACACTAAAGATGACTGGGCCAACAGCGCCAGTGAACAAAGTTCCCGAGAACAAGAATAGCCAGTTCAAAGATACTCCTATTCCGATCCATAACGATGCAACACACGACATTACCAGAGCCCATACTGCGACCATTATATGAGATACACGTATAAGAGACTCTGGTGATGCCTGGATATCATCATCAGTGTTCGTTCTTGGTAGCGATCGATGTTCACGTACATCAGGATTAAAGTGGATTTGATACAGATCAAATGTAAGAATAGATGATGTCGCAATCATCTCGGAAGATGCAGCTGAGGTTACTGCCATGAAAAGCAGTATCAACTAAATGACCAGCTGTTATTCATTTGTCAGCGAATGGGAAATATGTGGCTCACCATAGCTGCTGCACCACCACTGCCCAATAGTGTCACTACACCAGCGGGAGCAGCTAGGCCAGCATTAATCTCCGCCGCTGTGAGCCCACCAGAATACGGGAAGCTGGGATCTAAAACGTCGTCAGATACATACAATATTGAATACATGTATTTAAACTCACTGTTGGCAAGCGCGACAGCAGCAAGGCCCATGATAGAGGAAAAAGTGAGAGGTACAGCAAACCAGGCAATACCGCCCATAAGATAGGCTCGGACAGCGGTCTTTGCTTCTGATGCGATTGCACGTTGCCAGTAGCCCTGTTTGTGATATTAGCGAGCATCTACTTGTTACGGTACCAGATAACGAGCCTGATCCAGCATGACAGTACCAAATCCACCAGTGATCTGAATGATCATAAATGTAAGTCCATCTTGAGAAAAAGTTCAGTAAACGTCTGTAAAGGGTGTAAGGAACAGCTCACAGTTGGACTTCAGCGTCAAGTATGAGCCATCTTGGTTTCCGGCGACAGGTCGCTCGATGCTTGCTTGTTGTAGCAAGCTGTACATTCCCTCAAAACCGCCGATAAGGTCTGCTTTCGTGTATGTCCAGAAGAAGAAGTAAAATATGAGGATCATCAAGATGAGTGTATGTGAATAATCGCCTGCAATAAACCTGAATCAGCGGGTTAACTCAAGGGGGATTATCGATCACCGACATAAGAACGTGGCGCGAAGACCCCCGAGGATGACATAGATACAGACCCCAAGCGGAATGAGGAAGTTGGCGGCATAAATGTTCATCCCAGTGAAGGCATTAACAACTGCACTGCCACCAAGCAGTAACATGCTCGAGACAATAAGATTGACGACCAGTCCAAAAGTCGCGAACATGAAGTGTGCTGTGTTACCGTAGCGAGCGTGAACAATCTCGAGGAAGGTGTGACAGTATGGTGCGATCTGTTTAACCCGCACGGCGAGAATTGCCATAACAAATATTTGAATCGTAGCACCTGCTGCATAATAATAGCCAGCACATAGACCATACTCATAAGTCACTGTGGAGCTTTGCAAGAGCGTTGCCGCCCAGGTCCATGCCGACACGATGCCAGAAGCAATAAGACCGGGTTTGACGCTGCGTGATGCTGTATTGAACTCCTCGGAGGTGGAGATCTTGTAGGTCGTATAGCGGTTTTGAAGGGTTGATAAACCCATCATGATGATAGCGAAGACGAAGCCGATTCCGAGCACGACGCCATACCCTGTACCTTGTGTCAGGACTTCAGCACCTGTGGTTGAAGACATTGCAACAACAGAGGGACGGGAGTAATGCATAAAGAAGTTCAGACTTTAATAGGTGCCTAGGGCGACAGCCCAATACCGTAGTAGAAGCAATTTGCTATCGAGTCCGCAGAGATAGGCATGAGAGATCCAAGCAGGCACTCGGGCCAGTCTTCTCCCTACAATGGCATGTATAACGCAAACCGCGGACTCGGATATCTTTAGAGCTCAATAAGCGCTGAAGGCACATGAAGGTGGCTATCGATAACTCGATAAGGTCAGCGTAGTATGCGGAGACAGGTTCGCTTGTAAAAAGAGGTCGAAAGACTTCCTTTTTATTAGTACGATCATGATAGTAGATTTCCTGAATCAGACGTACTACAATTTGTGCAGACGGGCCAAGCCAGCATTTACTAGCATCTTATGGTGGGAGGAATCGTATGCAACAGGACAGGGTATGACTTGGTGATGCTTTGCTCTATCCCCAGTATCTTTGTTTAGACTCAGAAGTCTAGAGCCAATGATTATTGTGCGGCAGACTCCCGAGTGCGTGAACTTGATGAAGACTACAATGTGGAACAGCTGAGAACGTGGGGCGATAAGACAATTATATACTATCAGTTACGCGTATGATCTAGAATTTCGATATTGTGAGTCACATTTTTTGCAGAGTTCATGGTAACCTGTGGCGGCGTTATCTCTCTCGGTTACTTTGAAGTCCGAACGACTTCAAACCCTGAGCGAAAAAAAGTCCAGACACCCTTTGAAAGACCCCAGATCCCGCTCAACATCTTCGCTTCAGCTCAATATCGTAGCCATCATCGAGCAATATATAATGGCCTCAACATATCCTCACTCCCCCGCATGCATGCATTCCTTCCCTTAACTTCAGCTTTGTCGGTTCAATATTCTCCTCATCACGTCTTCGACATGCTGACTTCTTGCATTTTCATAGCACTCCCTAATTGGCACTTTGTAACAAATGCAGACTTGATAATATATACACAATATTCAACTCTCCGAGCAGGTTAGGATGTGGGCCCGTAATGTGCTCGCTGCAAACATCCGTTGACACCTTCCGTATGACTCCAGCAACCCAATACCAGTGATATCAAACTTAGTATTCTGATATTGCTGCAATCTCAAGCCTCGTTCACATGAATCTCGGACACGTTCAGCGTCCGAACGCCAAAGTGAACATGAACTAAACGTCCCGAACGTATTTGAGCACGTTCGGTCCAGTATTCAGCCAAACTGAACGCAACGTCCAGTTCAGCGTTTGCTGATCTGAACCGGACTTTCCCATCACTATCGTCGACAGTATTTCAGTTGCGCAGATATCGCAACGAGAGGTGACGACTCGGTCACCGTGCCTGTTGCAAGAATGAGTACATCGTTGGATTGTCCATTCCACTGAGGTCCCACCTTTGTTGTGATCCAACAGAAGACCGACTTCAGTAGTTCTAGGGTATCACATCCTCCAACTTAGGGCGTTGTCTCCAGGCCTCCGGAACTCAGCCCCTAGTGATCCGGACTATTTGAAAGCCACGATGCCTTCTCGGGACAGTCATCTCAACCACATTCGATGTTGTTGCAATGTGCCGCCCAAGCTATACTATCAGGTTTGTGGAAAAAGATGGAGCGTGGCTGGTACCAGTGATTGGGAATTCAGGGAGGTTTTCGCCCACTGAGAGATATAAGAATGTGTGCCTTACGCACCAGATGGGTACGAGTATCGGAACAATGAGCACCTTCGAGGAGCAGTTGAGTGGGGAGAGACAATTCTACATTGTGTTGGTTCCATGTTGACGAGGATACTAGAGTGAAGTTGTGTCAGGCAATTCACTTTCCGGCCTCGCGAGGGCAATGTTAGAATCACATGTATTTCCACCTCCTACTGTATGGTAATATAGATACTACCCTATAGTAGGGGTCGGTGTTGTGCATCGCTACGGCGTAATATTGGTGTTGGCTGGGGCAACAATAGAACAGGGGTAGAAATCATGACGATTGGTATTAGTGATTGCAAAAGTTCTGGATAGTTTCCCATATAGTGAGAGACACGGGTTAAATGTATGATTTGCGTACGAGATGTGTGTCGAACATTGGCGAGTCAGAGATATGCGTTGGAGGAGTTGGCTGGGTAGAGGCGGATGTATCTGTGGCGCAATTTAGCACATGATGATACATTGGCCAGGTAGTCAAAACGAGAATCACAACTGTGAACGATAGAATGCGACTCGTGATCACAAATGAGGCTTGGGCGCTTCCGCTGCACAGCATATGCTGTACGCTCTGAAGTGAACACCAGGATAAAGCATAGAGAGCATACAAACTCAGAGTGCACTCCCGACCTGTGCACTCATCGTCTTGGTGAGACGTTAAGGGACTCAAGGCTTACTAAGAAACGCACCCAACCCAGTTCCCACGGTCTCACAGACCCGGTTTTCTTGTAGAGCAAAACTGGTCTGAGACCTCTCTGAGGATAGCAGTACCTCTCCCATGCCTCTCCACAGTCTAGTAATGATGGCCTGACAAACTTAGCCGAGGCGACAAACTCGATTCTAATCTGACAGTCCAGATGTCATGATTTGCAGGGCTGGTTAGTGATGGAATAGCGAATATTTGAAGAGAAGAAAAGGGGGTCCGAAAAGACGTGTCAACAAAGTTGGAAAAGTGTACGGCCCCTAGGTTTGGATTGACTGAATGTCCGAAATTTACGACCTATCGATGAACAAGGCACCTGCCGGCGCAGCTCTGCCTTCCTTCAAGTTCTTTTAGAATTTGAGTGTGTTCGGCACGTTGTTCTAGTATCCTTTTATCATTTCCGGTGTTAATCAGTGCTAGTGTGCTGACTCTAAGGTTCTCGCATGCTTACCTGGTGACGTTGAATGAGCCATCAACAAGAATTGCTTTATGATCAATGGTCATGTCCTCGAGCAGGTCGTTTTTGCCAACTTTCAAGACCATGTAAGGGCATTTGTTAGTCCCATCGTTGTGCTCACGACGGTCATACAGCACGAGAAATTTCGCCGGCTTTTTATACTTGCGATTCATCCAGATGGCATGCTCGTCGAGGATTGCCTCAGGTTGAAAGTAGTCGTTTCTGTCGAGGAGTTGGAAATGACCATCATTGAATTGCTTGATTCTGATGCAGACGAATCTGCTGTTGTCAAAATTGCTGTAGTATACAGCGGTGACGAATTTAGTTTCACTAGTCATGGCGGTAGTAGGTGTCTTGGAGTTTTTTTTAGGGGACTCTCGCTCGCTGACGTTTTATCTAGCTCCTCCTATTCCTTTTCTCCTATTATTATCAATCTATCCCGAGGCTCTAGGTGAGCCCATTCGTTATTGGCTTTATTCTTGCGTATGCCCTGTCATGGCGTCTCGCTCTTGCATTGTCTTCTGTGCGTCACAATCATAGGCAGCGTCATGAAAATTTTCTCTTCAAATACACGCAGTGAGTGTACTTGCTGTTGGCCTCGTCCTGAAGCCCTGTTCAATACCGGATTGTCCTTAAAGTATGCTACTGAGGCAGGCAGTCTTGCAGAAGGGGTCATATCCATGATTTGCACCGTGCAGGCTTTCGAGACACATAAAATATTTGGTAAGGTGTGTGGTTAGGCTACTTCTTCTTCGTGAACTGCTTTGGATATGCGCTGGCGTTCTATTTTGGAACTACCCTCATAAATGAGGGCTAGGGTCTGTTCCGTGTCGACGGCTAATGCTGAGGTTGTAAACGTCTTCCTCGCCATCTTAACCGGATCAATATCTCTTGCCCTACTTGCACCTGAATTATAAGATAATCACGGTCCTACTTTTGATTCGGAATTCTCATCTCGCTTTACTCAAGCTACTACACGTTACTGTGGTGCTGCTGCCAAACTCTTCGCTGCGATTGAGCGTGTCCCTGATATCGACTCGGCAAACCCAGGAGGACTAAAGCCTACAAATGTCACCAACGAGATTACGTCCAAGAAAACCAAATTCAACTATCCGTCTCGCGCATATATCCCAATTCTCAAAGGCATCAACATCACCTTCCCGGCCGGCGAGACCACTGCTGTCGTCGGCGCATCTGGATCTGGTAAATCTATGGTTGTATCTCTCACGGAACGGTTCTACGATCAGCTCAGTGGCTCCGTTATGCTTGACGGAACTGACTTGCGAGAGCTGGATATAAAATGGTTGCGCTCTCAGACCGGTATGGTCCACCAATACCTGGCTCGTTTGACGATAACTATTTAGTTGACTCTACAGTGGTTGAAACATTGTTTGTACCGAGGTTCGAAAAGGATGTAGATGGAGGACAACCCTCACTTTACATATCCTTGAGGGAGGTCGGAGATGACTCGAGTTTGATACGCCTAGAGCTAGGTCTAGTAGGGCTGCCAGTGGAGAAGGGGAAGCGCAAAAAGCTTCTCATTACATGTGTTCAACGGAGGAGATAGTCGGTCGGGTACTCAAGCAACGTAGACAAATGCGTGACCGAGGATTGTCTCTCCGTTCTCCACGTGCCACCGCCTTCCGGTCCGCATCGGAGGATCCGCTCACCACTCGCTGACCATCTCCACTTCAGCGCACAGAATTAATCACCGCCTCTGGATATCCTATCTATTTCACAATGACCTTGCCTATGTCGATGTCCTGTGGCACAACCTTGCTGCACTATCCTCACTTCCTCCGACCAATTTCTTCCTGTCCGAAGACAATGCCATCATGTCTACACTTCGTTATCCCCGTCCCACCAGTCCTCTTCTATCTGTTTCCCACTCTTCAGGTTCCATATCCGCAGCGAGCCGTCTCTTGAACAAGTCATCATCCGTTGTCCGCCTGGCAGCTAAATGACGCCCTTGACTCGACTGGTGTATCCTTCAAATTTCTGGCTGGGCTTTATCGTTAATGTCTCCTGCATCACAACAACGAGTGAAGACACAATCAAACACCACGCACGTAGCTCCATCTCAGCTTTCGTCTTAGAAAGTCTCAAATCATCACTTACCACGATACGTTTCTTAGCAGGTCTTGACGTCTTGACACCAAGACATAATGGGCGTATAGGTCGAGAGTGCACTGGAAGTCTGGGTTTGTATGTTTTCTATGTAGTATGCATTGCCCTCGTGTTCACTTCACAGCCTGCATATAGCATATACTGTGCAGCGGAAGCGCCCAAGCTTCATTTGTGATCACGAGTCGCATTCCATCATTCACAATTTTGATTCTTGTTTTGGCTGCCTGGTCAATGTATCATCATGTGCTAAATTGCACCTCAGATCATACATCCGTCTCTTCCCGGCCAACTCCTCCAATGCGTTCGTCATCCCTGACTCACTACTCTTGTGAGCAGTGATAACAAGACTCGTCGCCGTGGGTCGTTGCGCCAGATCGACAGGTATATGTGCATGCGCCCAATCTTTCAGCTTGCAACCAATATTTTTAATACACGACACTTGTACGATTCTATGTACGTTGCAGCTATATCTCTCGAACGCAAGCTCAAGTTCGAACGGTTCGTCCCCGGTCATCATTGTCAAGATGACTCACTCACTCACACTCACATCCCATCGGTCATTGATATTCAATGAACATCAGGGAACTCGTGAGTCTATCCAGGGTGCTTTACATTGATTGCGGTGGTTTTCCGATATTATACATGGCTCTATATAACTTTATATTCCAATATAAAGAAAACCTTTCCAATATATGACAATATCTTCGGTTCACCAGTCCTCTGATGCGACATGGCCATCTCGATGCAGAGGAAGGGAATCGGCTCGAGCACTGTACTTCGACTCGTCAAGTTCACCCATGAATTCTTGAGGAATAGGCCAAATCAAGATCGTTGAACGACTTGCAGAAGAAACCAGAAAACACTACTCCAAATCGTAAGCAATCACTTGATCAAACGAGTTAATTGACTGTCTCACACACCCAGGGTGACCATTCTCTGGTGAGACCAGCCCTACTCTGAGGACCTTGGCATGGATAGCAAAGCGTTGTCTATCACATGCGAGAACGTCAAAGAACCTCGGAGGAGTCAGTATCTCCGACGAAGGGCTGGGGTGGGAGATGACTGTTCATTGTAGACTCAAAAGCTATCATCACCGGGGTCGGGAGACTAGATTGACGCCAAGGATCATGGTGTTGACCTTTCTACACAACATCACGCAACGTCGCAATGGATGCGGTATAGTTATCCTAAGTACGAGAAAATTCAGCATAGCAAACAGTCAACCAGCCCACCTTAGATTGGATATTATATCAGTTGGCCATGCAAGAATGGTCTTGCTGCTCACAAGCAAGTCTTAAGACTAAAAACAGAACAAGAAAATCGTATCAATCGACTAGACTCGTGACCAGTCTACATCTTTTTGAGATGTGGAATAGTCATTGGTACTGAAATGACAAAAATCAGTTGGCTGGCAGACAACACAAGGATACAATTTTATGATACATTATCAACCGACTGATGTTACTGCCGCCATGAACGTTGAAAAGTGTTCCCAACCAACTGGAAACAAGTCATAGCCAACGACAATTGGGAAACACTGATGGGACACACGAAACGAAATAGAACCACGTTCAAGGTACCCAACAACAAATAACAGTAAACCGCGGAGCAAGGTCCACGTTCGCCGAGTTGATGTGAGATACTGACACGGATGCTTTGGGAATCAAGTTGAACCCGTTCCGGCTTTCGGCACCCCAGGCTCAAGGTAACGTCACAATACTGTTTTGCTGTCTAGTAGGAGAGCCTCTTCAAACCTACTTACTATTGCTATGGCTCTGCAACGCCTGCGACAGCTTTCTTCACATCTTACGGGTGCCCCATCCTCGGGTTTGACTGCTTTGGAACAGAAACATCCAGATGATGTCGTCATAACAATGGCCATCCGTTCTCCACTGACTAAAGCGAAGAAGGGTGCCCTGAAAGATACAATGTGAGTAGTACAAACCGTCGCTGAGGATATTATTCATGTCTCACTTCTTTTGGCAGGACAGACGAGCTTTTGCTGGAGATGTTCAAGGTATATTCAGAGTAATTCGATACACACACTTCATCGTCACTGAGCAGGCCTTTAGCATGCAATAGCTCAGTCTAATGTCGATCCAAGTGTTGTTGGCGACATCTGTGTAGGCACAGTGCTCACCCCCGACCCGGTTTATCATGCCAGAGAAGCGGCGCTGGCAGCTGGTTTCCCGGAATCCGTACCAATTCAAGTCGTCAACCGCTTTTGTTCCTCCGGTCTCATGGCGGCAACTGTCATCTCAAATCAAATCCGCTCTGGTCAGATCGAGATTGGACTTGCTGTCGGTGCTGAATCCATGACCCAAAAGTATGTCGAGAAATTGAATTTATCTTGCGAGGCTGAACTATGCAAGCCCTGACAAAGGTGCTCCTGCTCAGTCCGAGGCTCTTGGAGTCAACGCTGCTGCTAAGGACTGTCTTCATCCCATGGGTTGGACCAGTGAGAATGTTGCTCAAGATTTTGATATCTCACGAGAGATTATGGATGAATACTCGGCAAAATCATATCAACGGGCTGAACATGCTGAGAAAGCCGGTTATTTCGCGAAGGAGATTGTCGCATTTACTGTTTACGAGAAAGATCCTACCACTGGTGAACGCAAGAAGACTGTAGTTACAAAGGACGATGGCATCCGTTACGGGACGACGAAAGAGGCACTTTTAAAGATTCGGTCAGCGTTTCCTCAGTGGGGCAAAGCACACACAACGGGTGGGAACGCAAGCCAAGTCACTGATGGTGCAGCAGCAATCATGATGATGACTCGGCGCAAGGCGGAGGAGCTTGGGCTTAAAATTCTAGGCAAGCACATCACTACTGCTGTTGCAGGTAAGGCAAATCTCCAGAATAAGTATTTACTTGCTAAAATTTTCCGGAGGCTGCCCTCCCCGTGTGATGGGCATTGGCCCCGTGTTTGCCATCCCCATGGTTCTTCAAAATGCTGGACTGAGCACAGAAGACGTCGACTTGTATGAAGTGAGTTTGGCAATTTGTCAGGAGATGCATGCTGAATCGCGGTGTATACAGATTAACGAAGCATTTGCTTCGCAGTACGTCTACTGCATCCGGGAGCTTGGTCTGAACCCAGAGAAAGTGAATGTTAATGGAGGTGCCATAGCCTTTGGCCACCCATTAGATGAGTGAACTTTATGCATTGTATATTTACTACTATTATGCTGATGTAAATTGCCTCGATCACGTTGCACCGGTGTGAGACAGATCGTCACTGGATTAAATGAGCTCCATCGGAGAAAGGGGAAAGTATGTTATTCTACCTCATTCAACTGATCTACGTTTGACAATGCAATGCAGGTGTTGGTCACTTCTATGTGTATTGGGACTGGAATGGGTGCAGCAGCGATCTTTGTGCGGGATCACTGAATTATGTAAGACGGTATCTATGGGTTAGCAAGCCGTAATGCCGTTGTCTAAATTTGTATAATATTAAGTATACAAGTGTCTTCCTGCTGTTCCTGTTCTCACCTTCAACTTTCGCTTCTCGTTTTGTTAGTCAACGCCCACCTATAGTCTCTCTTTTACTCCTTCGGCCTAACCTCCAGGCCAGTTTCCACAAAATGGCCACAAATTATGATGCACTGGGTAGTCAGACCAGAAATTCACCGTACGGCTCTGGAGACCCATACTACAACGAGTCGTCAGGGTATATCACACCCGCTCACTCACCCAAGAAGACAATCAGTAAATGGGTGAAGTTCGGCGTACCCGTCGCTGTTGTCGTTATTGCTGGTGCAGTTTTGGGTGGCGTTTTAGGCAGTCGCTCGAGCAAGAACACTTCGGCTTCCAACTCGGCGGCGGCTAGCGCTGCTGCTACCTCAGCCATCGGTGCAAAAAATGATATCGGTCTTTTCGCTACAGCAACAGACAGCCAGTACTTAGTACCCATATACCCAATGACTGTGAGTCATGTTTGCTTACTGCATCGTCCTCGAGGTATTGATTGCTTGAATCCCGTAGACCAACACTGCCGCATTCACTACTCCTACATTCGTCTCCACCACCGACACTAATCTTGCCTGGCCGCAAGATCCTTTCCAACCATCTAACCCCAGCCCAACCCAAGTTCGTTCTGACAGGCCTCGCCTCATCGCTCCTACATACATGTGGGATTCCCTTCCCAACCTCATCAAAAATGATCCCTATCTTTCCAATTGGAATAACACCATATTCGGCAATGCAACACAATACATGGCCCTGCCTCCCGTCGTGTATTTCTTGGATGGTGGTAATGGCATTTTGGACCCTGCTCGTGAGATCAAACAACGTGTTAAAGCGTTCTCCTACGCATACCGCTTAACCAATGACACGAAGTGGTTGGATCGCACCTACGTCGAGTTGCAGGTATGTTTCCTAGCCTATTTTGAGGTGGCTTGATGTCCGACGCCCCGCGACTATAGAATGCAGCTGGTAATCTGACTGGCGGTTGGGGCCCTGATAATTCCACGAAATGGAACCCAACTCACTTCCTCGACACTGCTGAGCTCACTGCAGCCTATGCTATCGCTTATGACTGGCTGTATAACGCGTGGACACCTGCTCAGAGAAGCTCGATCATGGCCACTATGATCACGTACGGCCTCAGTAACGGGGTTATCGCTTACAGTAACAACGACCCGGGCGCTTATGGCTGGTGGCACACTAACACAGAGGGCAACTGGAACTGTGTTTGTAACAATGGTCTTACCATGGGTGCACTTGCTATCCTCGGTGATGACACCACGGGTATTGCTGCACAGCTTCTTGCTTTGACCATCCCCGATGCCCTCCAGAACTGTGCTTTTGCGCCTTCGGGCGACGGCACATGGTCTGAGACTGCCAACTACTGGTACTTCGGTACTACGGCTCACGCCGAGATGGCATCTTCGTTGTTGACTGCTACTGGTTCTTCATACGATCTTCTGTCCGTCAATCCGGACTTCCAGTTGACCGGCCAATACCATATGTATGTGTCCGGCCCCGGCTCCCTCTTCAACTACGGCGACTGTGGTCCAAACAAGTATTCTACCACTGCCAATGCCATGATGTTCTACGGCCAGCAGTATAACATGCCGCAGTACCAGCTTTTCCAACGTGATCAGTTCGACGCTGCTGAACCATGGAGCATGTTCTGGTACAACCCTGCTGTCACCGGTGCTTTCTGGGATGGTCTAGCACTCGACCACTTCTTTGATAACAGCACTGATCAATGGGGCTCTATGCGATCTAGCTGGACAGACGAGAACGCTCTTTATGTTGCCGTTAAAGCGGGCACGCTGCAGGGGCACCAGACGCACAACGACCTTGATTGCGGCGACTTCGTCGTCGATGCTCTTGGTGTTCGTTGGTTTGGAGAGCTTGGATCTGGGGACTACAATTCAATAGGCTACTTCAGCAATGACTCTCAGATCAGTCAGCGATGGTTGTACTACCGCAAAATGACGGAGGGCCAGAACACCATCTTGGTCAACCAGCAGAACCAAGATGTTACCGCTGCACCGACTGTCACGTATGACACCTCGGGTACAGTGCAAGGGTCCAGTACTGTGATGAATGTTCCTAGTAACTCCAGTGCCTACTTCATTGCGGACCTGTCGAGTGCATATTTCGACGTGTATGTTTGCTGATGCTTGTATACGGAACTTGCACTAATGATTACCCTGCAGTACTTCGTTCTCCCGCGGTGTTCACTTGATCAACGGACGCAAGCAGGTACTCATCCAGGATGAGATCAATGCTTCGGCCCCCGTTATGTGGCGAGCTCACACCAATGCAACTATTTCCATCAGTTCAGACGGCTTCACGGCCACACTTACCATCGGTTCTGCGACCACCACTGTTCAGCTGCTTAATCCTCCATCTGGCGCAGCGTTCACCACTATGAGTGCTGTTCGGTTCGCTTCTGATCCTACCCCCCCACAACCTGATCAGCCTAATGATGGTGTGACTGTCCTGGTGATCAGTCTGCCTGCTGGCTCGTACACGTTGGAGGTGCTCATTAACCCACAATGGCCAGGAATGTCATCGAGTTCATACACTACTCCTGGCTCTGTGGCTCTGAGCCAATGGTCGTTGACAAGCCCTTCTTAGTTTACATTTTCCTCGGACGTTTTCATTGTTATGCGATAATGGATATTCGCGAACAGGATTGGATTTTTCTTGAGTTGCTGGTTGTTTCACCTTACGTACGTACGGAGTTTCACTGATTAACCTACGTATCGTTCCCTCCGTTGTGCTGTCGGAGCACTGATAATTTACGATCGAGGACGCGTGTTGTAATTATACCAGAGTCTTCAAATGATTGAATTTCGGATTCTTATTGGCTGCGTGGGCGGCTGACAATATCAGTTTCCTTGACAGCCCAAACACGTTCTATCTTCTGTCTGCCGCACCACAAGGTTTCGCTCCTTTACACTTAAACTTGAACGACGCTCCTTTTTTTTTATCTGTCTTTTCTGCTTGGAACGACGTGTTTCTGATTCGGATAGAGAACCGTTACCTCACCGAGTGAGTACCTTCTGGCGCTTGTAAAGTGGTTCCATTTTGTTGACTTGTTTCAATTGTTCAAACCACGACGTTGACTGTCTTGTATCGACGGCTGGTCCATCTATTCGCCCGTTATCTGTGATCTCAATTTCGACCATTCTCCAGTCACCAAGGTTTAGTTTAGGCTTCAAGTTTTTCTTTTCAAACACGCCACGTACGCGCGACAAAATCTAGTAAAGATGCCCAAACTTTCTCTCTTTTTCTACGCGACACTCGTTCTTTCCTTGGTCATTGCCTCGGACGCAAAAGCATTCGACCCGAATCAGCAAGTCAGTCACAACCGCTTCCTCAAGAAGCGAGCCGCGCCTCAGATTGGTGGTTTTCCTGAGCCTGTCATCGGAGTAGGCGCTAATCCTTCGACTGCAACCACTGCTGCGGCAACGCAGTCCGTGCCAACGGCAACTGCAGCTGATAGCACACCCGTATCTTCTGTAACCCCTTCATCCTCTTCGTCCTCTGCCACTGCAGTGAGTTTCATCCTATTTACCCTAGATAACCAGCAGCTGAAACTGCGTCGATAGACATCCGTTAGCACAACGCAAAATTTGGTTAGTCAAGTTTCACCGACGACGGCGACGACGAGCTTGACTTCTTCGTCGACATCTTCTCCATCCTCTACCTCCCCGACGAGCACCCAATCAACATCGTCAACACCACCAACTATCCAAAGTGTTCAATCTAGTCCCTCTGCGATTGATGCTACACCTGCACAGGCGGGCTCTCCCACCTCTCAATCAGTGATACTCGTCACCAACACCGCTTCTTCAAGTGCAAGTGCCACACCATCTTCATTGTCCTCTTCTTCTACCGGTATCACGCACACTGCCCTCATCGTCCTCATTGTCATCGCTACAAGTGTCGGTGGTTCCATCATCATTTGGACCATTATTCGCAAGTGGAAGTTTGGCAAATCTTCCAGCTTCGATGACCGCATGCAGCCTATTGACTGGCAGCCGAGTAACGACAACGATGACAATGGTGGTATTCCCGGCCTGAACCGCCGTAACTCCACCGCATCATCATTCCATTCGGGCTCCGGCCACGCTGGCATTGGTGCAACGACACTCAACCCAATTCCTGACCATGATTTCACCGCAGGGCCTGCCCATCTCGCACCTGTTGGTGGTTACGCTGACCTTGCGCGTGGTCCCAGTCCTCAGCCCATGATGCAGGAACTCGCGCGTGGACCGAGTTATAAGGCTGACCAGTATGGCGTTCCGCTTCATCATGGCGGGTACGCCACGCACGGATACTGAGTCAGGAGAAAAAGCGCGCAGAATAAAATTTCTCGTAAAGTGGATGCATCCAATTTCTGCATTGCTCCTTTTTTATTCTGTCGTATCAATCAATAACATCCGCTTGCTGAACCATGCATTCGCCTCATTCTCGTTTACGTATGCGGATCTAGACGACAAACGTTATGCTTATATTCCTCGCGTCCATACCCCAAATCATCGCATTTCCATTCCTTTCCCATCGTACTTATACCCTCCGTTGCTATTCTTGTGTTCTTGATGTTAGGCATTACTGGCCAAGTAGTGCGGTTGGTTCGTTTGCACGGACGGGTACTTATTTTTGTCCGAATGAAACATGCGCTTTGTGCAGGTCACAAATGAATATACTGTAATCTACACAACGTAGTTGGAGTTAAGTCAATTTCTCTCGTGCCGTTTGCACTCCTTGCCAGAAGTTGAACCCTAAAGCTGCAAGAGGGATGAGGATCAACGTGGCGCCTGCGCGCCACCAGCGCACCGCAAACATACGTAGGGTAGCCCGTGTATGAGTGGGGTGTGCAGCAGACGAAGGCTTGTGATCTCTATCGTCCAATTTGGTACTTGCGAACAAGGACTCCAGGCCCGTCGGCCGTTCTGGAGGGAAGAAGCGCTGTGGCTTGACCCACGAACCATCATCATCGTCATTAAGGATCTTCCTCGGCTTTGCAGGCGAAGGAACCGTAGGGGTCCAGTCCATAGCATCGTCATCCTCGTCTTCATCCTTATTTTGAGAGCCCGTGTATGTTGAGTTGGATACCATGAGAGAAGGAAGGCCGAATATCGGGTTACTGGGGGACATTATAGGATTTGATGAGAGTGAGAGGGATGCAAGGAGGTCTGGTTCGCTAGCAGTTCGCGTATGGGGTGCGGGTGATGGACGAGGGGAAAACTCAGGTGTGGGATGAGCAGAGGTGGCTGGATGCTGGTGGCTAGAGGTATCAATTAAACGAATTGGCGGAGGTTTCTGTACGCGCAGCGCGACGAATGAGGTAGCGCAAATCTAAGCGTAAGCGGCACGTGAATATGAAAGAAGGGAGAAGGTGAAATTACACTTACGAGTGCTTCAACGATGAGTGATATTAGGCAATAGTAATGCGTTCGTGATGATGCCGGATATTGCGAAAGATGCAAGTAGTCCCGAGAGGGCGAGTGCAATGATAGTGCGAGAAGAATAGATGATAGCAATCTGGAGAACCATGCGGTCATTTGCAAAATCTGGTGGTGCATCAGTAAATTAAACTTTGATTACCACATGGACTGACAATATAATGTTTCTTGCCATGAACGCGAAGATCGCGACCTTGTATTCGTGCCTTCCGGAAGGAGTAGTATGTCGGGTCCCATGCAGTCCAAAATAAACTACATAGAGCAATAAGAGGAAGGACCTGTTGCACATGACCTGGTACATTGGGAAAATGGAGTTTTAACACAACTGCGACATGAGAATCAGATATGATGGTGAAGCTAGAACTGTGAGAATGTGTTGGCGCACCAGATGAGTGAACGACAACAGCTACCACTAACGTCATAAACCATAGAAACCCTCTCAGTCTCCACAGAAACAAATGAGTCTGAAGTTTTTCTCTTTCCCTACTGGATCCCGTAACTTGCCTCTGCTTCTCCTTGCCTCTGCTGTCATTTAACCATCCGCCCAGCGCCTTTGTCCGAGCCATATGATCCTTCTTCCGGATCTCCTCTTCGACAGCAGGCATACAGTTGGCACACACCGGAGGATATCGGACATGCAACGATTCACGATATTCCGGAAGTTTCTCCAAACGCTGCGCATAGTCCGGATGCTGTTCATGAGGCTTAGTGTGATAAAACGCGTGTAAAAAGGGCGGTTCCCACATGTGGTGGCGGTAGGTAGTTTGAGAGAAGGTTGACCAAGAGCATTTGGTTTGTCTGGCACGTATGACAGAACTGACCGGTTCCGTACATGGACGGCAAGCGGTCCTTGCTGGGAGAAGCTGCCGATAAATCAGAGCGTGAAGAGCAACGATAAATTTGAAGCTTACCTCGCTTTGCAAAAGACTTTGAGTTCAGGGATTCGTCGTGCATGGCAGGTTCATCTGACATGATGTCGCCGTTCGCGTCATAGCGGTTCCAACAGTCACAGTGCGGACAGCGGAAGGATCTTTGATCTGGGGGTGCAGGTTTTATGGTAGACCTACAGAAAAAGCAGATTGTACTGCTAGTGTGACGAAAGAGAGGTGCCATTTGAGTTTAAGCTGTATGGCTGGAGGAGTGTGTTGTACTAGATGAAATTGGCGTTGTTTATAAACTGACAAAAATGGAAATTTGCTCCTCTGTGGTCTTTCAATATTATACGGTTTAGAGTAGGACAATGTCACTGGCCCCAACGCACACAACGCCCAGGGGTCAAGTGGTCCTACAGCCCACATATTTCACATGCTCCTTGTTTGTGGACTCTGCTCGCGAAGACATTGACCACCTTATTCGTGTCTATGCCGAGCGATATGCCAGGTCTCCGCTTCCTCAGTCTTTTGTGCTGTTCAAGGATATCTGGAACAATCAAGGTTGGACATGGTTACATTTCAAGGTTTTTGATGCCAGATCCCGCGATGCTTTTCTTCAAGTCACCATGCAACTCTTCTCAGGTAGGATCATGATTCGTCTCCTGAGCACGCACTCACATCGTCGTATACAGAACGGTTAGCGGAATCCGAGTATCCTCTTACTAGAGCTGCTGCTCTGTTTGGCCTTTACACGTTCTTTGCAACTCAGCCAACAACGTCGGCTCCACCGTTGCATGCTCTCACTCATCTTCCCATGTCAATCGGTAAGCCGCTCTTGTGTTCTGAGATCGGACATCTCACTGGGTCTCAGACATGTACCAGTCTTTGCTGAAGCTTCCTGACGTACTCGAAACGGATTTCCTGCGCCCTTTGAGGCCCCACATAATATATGTACTTTCCGCCTTGCAAAAAGCTCAGTTCTTTCACATACTCCCCCCGTCTAATTTGTATCCACTTAATCCGCGAGAATTGCCAAGGGAAAAATTTATCTCAGACATCACGGATGGGTACGAACAGGTAGCTTATGCTACCACAAATGCAACCAAGAAGAAAGGTCGGCCGTCGAAGCATGACAAGGTGAAGAAGTCCAAGGACGCTGTCGTTGCGCTGGACAAGTGGCTAGACAAAACTGCATATACATATCAACCACCTCGGGCTACAGGCGCCGAGACTCCACAGCCTGTCACTACGCATATTCTACTTTCACATCCGCCAAGTACGACACGGAACAATTACCGAGCAAAAAAATCGGAGTTGCTAGAGAAGCTCGAGCCCGATTATCCGTATGTGACGACTGAAGGACTTGGACGAACAGCTTTGGAACGAGCAAACCTTGGGGTTGTGAGTAGGTTGCAAAAAATTGACGAGGAGGCGGCAGCGAAGGGAATGGAGATTGGGGGAGAGGGCGGGGAGCGAACTGGATTACGTCGTGTGGAGAGAGCTGCTGATGAACTTGGCAAAATTGGCTCACTAGGAGGTCGTGGTGGCCTACTTGGTTTGTTAGAAGGCGCGGGCATTGGACAATCGTCGTAGGACTTAGATGGTAACCCACCATGGGGAGCCATGCCGCTCTGTGAACCATCAGATATATTATTTTAAGACAATATCCCCTGTCAACGGTGCCGGTCGCTTCCCACGACAAATTAAGATTCTGGTTTGTCTCCCCCGTCCTCCCGCTGCAAAATTCAAGTCCTCAACTGTAACACTTAGTGGTCCCCCTCAATACAATCCTTACCGCTCTTTATATTCAATCCAGTCCTTTTACCTTTAGATGGCTTCTGATAGCCAAAGGCGTTTTTATTCTCAAACTTCTTCCAATGCTCCTTCAACAACAACTCTTCTTCAACCCCGAGGAGGCTCCCAGGTCGTGCAGGCCGCGTTTGCTCGAGCCCCCCAGTCCTTGAGAAGTATGCAAAGCTATAACAGCCTTGTTCGTCGTCAACTTCATATGATAGCATTCACGTAATATGTTCTGAACTTCCTTTCCAGAGCGAGTCACCTTACAGCAGTGCTGGGCGGACAGCGTCTCTCCAAGAACAGTCAATATCTGAGAAGGTACGTATACGCCAATATACGCCCTTTTACAATCCAGCTGCTTCTCCTCGATCCCTAATGCAACACTTACTACAGTTCTCCCTCTCTCCTGATCCATCCTCATGGGGTGCTACTCTTGCCATGAACCTCGAAGAACCAGATGACGAGCTTCATAATCCGGATCCTCGTCGAGACCGCAAGAACGACCATGGCGGTTCTGTTTTCACTTACAGAGGTTTAACCAACCTTGGCTGCCTTATTTTCCTTGCTGTTGGAATGGTTACCCTATTGTACGCCCACACCATCCGCATTAACCTAGTTCCTTGGATTGACGTACTCTTCAGTGCTGGATACCCCATGATATCCTATTTTACAAAGCATTCTCTTTCAAATGAGGGCGGATTCAACATTGGTGGAATTAATGCGAGCGGACAGGCAAGTCTTCACATCTTCTCATCAAGTTACAAATACCTATTACTACCGCAAAGATCCCCACTATGACAAATAATTATGGTCTTATTGACGTGGATACCCCATCATCCGCCCATACCTACACGTCCTTTGCAGATTCCTCACAATGGCAATTAGTTTTCAGCGATGAATTTGAAGTAGAAGGCCGGACCTTCTGGCCTGGAGATGATCCATATTGGGAGGCTGTAAACCTTCATTATTGGCAGGTAAATCACATGCTTCCGCAGGTATTGGCTTTAGCTGAAACATCAATTGTTATTAGACCAATGATCTTGAATGGTATTATCCTGATCAAGTCACGACCAGAAATGGCTCGTTGGAAATCACCATATCTGAAAGGGAAATGAACAATTTGAGTTTCACAAGTGGATTGATCTCCACTTGGAACAAGTTCTGTTTCACAGGTGGTATGGTTCTGGCGTCAGTGAGTTTACCAGGGACAAACGACGTCAGTGGTGCGTATAATGTTATGTTGTCTGTTTGATATTTTGCCGATCCTTTGCTTCCATCAACTAGGTCTGTGGCCGGCAGGTATGAAACGAAGCTACTCGTTTTTGCGAGCGTACTAACATGATTCCAGTGTGGTCGATGGGTAACCTCGGTTAGTAGCGTCGTATCTTGAAAACGCCATCATCTGACAATCCACAGGACGAGTCGGATACGGCGCGAGTCTCGACGGAATGGTAAGCTCCCTTTCTCAGGCTCGAAATTCAATCGCTGACTAATGTGTCAGTGGCCTTACTCTTATGATGCTTGTGATGTTGGTACAGCCCCAAACCAGACGATCCATGGCGCACCAGCGGCAGCTGCTACTGGCAACCCGTACGACAACAGCGCGCTTTCGTATCTCCCTGGCCAGCGTTTATCAAGATGTACTTGCAAAGGAGAATCCCATCCAGGTCCTGTGCACTCGGATGGGACATACGTTGGTCGGTCTGCACCCGAAATTGATGTTTTCGAATCACAGGTGTGGTCGTTCATTTTTGAATATGATAGGCTTCTCAACAACTGTAGGTCATCGTCGATGGTCAAGTTTCTCAATCTGCGCAGTGGGCTGTACGTGGACGGTCTTTGCCAAGTGTCCTGACTCACAATGCAAACAGCCTATGAACAATGCGTACCAATGGTCCAACACGTCGGAAAACTATAATATTCCCAACCCAGATGTCACTCAACTCAACTCGTACCTTGGTGGTGTCTACCAGCAGTCCACGTCTGGTGTCACGAATACAAGTAAGTCAGGTTTGTTTTGTAACTGCTCAGACGTCAACCAGATTTTAGATCAGAATTGCTACACACAAAACACTGGCTGCTTTTCGACATATGGATATCAGTATAAACCAGGTATTCGTCGTTTTTAGTGTTTTGCACGAGTTAACACTGTCATCAGGTTATTCAGCTGATGGAGCTGTAAGTGAAACCCACAGTTTTCCGATAGCTATTTTTGACGTTGTCTTTACGCAGTACATCAGTTGGATCACAAATGATGTCGTTGGGTGGACCCTTGATGCCGGGGCATTGGTAGCTGATCCTGTGACTCAAATTTCAGACAGACCAATCCCCCAGGAGCCAATGGTAAGACCATCATTCTCGGGTTGTTCCTTAGCTCACGTTGTTCGTAGTACCTTATCACCAACTTGGGCATCTCTGAGAACTTTCAAACGGTCGACTTCACGAACCTGATTTTCCCAGCCACTATGCGGATAGACTGGATTCGTGTCTACCAGCCTCAAGGCTCTATCAACATCGGCTGTGACCCTAAGGATTTCCCGACAGCTGCATATATCAATGAGTACGCGTTACACTTTTACTGATACTGATTCAGTTGCTCATGCACGTACATTCAGGTATATTGAGGCATACACAAATCCGAACCTGACAACTTGGACAAGTGACTATAAACAAGCCTTCCCGAAAAACAATCTCACGACTGGGTGCTAGCAGTACATATATACTTATTCGGTCGCCCGTTTTTTTATTGTTGTTGTTCCTGTGGACCCTGATGCCGTCGGACTGGTATCATCCAGCTTGCTGTCTGTCATTTCCAGGGTTTCATTCGTTCTTGTATACCTCCGGGGGCCCCGTGCACATTTCTTTACGTATTCTGTGCCTTGTTTGTCCTCCCCATACTGTTTGAGTCCTCTGTAGAGGTCCGCATGTCATCTGCACCTATGTTTAACGGGCATATTTGGGTATATCATATTTCTGTAGAGGTTGTTTGAAATAATCAAAGGCATTAAGATAATAAGATTTGGGTGTAACCTGAATTCATTCACACCACTTGCGATTAATTACGTGTTCCAATGTCCAATACATTAAAGAGATAAAATCCTATATCCGGTCGAGGAGCGCTTGCAGTTTGGACAGCGTTCGTTCCAGCATGATGATACCGCCTGCAGTCAGGCGGGGCACTGCGAGATTTTCATCTGCCTCCGCGTTTTCTGAGCCCGACTGGCTCTTCTGGATTAGTGCCCGGGAGTCGTCTAGGACCTTGGATAGCCTGCCCTGGGTATTGTACAACCAATTGATCCCTGCTTCCAGCCCACCGAGAGGAATCTCCAAAGCGCGGCGAACGAATCCACGGGATAGGACATATGCCTTTTCACTGTAAAGTCGGCTAACATAATGTGATGAAGTGAGTCTCGGACAGATGCGAGGAAATGAGCGTGGACGCCACCTGTTAACCATGCCTTCCTCAGTACCCCTCAATTTCTCATACGCAGGTTCACAGAACCACCTGGAAAGTACTCAGCGAGCTTTTTAAAGGAAGACACGGTTTAGAAACCTACGGCTCTTTCACCAATACCAGGCCCTGTATAGACACAAAGGCCTGGAGAAGTGAAGATCTTGCCGCGCTCCACGTTTCCGTGCGATCTCCACTCCATGTCCCGAGGATAGACAAACAAACTTTGCCCTCCTCATACAAGTTTCTGAGTCCTGATTAGCCAAGAGTGTCCTATCCTTCATCGTCACTCACGGATTAACACGACCATTGCCGTTGGTCCAGCTCAAGAAGTGAGCGATCGGTGGACTTTGAGGGAAGTTTGAGTCAAGCATCCAATCTATTACAAACGGTGCGTCTTCATATGGTGTATTCTCCGGTCCAATGATGAGGCATCTCAATAGATCTGTGCGGTCCTCGTACGCACGGACGAGAATTGAATCTGTTTTGATTAGTATGTGAAGCAAATGTCAGGAACGATTAATGATACAGACCTGGTAAGCTGGTTGAGAGCGCACGGTACTCTTTTGTCAGACGTGCGAGGAAATTCTTCGAGGGCTGGTTCGACACAGACGAATAAAATGCATGGTCATGGGGTGCACTTGGGAGAACCTCAAACTTCTTCCACGGAGAATCGGCATGACTATCGTCATCTTCCCGAACAATAATCTCCTGAGTACTATCTGGAGATGTGTTGGACGACGAGACTGGGAATGGTGAGACAGAATCAATTACGTCTGATATCACATCGCGTGATATCAGAGAATCTGAGATGCTATTGCCCAATGGGATATCAATTTCGTCGGCCCAGGTGTCCACGTCCATTCCACCGCCATCCTCATCACTATCCTCCTCGTCTTCCCATTCTGAATCGTCATGGTCGTAGCGCCATGCGCCATCTGAATCTAGATGCCACAAACCCTCGGCGTTGTCAATATGAGAGCCTTGATCGGATCCATCTTCTCCCCCCCAGCCATCATCTTCAAATTGTTCAAGACTATCGTAAAGCTTTGTCAGCCGTGAGAGAGGGTAGATGGCCGTAGATCCGTTCGGATGGGTGATATCGACTGTTCCGTCAAGACGAAGCTTAAAGTCAAAGTGGAGTGGGTCAGAAGCAGATGGTGCAATTCAGTAGGGAACTCACCCCAGTGACCTCTCCAAACCATGACAAAGATGTATCATCCCGCGTTGGATGCTTGACACGGAAAACGGTGGGCTTTTCTTTTCGTTCGGACGCTATTTTCGTCCCCATATCTGCCATCGTCCGCCTCCAACCGCTGAATTCTCCGTTAGGCCTGACTGGCACCTCTCTCACCCACTCCTCGATCTCGCCGATCCTCGGAACTCGGGGGGATTCAAAACCATTTGAGGTGCCCTCACGGTGGATGAATACCTTGTCACCACGACGCATACCGAGATGGGTATGCGGAGTGCCTGCCGCCCAATCACTGACACCATTGGGATCGAGCTCAAGAACAGAAACAGTTTCAGTCTTGCCAGCATTCGTGAGACGAATGACGGCGACTCGGTCGGTAGAATTGACCGATTGAACAATGGCTGCGTGCTCTTCATGCTCGAGTTTCCATAAGACGTGGTCACCTGGCCTGAGAAACTGTGTGTTATTCGATGCCATATGAGACAGTGAAGAGACCTTACCAGCAGTCATACTCATCCGGATTGAGGTACGGAATCAGCTCCGTGGAGGGGAGGCTCTCCTGCGATCCATCTTGCCAAAGAATATTGACAATTGTTTTCGTCTCCTTCACGCATAGGGTCTTAATCGTCATTGCGCCATTTGGTTCCGACTCGACACCGTATCTTGTGACAGGCACACCTACATCCTTCTCCATCACAACCTTGTCCCCGACACGTACATCATCCAAACGCATCCTAATGACCGTCAATTTGGTCAAATCTCCGCCAGACCAGAAACGTGCTGGTCGCTGTTTGAGTTGGGCGACACTAGGATCCAACTACACAATGTGCTAAGAATGTGAGGGACTGGAAAAGATAAGGAGACCTACGCTTTGATTTACCGCTAGCCAGCAGATGGCTAGTATCGTACGTTTCATATCTATGACAGTATCATCCTGGCTAGGTAGTGGGGCTCCTTTAGGATAATTCACTAGCCCGTTAAGTACCTCGGGGTTCGGTAGAATGTCCTAAACGAAGTGAGTGTACTGAACAGTAGACACACGGTGAAACTTACCGGCCCCTTGTCGCCGATTGTCAGACGAGAGCTAATTTCAGGCAAGCGGACGAAGGCGCCAGATGCAGAAATAAGAAGTTCGTCAAATAGCTATGGGAATCATCAATCGTCACTTCGTTGTATTGTAATCATTGCACAAACCTCTATGACCTTCATGTGGAAACTCAGCATGTCATTTCGACTTGCGAGACATTGAAGCGCACCTGTCCAATCCAATCATCGTAAATCACATAATCTCCACCATCAACGTCGGTAGCACGTCTGATCTCCTTGATATCTCTCCAACCCTCTACTTGCTCTCCGCTGATTGCGTGCACAAGCCGTGCTTGTGCCTCAATGCTGGTCACCACGCCAGAACGAACATCATCAACGCTACGCTTGCAATAATCCCCTGACTGAAATGTTCTATCTACGAGCTCATAGTCAGACTCCGGGACGATGTCGCGAACACCGCCTGGGAAGAATGAAACCCCGATCTCGCCATGATCCAGGGATCTCATTAAGGGGTCAGTGAATGGACTTGGGAGTGGTGGGATGTCCTCGGCATCATGCCAGCATCTCTGTTAATTCCATTAGCAATGTATAGAGTCCAGCGGGTACCTACTCACAAGTACAATTCCATATACATTTGGCGAGTTGATGCGGCGTACGATATCCTCCTGGTAGAACTTTATGGATCGGAGTAAATTTGAAAAAATCCACAGTAATAACACATACGCCTACCTTAGTGGGCAATCTTGTTCTATGGGCGGTGGTCATTACCACAGCAACCTGAGAGGACGATATGTCTGAGAACTGGTCGAATGAGAAGAGAACAAGAACCACCGCTAACTTTGATCTGTAGGTCACGTGTATGGGGCATATCCGATTGACCAAGCTGCCGAACTACGGTTACCACACTACTTGAATCATTACTGAGCAATCACGATACTTACGGACAAGGAAGATCTGATGTTGACATCGCTGCCTGTGGAACTCATTCTCAAGGTCTTTGCTTTACTGGACTGGAGAACGATATTGGTTTGCCGGGAGGTGTGCACAACGGATATTATCGAAAGTCGACCGCACTCATGTCATACAGGTTTGCAGGTTCTTCCGTTCAATACTAGAAGGAGAAAGAGCTCAATATGATATCGAGCTTGCTGTGTCTGGGATGGTGGACGGCCCTCCAAGCCCATTCACTACCTCAGATCGGCTTGCACTTCTCAAGGAACGTAATGCTGCATGGGGGTCTCTGAGATGGGTAGAATCACAGGACATACCGATGATGCAGGGACACATCTGGGAGTTATATGGTGACGTGTTTGCGCAATCTAGCACGCCAAATGTCCTTCACTTCCGTCAGCTGCCATCAAGGTATAGAAAAATCGAAGAAAAAACTTGGCGTGTGGCGCTGGACATACATGTTCGAGACTTTACCATGGATCCTGCACAAGATCTTCTAGTGCTTATCGAGGAGCCCGCCTCGCTGTATGTTACTTCAATGCTGTACATTTACCAAATCTGACACATCTACAGCCCTAATACTGGCAACGTCACTACCCGTAGCATTCGGGTCCATTTACGTTCCCTCATCACAGGAGACAGGCACAGACTAGCGCCCCAACCAGCCATTCTTGTTCATGACCTCGATGCGCAGAACGTTCGAGTAGCGTACACATTACAAGTGTGCGATAATCTTTTGGGTATCTTACTCACACACCCCGAACTTGACGCAGACCCTGAAATTACCATATGGGACTGGACAACGGGCCAAGTGATTTTGGTAATTATTCAAGTTTCTGTGGAACCACTCTCTGATCGTTATCCTTAGGCATGTTTTAGTTCCGAGATTGCGACATTCGCGTTCCTCAGCAGTCGCTTCTTGTTAGTAGGCAGCGTCTTTGATCCTGAAGCTATAAACATACAGGCCCGCCTCTACGTGTTTGATATGACCCAGCCATCTAGCAAAAAGTTTGGCCTTGAGGCAAACTATTTTTGCGCATTTCTGTGGCCCGAATTTGATTCCTGGACCAACCCGTTGACCTTTTCAATCCGCTCTGATCCGTCGCCTGCCTGGCAGCCTAATCCAGAGGCTCGGCCACCCTTCTCAACGGCACCTGGGGACAGGCTCTTCATCATGACAGTCTCCTTGGAGAATAATGGCCGTATCGCCTCTTACGATATGTTCGTTTCAGCCAACACTTTGCTATCCCATATCGAGGCCCTTTCTACAGAGGTCCACTCCCATGAAATCAAGTGGGATGAATGGGGCCCCACAGGCACGCGCTTGATGCAGTCTCTGTCACAGCCTTCTCCCTGGGTGTGCTACGTATTCGGGACCAAATTCGTGTCTCTTGTTGAGCGGACCCACACGTCTCCGCAGACTTTGGAGATGCGGGACTTCAACCAACTCGCAATGAAGCGAGATGCCAAAGTTCAAGGTGGCATTAGCCATCATGTACATGATACGACGGTGATTCGCAAGGTGTTTGCGAACGAAATCCACACAAGTCTACCCTACCGGGTTGTCAAGTGCACGCTACCTCCATGTTCTTCTCCAGAACCATTTTTCGCTGCTGCCATGTGCAGCGAAGACAGCCTCATTTTGGTAGATGTAAGCATGCCACACGCTTACCGTACCGAACGCTTCTCTAACAGCGCGTCTCCATCTGCAGTCTAGTTATCGGCATCTTCGCATTCTTACTTTTTGAGCAGTGCAGATCTCCGGATCTGAGGAGACCATCGCGATTTTCAAAACACACTTAAAAAGGCTACCTGTCGAGACCACCTGGACCCTACATTTCCAATTGCGCAGCAGCCAGCCAACTTCAAATACCACATGTTCAAGTGATATAAGCCAAAACGAGTCGAGGAACACGAACACTCTGGACAGTCAAGGAACTCGGTCCGTTGGCGCAACCAGTGATGATATTGAAAAAAAAATTAGTGTATGGCACGAAGCACCGCATTTTATTTGCAAAGCTTCATGCAGCTGGGAGCCTACGTAGTGATCAAGTGGGGCAACCAACCCCAAGCGAGCAGATGGGGGTTGTTCAACGGGCACGGTTTGCATAGCTTAGTCAGCATGTTCGCAGGCGCCTTCAGGCCTGGCAAATGAGCCATCTGTTTCAGCACCTTTCTGAAATTTCGTATTCGAAGCGGCGTCGTTTATAAGAATCAGAATTAGGTTTCCGGGAAAATGGCTCATTATAGCGGTACTGCGGTGGAGATTAATTTCCGTACTTGCAACGCTTTTCGTCATACCCGTTTCTTCCAGGACCATCGATTGAACTACCAAGCGCATACTGCGACTGTCCCGCCTGTAGGTCAACACAAAGATACATGGACATATCAAACAGTAAACTGTCTCCCAAAAGCCACGGCTCCTGGTCCTCGGCGGCATGGCCAGTACAGATTCTTCTAGCGTCCGGCACATTAATACCCGAATGAGTTTTCATATTCTACAGGATGTGTCTTGAAACAAAAATAAATGCTAGCACAACAAGGAAATCACAGCAAATTACCGGTTAGTAACTCTTGTAACCCATGTTAGTGACACCAACGAGTATTCTTTTACGTTGGTACCTTTACGCTTGCGGACCAGCAAGAGCCCTGAGATGGTCGTATGATAAGATGAGATCCGCGCTAGTGGAAATAGCGCGTCATTCGATTGCGTGTCGTGTCGCAGGAAATATTGCCTAGTTACTCGTCGTCGATGAATCTGCTTGCAGAAGCAGAAGTCGTTGATGATTATGGGTGGAATGTGCACTGGAAGTTGGGCAAGGGCGCTATCGTGGTGATACACTATTGTTAATTGGGTTATCATGATTGGATACATGTTCCCTATCCTTCCTGTATAGACACTGTGGCGCTACGTGAACAAAGGATATTATAGATAGAACGCACGAGGATAGCGTATATGCTAGATGCTGAGTAGCAGGTATTAGATCCGTTATCACTTTCGTTAGTACAGAACGTTCCTGAGGCGCTGACGTCGATTTTTGTAGTGTTATGAATGCGACTCGCTGGGCTTAGCTCCAGTCTCATGATGCGTCTGTTTTGCTCATAACTGATTGGGTAGCAGAAATGGACTCAGATCAAGAAATGAAGTGGCAAGTTGTCACTGGTATGCAACGTTCGAGCAACCTCCGACCGAATGAATGGATGATTCAGATTTTCCTAATTTAGAAAGATCTGAATAGGATCGAGAAAGTTTTGCCAGACGTTGTCCTATGACAGCCTATGACTGCGTGGACTTGGCCAACCATTGGCGCTTTGTTTGACTATGGCTGCTTGCCAGCGCGTTCCTTTCATGGATTTCCACTGATCTTTCTTCCTTATGTACAGGATTTCCTAAAGGTCATCTTACCTGCCACTTAAAATCGCACATCCCCAGTTGAGCCATCATCATAATGCTCTCACATACCGTCCTCCATGGCCCTCGTATCTTGTCCCCCGTTGCAGCTTCAGCCTTGAAAGCACGTCGAACTCAGACGTTCAGAGCTTTTTACGCCGTACGTATAGTTTAATCCCACAGAGCGGATGCATTGACTCCCAATTTGCCGCAGACTATTCGAAGTCTTCGTCAGCCTCCGCCCACTGTCGAGGTCGATGATCTCGATCCACCAGATAATGTATGTGTATGTCTTGGTAAATTTTTCAACGACGAGCTAACCTTCTAGTAGGACTTTATTCTCTCCCTCCTGAGGGCCAATCCATCTCTGCGGGATACTAAATCTTACCTCGCGAATTTTGGCGTTCGTCCACCAGTCCCGGAACATGCCGGCTCCATTTTCCCATCCACTATTCTCAATGATTCGACGCCATCATTTCCAAAAGAAGCCCCAGATATATCTGTCAATAAACAACCTGAACAGGTTAAACCTAGCCCGAGCCCCATATTGTCTTCTATCTTGAATCCCGTCTACCGTCGCACTGCTCTCGTAAAACTCCAGGGTCCGTTCACAAATAAGCAGCTCGATAGCATTGCCAGGGGCATGGTCTACCTCGAGACGCTCGGACTTGTCAGCGTCATTGTTGTCGAAAATGATCAGGTCAGGGGCGATGATGGCGAGCGCTCCGCTCTCATCGAAGAAGTTATGCGAGTTGTCTCCGCATTAGAAGCACAAGGTGCCGAGGCGCGCCCTGTCCTCGGCACCGTTGTCCGACTAGGTCCTAAACCAGATGATGACCAGCCTCCCGAGCCTCGTGATTTTATTCCCCCCGAAGCACATGTCTTTCCATCGGACCTTGTCGCCATCCGTTCTGCTCTTCGCGCCGGGGAGATCCCCGTTCTTCCTCCTTTTGCCCTAGACTCCTTCTGCAGATCAGTACGGATAGATGCCAATGACGTTCTTGGCGCCCTTGCTCGTGGCATGGTTGAAGCTGCTGCACTTGACGACAAAGACATGAACTCAAGACCTCGTGATCCTCATGCAGACTACTCTCAAGATATCAACCTCGTTCCTCTACGACTGATGGTTATCAGTCGGGAAGGAGGCGTCCCTTCCTATGCCAGGACAGGTTTCCCTCATCTCCTCATCAACCTCACCTCCGAGTATGACTATATCCGCGATACCTACGACCCGTTATGGTCCGAGGGAAAGCACTCTTCGCTTTCAAATTTGTCCCTCGCGCGTACCTGCCTAGCGTACATGCCGCCTACATCATCTGCCATCATGGTATCTCACCGTTCACCGAGTTCCCTCATCGCCAACCTCATCACGAACAAGCCCGCCGTTAGCTCGAGCCTGCCTCATGCACTTCTCCAAGGTAATCGAAAGCTCACGCGGGACACGCCCACTCTTCTGCGTCGCGGTCTCCCAATACAAGTCATCCGCAGCCTTGCAGATGTTGACAAAGCAAAGATGAACCATCTCTTGGAAACCTCTTTCAAGCGCACCCTCGATGCTGACGCTTTCTACAAGCGCCTAGAAAAGACCCTCGATTTGTCGTGGTTGCAGGAGATTATGTCGGCGCTGCCATTGTCACCAACGAGCCCTCGCCCGATTCCTCTGAACCCATCTCATATCTCGATAAATTTGCTGTATTGCCCAGCCACCAGGGTGACGGCACCGTCGACTTCTTGTGGGTGGCTCTCCATGATGAATCTTATGGTCTGGGCCACCCGTTCTCCATTAACCCAAACGGGGGCAAGGAGGGCAAGGGTGAAGGCCGAGACCTTGTTTGGCGGAGTCGTGATAACAACCCTATTAATAAGTGGTACTTCGAGCGTAGCTCCGGTCACATGCGGATGGGCTCATGGATCTTCTTCTGGTGTGATGCCGAGAAACGCCTGAAAGTGGAGGAAGGACGCCGTGCTAATGCTGGCCTTTCTTACATAGAGGAATGGGAGGGAAATCGCTTGTCACAGTGGGCAGATGTTATCACCAAAATTCCATCTGTGTGGAAATAGAAGTTGAGATCTGTATGTACTTCATAGTATAACACGTGTAGATTTTGAATTACAACAGTAGTACAGGCAAATTATCATCCATGACAGTCCGAGGGTATCAATTACTGGACCTGCGTCTCCGTCGCCTGCTCTTGGGCTTAGGTGGAGAGGGAGACGCATCCGAAGTCACAACTGTGGTAACAGAAATGTTGTGATTCTCTTTCAATGCGTTGGTCTTTAATGGAGGTGCCAGGTCCCCAACCCATTTCCAGGGTTTATATGTCCTTTCGCTAGAGGACAGCTTGTCCACCATTTGATTGACACCCCGGACAATATGTTCTGAGAATTTGCCTGTGGTCCACTCGTCAATATTCCGAACAAGGAAGTAAACCTGCAAAATATCGCTTGGACGATCAAGTTTCCACTCGTGGAACACGTCGTTTGATGATCGATCTTTGGGACCACAGTACGGAGCAGACATCACGAACTGCAATGCCATAACTTCATAAGATAATCCAGACCAGAATGAGAATCGACATACTGTCTTTCCCTCTGATTCTTCACACCAATCAACATGCGCACGGACAACTCCATCTGCCCAAATAAGCCCCGTGACAGGGGCATGGATACCAAGGGAGTGTAAATGCCGAACAGCAGCAGTCGTTGACATGCGGTTCTGGCGATACGCGTCATCAAGAAGAGCATGCACTGGCTTCTTATCCTCCCAAAAGCTGCTTGCGAACTCGAAGCCAGGCATATCGGGAAGCTGAGCACACGGGGTACTCTGGTACCTGAAAGAAGACCTCTTGGCCGCATTCCCGGCTTTGACTACAGCAGGGTGGTTCTTGAGGAGCTTATATGGTGACTTGGCAGAATGAGACAATGGTCGAGTCCGTGAAGCGGGAATGAAGATTGCGCAGTCAGGGATGACGGTCTTCGTATTCAACACGCGAGGCACATCGAGGGCGTTTTGAAATGTGTCTTGCGGTTGCGGGAGCGAAATTGCGCATTGCACCCTGTTGTCGTTCGTAAATCGAATAACCACAGACGTAGAAGAGATAGGACACACCGGAAGGTGCTTTCCCTGATTGCAGAAGTTCGGAATACGTTGTAACTGTAATGTGTCAGAGCCTTGTATTCCAATGTTTAACCAATACCTCACACGTTAGCCACGAAGTCCGCCTCAGACCATTTCTCTTTGGAACTCCTCATTTTTGCCAGACGCTTCCACGCACTGAAAACGACACATACGTCTTCAAATAGTTCGTTGCTTGCACAGTGGTCGGCGGAGAAGAGTTCTGGTGCCGTTTGTGAAGCATCTGTTATAAACTTGGCAAAACTTGGGCTGCAGTCAAAAGACTGCACGATTTGTGTATGAACATTATGATGAAGAGACTTGATGCACGAGCTGCTTACCCTGTCTAACCAGGAGCGAGGAATTCGCTTTGTGGTACTAAAGAGATTGTCCACATCCTCTTGAAATTCGGAGGGAAGGTCAGAGAGAGAAACTTGTTCACAACATTGATGTGATGACCATGTCTCAAAATTGCCCAAATTACGAGCAATTCTGAGTGGTGATGAGAGAGAGAGATTACAGAACAGATTGGACCTACTCAGAAGCAGATACAGCTCGTGGTTGACTGGACGACTTGTATTTTTTCTTGGAGTCGGACATAACTAAAGCTCATAACTGTTGGTTCATATTAATGACCTATAGCCGAGACAGGTCCCTGAGTACTTGTTGACATGATCGCCGAGCGCTAAGTTGCTCCGGTAAACCCAACACTTTCTGCACCACCATCCCATCTGATTTCAATCAAATCGCCTCTGTTCAAGCTCAGCTACCTTCGTATATTGCGTTGTGAGGCGTGGAGAACCAGGAGAGTGAGCTCTGTACGAACAAGCTCACTAATGCTAAGTATGGAGATGTGGTAAGGAATACAGATCTTCAGTGCTTAAGAGAATGACTTTTTGCGCTGATAGCGCGAAGGGGACAATAACGAATCGACAGCAAGTTGAGATGCTATAGATTCGGTTTTTGTGTGGGAAGGTCTGGCTTTGCCAGACCGACGCAAGGAAGCGTCGGGTTTGTGCTCGAAGCGAGAATCCCGAGAGGAGAATGATTGAAGACTAAAATTGAGAATCGGGATCTGAGAACAAAAGACAGACCTTCTGAGCGCGTTTTGATCTAGGACGTGAGCAGCCCTCGGGCCTGAAGGAGACACAAGTCCAAACCAAAAACAACGCTAGGATGAATATGGGATGGTGGGTGGGTCGAAAAAATCGAATGCGCGTCGCACAGGAAGATGTGGTTGAGAAGAGAAAACGAGGCAAGTGAGAATCTTCGAAGTCCCGTCTTAAGAGGAGTGCACGGGCCACAGTGCTTCACTAAGGAGGAAGCACTGCGCAGGAGAATCTCCACATGGCAACGCTACGAAGGCCCGGCTTCACCCGTCAACGCTCGCAAGCTCGCGATCCGTTGTGGAGCGACCACATTTCGGCCTACTTGCAAAAACGGTTCTAAGCATGTGAGAGTTAAATCGATCGATTTTGGGTTGCTCAGTAGTCCAAGAGGAAGCCTTGAGTGTGTACATCGGATATACATAGCGCAAGTGTAAGTTTATCAGCGAGTGGTAATTTACAAAAACCAAAGTTTGAACCCTTTGACAGAGGCAAACGTCTTCGTAGCAGACTGTTCCGCCGTAGTCCTTATTATACGTCCGTGGTATTCAGCTGGGTCCGGCTAGGAGAAAGATAGATCATGAGCATATGATATAGATCACTACGAGAGACGACTCACCGTAATCATAATACAGGTGTTTGAAGATCGGACCATCCTTCTTATCCGATGATGTGAACTTCACATGTCTAGCGTATCTCCTCTCGTCATTTATCACCTCAAACCCCCATGTCTAAAGAATATGAAGGACGAGTAAGACAAAATGATAAAGTCGTACCTGTTCTGCTCTCCACTCCATGCCACTTTTTGCAGTATCACTCCAGGTTGCAGTAAGGATCAAACCATCTTCAATTGCATCTTCCGTCCAGCCAGTCTTCAAGAATTCATCATCTACTTCCTCAACCTTGGTTCTCTTTGATTGTCCTATCACGGCACCAAAAACATCGTTGCTTTGGCCACGTTCCTCCCAATCAAGAGTGCGGTTCTCATTCGTGCCCGAGATACCGCCAGATAGAGTCTGTCCAATGTCTACATGTTCAAAGCCGCCCTCATCGCTATAGTGTTTTACCACAAGCGTCAACGTAAACATTGAGATGGCGCGCCGCTTGAACCAAGATACGCCCTGGAGCTTGAGGATATCGTCACTATCATCGCTCAATGTCTTGTTCTGTCACCAGTGAGCGGGAATATCATCAGAATGGTTCTTCCAGCGCACATGATCCGAGCACACGAACCATGACATATTTTCCAGTGAGATTCTTGGTCGTAACTTCGGGAGGTGTAGCCATGGTGGGCAGAAGCAAGTGTGATGAGATCGGCGCGATTCTACAGTGCTTTATGAGATCCCAATATATATATCGGCAATCTCACAGAAGTCCTGAGCTCTGATTCACATGGTTGTTGGGATTCACGGGTGCTATTGTTGTCCTGTAACCCCTGCCAGTATATTCGTCATTCATGCAGTGCACAATGATCTACTGATAAACTGGCAATGAATTGAATGTCAATAATCAACGGAGTGAACAACTTGTCGTAGATGAGAATAGATGAAACGACTATAAAGGGACACTCATAGAAAATCGATATTCATGCCCCGTGCGCCTAGACTCGTGACCAGTCCGGTCACCACGTCGAATGAAAGTGTAGTGTACATCAGGCAGGTCACAAGCCTACCGTACAGCTTCACGAGAACGCCAGAGGTCGAGGGATATGCAAAGAGCGGATGAAGCGTCACGGCGAGGGACTGTAATTGCAAAGACGTGATTACTTGAGTCATGCGCGTCACACCTCAACTTTCTTGGGACACAACTTCAGCCCAGTGATGAATTCTATTCGTCATATATGTTCCGTAAAATCGTGAACCATTCAGAAGAAACCATCCATTAGCTTCCGCGAGGCTTCGACACCAAGCTGCCATAACCAATACTGATTAGGGCACAGTAACAAAATCAGGTCGAGGAACAAAACGTACGAATGTGGCAGCATTTGCTGGGAAAGCCTGAAGCAATAGCATAGTAAGCAATATTCGGCACAATCATGCAAACGACGTACTCTGGCCATCGCTGGACCAAGACCTTTCCATAATGCAGTAATCCCATCACGCGCTACGGTCTTTCTAAAGCAATCGAACAATCCGGAATATGTGCCAGAAGGTGCAGATTGTATGCGGGATTTCAAAACCTATTGAAGCAACGTGAATACAAGAGAGGTTACGGTCAGTGATGCCTTACATCTGGGGGTATAGCTATTGACCACATTGCGACACCTGCAGTTCCGCCTGCGAACATGATGGCGCCTAGGTTGAGGTCTCCTGCTGACGACCCAGCCGGCATCACGGCCTTTTTGGTAACTTCATACGCCGCGAAGTAACTGAAGGGCGCCAGTTCAGCTCAGTGTTCTCGAACATCAGATGTAAACTTACACGGCACTGCCTGGTCCATCACGAGCGATAGTTGCACCAGTGCCTCGGAAGATGCTCCGTATGCCACCTTCTCTGTAAAGGTGCTTCATAACATCGAAGACACCTTTGTATTGCGGTCCTGAACCTCCTTGACCTTGAACCTGCAGCAGAACCTTCGCTCGCTCAACAGGTGCAGTAATGAGTGTCGTTGGTACGGCGGACATGAAACCGGCAGCGGCAAGTTCTGCTGTAGAAAGCTTTTCGGATGTACGCTTGGGTGTGAGTGCGAGTATCAAGTTCTTGGAGGCGTCGTACGCCTGAAGGTACCAGTCTCAGCAAAGACAAGTAATTTGTATATAGTCACTATACTTACCCAGAAGGACACTGCAAAGATTGGAGTGACTCCCAGGAGTGGAGGTACCATTCCACGGTACAAGCTATTGATTGACGATTGAGAGTAGCCCTGAGGGTAGACGCGGCCGCTCACCCAGTAACACCATCTCGAGCTAACGTTTTCCTGACAACATCAATTGCACCGGTATATGCGCCAGGAGCCGCGGTCTGTAATCGCGTCTTGGTCAGGTCAAAAGGATGCCCTAAAAACGAATCAATGTAAGTCAGGATGCGCAAGTCAAGCCTTCTCACCCACAAGGACAGCAGAAACTCCTCCAAAACCTCCTGCAATGAACGATTTTACGTTGTCAATTGCCGAGTTCTTGGCCTCCTCGGCTGCTGGTGCTTCACTGCTCTAAGAAATTGTGTAAGTGTGCTGTGGACCAATTGAAGGATGGTTCTGACCATGGCGGGCGGTGCGAGGTCTTGGTACGAGTATGAGACAAGAAAGAGAGAACGGTAGGAAAAGAATACACTGCCACGGTACTCCGACAAGGAAACAAGAAACCTTCGGATGCGCTTGCATATGATATTCACGCGTCGGATTAGCTTGCCACATGATTTAATGCAACCGGCTCTCCGATCAAACTCCTCATCAATGACCAAACTTTCACCTGCTTCCACCATCCAACTTACCCCGCAAGTATGATCTAACATCTAAAAATTGGACAGACATCCTGGATTATGCAGCTTGTCTCGAGTTGTACTTCTAGAAAATTGTAGCATAAGTAATGTCACATAGAATCTTCAAATTAGTCGTCAAGTATCTGTAATGATTCATCAAGTACTGTCATCCTGTCCAAACCCACCAACCGGCTCATATGTGGCTTCCGTCACATCCCTCTTCCAGACTGCCCGGACACCATAGAAGAACAAGCCTATCAATCCGACGCCAAGTGTTCCCACGAAGGACGGAACGAAATATTCGACCCACCATGGAGGATGATACGGGACGAGCATGCGATCGATGGTAATAACGCCACCCGTACCTCCGCCCGTCGTTGTGCGACCCCACGTTAGGACACGTGCCCAGTCAGCTTGTTTGTCTGTCCCCCTTGCATTCTTGATCCCGACCATGTACTTGGATACCTTGTCGTCCAACGCGCGGAAGACAATATCACCATACGCCGAAGAAGGCGAGAGGAGAGTGGGATATTCGCCCAAATCTTCCAGCGGAAGGGGGCGGTTGTTATTCAAGGCGTCGAAGACGTTAAATGAACCAGATTCTCCTGTAGATGGTGAAGTGCGAATGAGGTGTTGACTGACGAGCGCGCGAAGAACGTCGATATTCTCGAGAAGCTGGGTAAGGTTGTATTTCTTAAACGCATCATCCGTTGGACAAAGTAGGGTCCAACTCGCCCCACCTAAACCCTGGTCTGCCCACTTTGAACCTTCAGGAGGAGCGGTTCCATCCAGGATCCAGTCAAATCCAGCTTTCGTGACCATGTTGATCATAGTGGTAGCCTTGGCCGCTTTCATAAGCTTTCCTACATTTAACTCCACAGATCGCGGGATCATAAGATCCGACAACTCGTGTATCACGCCAGTTTCGGTAAGTATGTTTGTCGGATATAACGCGCTCTTCATGCCGGCCCAGCCACCGCTGGGGCCAACGATAACGGATGAATTTGATAAGCGTTCCAGTTGTAAATCGGATCCTTCAAGGGTGGCGAAAGTACGCAAAGAGCCGTCAACGAGGCTCTGGGAGTATTCAATACCGTTTATGATATGGTGCATTATGACGTTCTCCAAGTCCGTCTTGGATGAAGCAGCTAGCAGATGGTCGCTGACCAGCTTACCGAGCCGCTTGAAAGCAGCATTGTGAGGCATGAGGAACGTTGCACGGGGCGTCTTCTTGATGTCATCTGCAATGGACGTGGAGAAGACTGCAGCAAGGAACGAAGACAACTCAAGAGAGGGTAGAGCTGTTTGAAGTGGGTCTACAGGTGGTTCCAGAGGTGACGAGATAAAGTAGACGACAGCATTGTTGATAACAACTGGCTGAGATTCAGCGCGAGCAAACTGCGTCGTCTGGAAATTACTCACTGTGCTCTCCAGTAATGCCAGCTCCACCAAACCTGATATGTCTGGATGGAGCATCCTGCTTCTCATCGTCGTTGACCTCTACATGCATGACTTGTCTCCCGCCATCAAGTCCTGGTTCCCGAAGTACACTTTCTAGTAGCATGCCATCCGTTAACTTCTCGGGTGTCCATTTCCCAGGGAGAAAGTGGTACTGCAACACCTTCTTCAGCTCATCGCTCCCCTGTTTGGGTAAGCCGCCATTCTCGAAAACGGATAAAACATCGTCCTTCGGTGCTAGGATGGTGTATTGAGTCTCGGTATCATTGATGAGATGGGTAAGATTGACTGAGTGTATCAGAGAGATAAATGAAGTGCAGTTGAGTGCAAGAAGGTATTTTTCAGGGGTTAGCTGAAGGGCTCCTGGTGGAACCAGTAGAGAGGACACGATGTGTAAGACTCCATTACTCGCATAAATATCGGGCTGCAAAAGGGTAGCGCCTGATACTGTAGTCTTTCCTTCGGAGATGGCGACTTCCAAACTAGATCCATATTCAGTAGTCACTGCACTCCCAATGTCAACGCAGCAATTACGTATACGCATAGCTGCTTACAGGTGGTGGTTGACTCGAAAGTGTTCGACCATCTGACACTCTTCTCGATGACAGCATGCATGTTGAGTACACGCTGGAGATCATCCGCAGCAAATTGGCTTTCGAGGTATACTCGCTCAATTGGATCGAGTGCTTCCCATGCGGAATCGACGGGAATGAACAACGTAAGCTCAGAGGTAGAGTTGATGACATTGAGCATGCTAGGTGTGAGGACCTTCTGGAAATATGATAACGACGGTTCATGAGACAGGACGCGACCTGGGTATGTGAGTGAGACAGCGTTATGATGCGGGCTATGAGAAGAAACTAACCGAGGTCGGGTGGAACCTCAAGGACGTGAGCAATCCCGTACACAACACCGTTTACCGCCTCCACTTTCTGTTTCTTTACTTCGATACCCCCTTTGCCAAAAGCGTCGACACCGACCCAGGCTACGCCATCTCGTGAAGTGAGGCGTAACTTCTGAGATTGGTTGCCTAGACTGCTCTCGGGTATTGGTATCCACGGGGGATATGGGGGAGGCTTGTTAGTCGGAGAATCCAGGGAGAGTTTGGGGAAGTGGAGTGTATCAAGAACTTGCAGTGTAGTCGAATCCTTTGGGTCTTCAGTTACGGAGTAATTAAGGAGGTGGTAGAACAGTTGCTGACGTAGCTCCTCTTGCACATTATCTTTGAGCAAGGTAGGATACTCGAGAGCTGACCTCCAAAGATCGTGACGTTTAATTGCGTCGTTAGTTGGTGCGAAAAGGGTGCTGCCATTCAACTTGTTCAACGTTGGTATGAGTTTAGCTTTCTGCAGGAGAGATAGGAGTGACGTATAGTCCTCATCATTATTGAGAACGTCGACCAATGTGCCAGGCTGAATGGTTGGGTCTGAATTCCATGCAACTTGGGTGGTTGTAGAAAGAGCTACCAGAGCCAGGAGAGTGAGTGGTATGCAGCCACAGAGGCGCATTCTGGTATGAGTTAGCTAGCACTGAGAGGCTGGCGAGAGTGAGCGTTAAGGAGTGGCAAAGCCGCGCGCAGTCTGCGAATTATGACGAAGGGGGGCTACCGATGAATCCGATCTTGCCAGAAACAGTCATAGGCGCTTTTCCAGAACGATATTATTATTCAACAAGTCACGGTTGCCTGCCCTCCTTCACCTTGCAGTAAAG